CTCCCTCCCTCTCTCCCTCTCTCTCTCCAAAACCACACAACTCAAAAAAACCCCCCAAACTAACCCCATCCCCACGCACTTCCCCCCAGCAACACCACCACCGGCGACCTCATCCCCAACGACTGGGCCTACCCCGTCCCATCAGGCATGTCGCTCTATACGCCCAACGGCTACTGCGCGCTGCTCGTCACCGCCAACGACACGACCAAGCCCGCGCTACGCCCCACCTACCTCGACCAGTCCGACCCGTCCTCCGGCACCGACGCGCAGTGGGCGCTGATCGGCCGGTACAGCATCGCCGGCGCGGGGCCGTACCGCCTGTCCAACGTGACTGCGGTCGCCGGCAACGGCACCGCGGGGTCGGACGACGAAGAAGGTCCGCAGGGGACTGTGACGGGGGAGTTTTTGACGGCGACGCTGCCGAGTCGGGAGGGGCCGTTTGAGTTTACGTTTCGGTTTTATGAGGGGTGTGGGGTGTGGAATTTGCATCAGAGTGTGGGGGAGGATGCGGAGAGGGTGGCGTGGTATGAGAGGTTGCCGGATCGGGATGTGTATGGTTAGGTCGGGCTGGGGGTGTGGGGAGGGGGATGGATGATTGAGCTTTTCGGTTGGATTGAGGTTTTTGGGGGTCTGCGGTTTTGGTGCTCTCTGGAGACGGGGATGGGATCGTGCGGAAGAGGGCTCGGTCATTTTGTAGTTGTTGGATGTGTACGGGCGTGTGGAGTTATAATGAGGCCGTGATTTGTTCTGCGACGTTGAATGATATGTGGAAAAAAAAACACGATCTGGGATACTCCCCTATCATTATACTCACTGTTCTATCTCGGCGAATCTTGTCCAGGAAGCATGAGGTTCGAGACCTAACCTCGAGTCAAGACAATCAAATCGTGCGCATACTTCATCCCTGGAAGCGGTAAACTGAATACCAAAAACACCCTTCAACCAGCCGGGTCTAAACCTCCACGTCATGTTCATGAGCGAGGAAACGAATGTCAATCCGAGATACCAATACGAGCGGGTTGGCCAAAACCTCAATCTCCCACGACCCTTCTATCCCACGTACCCTTTCTCGTTGACTTCATGAAATTTCCCCCCTGTCTTCTCTCCACTGGACCTGCCGCTACGACTGGGGTAAACAGAAGCTCTTGGTGTTTCTCGCGTGTCGCAGATGACAAAACAGTGCGGAACAGGATAGGGTAAGTCGCATCGAGCGTGAGACAATCGACTATGTATAACGGAAGCAGTAACAAGATCAAGTACCGAGGTATACCTGTTACATACCGGAAGCACACAAGCGCCTCCCGCGACAAATCCAACACCTTGCCACTACTTCGATGGCGATGAACGACCACTTCTCCGTACGAAGCCAAGTTCCAGGTCTACTGCCCCAGCCGTCGCTGCATCGCCCGTCTCCCTGAGCCGCGGCGGCTCATGTTCGTCGTCAGCAAGGACGATACTGCCCTGCTCCCCCTCCACCGTGTCCGTACGATGGCAATAGCCAGTGTCGCCACCACCAAGGTCATCCATCAAGATCACAGTATCGCTCTTGTTCCCACCGCCATCCACCACGCTGCCCAACAGCCCCGTGCCGCCCTGTGCCGCCGCTCCACTCCTTCTCTTATCCTCCCGCGAACCCGTCATCGTCGACGACAGCGTGGCAGTCATGCCGGTCGACGCCGTCCCCCACCCCCACAAGCTCCAACTACTCCTCTTCTTCCTCACCACCCGCCAATACCCCGGGTCGAGCGGCGACGGTCCCTCTCCCGCTTCCGTTTCCTCTCCCCCTCCTCCTCCTCCTCTCCTTCCCTCCCTTCCTGCATCCTCCTCCTCCTCCCCACCACGACGACGGCCATTACCATTCCCACGGGAGGGAGGAGGATGAGGAGGGGGAGGATGAGGAGAGCGGCGCTCCGCGTGATTGACATTGCCGAAGACGCAGGGCAAGGCGCGGACGAGCAGCGGCTTGCAGCACGGCAGGCAGGCGCAGATGAAACCCGCGTTGGTCTCGACGGCGAGGATGACGTAGTTCCACACGCCGTCCCAGTACGGGTCGGTGGAGTGGAACCAGATGGCGAAGAACCACATGCGGAGGACGCCGGCGATGGAGATGCTGGTTGTGTTGTGTTGTGTTGGTTACTGAAGGAGGGAGAGAAAGAGAGAGAGAGAGGGAGAGAGAGAGAGTCTCGAAGCATTCATTCACTTACACGACTCCGACGCAAAACAAAGCGATGAGCCCCCAGCGCTGCTCCCTCGGGACGTGCATGCCCCAGACGTAGCGGGCGGGCCAGAGGAAGATGCACAGGTCGCTGAAGCTGTTGAGGGCGGCGGTGGCGATGAGGAAGGCCTCCTGGTCGATGCAGTCGCGGAGGATGCGGATGCGGTCGCGCGTGTTGGACGCGGGCGGGCACTCGACGTACTGGTCGATCTGCGGGACGACGGTGCTGATGCACCAGCACGCCGAGTAGACGATGGCGCCCTTGCAGAAGCACTCGTTGAACGTCTGCATCGGGAAGATGCGGAGGTAGTTGAGGCAGATGGAGACCTTGGTCAGCGTCACGCCGACCGGGTACATGATTTCGAAGATGATGTTTACCTGCGGGCGTGGCGGCGTCAGTGGACTGCGAAGGTCTGCCCCGGTCTCTATTCTTACCCTGAGTGCTTGTTCTGTCCACTCTGGTTTTACATCCCAGATATGCCGGGTCAGATGGAGATACATGGTGGAGTAAAGACTCGTGATTGTGACGGTCGCCAAGCAGCCCTGCAGAACGAGATGGTCAGCACTTGAGAGTATGCAGATAGATACATGGAAGTGAGCAATACCCATGCGGGCAACATGAGCCAATCATCCCATGACAGTATCCGTCGAAGCACGGCTCTACTGTAGAAGCGGGCGGCGACAGCCAATGTCATCAACAGCAACAATGGAATTTCAATGGATGCGATATAAGCAACCCGGTTGGGAGGATCGACAAAATTAGGCGCTGGCCAGTCTGCCGGGGTGTCGGCAGCCACCATGATGCATTATGACTCCCGAGGCTTGGAAGAAGCGTGGATACGAACCAGAAGTTAAACAACAGAGAGCAGAAGTATATACAAGAAATAGAGAAGGTGATCGGACGCCGGAAGTAAACAACAAAGGAAGGGAAAAAGCCTCGGGGCAGGCTCAGAGGACAGCTAGCGGCGACCGCGCGTCATAAGACCTGCGCGCATCCTTTCATGTAACGGAACACATGCTTGAGCATCTTTCGTAACTGCAGGGCGTGCGGCGCGCTAACCTTTGAGTGTTTTTAAGCTTCGTCCGAGCGTGGGTATCCCGTCTGGATGAACGTCGTCGGTTGCTTTTATTGGTCGATTTTCCGGGACTTTGCTCAACTTATTTCCCAGAGCAGGACCACCAGTTAGCCACCATTTCTAACTTTCTGTTTCGTGTACAGCGGATCGACCCTCCTTGACCGCGGTCTAAAACACCACCACACATGTCCAGACCTTAAACTGACGGGAGCTACTGCGCCACCACGCGGGACACCCTCAGTCCCATGGGCGCATTGAAAGATCGGGAACTGTAGCTTCCGTCTCCCTTAGAAGGAAGAGCATCCTAGTCCCTGTCTTGTCGTCGGGAGAAGCAAACATCTCCGTGTGCTGTCGGCGAATGGGTCGGCGCTGGTTGGCTGCCTGAGCAGTGAGCAGAAAATAGAACGGAAGCTTTTCCGGATACGGATCCGCAATCACCACGGGCCTTGACCATGAATCGTGCTACCAATTAACAGTGACGATCCGAGCATCGAAGCGGGATAGGGCAGTGTGAGAAGCATCTTTGAATGGCCCCCCATTTTCGGGTCGATTGTCACGAGTGTGCTCTGTAGTTAGCTTACGTAGACTTGAAGGTATTAGTCAAGATCGTAAGCTAGTAGGTTCGGCAAAACCTCCGCTGGTCAATTTAACTATCCACCCATACGGCATGTATCGCAGCGGCCACGTCAGCTGCCTCGGCTCATTGCACTGTGCATGTGCCATCATTCTGCGTGCTTTACTGGTGCCTGGTGAGTCGAATCAGTTAATGGCATTGGTGTACCAGCAATCGTCGACTTGGCTCTTTTCTTACTTTCTGGAATGTCCCCGTGTTCCTGCTTCATGAGCTGTAAGTCGTTGAGAGCAAGGTATAGTGACATGTGTGCGGTAGATGCATGCCGTTGTAGAACATGGGACGAGAAAGGCAAGGCATTAGAAGCAGTAACAGGTACAAATCCGGAATCGCAAGAGCCAGGCTTACTGCACTACGCTACTATACGTCTTCGAGACATGACGCATCACACACACGTACCTAGTTCAAGACAGCCAAACGAGCAAAGAGGGGAAAATCGCAGTCATCACCAGCCAAAAGCCAGATTCATATATGCCGCTAAGATTACTCATCTGCAGCTATTTCCAGTCCCAATGTTCCAATTCCGTTGAATATTCTTTCCTTCCCGAGAGAGGACGGGATAACCATCGTCGTCGTCGCCGTCTATTTCGTGCCGTAGGTGCTCTGGAGCTGGGAGACGAGCTCGACGTACTTCTTGTCGGCCTGCTCCGGGGTGACGCCCTCGTCGAGCTTCGCCTGCCAGTGGCTCTTCATCGTCTTGCCCTATTGTACATTGGAAAAAGTCACCCGTCAGCGAAGGTCTGCGACAAGAGGTCCTGTGTGAAAGGATCGGGATGGAGCGCTTTTTACCTTGATGTCGAACATGCCGGGCTTCTTCGCCTCGATGTCCTCCTTCTGGGCGATCTTGGCGTAGGCGTACAGCTGTGTGGCGACGCATCATCCGTCAGCAGATGTTCTCAGGAAAGAGGAACGAGGAGATGGGCGCATGGCGCTGGTGGTTGGCGAAAGGCAGAACTCACATCAAGCTTCTCGTTCTGCGACGGCTCGGCCTTGAGGTTCTTGACCTCCTCGAACGACTTCTTGAACGCGGCAGACATTTCGGACGTGTTTTTGTGTGGATATTTGCGGGTAAGGGATATGCGTGATGTTCTTGGGCGAAGATGCAGAAGTTGACGACGATCTTGTTGACGAAAGCAAGACAGCGAGGGACTGGTGAGATGTGGGGTTTGGCGGGGCACAGGGCTAGCGCTTCCCATCACGAGGCTGTGACGCCATGACCGAGGCCTGCCCTGCCGCCCAACAAACCTCGATCTCATCGGCTAATCACCGCATGATTTGCATGCACATGTGGCCTGCCGCTCTTCTGTTGGCCGGTGCCGACCGTCCTGCCATGGTGGTCGTCTACTGCGAGAGACTTTTCGTTCCTGTGACTAGCACCATCTAGAGTTTGGGACGCGTTCCCTTGCAGCTGCATCAACAGGGAACGTCAGAGCAGTGCCGACATTAGCTCACAAGTGTCACGGCTGTCAACTCCAGCATCAAGCGCGCATCCCACCAAGAAGTGCCGGTCGTCCGTGTCAGGGATCCACGTGCATCCCAAGCCCATGCGCCCAAGGTAATATGTTGGGACAAGCTCCCTCAATGTTTCCGATTCAAACTCTACTTTCGTCCCCCATGCCACTGGATCCGCCTCTGAGCGTCCGGCTGCAGGATATGCAACAAGTCCGCCAGCGACAGTCCCCACCATCCCATCGCACATCGTTGTGGTTTCCCCATCCTCCCTCCCACACATCATGTTGCGTAATGCAAGGATTCCCGTCCGCCAATAAAGCCCCAATGAACGCCTAAAAGCAAGGATCCGTAATTAAGCTGTCAAAAGCCGCATCGTCGCCGGTTTGTGTGTCTCGTTCGTCGTTACGGGGAGAGGAGAGAAGGAGAAGAGTGAGGGCCGGCCGTCAAGCCTTTCGCGTCGCGCTTAGTTGGCCAGGATGGTCGAGACCAAATCTACACCATGTATCAGTGTCACCGAAAAACCAGACGAAAGCGGGCACCGCCAAAGGCCGCAGGAAGTGCAGACACACCCCTGTATGCGATCTCGCCAGAGCTCGTGTCGACGGCCTTGAGCAGCTCGTCGACCTCGTCGTCGCTCATCTTCTCGCCCAGGTTCGTGAGGATGTAGCGCAGCTGGCCGACGCCGATGAAGCCGGTGCGATTCTGGTCAAACACCTCGAAACCGCGGCAGTACTCGTCGATGTCGCCCGGGTCGCGGAAGCCGCCGGGGCGGTTCAGGATCTTGGAGAAGGTCTCGAAGTCGACTGTTTTCACACGGAGCGAACTGTCAGCGGCATTCGACCGGAGGAAGTGCGCGTTGGCGGGACGTGTGGAGAAGACCACGCTGATCTCGACCACCCCTTCCGCGTGTGCTCTGTGTCTACAGGGGCGGACTCACATTCACCGCCGGCCTGCTTCTCGAGGTCCTTGATCTCGGCGATTGTGGGGTTCTGGCCGCAGGCGCGCAGCAGGTCGCCAAGAGAGTCGACGGTCACGCGGCCGTTGCCACGCTTGTCGAAGAGCTGGAACGCTTCCTTGTAGTTGGTAGAGGCCTGCACTTGTGAGTTGTCGTACGCCATGGCGGATTTGCAGCGAAAAAGACTGAAGGAGTGTTCGGGGTGCAGGAAAACAGCGCAGGCGCGAAAACAAGAGATCCTGGGGAAGTGCAAGGCCGGGAAAGCGTGTTTTGGGCTCTCGTGTTGGCCGCGGGCGGGGGGGACGCGTTTGGGGGATGGCGCCTTCAGGGAGCAGTGCCAAAAGTGGAAAAGGAAGCGCAGAGCAGGCGTACCATCTTCTTGGCTTGTGTGTTTGTTTATGCGATGCAGCACACGGCGACTAGGTGCGACGGGAACGAGGGCGGCGGAATGCGGTTGGCGAGGGTGCGAGGTGGTACAGCAGAATTGGGTGTTGCACGGTGGCAGATGTCCAGCCCCCGAATGACAGCCAGAGCCCAAGCGCGCAAGCCGCACTTGGGCCGGCCCATGCGTTGCAGAGGCAACGGCCCGAAGCCACAACAATGAACGTCATACCCGCTCACAAAGCCATTGATTGCCATGTAAAAGTCCAGGCCAAGCAGCAAATGCACCTTGCTGTGCCATGCCATTGTGCCTTTGCTATCTTATCGAGTACTGCCGTCGGCGCCCATGTCCCCAGACCCTTCCCATCCCGCCACCAAGTCCTTCACCGCAATCTCCCCGAACCACCCTAATTCTCCGCCCTTCACTCCGCCTAGTACACCACGTGCGTCGTCACTTCCTCCGCGCCAGCACGAGTCCAGTTCCCCACTCCAATTCCACCTCCAGGTCGTCACTCTCCCAGCCCTCCGCCGCGCTGATCTCGTCAAACATCCGGTCCATCACGTCGCCTGTGCCGCCTTCTTTGCGCGGTTTCACCTCTGGGTGCGCCTCGTGCCAGCCGTGCCACGCGCTCCACGTCCTGAAGTATTCCCTCCACTGCGCCACCGTCGCCTTGCGATACAGCCGAATGGCCTCCTCTCCCTTCCCGCTGGCGGGTCCATTTGTGTCCGGAACATACTCGTAGCGCCTGATGTCCTCGAAAAACTCCTCGGTCGGCTGGATGGGGCGGTAAAGCTGCTCGACGATGCTGCGGCCGGGCTGCGTCCAGTACGGGCCCAGCTTGTCCGGATCAGTCGTGTTGGTCGACCACTCGGTGATGATCTGCGTCGCCCTGGGGGAGTTGACGAAGAAGGGGTTGCCGTACGTCCAGAAGGCAACGGTGCCGCCCTTGCGCAAGACGCGCGCCAGCGACGACCACACGCGCGGGTACTCGAACCAGTGCGCCGCCTGGCCGGATACGACGGCGTCGACGCTGTTGTCGCCGAAGAAGGGCAGTTCCTCGGCCGGCCCGCTCTGGAACGACACGTTCGGGTATAGGTACGAGTCTGTTCCATCGCGCGCCTGCTCGATCATGCCCGCTGACGGGTCGACGCCGATGACATTTTCAAACTTGGGGGCGATGGCGCGTGCTACGATGCCCGGCCCACATCCGAGATCGGTGCAAAGGACCGTCGGCCCTTGGTGGTAGGAGAAAATAAGATGGTAGAGAGATGGTGGGTAGCTCGGGCGCAACTTGGCGTATGAGGTGTAAGAGAAGTCGGCCTTTCTGAGCTAAATTCAGCATGCGTCAGCTCGACGTAGTGGGGTTGTATCACACTCACGCAAAGGTAGCCATGCTGAGTGTCTACGGTAAGCTGTCTCGTTAGTGTCGGTTGACCTGTTGCTCAGTGCATAGTATAAACTTCAACAGAGACAGCGAGCAGCTGCCTGAGTAGCAGGTCTCCGCCAGCTGATATGCTTCTGGCAGCTTCGGTACAAAGTGAGAGCAGCTGATGCTGGGCGCCTGTTGCTCTACCCCACGTTTGCTTGTTTGTTTGCTTGCATGATGACAGGCTGCTCGCCATCCGACTTCGCTTCCGCTATCACGTCATCGCCCACACGCCCAGCCTCATTTATGCTGCACCTTTCCATTCGTGATCAGCATACCCCGACTTGAATGTATCTTTCTCTGAGGTCACTATTACTCACTATTCCACTGACGGATATCCGACTGGACTTTCTATGTCTTTCCAGTACGGTAATCCGTGCAACTGTACTTTTGGCCTACTGGATTGGTCACCAAGACGCTGGTGCCGTGGTCATCCCACTCATCCCAAAAAACCATTCACACGAGCTTACACACTAGTGCATCAAGTGATACAATCAAACAATTGTGATTGTCCTGCGCTCGCAGAGCACCTAAGAAAGTAGTCACTGAGTAAACGATCTAGGCTTTCCACCCAAAGTAATCATGACCAGCCGGACGTGGTACAATGGCCTGGCCTCGCTCAAAGTTCGCGGCCTTCTCAACCTTTCTAGTGAAAGCGCTTGCGTCATGGAAGAAGCCCAATTCACCTTGCCGTCCTCGCCATGATATTTGCCACAGCTTCCGGGCCCTGAATCCACTGCTCGTCCTCGTCCAACAGCGCCTCTCGCTGCTTCTTCCAATGCGCCTTGATCCACTCGGCCTTCTCCTTGCTCCTCGGCTTGACGTCGACTGCGAACGGATTCATCGTGTTGACCAATCCCGGCCTCACATCTTCCATATCGATGTCGATCTCCTCCCCGGTCTGTGGGTCCCTCTTCTTCCGAACGTCAAACGCCCACAGCCAGTGCGAGATGACGAAGTAGAGGTTCCTTTCGGCGACGTGCTGGCCGGGGCAGACGCGCCGTCCAGCGCCAAAGGCAAACAAGTCCGTCCGCACCCCCACTTGTTCATCTGACACCACCGTCTCGAGCTTACCCTCCCAGCGCTCCGGCTTGAATGCCTTTGGGTCCGGGTAGGCTACTGGGTCGCGGTGAATGGCGTAGCTGTTGAGGAGTATCGTTGTCCCGGCGGGGATGTGGTACTCGCCAATCTGAATGGGTGAGACGGTGGCGTGGGGCAAGGAGAGGGGTACCGCCGTGATCCAACGCAAGAGTCTGGGAAGAGAGCGGGTTAGCATGGAGGGTCTAGTCATCCCGACAAGATATGGAACGCACTCTTGAATACACTGGCGGGTGTAAGGTAGGTTGTTGATATCCTCTTCTGTAGGCAGGCGATCCGGGCCCACAGCCCTATCGATCTCTGTACGAAGTCAGCACGAGGCGAAAAAAGCCAGACTTTCGGATCCACGAACCTTCCTGCGCCTTCCTCTGCACCTCCGGGAACAACGCCATCGCCGCCATGAAGTTGTTCAGGCTGCTCGCCGTCGTATCCGTCGCCGCGACGAGCAGCTCGTTCGCGACCTCCATCCCCTCCTTCTCGCTCAACCCCTCCCACCCAGCCCTCAACTTCTCCTGGATCGCCTGGATGAAGCTCGGCAGCTGCTTCTCCCCCTTCTCCGTCCACCCCTTCGTGTTGTTCCAATGCCTCGTCAGCATCCTCTCGTGCACCGCCCACAGCCGCTCCGCCGCCCGCCTCGCCGGCAACCACCAACTCCCGCCCGGCAGCTTCCACAGCCACTGCGCCCCCTCCATCCACTCCGTCCGCAGCTGCAGCGTCGAGATGTTCAGCAAATCATCCATCACCTCCCTGATCCCCGGGTCCTCCTTCCGCGGCACCCGCCGCCCATTCAGCATCGTCATCCCCACACTATTACTGAACCTCTCCACATGCACCCGCCACTGCTCCGCCGCTCCCTCGCCACCATCCCCACCACCATCCCCACACACATCCGCCAACAATTTCGCCGCCTCCAACGCCTGATACGGCAGATACGACCGCGCCGCCCCGACATTCAGGATCGCGTGCCACATGCGCCGCGCGGCGCGCCACCGCGGCCCGCCCATCATCGCCGGCGCGTAGTTGCCCCGCGCGTACAGGTCGACCTTCATCCCGCCGGGCCGCCCCGCCGTCGCCTGCCCCCGCTTGTTGAAGACGTCGTGCGCCGCCGCGGCCGTGCTGACGACGACGATGGGGATGGGGCCCCGCATCGCGGTGATGATGGGGCCATAGGTCGCGGCCCAGGTGGTGTAGGTTAGGTGCGGGCGGAGGGTGTCGAGCTGTGGGGGGTGTTGTGTGTGTTAGAGAGGTTGGAGAGGGAGGGGACGGGACGGGAGGGGGGCGCCGCGCGTGGTGGGGGGTGAGGGGTGGGGATGTTGGGGGAGCTCTGGTGGGAGGGGGAATGGGAGGGAGGTGATGGTGATGGCGAGGTAAGGTGGAGGGGGAGTAACGGGGAATGATGGGAAGCTTGGGAAGGACTTGCCTCTTTGAGGTTGCCCCAGATGGGGCGTGTGGGCGGTCCGGGTGGGAAGCCGGCGGGACGAGATCCGATCTTTGAGATGCGGTGCGCGAGGTAGGCGAGGAGGGTGAAGAGGAGAGCACCCACGGCCATGGGCACTCCGGGGTGGGTGAGATACGCGAAAGTAGGGGTATTCATGATTGGCTAAGCTTGTGCAGGAATGTAGATATGGGGATGCCAGTGATGGTAAGGAGGGGAGAGAGCCAATATCCCAGATGCAACGAGCCCATATAAGTACCCCCTCCTACTTCAGCCGCATCTTTGGCCCCACGGCCTTATCTTCTTGGTCCATTGACAGAGTCAAGGTCCGAGCCTCCACAATCTGACAACCTAGCTGATCACCTAATGGTGAATAAAGTGAGGATTTACCTTCTAGAGTAAGTGGACCGAGCTCTAATCAAATGGGTGAGAGCTCGAGCGTTACACGGCATGTGGGCCACCGGATGCATCCCTTGGATGACTATCACATTCGCCACGAGTTTCGGTCCACCAGAAGGTGTGCAGGCTACCATGGATGTCTCCTTGCCACGCACTCAAGCTGGCATGAGAAGCGTCCACTCATGCATATAAGCAACTAGTAGCCATCGAGTACGAATCAAACAGCCTACCAGACGAAGGCCATGGAGATGCGAAGAAGGCAGAATATCTCAGGCAGACGTGCGCCGTAGCATTGCTGACCTCTTTATATAGGACAGAAATGAAGGCAGTTGCCATTCCAAGAAACCGGTTTACGTTCCCTCTCGGCCATGCATAGCTTCTTCGCGGAGCTGCTGTGTTTGCGCGTGTGAGCCAGAGTCTTGTGTTGTAGGACGCCACCGACCCTTGCCCCTGCATACAGCCATCATGTGGCCCGAGTTACCGACGTGCAGGGCGTTGGCATGGTTGCGAGACGAGCCGGATAATCCCCACGCTTTGACGAGCCGTTGGGCAGGCCGGTCCGTCTTGGTTGCAGTCCACCTGTCGAATGAGGGCAACCCGAATGGCAATAGGGCAAACCTGCATCTTGTACCAGTTTTTATCAGTGGCCTACAGACATGCAATTGGTCATTGGGTTGTCATCAAAGCGGGGTTTCTGCTGCTTGATATATGGCACGCGTGGAGCCTGATGATCTTCGGACATTGCTCTCAAAACGGAAATTTGCTGGTTGCTACCATGATGGAAATGCATGTCGTCCAGAACGGGTGATAGGGAATCAACATCCTCTTGGCGAAATAACAGCCTTATTGCTCTGTCAGCGTCCGTATATGCACGCGTCGATCCTCCGGGCCGGAATACCCATGTCGTTGTCGCTACCGTCCAGACAATCTTGTGCCCCGCGAAAAGGATCGTAAAACCCACCCATTCAGGCTCACACACCTAGACAATCAAGACCCAGTCAACTCATCCTCACGAAAGTTTCTATACCGTCGTGGAAAACTGGCTCCATATTTCAAGCGCATATTTTTTGTTCTCTCCGCAATGAATTAAGCAGTGGACGCAGTCAGCGGGAAGGATCAATAGACACCGTTCCTTTTGATTGGCGTGATCTAGACTCAACAGCTTCAAACAATATCTGGCAGTACATAGACCTGACAAAGGCAATACCAGCGCAAAAACACTCGTCCATGCTATGGTCAAAGTCTATTTCGAAGTCGATCTCGGCCGCTCATGGTGACGTACACTTTTGTCTCGTCCGGAAATAATGGCCTTGAGAAATATATCCGCTGGTCAAGGCTGAGCTAGTGGTTTCCTCTGTCGCGTGTCGTGGAGATCCCCGCTCGTATCTATTGGCCAGATAATTTAAGGACTTGCATGTGACACGGTTGAACCCTTGCAGTAAATCGGGTAGGGCGGGACGAGGAGGTTTGGTGGTGGGGAGAAAGAGAGAGTTTTGGGTGTATAGCCGGATGATGACACTATACCAAGTATGCACGAGAGGGGAAAGTTACTAATGCGGGTTGTTGGATAGCGCAAACGGGAAGGGCTGAGCCCGCAGCCGGGTGGGGTAACAGTGGGGTAAACAACTTCTTCCTTGCAGGGTGACATGCATGTATATGCATCACCCTCTATCAACTGAGACAGGGGCGTTCTGCATACAGCCTTCATCGTCTACGGCTGCAACGAGAGTAGCGTGCGTGGGTACGGTCATCAAATGGTTCCACTGGTTTGGAAACACGCACACACGCACTGGATGAGGAAAAGCGCTTCTAAGCTATCCAAGACTACCACTGGTAAGCATACAACATGATGGTCAGATTAATGTGTGTGGCCGACCGAAAACCCTTCGTTCTTGTCCTCATTCAAACACATGCTGCGATTCACTGGCGCCTACCCACCACCAACGTAGCCCACCCCCCCTCTCAAATATGCCTACACCACTTTTCCACAACCCTATCCAACCCCGGCCCCACACTCGGCGCAATCTCCTCGAGCGCAACATCGCACCTCACCATGACACTATCCGCCGAGCCGCCCCCGATACCGCCCCCGCTGCCGCCGCCGTTCACGACCGGCATGACCAGCTCCCACCGGCTCAAGTTCTCCCACTCGCGGCGCGCCGCCTCGCGGCCCCAGACGCGCGTGCCCGACGCCAGCGCGCCGCCCGCCGCCGACGCGATCTTGGCCCGGCTGGCCAGGGACGCGTACTCGGCGTACGCCATGTTGAAGTTGCACGTGTCGGCGTCGTGGATGATGTCGAGACGTGCGGCGGCGACGAGCAGCGCGAGGGCGAGGTCCGAGAGGTGCGCGAGGAGGGAGAGTTTGGAGTCCGGGGGGGCGAGCAGTGTGGGCGATGTCGTGGTGGTTGGCGTGGGGGTGGCGAAGTGGGCTGGGGTGAGGGGGAAGGTCGAGGGCGAGAGGAGGGAGATGGGGAGGTGGAAGGTGGAAAGGGCGGCGGGGACGGATTTGTGGAGGTGATAGTGTGGGGCAAGGTAGGTGTGGAGAAAGTGCTCGTCGGCGAAGAGGGACTAAGTCAACTGTTAGCGGCTGATGTCACCAATGATCAACGTAGGAGAACTCACTCTGATGGAGCTGTTCCATGCTGTGAGGATGTTCGTGGAATGTGCCGTTTGTTTGCCCTTGGCGCCATTTTGGGACTTCGATGGGGTGTGGCCAACAGAGGTGGTCACCTCCGACTCGGCAAATGTCTCGGGTCGAAGCATCAGATTAGACTTGCACATGTCCTGGAATGATGTAAAGCTCTTTGCCAGCGACAAGTGGACGTATCGGTGGCTGAACCTGCTCTTGACTCGCTTCTCAAGGTTCTCGGAAACACCAATCCTTGTCGTTAAGCCCAGGACGGTGATGGGCGCCTTCCTTGACTGTGCAATGTCGAACAGATTGTATAGTAGAGTCTGGCGAGGATGTGAAGCAAAAAGGTCAAACTCATCCATGACGAAAATGACTGCTTTTGCAACTTCATCTGACTCCTCTCCAGCCAGTTCGGAAGGGTGAGATAGAAGTGCGAGCAGCTTAGCCAGAGTATCGGCATAGTTCTTCCCGGCGGCGTCTTCCTCTACATCCATCTCTTTTCCAAGCTGTCTCCAAATCTCACGCAGCGCGAGTTTGTCGTCCGTATGGACAAAGCCGTTCAGCCTGATAATGTGGAAATCCTGCCGCTGATCTCTGGACAGCTCATTCAACACCTGATTGACCAAGGCTGTTTTGCCACTTCCACGAGCTCCAATCATAAGCATGGAGTTCCCTTCTCCTGCACTGATAGTCTGCTCCACTAGTTGGTGGACCTTCTTGTATTCTTCTTCCAAGCCGACCAGCGGCACAGATTCCTTGCCGGTGATTTGGCCCAAGACTTTGGCCTTTAGCGAGGTCAACGCGTCTAGAGATGGCCCTGTGTCGGCCCCGGAAGGGCCTGTCGCCTTCTTTGATGTACTCTGCGACTTTGCAGACTGATTCCGCCGTTTTGAAACGGGAGGCACAATAGGGTCGGGCGTAAAATCATCAGCGTCGTCCTCGCTTGCTTTTTCTCCATTCTCGGCAAAGTCCAGTAAGCTTGCCTTCTCTTCTGTTGGCTTGGTAGCCGATGCCCGCAGTTTTGCTGGAGTCTTCGCCTTGCTGGCGGCTTTTTTGGCAGTCTGCGGCTCGTCATCCTGGCCCTCGCGACCATTTTCTGGGGCTTTTTTCGGTGTGCGTGTTTTCTTGATCGGCGTTTCTTGCTTCTTCCCCGCAGCTCTTGCTCTGCTGCTCCGCGACTCACCCGCCTCTTCTTTGTCTGGCCCAAGAGCAGCGCTGCCCGTCGGCACCGGCGCATTGCGACCGCGCCTCACAGGCTTCGGCGGGGCCTCATCCTTGACTTCCTGCTCGCTGTCCTCCGGGATGTTCTCCTTCTGCGAGTCACTCTGCGGCGCGGCCTTTGGTTTCGCTCGCGTCGTCTTCTTCGGTGGCGGTGCGCGTTTCGCGGCAGTTGCAGACTCGCTCTGCAGCTGCCTAGCCGGCGAGCCTCCAAATGCGCTATCGAAATCGTCGTAGATGCCTGGGTCGTCGAGGTCAGGAGCGTGGCCGTGTCGGCGGGCGAGTCTCGAGCTGGTGCGGCTGCCTTCGGTGGAAATCAGCCCAGCGCGGCGCGTTGGTCGCTTCAGAGTGCTTTTTGCAGGCGTGGGAGCGGACGGTGTGTTCTCGGTGGTCGAGATGGCGGCGGATGCATCGTCGTCGGGCGTGCTCAGCTTGCGCCGTTTTGCTGATCGGGAGCCGGAAGCCATTTTGGGGCGTTGCAACGGCCGATGGAGTTAGTAGGTTCGATTGGCCATGTTGCTCGCCGAAGGGAAAGGTGCGGCGATCGTGTCGGGTAGAGAAAGGGTCGCAGTTGTATGGTGCTTACGCGCGGGCGAGTCGAGGGCTGACGAGTTGCGCGCCGACCCTGGCGCCTCGACACGTGAGCATGTGAGACCGCGCCTACGCGCCGCGCCTTCCCATCTGGCATCAGCCCAGGTTTGTCGTACTTGGACATGTTTCTGGTCTCCTTTAGCTCTTTCATGATATTGACGTATATGACTTGTCTGCGGTGGTGAATGCCGCCAAGTCGTTGCCGGCCTCGCGTCTTTCAACCGCGTCATCGACCCTTGCCACCTCTGCCTGTGTCACTTCCCACAGCACGCTCCCGCCATGGCGAGGCTTCAGGCAGCCAGTGTTTCAACCCGCACGGTAAGACGGCCGCGCAAAAGAAAGGCCCCGGATGGAAGCGCGCCTGAAGAAGCGCAACTGCATGAGAGTGTCGAAACCGCGGCGGACGCCGCCCCCGCAACCACCTCCGCAACCACATCCGTTCCAACCAAGACGCACGATGGCGGGAAGAAGCCTCGACGCACCAAGAAGTCGGGCGCTGGCTCTTCCAACCCCACCCTGCGCAAAAAACCCTCCTCCGGCTTTGTCGAGTCCTCGATAGCATGGCCTGATCATTTTACGAAGCTCCAACAGGTTTATCGCGCGCTGACTCTAGTCTACACCTTCTGTTGCACCCGCAAGCATTTCGCCACCACTCTGGAGAACCTCAAGGCCACCGTCGAGGGCCATATTAAGCGGGAACTGCTGATTGATGACGTTGCTCAACTCAAGGCTCTTATGCCATCCGTCATCAACTTCCTTTACGTCGACGAAGCCATGCTTGAGATCAATCTGATGGGCGCAGAGGATAATATGGCTGGCAGGCGAGCCAATGAATTCCATCTCGCCGACCTCGAAGACCGGAGAAAAGCAGGGAACCAAAAGAGTGAGGTCCTGCTTTTTGAGTTCCTCGACGGAGATCTCAAGCGACAGGTGCAGCACAAGCAGACCGGAGAGCCGACCAGGGTCTCTCAGCCACTGCGTAGAGAGGACCTGAAGATGCCTGTTTACAGCCAAAAGCAAATGTTGAATTTGATCGAGAAGCGTAATGCAAAATTCACCTCCGCCGTCAATCAATGGCTCAACGACTGCGCCGAGTTGGAGCAAGACCCAGTGCAGAAACTCTTGGATGAGTATCTCGTCTACATTCCGACCCCGTCCGAGAGCAGAGCATCCACTCCAGGACTAAGCGGCCGGACAAGCAACCTGCCTTCTTCAATCCCTACGGAACGAGCGTCTATCCCGGAGATTGTAGAAGAGATCAAAAGGCTAGAGTGGTACACGAGCCAGATCGTTCCGGATGGCCACAGAGTGTTCGATCCACAAGAAGCTATATACGGCGACCTGAACTTCCAGCTCTCGCAGAACCTTGTTAATGCTCTGTATAACACGCGCGGTATCGAGCGGCTCTATGCTCACCAAGCCGAGGCCATCAATAATTTGTATCATGGCCACAACGTCATCGTATCAACCTCGACCAGTTCAGGCAAATCCTTGATTTACCAGATCCCAGTACTTCACGAGTTGGAAAAGGACCACCACACAAGAGCAATGTACATCTTTCCGACCAAGGCTTTAGCCCAGGACCAACGGCGGAGCTTGAAAGAGCTTCTGCGCTTCATGGACGGCCTGCAGGACGTCGTCGTTGAAACTTTTGATGGAGACACTCCTTTCACCTCCCGCAGCTACATCCGTGATGAGGCGCGCATCATCTTCACCAATCCGGACATGCTTCACATCACCATCCTTCCGCAGGAGGAGAAGTGGAGGACTTTTCTCCAGAACCTCAAATATGTCGTGGTCGACGAGCTGCATGTTTATAACGGTCTCTTCGGATCCCACGTCTCCTTCATCATGAGAAGACTACGGAGAATATGTGCAGCACTCGGTAACCACCACGTTAAATTTATCTCCTGCTCTGCTACCGTGTCAAATCCTGAGGAGCACATGAAGACCATCTTTGGTGTCGAAGAAGTAAAGCTTACCGACTTCGACGGCTCACCCTCGGGAAGGAAAGAGTTCATCTGCTGGAACACGCCCTACAAGGACCCGGGAGACCCTTCATCCGGGAGAGGTGACACCATGGCTGAGGCTGCGAAGCTGTTTTGCCAACTCATTCTGAGGGGTGTGAGAGTAATTGCTTTCTGTCGCGTCCGAAAACAATGTGAAGGTCTGATCAGTGCTGTCAAGACCGAGCTTAACACCCTCGAGAGGCCAGAGGTCATGAACAGGGTCATGGCATATCGCGGCGGCTATACTCCGCAAGACCGGAGACAGATCGAGAAAGAAATGTTCGACGGCAAACTCGTCGGTATTGTCGCCACCAGCGCCCTGGAATTGGGCGTAGACATCGGTTCACTCGATGCGGTCGTCACTGTCGGTTTCCCATACACAATCGCCAACCTGAGGCAACAAAGCGGTCGCGCCGGCCGCCGCAACAAGGATTCGCTGTCCGTCCTCGTGGGAGACTGCTTCCCCACCGACCAGCACTACATGCAAAACCCAGACGAGATCTTCACAAAGCCCAACGCGGAACTCCAAGTGGATCTGGAAAACATGCTTTGCCTGGAAGGCCACGTCCAATGCGCAGCGCACGAGATGCCCATCCGTCCCGAAGAAGACATCAAATACTTTAGCCACCTGCTCCCCAGCATCGCCACCGAGCGCATGCGCAAAGATGACCTCGGCTTCTTTCACTGCAACGAGCGCTTCCTCCCCCGTCCCTCGGCCCACGTCGCGATCCGCGACACGGAAGAAGAGCACTTCGCCATCATCGACACGACCAACAACGCCAACACAGTCCTAGAAGAGCTCGAGGCGTCGCGCGCCTTCTTCACCATCTACGAAGGCGGCATCTTCCTGCACCAAGGGCACAGCTACCTCGTCAAGGAGTTCTCGCAGGACGCCATGCTCGCCAAGGTCGAGCGCGTGCGCGTCGACTGGACGACGCAGCAGCGCGACTACACCGACGTCGACCCCATCGAGACGCACGCCATCCGGCGCATCCCGGGCTCGCGCTCGCGCGCCTTCCGCGGGCCCATCCGCATCACGCAGGTCGTCTTCGGCTTCTTCAAGCTCGACCGCCGCCGCCGCATCCTCGACGCCGTGGCCGTCGACAACCCGCCCATCGTGCTGCGCAGCGCCGGCATGTGGCTCGACGTGCCCCGCCGCGCCCTCGACATCCTCAAGCGGCGCCGCCTGCACGTCGGCGCCGCCATCCACGCCGCCGAGCACGCCGTCATGAGCCTCATGCCCAACTTCGTCGTCAGCCTGCCCGGCGACGTCCGCACCGAGTGCAAGAACGCGCTCAAGGAGTTTGCCAGCCGCGAGACGAGCCGCAAGCGCCCCGCGCGGCTGACGTTTTACGACGCCAAGGGCGGCGCTGGCGGGTGCGGCATCGCGGCCAAGGCGTTTGAGTTTGTCGATCTGTTGCTCCGGCAGGCGTGCGAGAGGGTGGCCGGGTGCCATTGCGAAGAGGGGTGCTTGGAGTGCTGTTGCGACGAGCGGTGCAAGGAGGCGAATGTGGTGATAGGCAAGGCTGGCGCCGAGGTCATATTGAAGAGCTTGCTGGACTGGGAGATTGATGTGGAGAGTTTGCCCATGGGGCCTGAGGAGGGGAGGGAGGTGGGCGTTGAGACGGTCGTGCAGGCGACGGAGGTGCGGCCTGCGAGGGGGAGGAGGGTGGAGGTTGTGGAGGTGAAGAGGGAGGATGGTGGGGGGATTGATAGGGTGGTTGTGGGGGAGGTTGGCCAGGACGATGACCAGGATGACGATGATGGTGATGGAGATGGGGGAAGGCCGGCGGGTGGGGTTGAGCTGGGTGAGGATGATGTTGTGGTGAAGGTCGAAGACGATGAGGGATGAAGGTTCAATTGATCAGTCATTCAGACGCGCTGTGTATTCCCCTGAATATGAACGGAACAGGATGTCATGTGGCCTAGTGTAGGTGTCAAAGCACATCGTAGTGTAAACACGTCTTGTTTCCGGAACAGAGGCAGAAGTTGCCCCCAGCATGGACAAAATGCGGATTGAGAGACCCCGGGGTATCCAATTTTCTTCGCGCAACCATGCCAACTCCCCACCTAGTCTCCGTCATCGTCACGAACATCACGACTGAATAGAAGCACGCATAGTCCGCCTCACCTCCTACATACTACTCCACAAACCGAAACTCGGAACCCTCCTCCTCGACCTCGAACACCAACTCGGCCGGATCCAGCCCCAGCACCCACCCATCGCCCACATCCGGCTTCGCATGGCCCCACAACGCCATCCCCTCATGCCAACACGACAACCGCTTCTCCCTCAGCCCGCCCTCGCCCTCGCCCTCCAAATCCCCCCAGCACCACCAAGTCGTCCCCACCCAGCCGTCGTGGAAACGGAACCGCCACTCCTCCCCCACCACATCCTCCTCCCTCAGCTTCCGCTCGTGCAAAAAGATGCGATCGACCGGCAAGTCGTGCGCCACCTCGACGCTCCCCTCGGCCGGGATCGTCAGCAGCCGGGTGCCCGGCTTCTCCTTCAAGTCCTGATCCGGCATCTCCGCCGCCCGCGCCTTCCGCACGATGAGGCCGCCGAGGTTGATGGCGCGTGGCTGCTGGCTGCCGGCGTCCGCTGTTGGCGCTGCTGTCGCGACGAGCGAGCCGCGTCTTTGGGCGAGCGGGTCGCTCCCGCGCGCGGTGGCGCAGCCCTCGAAGACGGTGCCGGTGGTGGCGATGGTGATGGCCTCGCCCGGGCGGGTGGTTTGCGCGATGCGCAGGGAGATGCGGATGGAGAAGTGTTGCGGCGGGGTGGCGCCGACGGAGAGGGTGGGCGAGGAGGCGGTGGCGCGGACGGCGATGACGGCTTTGCGCCGCTCCGGGGGGCATTTGCGCTTGACGAGGACCATGGTTTTGGTGGTGGTGGTGTTGTTGTTGGTGGGGGTGGGTAGGTAGATGAGCCGGGGGATCGCTGAGGTGGACGGAGGCGCCTGCTGTATGCGGGAGGAAGGAAGGCGCGCCTGCAGCGACGGGGATTTATAGCAACAACTGTGGCCTGACATAGGTACAGGGTCAGATTGACGTCAGCGATCCTCACTGCCTACCCCCACAGCAGCGCGGTGGATAGGTGCCTGTCTTCTACATACATGCATACATGCAGTCCCCGCGCCGCCCCCAATCGTAGGCTGCAGTGCTCAGCCTCATCCAACCCTTGAAATCCTAAGACAAACACTCATGTTTCCGCCCCATCAGCCCCAAGTCGGACTGCGACACGGAAACAATCTACTCGGTTCCTGGTTGTGGTTTCGGACACGGACTCCGCGATCCGCTCCAACTTGTTACATCAACCCCTGAGATCCGACGGCTGCGCAGTTGGTTTTGTATGGAATAATTCCATTCTGACCTATCATCTCGCCAGAATGCGCCTCGATGTCCTTGATTGTAGCACTTGCCACCCTGCATCCGGCTGAAGGATTCCGAGGGGGTCGTGGTGACCGTACGTACTACCTTCCCGTCACACTATTTTCAGCTACTCCTCGGAGACTGTATACGGTCGCGATGCTGAAGTATATAGAGCGGATCAAGGAAGCCATGGAGTAATCTACAGATAACTCAATCACTAGTATCAAACGGTAACAACAGCGAGCTTCCTCGTCACCCGATACTCTATCATTCAGGATGATTTCCCCTTTCACAATGACCGGTCTTTCGTGGGGACTGCTTTCCACCATGGCAGTGGTAAATGCTATGCCCTACAACGTTCTCCCTCGCGATGACAAGTCGTACGAGATCCTCGATTGTTCAGAGACCCAGCAGGGCATACTGAAGACGGCCTTTGAGGATGCTGCGGCTTTGGCCAAGATTGCAGACGACATTGATGATGACAGCACCGCGTAAGGCACTACATACCCCTAGACTTCTTTTGGTCCCAGCTAACCGCACATTCCCGAAAGCTTCACGCACTATCTCCGCACGGACGACAAGAAGGAAACGAAGAAGCTCTGGAAGGCGATCAGGAAGAACCAAGATGCCGGCGCTCCTTACAAGTTCAACGTCCGCTGTGCCAAGTCGTGCACCGGGGATGAGAAGGACAGGTAGGTGCCCGAAACGACCACCTTGCCGTGACTGGATCAGAGCTGACGATTGCGGGAACAGCCTGGCTATCGCCGACTCGACCAAGGTCGACGACGACGACACGCGCCGCGAGATCAAGATCTGCCCGCTCTTCTTCACGGACGACAGGACCAAGAACAACCTTGCGTCGAAGTCGTACGAGGTGGACAAGCGCGGCAGCTGGTGCCAGACGGGCCAGAAGTTCAAGGACTTCGAGACGGGTGGCCACACCATCCTCCACGAGATGACGCATCTCGATGTCGTCGGCAAGGAGGGCGACCTGCCCGAAAGGTTCGTTCTTGAGCGTTTGTGTGCTTGTTAGGCCGCGTGCTAATGATGATGCAGGACGCAAGATGGCTTCAGCTCGCACGGCACGGATGATGTGCAAGGCTACGGCGACGACTACACGTCGGCTGCCCGTGCCTTTTTGACCAGCTGGGTCAATGACAAGGACTCGATGGATGACAACGCTCTGAAGCCTTACCAGAACGCTGAGAACGTTGCTGCTGCTGCCACTGGTTAGTTTTTTCTTGCAATCCGGACCCGCCCCTTCCCATCGAGGGTGCTAATATGGCGTCACAGAATGGTGGTTCATCAAGAGCTGCAGTAACATCGACAACATCGAGCTCTGAGTCAGGACGGAACGCCGCTGGTAACGTGGTTTGAATTTGTTGGTATGGGCTTATGACTGGGATTCCAGTGCTGGCTAATGGCCTTATATTGTTTGACAAAATCTCTGTTTGTGTTCGGTGGGAAAGGAAAAGGGAGATGGAGTGAGATATTCGAGGCGTGTTTGGATGGAGCATTCATAGGTAAATTGCGTTGTTTGGGCAGCATCTAGATATTAGACTGGGTTGGTCGAATTACAACGGACATTCATTCATATGGCAAACTCCAAGCCAGGCATCTGATAGCTGAGACAGAAAGCCATGGGCCAGTGGACGCGGTGCCAGCAGTCATTCTGACGAAACATGGCGTTCGGTGGCAGGATCGTGCGTCGGGGCGCATTGTCGATACCCGGAGGGAACAGTTGCGGTCCAATCCCGCTGCTCTTTCGACGCCACTGTGTTGGCCGGCAGGGGTTTCCTTAGCGACCACAAAACAGAACGAATGAGGCCGAGCTGCAGACGGAGACAGAAGGCCACGGCTAGAGACGGAGTGTGTCTCAAATCCCTCTCGCGGACAGAGTCAACAAAAGCAAGTCAGTTGGTGGCGCTAAGCACTGCCGAAAAGAACAAGAGCTCGGTTCCGCGCCCAAATGTTTTTTCCCCGAGACCATTCGCTCAACAACACCTCCCGACTGCTTGGCGCCAGGCCTTGGCAGGCCGGGGTGGGGCGGAGGACACCTAAGTACATAATGACGGAGCATCCATGGCCCCGCCCGTCCTCGGCAGCTGTCTGAGCCGTGCCTTTCTCTACCGCGCGCTACCTGTTGGGATGGTGTGTATGACTTCTTCGTCCTTCAGCGCAGCAACCCTCGCTTTGCTCACAACCCCATCATGGGTCGCATTGTCGGACGCGGCCGGCGCTCCGTGGCCAATAGCTTTTAGTCCTGATGTGACGGTTGGCCCGGATGGGCCGTGGAACGTCATCGGTATGTATACCTGTGTTGCAGTCTTTACTGAATCCGCTTTGCTGACAGGAAAAAAGCATTCGACATGGACGACCCCGACCAGGTACCATACATGACTTGTGCTCCCTCGTTCGCCTTTTAACCGAAAAAGAACGATTAGACACAGTGGCTCCTCCCCTCCCTCTTGCGAACCTCCGTCATGGTGAACGCCAGCGTCTGCACCTCCCAATCATCCGACTGCCAGGACAGCGCTTCCTTCTCGCCCTCGGCCTGGCCCGACGAAGCGGGCGCCTACACGGCCGCCGTCATGGGCCTCGAGGGCTCGCTGCGCTACGTCTCTGACCGCGTCACCCTCAAGCACGACGGCCGGCCCTCTGAGACGCTCACCCGCATCGGCACCGCCGTGGCGGACAACGTGTCGGTGACGTATCCCGGCGGCGCGGCGTACACGCTGGACGTGGGCTACCTGTCGCTGTACGGAGGCGCCCCGACGCTCGACTGGACGGCGGCGGATGGCGAGACGCCCGTGTCGCAGAGTCTGACGCTGCCGCTCGCCTACACCAAGGGCCTCATCCCCAGCATCAGCTACGGCCTGCACCTCGGCTCCGCCGCCCACCGCCTCCCGGGCAGCCTGTACTGGGGCGGCTACGACCAGGCCCGCGTCATCGGCGAGCCCGTGGCCGCCAGTGACGCTGCCACCGGCGGCTTTTTCGACCTCGTCGACGTCTCGCTGGGCGTGGCGGCCGGCGCGAGCGCGCTGCTCAACGCTTCTTCAACCCCGCTGACCGGCCTCCTCGACACCAGCGGCACCGACGCCGCCTCCTCCTCCTCCTCCTCCCTCGCCGCCCGCGCCGACCCGGGCGTCCCGTACCTCTACCTCCCCGGCGCCACCTGCGCCTCCATCGCCGCCCATCTGCCCCTCACCTTCTCCCCGGACTACGGCCTCTACCTCTGGGACACGTCCGCGCCCTCGTACCCGCGCCTCACCACCTCCCCCCACCACCTCTCCTTCACCTTCTCCTCTCCCTCTTCTTCCAACAACACCACCACCACCACCATCGCCGTCCCCCTCACCCTCCTCAATCTCACCCTCACCTCCCGCATCACCTCCTCCGGCCCGACGACCTACTTCCCCTGCCGCCCTTACGCCACCACCGCCGATTCCACCACCGATCCCACCGACTCCACCCTTCAACACCAACACCAACACCAACAGCCCCACCAACAGCCCCACCACCACCACCCCCACCCCGCCGCCATCCTCGGCCGCGCCTTCCTGCAAGCCGCGTTCCTGGCCCAAAACTGGCAGACGGGCACGACGTGGCTGGCGCAGGCGCCGGGGCCCGCGGGGATGGTGGCGGTGCCAGTGGTGAAGGAGATGGCGGATCGGGGGGATGATGCGGCGGCGGCGGGGGATGCGGGGTTGCCGGTGTACTCGCGGAAGGGGGGTGGGGCGACGGGGTCGGGGTGGGTGGGGACGTGGGAGGGGGTGTTGAGGGCGTTGGGTGAGGATGAGGGGGAGGGGGCGGGGGCGGGGGCGGTGACGACGAGGTCGACGGGGTGGGAGGAGGGGGAGGGGAATAAGGAGGGGGATGAGGAGGAGGAGGAGGAGGAGGAGGAGGAGGAAGAGGAGGAAGAGGGACTATCAGTCGGGGCGAAGGCGGGAGTGGGGGTGGGAGCGGCGGTGGTGGTTGTGGGCGTCGTGGTGGGAGTGGTGTGGTGGATGAGGAGGGGGAGTGGGAAGAGGGAGGACGAGGAGGAGGATGATGGTGGGGCGGCAGCGGCGGAAATGGGCGTGGGGCGGCGGCGGCGGCGGCGGCGGCGGCAGCCGCTGTGGGTGGGTAGTGAGGAGTTGGAGGAACACGAGTTCGTGGAGATGGGCGGCGGCGGCGGCGGCGGCGGCCCGCGGAAAGAGGAGGCGAGGCAGCTGGAGAGAGCTATCGTGGCCTGAGCGAGCGGGATGCGGTGCCGCGCGCCGTGAAGAAGCCGGCGTCAGACTTTTTGAAAGAGTGGTGGTGTGGGGCGAGCACGTCGAAGAAGGGCACGATCAGAAGGACACCGGACCGCAGAATCGACGCTGGTTGGTGTCGTATCCGGCTCTCATGCTTTTGAGGAATTTACCGATGGTGACACCGACCCTGGGGATGTTGAAGATGCTGGTCAGCAATTTGCGGTCCTCCTCGTCCTGGCTGCCTGCATTAGAGAAGACGGTCAGAGCTATGCCAATGGGAAATGACGCCGCATGCGTCCCGAAGATTCCTGCGTCGGGCCTGAAGAAGTAAGACGCCGAACGAGCAATCTTCCGAGCATACACTCGTGGGTCGGTCCGAGCTGGGAGAGCGTCCGGCCGCGACGACGACGCGTTGGCGGATTGGAGGGTACTGAATAGCATGATGCAGGCCGCCCAGTAGATGTAGACGATCTGCCCAGCCGCAAGGTCCCCCAATTTCTCTACATGAACGAGCCTGTCCAAGTTCAAGCCGAGGACAAGCCGCATGTTCACAGCCCATTCGGAGAGGCGTCTGTCCGCATCCCAGCACTCCCGGATAAGCGCTTCCCGGAGAATCTCTTTGGTGTCTTCATCATGATCACCTTCGATCAGGTCGTTGAGCTTCTCCATGAGGGTTGGGATATCTACCATGATGTCGAGAAGGGCGTCCTTTGGTGTTTTCGGGATGGCCTGCCAGGGGATTTCTTTCCATTCCGGGTTGCTGAACATGGTTTTCTTCCTGGACCGCGCGGCTTGGATCATCTGGGAACAATGAGCTCCGCGCCGGTGAGGCTTCTGATAGGCCACTCACCATGTTGAAGCGGCCGTCGACAAAAAGAGCATGGGCGTTTCCGTGCACGTGTGCATGTGGACCTCTTGCTGCAACGAGAAGCTGTTCGCCCTTGACATGGCTGCCCCAGCTGCGGGCTTGTGCGAAATCGTCTTTGTCATCTGCACCGAAGAGGATCTATCAAAGTTCAACGAGACTGCGGTGCGTCGCGGCTGAGAAGGGAGAACATACCTCAAACAGGCCCATGAGTTTTGAAGCGGCGACGAGCTCGTCTCTCGGTGCTCTCGCAGGGATTTGCAGAGCTTGAGACATCTCCCTCAAGGCTGCACCGTGAGAAGCGTAGCCCTGGCTCAGCATCCAGGCATCATCGCGTTGGCGACCGATGACGGCCAAGCTCATGGCAAGCAGGGCATGCTTGAGAGAGGGTTCGCGATGGTATATCGAGTCGACGATGCGCAGCCAGGCGCCGGTGGTCAACTGGGCACTGGCGGCAGTAAACGGCATCCCTTGCGGCAAGTAAGCCTCCCAAAATAGACCGAGCGACTTGAGCTCGTAAGCGGTGCGCGTGAGTGCATCGGGCAGAAGGATCTCGACAGACTGCACAGGGGGTGCGACGGCGGAGCAACGAGTCGGAGGAGCAACGGCGGCCAGGGTTGACGGCTGAGCGGCCGTGTGGTTGATGAAGATGCGCTGCCTGTCGTAGCCTCCGCACTGCAGGCCCGACTTGAGGCACTGCCCGCAGGCCGGGCGTTGGAGATCACACTGCCGGATGGCGTTAGCTTTGCGCGCCGTGGGGGAAGGACAAGCACTGACTCCCTTCTTGCGCCGCCTGCATGTTGCGCATCCCTTGGATCTCCCGGGGACCCCGACCATCGTGGTGCTGCGCAGATTGCGTCTTGTTCGGGAAAGGATGAGGAGGGGAGCTGTCAGTGTCATGCGACCTGAACGCCTCCCGCCTTGGTAATTCCCCCGCTTTGGAATGGCGCCTGATCCTTCAACACCAGCCACTATACTGCCAGTACTGCTGCTTTCCACGCCGACTTTCTGCTTATTCCGCGTGTATCGAGAGCGACATGGTCCGCGCTGCACGACATAGATGCCTTGTATGTTTTTCCGGCAGGGAGCCTGTAACTGCGCCCCCAAAATCAATGACGACACGGTTCTGCGGTGCTTACGCCCAGCAATGGCTCCCACGCACGTGCCGAGCTATGCGGCATCGAGACGCATTCTGCGCCCGTACCTTCTTGTCACGTGTCGTGTCGTGTCGTGTCGGAGGGCAGGTCGAGGGAGATGCACGCGGGGACTTCGGCAGCGTTCGGAAGTGGTGGGGATGGTTTGATGATTGATTATGTGAGTCGTGACACGTGATGTGTACAGATATGGAGAATGGTCCAAATCGACGATTTCCCTACTGAGCCCCCCAACTTCCATCGCTTGAGAGCAAGCCTTTAGACCATGCTCGGGTGCGCATTCTTGTCCTTCAACGCATATTTGAAAAATTTGTAGATGCCAATGATGAGTGCCATTCCGACGACAAAGATGAGGAACAAAAGAAGCATCTCGCCGACTTGTTCCATCGTAGCAAGCGTGAGGTCTACGCAAGCCATCGTTAGCGGAGGCTGGGTATGTGAAAGAGTGGTCTACATACGAATGACGGAGATGTGATTGCTATGAAAATCGTAAAGTGGACTCGACTGGAGTAGAGGACTATGTCTTTCCGCGTGCGGTTAGGGGGAAAAGACGCAGGAGCGAGGAGCCGAGAGGTTGATGAGGATGTAGAAAGGAGCGTAGGAGGCCGTCTATTATGGGTATTATAAGGAAGGAAGTGAATGATGGGCCAAAGAATTAGATGATTCCAAAACCGGACTGCAGCGCATCGTTTATGTACCTTTCTCTCTGCCGCTCTATCACCGACTTTGGAATCATGAGACGACATGTGGATACGGTGGCGGCAGAAGCCGAATGCCACTGGTGTGAGCTCAACGCAGGAATGCGTGAAGCGCGAAGACGTGGAGGCGCAGATGGCGGAGCGTGAAGCGCAAAGCGCAAAGCGCAGAGCGCAAAGCGTATAGCGCAAAGCGGAAACCGCTAAGCGCCGACGACGCACGGTGGTGGAACTCCCGTTTTGGCGCAAGAGAGCAACAGATGTTGATTTGGAAGTCGTGGTCCCAGTCTGATAACCCAGGTGGATGCATTACCCCTGGTGTAGCGCCTCGCTATTCGACCTCTCTACATACTAGTGTAGCCACGGAGCTCAGACCGTAGGGCTGCAAACCTACAACAATCCTGCGACCCCAGCCACCGCCACAGTTATTTTTAAACCATGGCCGTTATCGCCAACTGTCCCTATACACTGCTCGCTAAATCTCTCACCACGCTTCTCCCATCCGCATCGAGTGATGCGCGAACTCCTGTTACGCTGAAGTGTTCTTTCCATGTCCGGAACGAAGCAAGAATGCCTCCGACCAGCACAGCAAGCAAAACCACTGCCAACCGTCCCCTTCTAACAAATCTCACCTCTTTTTTTTTAGATCTCGTATCTGGGCTCCTCCGCGACACTGTGGTAATTTCCTTTCAGGGCGGAAGCCATCCCGTCCGCTCCATCGGCCACCGAATGCACGGCCTCCTCCCCACCGATAACGCGTCCCAGATGCCGGCCATGAGGTGATTCACCCAGCCGTCCAGCACCCACCACCCCGAAAGCTCGTTGAGTAGCGCTACAAAGTACGCGAAGACGACGAGCGCCATCGGCTCGCGCTGCTGGATGCACGGAATGAAGTCTTGCGGGATGTTCAGGGCCCAAACGAAGATGTTGAACTCGCCGCCGTGGTTCCCGCCCAACATGATGGAGAAACAGCGAGAGAGATTGTCGATGGCTGCTCTGTATGTGGCGTGCTTGGCCTTGTCGGTCCCAAGCACGCCTTCACAGAGGCTGCGCAGTTCGGCCACGGGCTCCGGGTCGATGGACTCCTCTGTCGAGGCGAAGAATCGACGTGTCTTCGTGGTGCCGTTTTCAATCATCTCTGCGAGAGGCCCTCTTCGCATCGCGTCAATGCCCAAAACCATGAAGGAGTGATATCCTTTGTAGTATATGAGCCACTCTGGCGGCTCGTGTCCCGGCTCGCTGAAGGCCAGAAAGTCGCCGGCGTTCGGTCCTTTCGCGAGCTTGTACATGCAAGAAAGCATGGAGAAGACGAAGAAGGCATGGTATCCATCGTTGCTGACTTGAGGAATCTGCGATGTAGCCATTGCAAAGCCTTGGTTCCAGTGACGTTCGGATTCCAGCCTGTAGGATTGTTCACGGCCGCGCTTGAAACGAGCAAGGTGTGTGGCGGACAAGGCCAGAATGGTGTGGAGCACGAAAGGGTAAGCGAATCCGATTTCCGGGAGGGTAACTCGGCAAAAGGGAAGTACCGTGTCTATTCTCGAGATGTAGCTTGAGATGGAAGGCGCCGTTGAATTCTGCCAAGCATGCAGGAGTTCCAAATCGGTAAGGTTCAGCGTGGAGGAGCCGGAGGGGGCGCTAGGTGATAGGCTCTGGTGAGCGATAGCATCTATATCCTGCCCAGCTGATGGCTCCGACCGGCTCGGCCCTGCCAAAAGAGACGGCGATGGTGATGGTAATTGCTGACATGCCGCTTCGGCAACTTCGGCAACTCGGGTGTTTTCCTCAGCTATAGATGCGTCTTCTCGCGGTTGGACGGCAGTCCCGTGGTGTTTGTACTGGCAGGGGATGCTCCGTCTGACGCAGTTAGCGCACTCGGGTTTCCTCTCGTCACACTTGGAAAGAACCAGTTAGTTCATGCTTCTCCTGCGCAAGTGGTCTGATCGGAAGCGGGGCGTATACCAAACGGGAAAGCATCGTGGACTCGATTAGGGGGAAAAGATCAAAGCACGCACCTACCTTTATCTTGCGCCGCCTGCAAAACGCACATCCCGTGTGTGACTTCCGATGCGTTCTACGTAAGGCCTTGCCATTATTCAAGTCACTGGCAGACATCTTGTTGTCCCAAAATGTTCTCCTCCACGCTGAGTCCGGATGCGTCGTCAATCAATGGGGGGTTTTCTTGAGAGGAAGCCCCACTGCCGACGCGAAGGAAGAGGTGGCGGCACGACGACGCGTCGCTCTACTTACGCTATAAATAGCTGAGATAAGCGCCCACTGCAGATCACGTGAAAACGGAATATCTTCAAACTTTTTGCAGAGAGGGACTCCTGGATCCTCTGACATTCCAGGACTTTAGCATTGAGCAACTGGAAAGGAAATCACGACTGAAGATGTGCGTGGCAAAAAAAAGATGCCCGGCGATGACGTGGTCCTCATCGAACCAATCATGGCCAGTATATGGTTTTATTGTTACTGTTTTGATTTCGTCTTGCCCCTATGCCTACATCAATTTTTCCCAGTGAATAACGGAAGAAAACATGAAAAGTACCCTGATATATATGTACCTTCTCGCCGTCCCATCGTTGCATGCCAACGCATCAAATGTATGTACTCAGAAGTACGCAAATCCCTACGGCTTGACTTGCCAGTCAAAGTGGGCATCAGGGAGTCCAAGCGATCCGTCCGTCGCCCCAATGAGATCAGGATAATGATTAAAGTCCGGCTGTAATACAAGTCCGTTGCTCTCTCCGAATTCAGTCATCCACATACCTGTTCCTGCCAACCAATCGAGGGATGCTATAGCATTTGGCTGATGTGTCGGAACGCTCCAAGGTGATGAAGTGATATTCGACGTGTTACAGGTAGGCCAACTGATGGTCGAGCTTGTGCCACTGTCCATGACCCCATAGTTCCGGGACGCGTGAGTATCGTATCCGCTTGTGTCCATGGAATGTACTAGCCAGGGATTCATTTCGAGCGGGTGGATGGCTTCATTTGTTTGTGAGAGGCTCCTTTGGTCAAGGGTCGAGATGTTTGAAAAAGAAGGTGATGCGCTCAATGCATCTTGCAGTTCTCGGAAGTCCAGGCCGTCGTTTGATTCCAGGTCGGCCACTTGCGATGATCGTTCGAGCTTTCGCCTGTAGCGTATGATGGTAACGTATCTACTCAGGTCAGAAGATTGGCGTGCGGAGGTAGATTTACTCCGTACCTGTTTTTGATGTCCGTTGTCGACCTGGTCGGCAAGAAATGCTCAGATATAACCCTCCAGGATTTGCCGTACTGCGTCACCCCTAAGAGCAAGGCATCGTCCTCCTCTGGCCGCCATACGCTCCTGTCGATGGATGGATCAATAGCGTAGCGCCATCTCTTCGCACATTGGTCTGCGCTGCGGGTTTTGACTATGCGTGATACCTCGATCCACCGTGGGGGACGTCAGACACGGCGATTAACCACGTGTGATGAGCCGAGACATACCTGAGCCCATGCATCCTCACTGCCTCTTTCAGCAGCTCATCTTCGGAAAAGCACCATGGTCCTTTGGCGAGGCATACACGGATTTTGTTCCAGCGCTTCCGACAGTCTTTATTGGAGCGGCCAGGCAGTTTCCTGGCGATTGTCTTCCAGTCCGACGGACCCCCATGGCTCTCTATGTGCATGGTCAGCAGTGGTCTCGAGGGCTTGGGTCATACGGCAACTCACTCTGTAAGTCAGCTTCCTTGTGCAATACTCGATCTTCGTCGTCGGTCCACTTCCTCCGTGCTTTGGGGGGCTGCGCATATAGATGTTGTGTTGAAATCATGTTAAAGGTAAGATGTGTTCTACAAAAAAGAGGAGTCAGTAGCATCCATATACTCAGCCCTTCCTGTTCGGTTACACGCTGGAAGCTAATGCATGCCATAACGTCTCGGCGTGGGATCAAGGGTGAGACAGCTCGCGAAGGCACGACAACAACAACAGTAGCGCGACCATACGACGCCGTCGTGGCAATCACAGGCTGTTCTTTTACGAGCCTGGTCAGACGGTGCAGAGCATGAACGCCCGCCTTCCTGAGGTAGAGTGCTGGCCAATCAGAGGTACTGGAACGGGCTCGGCTCATCACATCTCTGGTTTGCCTTGTGCCACTGAGGCTTGTGGGTGTCAAGGCCGAGCCAGCCGCCTACTTTGAGTGCCGTTGCCTTACGGTGCTCACCGGAAACGGAAGTGTGGAGCACGGCGTGCCCACACGGTTGACTAAGCCTCACCAGCGCACCCAATATGCAGACGGCCGTGAAGCTTATCGTGCTGCAGTAGATCGCCTGGAACGCCCCCACCCTGTGGATGAGGCTCTGTCCTCGTGATGTTGTTTGCTTTTTCTCGCGTAAGGAATCACAGCAGCGTGTGGCAGTCCGAGTTTTCCATCACTGTGATGTGACCGGGTCCCCCATGGAAAAGAAAACTGAGCCCGAACGTCTCTTTGTTCTTTATGCACGCGCCGAATACGTGCAGTGCTGCAGCATACCCCGGCCGGGAACGAGAAAGGCACTGCTCTTATCGTTTCTCTGACGTAAGACGAGAAGTCGGACTCGACATGCGGCTCCGCCCTAGGCTCCATGGAAACTAAGCAGGCATTTTGCAGACCCTAATCGCAATCAAATAGCTGCAGTAGATGCGTCTTATATAGACCCTTACGCTTAATTCTCGCCAATCTACTCGGGATCGCCCTTATATCTTGCACATGCTCCAGCGGCTCAAGCTTCCAAGCATTGAAACAAGGCAGAAACAACAGCACTTGGCTGCGAAAACCGTCGCACATGATTGTTCGGAGAGCGCCGTCGAGCTGGACCGTCGCACAAACTCTCCTTCGGTCTCGGGAGCGCAACCGCTTCAGGGTTCAGCTCCTAACGCGAGCTTTGCAAGGCCGCGCTGAGGCTGAAAGCATGTGTCCCGATCGTTCTCGTTCCACGTCCAGGCACGATTGCTGCCGCCGGTTGGTCGGTGACGCGACCCCCGTCTTACGCAGCCTTGCTAGGATTTCGATCCAACCCAGGGCTGGACAAGCGACGAAGTCACGCCATTCGCAGCAGAAGGAGGTGGTACAGCTGCCCTGAAGTAAGAAGTGCTCGGCGAAGATGCGCCTGTTAGTGATCAGTCCACCTTGGAACAAGGATATGGTCTAACTTGAGCCTCAAAGGGTCCAGGTCCAGATCTTTGGTGAGATTTTGGGCGTAGATGCGTGATGCAGTGGCTCGGGCATTGGGACTGTTCTTAGGGTTGCGTCTGGCTGAGAGATTGCGATGTTGCAGTAGCCGCATCGGGGGAATGATTCATTCTGATTGTAGGGCTCAGTTGCTGGTGCATGAAAACGGGGCCCGTCCTTCACTTGGTTCTATGTGCACTTGTGTCATTCATGGCTTTCCGATTCCTGTCGAGAATGGTGTCTTCTTGCCTTCCTCATGCTCGATGCACGCACAATGGGTCCCAGCTTGACGTCCGCTCTATACAGCCGGTGCAGCTGTTAACAATCCGTGCCCACCACGACCAGCGGTGCCATGACAGAATCGCTTCATCTGCCGATGCAGCTGCGGATCGCGACACGGAAGCATTTAAGGCCTCCGGTGGGGATTGTCTTGGCCTCTTGTTTTGCAGAGGCCTCGGGCCGTGCTCGATTTCCAGATGATGTACACGCTTGTGCAAGCGTGTTACGCGTCCGGTGCAAGCGGTAAGCTGCATAAGTCGAGGTTGCAATTGTGAAGCAAGCGGTTGGACGGCATACTGACCGACTCTCGCACGCTTAGGAAGCATGGTGCTCGGAACGGGGGAGGACTGTGCCCCTACCCCGACAATTCGGTAAGCCGAGTCGACCAGCACTTGCGGTTCCTGAGGATCAGAAACACAGAGAAACGGATTCACGCTAGGCTTGGGCTGGGGTACCGTTCTGGAATTCTTCTGGCAGCAGACAGCAGTCGTGGTGCCATTCAGTGTGGCTATGCGATTTGGGACTCTCTCACACCACCAAGACCCCTTTTGATGGATCAGCGATTATGGATCATCACAGCGATCAACAGGTAGCAAGAAATGGCTGGAGCGATGGCTGCACCTCAATCACTCGGACATGGGAGCCTACGCACGAAGTTGGCGACGGAGGTCCGGAGACCAAGTGTATGGACCAAGAGGAGTTAGCTTGCAGTCGGGCTGGAGCAACCCCGTCATCTTTTTCGTCTTGCCAGGCACAGCACACGCAATAGCGACTATTGGCGGCGCGGATCGACTGCTGCAACAGGAGGCACGGCCTCTCTGGCCATGGGGACGCGTTGACCCATGATGAGCGTGGATGGCACGGAGGGGCCGGGTGGAAGGATTCGGCTGTCGGCCATGTGGCACTGGCAGCAGGAACCAGGAACAGGGGAGAAGTTGGAGAAATTGCCAAACGGTAGCGCGCTCCTTCGGGCAGGCCGCAGGCGCAGGGTCGAGGCATGTCGCGAGCTTGGCAGGAACCACAGAAGCACTTTTGCCGAAAGATGTTATGCGGTGAGGGTGGAGAAGGCGTCAGGAGATCATGACTAGCCACGGGCCCCATCGAGGCAGGTACACTGCGGACAGAGCAGGAGCGGCTGCAATAGGTACCAGTCATTAAACTTCTTACGGGGGCGGCGCGCCAATCAGAAAATCTCCCGACGCATCACTGACGGGGCAAATTGCTGGGGATCCACAGCACCGCAGTTTTGCTTTTGGCTGGCGACTGGAGATGGGTCCGCGTCTCGTCGAGTGCAACAGCAGGCCGATGCATGCCGTCTATCGGGCCGCCGCAGTGCTGGGCTGTCGGGTGCAGGGCAGGCGGCCAGGGCTGGCATCCTCACATCCTGGAGGATCTCGGATGGACGTTGGTCGATGGGCGATCTACGAAACATGTCGATGTGCGGCGTGCTGTGTGCTGTGTAGGTGGCAGGGTGGCAGGCAGGTAGGGTGCGGCGCGGGTCGCGGCTTGGCAGGAGCTCTCGCGGAACATGGACGCCATGCAGGCCGTGGCAGCTGCGACTCGCTGGTGCAACGCCGGGCGAGTGGGGCGCTTCCCTTGCGCTTCCCTTGCGCTTCCCTTACTCATCCGCGGCGGCGGACGGACCCGCCGGGCCTTCGCCGATCTTTCCACAGCCGGAACTCGTTGCCGCCACTGCCAGGGGTGCTGCCGCGCCGGCTGGCAACCATTTGCCCCCACCTGCCGTCCGCCACTCCCGCCTCCCCCGTGCCCGCTACGCCCGCTGCGCCCGCCTCCCCCCGCCGGCCGCGTCGTGCGCTCCCGCGCGGCGGGTGGCTGCTCGGTCGAAAACGCCGGCTCTCAGCCAAGCGAGGTTTCAGCACGAACGCGTCATTTACAATCGCCATGTGCTGGCGAGTGCCGCAAACCGCTGTTGGTCCGGCGCCAGCCTTCCAATCTGCAGGGAAGATCAACGGCGCCCATGCAGCCTCGACAATGTGCCTGGTATACCCCAGCTGACGCCCAGCCTGCGTCCCAGCTGCTCGGCGTTGACATGCACGGCTACCTGTCCCCCGGCGCCCACCCAGATTAAGTACCTGTTCGACCCGGGTCCACGAAACTCTGAATATATTCCGGCATTTCTTCCATCGGCGTCTGCAAGGGAACTCTCACTGACGCCATGACGCTTCCCATCCAGCAGAAGGGTCCCCAGGTCCTGGCCGTCCTGTGGATCGAAACTTTCCTGGCTGCCACCGTCATCTCCCTGCGGTACTGGACGAGGAGCAAGATCGGAGGCCAGGTCGGCTGGGACGATTGGCTGCTGGTCCTCACTTGGGTGCGTCTTGATGCCTGCCGCTGACCCTGCCCGCCGCTGACCTCTGCTCTGCCCAGCTGCTCATGTTTGCCTTCTCCATCATCTGCACCGTTTCCGCCCAGCATGGCCTCGGCATCCACATGGCAGACATCACCCCGCTCACCGAGTTTTCCATCGCCATGAAGGCCTTTCTCATCGGCCAGTCCGTCATCTCCGTCGCCATGGGCACCAGCAAGTGCGCCGTCGCCGTCTTCTTGATCCGCATTCTCAACAAGACTTGGTACCACTCTCTCTGCTCTCCCGCCCGTCTCCCAGCTGACCCCCGCCCCCAGGCATTACGTTCTTCTCTGGTTCTGGATCGTCACCATCATGGCCGTCAGCTTCCTCCTCGCCATCTCCGTCTTTGCCCAAGTCACGCCGGTAGAAGCCCTCTGGAACCCGTCAGTCAAGGGCGAGTACCACTTGAGCCTCACCGTCATTGCGACCATCGTCTGCGTCTGGTCCGCCGCCATGGACTTCTTCCTCGCAATCTTCCCGTGGATGGTCCTCTGGCAGCTCAACATGCGGAAGAAGGAGAAAACCACCATCTGCATTTCCTTGTCGCTTGGCGTCATTGCCGGCGTCTGTGGCATCGTGCGCACCACGACTCTGAACGCCCTGTCGAACTCGGCCGACTATCTCTGTATGTCCATCGCCCCCCACCATCGCTGATGACGGATGCTAACGAATCAGACGCTTGCTCCGACAGCGTGTGCTGGACCTTTTCCGAGCTGACCTTGACCATCATCTGCGTCACCATGCCCGCCCTCCGCCCCCTCTGGAAACGCGTCACCGGCCAGAGCTCGTCGGGCTACGGCAACTACTACAAGCACTCGCAGTCCAAGGCCGGATTCGCTTCGAGCGGATTCGCCTCGAGATCTGCCGATCACGGCGACATCAACCTCGATTACATGCCCGGCTCGTCCCAGAAAGCGGCATACCCCACTTACACGTCGGGCGCCGGAAAGGCGTCGGTCCACACGGACGCAGACAGCGACAGAAGCATCCTGGAGAACGGAAAGGGGAGCAACGAAGGCATTCAGCGAGTCCAGGAGATCAACGTCACATACGACGACATTTCCGACACGAGCGTGCATGTGCAGCAGAGTGCTTACCAAACACACGCGAGATAGCATCTGGGCTCTCGCTCTCTCCTGGTCTTGGCGGAAAGGCTCACATTGGCGCCGTTTAATTCACGACCTTTTCTTTTGTCCATCTTCTTGTCATTATTCAAAGCTCTTGTATACCCAACCTTCAGATTTCAGCCGCACATCCAATGGTGTTTTTACCCTTTCAAGCAATATTTATTTTTATAACCAAAATGGAAAATGTCGAGTCATGGTAAGTACACACACTGCATGCCACCCGGCCAGGATCGTCTCTTCTTGCTACTCACGTACCAATATTGGGCGCACGAGCGCCCCAAGACACGATTGATAGCTGCGGTTGTTGAAAAAGATCAGGTCAGAGTGGACTATGCGTCGCGCGTTTTGAGCAGCAGACGTAGCGGAATGCGTTAGCGATCAGCACTCGGGCGCAGATGCACCTCCCTAACTCTTCTACCGATCGTCCGAGGACAGCGCAGTCCGGTCGTCGATCACCGTTGCGATCACCGCTCGCTTACGGACGACTGACTCTTGACTTCGTGCGAACGTGTATACTGCGCACCCGCGCGCCTTTTTTACTCGCTTCGCGGCTGCTTCGCGGCTGCTTTGCGGCGTAGGTACCCTTTGCTCCTTGCTGCATATGCGGGCCTGCTCGGCCCGTTCGGCTATGCGCGTTAGAACCTAAGTAGCGACCCATATGTGCGGCCTCCCACTAGGCATGGGAAGGCAGGCAGGCAGGATTCCAAATCACCAGAAGGGGGAGGGGTGGGAGATGTGACGCGGCGCGCGAGGGAAGCATTAAAGAGGGGATTACCTGATGCAGTACTACGGCGACAACTCCTGGTCGGCTTTGTAGCCGCCGCCGTCCGTCGCTCGCGAAAGCCGAAAACGGCCATGTCCGCAGGATGTGCTTGATGTCTGTCCATGGCCGAGGGACAAGAGAAACGCGGCTTGACGCGAGCAGGGGTGTGGAAACGGCGGTGCCATGTGGGAAGCTCATGCATGGCTCATGCTGTTGTGAAAGAGTGTGCTGCCGCGAGCGCGCCCCCCCCTTATCCTCAGGTCGTCCTGCAGGATCGATCATCGCGTGGCGAGAGGGTGGATGGGATTGACTCGTGCATCTAGGGGATGCCCGTTGTGCAGAACCACGGAGCGCTATAGATCCTCTGGTGCTGCCCTAACAAGTATAAGGCCGAAGGAATATTTGGGGAGCATAGGTACATAACAATTTCGCCGCCCTGCTATTGTGGAGCGGAGGAACTACTACGCACGCCTGCCAGCTGTCAAGCATTTTCCGGCCCCCAACTGGCGTGAGCTTGGTGCCGGGAAGGATTCGGCTTCCCAGCATCAACCAGCCCGCATCCACCCGGACGGCCTGGCTCAGCGTTCTGCTGTTGGCAGGGAAAACAGCTATGCTGCTGAAGCCGCGGGTCGACACGCCTGGGGATGATCGGCGGAGGAGTCGAAAGGTCGTGGCCGGGAGCAATCCTTGGGGCTTCGGGGTCGCCGTCGAGCCAGTCCGTCGTTCGACGCGCACACCGCCGAACAAGGCGGTGGAAAAGCCGGTGGAAAAAGCAAGATGCAGCATCGACTGATGAAATGACAAAGGGTGCATGACGACCGGGCCTCAAAGCGGCAGGGAAGCGGACTGCAGCTGCGGCAGCCTGAGGTTCTGGCCGCTTGGGTTGCAGGGGCCCCGGTCGCTCTATCCCGCCCTCTTGGCATCGGCACGGGATGCCTGCACATGAAACTCGAGGGGGGGGGCCCACCCGGGTTATGAAATGGGCATCGTGCGCGTCCCGAACGGGCGAACGCCTGCCAAGCCGGCGTATCAAACCGCCAGCTCCACCCTGCCCTGCCGACTACTGCATGGTCAGTCACACCCCGGCCCGCCGTCAGATTGTTTCTCGAGAAGCCGCAGCCGCGCGTGGGGATGCTCGCTTGCGCCAGGCCATCAGGCAAGAACGGCAGTGCATCTAGCCCGATCCAGCTGCGCGGTGGGGGCCCATTCCTACATGCAGCTCGCCCACCATCCGCGCCGCAACCTAGCCGAATGAGATGAAGATTAGAGATGATGCCTCAGCATCCGACAACCATCGCCGGCCTGTTCCTCTTTCGCCACGAGTAATGGGCCTGCAGAGCCACGCGTGCGTGGCGACTTCGCCGCTTCCCTCGCGCCGTGGTTTGGGTCTGGCATTATTGCCCGATATCTAATGACCTTCCCCGCCAGATTCTTCATACCTGCCGCCTGACTCTTCTTCTTCTCGGTTGCACTCTAGCAGACTTCTCTCCCTCCCTCTCTCTCTTTGCCAGCTCCCGGCCCAATCCATCAGTGTCTTGCTGAGCCCTTCAGTCACTTCAACCACAATGGGCGCGGATCCTGCTGTAGAGGCCATTGTCGGCCGTGGCCACACGAGTGCCATGAGCTATGCTGTATGCCCGCCCCTGGTGCCTTTTCTCCCCGCTCGTGCCGACCTGACTCTCGCAGACCATCGCCCTCGCCGGTCTTGGTGGCTTCATCTACGGATATGCCGCCAACATCCTGACGGGCACCCTGGCACAGCCAACCTTCCTGGCCAAGTTCCTGTCCACCCCGGATGCCATTGAGCGCACCAATGGCATGGTTGGAGGGTCAGTCCCCATTCGCTTCCCAGCACCATCAGCCGTGATGTCAATTGGACTGAAAGGACCAATTGGCTCGACCCGGCGATTGCACACTTGACGACGAGCAACGCTAACACCCCAGCCTGCAGTTTCTTCGGCGGCGCTCTCATCGGCGTCATCGTGCAAGCCCCCATCGCCAACAGGTTCGGCCGTCGGGCGGCCAACGGCGTGGCCGCGCTCCTCCTCATCTTCGCCAGCGCCCTGTCGGCGGGCTCGACCAACGTGGCCATGTTCCTCGCCGGCCGCACCATCTCGGGCTTCGGCGCCGCCATGTGCTTCGCCAACACGCCGACGTACACGGCCGAGCTGGCGACGCCGCACAACAGAGGCATGCTGGTCGGCTCGCAGGGCGTCTGCGTCGTGGGCTCGTACATCGTCTCGGCCCTGCTGGGCTTCGCCTTTTACTTTGTCGATGCGGTCAGTCCTTCGTCTCCTCCCCATTCCACACCCCATCCGGCCGTCACTGACTCTTCTCCAGGACTACGCCTGGCGGCTCAACTACATCGTCCTCACCGGCTTCTCCTGCATCTTCCTGGGCTCGCTCTTCCTGCTGCCCGAGTCGCCGCGCTGGCTCATCGAGCACGGGCGCGAGGACGAGGCGCGCGGCATCCTCGAGCGCCTGCACCGCAACCCCGCCGCGCCCGACGACGACTCGCTGGCCAAGGCCGAGTTCGTGCAGATCCGCGCGCAGATCGCGGCGGAGCGCAGCCTGCCCAGCAGCTACTGGTACATCCTGACCACGCCGAGCATGCTCAAGCGCGCCGTGTGCACCCTGCTCGTGTGGACCATGGGCCAGAGCACCGGCATCACCGTCATCGCCAACCTGATTGCGTGAGTGTCAACTGTCCCCCACCCCCATCCCACGATTGATTGTCTTCTCTCTCTCTCTCTTTTGATGAAATACGTGCTGATCCGAGACTGACCATGGCATCCAGCACCCTCATGGGCAACCTCGGCTTCGGCACCGTCATGCAGCTCGGGCTCGGGGTGGCGTGGGACGCGTGCGTGCTGGTGGGGTGCTTCGTCAACGTGCTGCTGATGGACCGGCTGGGGCGGGTGAAGCTGCTGGTGGTGGGCGGCTTCGGGTGCGTGGCGCTGCTCGTCATCGAAGGGGTGCTGCAAAAGTACTACCTGGCGACGACCAACGCGCCGGGCCTGAGCGCCGCCGTCGCCATGTACTTCATCTTCGGCGTGTGGTTCACCAGCACCATCGAGTGCACCGGCTACGTCTACGGCGCCGAGATCTGGCCCACCCACCTGCGCTCAAAGGGCGCCACCCTCAACTACATTGGCTTCTTCGGCCCCGCCCTCGCCTACACCTATCCCGCCACCACCGCCTTCGCCACCATCGGCTGGGAGTACTACATGGTCTTTGTCGCCATCACCGTGCCCTGCTGCATTGCCATTTACTTCATGCTGCCTGAGGTGAGTCCCTCCCCCCTTTCTCTCTTTCTCTTTCCCCTCGAGTTCACCCCTTCTGACGAATGTTGTCGAAACATCTAGACCACTGGCCTCACGCTCGAGGAAATCGGCCCGCTCTTCGGCGACGACGTGCAGGTCAAGTTCGAGGATGCGCTGCACGCCGATCTGGGCGAATCCTCGCGCACGCAGTCTGTCGAGATGACTGGAGACGAGAAGGGCGCGGCCCAGTGATTTTTCTTTCCCCTCTTTCCCTTTAGCCTGGAGGGCTGGGAGAACCCGTCATCGGGTGGTGTTGTGTATGTGGTGGTGGAGGACCTGAAAAACGCTTGAGAGAAAAAGAAGAGAGCGTCGGATTAGTGAGAGTGAGGCTTGTTGATGATACCATTCGAAGCGATAAAGTAGATAGATACGTCAGATTTAATGTCTATATGACCATTCGTTACCACCTTCTTGAGCATGAGACTTGTTTCGATGAAGTGATGTTGCTCATCCGACGTGTGCTGAAATCGCCGGGTACCCTTTCTGTTAATTCTCGCATGAAGCCGGCTCAGCAACAACAACAAAACGCCAACGAAGCGTGCACGCTTCGGTCTTTGAAGGGGAGAAAAGAAAAAAAAGCGAAGGAAAAAATCAGACAAAAAAAACAAAGGAGGAACCAAAACTTGTCTCCAAGCAACATCATTCATACAGTATTCTACATACACCTATACGCTACTCCGCATTCCCACGTACAAAGAAACTCCAAAAAAAATCTACCTGCTGCAAAAGGAAAAACACCATCTAAGCCACATCCACTCCCCCCCCCCTCCTCCCGCGCCTCCCTCCTCACAACCCCCTGGGCCTCGCAAACCTCGCCAACTCCTCATCCCGCAACAACCTCTCCATGCACGAGCTCTCCAAACAAACACAAACTTCAATCCCCTCCTCCTCCGCGCCGGGGCCCGTCTTCGGGCGGCGCGGATACATGAAGATATAACCATCAACCGTAGGACGGGGCCGGCGCAGGGCGCGGGGGAGGCCGAACCCGAAGTCGGCGCGGGCGTAGGCCGTCATGGAGCCCCAGCTGGTGCCGCAGACGTCCATGCCGAGGAAGCCGTCGACGCGGATGGCGATCCACGACTTGTGCGGCGTGCCGGCGAGCCAGTCGAGCGTGTCGGCGACCATTTGCGGGGCCGTGTAGTCTTTGATGGATTGGCGGACGGTGGCGGCGATGAGGGGGAGCGTGTTGGTGTTGTTGGTGCTGTTGTCGTCGCTGCCGGTGGCGATGAGGGTCGAGATGGGGACGCCCGGCTTGGGGAGGAGGAGCGCGTTGCCGAGGTAGTGGGGCGGCAGGGCGGGCGTGACGGCTTTGCGGATGCCGACCTGTGGTGTGGGTGTTAGTTTGGTGTTTCTCTCTCTCTCTCTTTTTATCTTTGTTGTCAAGGGGGAAAAGGACGTACGGCGTGCAGCAGGTGGCTCTCGCTCGACATGTCCGGCTTGAACATTTCCAGCCTCGAGCGGGTGAAGGCGCGCCACAGCACGGCCATGATGGAGTCGTAGGTGCTGACCCAGTCGCTGCCGTCGCCCGGCTGCTTGGTCGCCTCCTTCAGGGCGGCCAGGCCCGAGGTCGAGAAGTGCAGCATCACCTGCGACAGCGGCGGCATCTTGAAGTCGGCGGGCGGCGGCGCCGGCGGCTCCTTGACGTGGTCCAGAGACCGGATCTTCTTCTGCGTCGCCGCCATCCACTCGTCCGACGGCTTGGCCTGCGACATGAGCGGGGTGCGGTCCAGGCAGCTGCTGTCGAAGGCGGGCAGCGCCGACGAGGTGGCGGCGGCCTGCGTGTTGGCGGCCCATTGGGCGAGGAAGCCGTCGGTGCCGGGGCCTGCGGGGGAGGGGGAGCGCAAATGTCAGTTGGTGGTTCAGAAGGGGGGGGGGGGGGGGGGGGGCTTTTGTGGTGTCGGCGCGGCTCACCGTCGGAGCAGCAGTGGTGGACGGCGACGGCGACGATGACGCCGCCACGGATGTAGTTGACCTGGGCGACGAGGATGGGCGTCTCGTCTTCCTTGTCCTCGCCCAAGGGGGTGAAGGGCTGCTTCTGGGTGACGGCGACGGGCAGCAGCAGGTCGCCGTCCATCTTGCCGGCGGGGAAGTCCTCCCGGTCCAGCGACTCGAACGAGGGGAAGTCGTCGTTGTCGGACATGTCGTTGACTATGTACTCGACCGTCTTGCCCTTCTTCCGGATGATGCGGACCCTGCCATTGGTCGGGTCCGTCTCGAGCTCGCCGGCGAGCGAGCGGTACTGGCTGAGGGTGATCTCGAGGCCGGCCTTGAGGTTCTGGGCGAGCTTGCTCTTGTCGGCTGCGGCGTCGAGCTCGTAGACCAGCTGTGCTCTCGGTCAGCCCCTGGGAGAAAGCGGATTGAAGTGAGCAGGCGGGCTTACGGTCAGCAGGGTGTAGATCTTGGGCAGGGCATGATCGATTTCGCTGAGCTCGAAGCGCTCGACTTCGGGGTCGTTCTCGTAGCCGCGCGAGCGGACGTGGAAGACTTCTCTCTTGCCCATGGTGACTTGATGGTGTTCAGGAATCAAGTGACGGATTGCTGGCGGACTTCGCGCTGGGAGCTCCCCACCTTAAGCAAGCAGCTGGAGCTATGGTGGGGTCCGCGGCACAGGCGCACGCTCCCCCGGGCGCTGACACCCCCCTGGCGGCTCCGCCGCGTGGCCTTCGGGTCAGGCTCGTGGAAGGGTGGCATAACGGAGCGGCCAAGACTTGTGGGCGGGCTGGCGTGCACAAAAAACGGCGCGGGAGGCGGCACTAGCAGCTCCAAGCCTCCATGGGTGATCCCCAAACGGCTGTCCGTGCGGCGGCTGCCGATCGGGCTGGGGAGCGAGTCAGGCCCAGCACGGCCCAGCATGGCCAGGTCCTGCTGGCGACGAGGCCGCCTTTCACGCCGACCCACCTCCTCGGGCCCCAGACGAACTGACGAACCATCGCCAATGAGCCGCCCCGGAGCCCGTTCGTCGACTCTTGAAATTGCCTGCAGGGTGCTGCTGCGAGGCGAGACGGATTGTGGTACCTTGCAGCAACCTCTCACCTGCTGCTAAGCCGCTCGCGGCCTCGTCGCCGTGCCATGCTCCCGCCGGGGACACTGCTGCTGCTTGTGCCGCTCAGGTCAAACGATATCCACCGGCCCCGTACGCCAGTGGAGAAGGTGGGATGATTGCATTGCATCGCATGGCACGCACACGACACTCGACGCTCTCTTCTTTCCTTCCAACTTCTCATCATGCATCATCCTGGCATCCAGGGTCCTGTCATCCCAAGAGATCGACCTGCAGATTCGGGCCTTCGAGAATTCCTTCGTAGCTTTTGGCCTGCAGCGCGAGCGCCACGGCCTTGGGAAGGAATGGGATGGCCGTCCCGGGAAGGATTGCGCGCCCCCCTGCCGAGACGCCTCGCATCCCAAGCCTCACGTCTCTTGTGCCATGTCACCAAGCTCATACCCAGTAGACGACCTGTGCTATCCGGCCAATCAAACTCCGCTGTCCTCGTTGGTGTCGAGTCCCTCGACCGACAGCACGGCCAGGGAGATTGCCCGTCATCAAAGAGCACACGCCCGACTGTCGCAGACCATCCTCCAAGCTCCAACTCCACACGCCGCCACAGCGCCACGGCGCCAGCCAACCGCCACCGGTGAGCGGTCAGAAAGCGGGGTCCGTCGTCTGCATCCTCTGCGCCAGGGTCCCCACTAGGCGCTTTAGGCGCGGTGTTGCGCGACGGACCATTCCATCTACACCAAAACAACGACGAAATAACGATATACACATGGCATCTTCCTCCTGTTGCAGCTGGCCCCCCTCCCGCCGCCGCCGCCGCCGCCGTTCCTCCATCCCTTAGTGCCAGAAGCCACCGTTCCTCCGCCTTCTACCCTCCACTCCCCGTCTTCCACACCAACCCTTCTAGCGCCTTCCCACACCCCCTCCCCCTCCCCTTCTCTCGCTCCCATCGGATTGGAGATCAGCCACTGGAAGGAAGGATGAGGTGTGGTTGGTGGTGGTGGTCATGATGGAGCCGTGTCACCGCCACTCGGACGAGAAAGACCATGGTCGCAACGGCGTCGACGTTTATGTGGTAGCTGCGGGAAAAAGAAAAAAAAAAGGAGAGAGAGGCAAAAATCGGTCCAGAGAGCGGTAGGCCACACGGACGACGTTTGGTAATGAGACGTTTCCTGCAGTGGGGCTTTGTCTCGTCGCACTGACGAAGACGAGATGGTTGGCTGGATCTGGGCATGTGGTGTCTCGAACCTTCGAAGATCCTGTTGCGTTATCCATCTTGCCGCATTTCCTCAACCAAGTGATATGCGCCAGACGGCGTTCTGTCATTGGTCGTTGAGGAAGATACAGCAGTTACTTGTTCGACTTCAAACATGCGACATGTGCGAACCAAAGCTCTATGCCTTTACAGCACACGATTTAGCAGGAGTTGCGCTTAGCTCCGCAGCAATAAGTGTTGACGTAGTCGGGCTAGAACAGATCCCCGGCGGGGATTTTGCTACTGCGTGTAGTAAGGCTGATGATGATCATCAACAGAGAAAAAGAAAACACATGACATCGATGTATAAAGACATATTTGACTTATCTTCAACGATTTTCTGCTGCACTACGAATCCTCAGGTGGGGGCTTCACCTTCATCGTGACTGTCTCAAGGTCGTATCCCTTGGCGTTCCGGACGGCTAGCTGATACTCCCCATCGCCCACCAAGTCCTTGAGCACCAGCTCTCGCGTTCTCCCCAGACTCTCGATGGCGCCGATGCGATCTACAGTCCTTTGCAGGTGCTCCTTGAATCCAGGCTCTCTGCAAATCTCGCGAAAGGCGTTTTGCATGGGGACCGAGTCCGCCCGGACCATGGCGTTGGAGTCGATGGCAACAATGTTGATGTGGTCCAGTTGCTGCAGGAAGTCGGCGCGGGTCATGATTTCGCGCGCCTTGTGCACCTCCACCTGCGGCAGCCTTGTCGAGTCGGCCTTGCCGTCTTCCAGGTCCACCAAAGCCGACGCGAGAACCATGGCAGCGGCCTGCAAACAGACAGAGTCAGCAACCTTTGCTTTCTGAAAGCGGAACGACCAAACCTACGCAAAACTTCTGCTGGTCCATGACATCGTCGTCCATCTCCTCCCTGCACAACCGTATCAGTCTCTCAACGTGCCAAGTTCCTGCTCTGCCATCATGCTCCTTACCCGAGGATCCAGCACTGGTTCAACAGCCAAATCTTCTCTTTCCGGTTGATGGCCTCGCACATCTCCAGCATGTTATCCGCCCTCGCCACCTGGTTCAAGAACCGCAGCCTCCCGCCAACCCTGCTGTAGACCTCGTGCAGCACCGACGGCGCAACCTCCTCGTCCTTGGACCTGAACCGGAACCGCTTGAGCGCATCGACCGCCACCTCCCTCGGCACATCCGGGATGTTCAGCACCTGCATCCGCGTCGCCTGCTGGATCAGCCTCTCCGAGATCCAATAATCATCGCTGCTCAACACCAGCGTGACCAGCCCGCTCGCGCTCCACAGCTCCGCCCTCTGCTGCACCAACTCGAGCAAATCCCTGCCATCCTCGTCGTCCCGCAGCAGATGCACGCCGTTGACGACCAGCACCAGCGGGCGCTCGACGCCGCGCCCGTGCCGGCGCAGCGCCACCTTCTCCAGCTTGTCGAGCGCGCGCTCAATGTCCAGCAGCGCCGTCGTGTCGCGCGGGCCGCGGAACGAGAACAGGCTGCCGATGTAGTCCTCGTGGAACTCAAAGTCCAGCGCCTTGCCCAGCCGCACGCGGAAGATCTCCGGGTCGCCGTGCGCCTCGAGCAGCGCCACGCCCTCGCCGCCCGCCTTGCGCATCCCTTCCAGCAGCATCGACGTCTTGCCCGTGCCTTTTTCGCCCGTCAGCAGGTAGTAGTGGCCCCGCGCCCGCCCCGCCAGGATGTCGTCCAGCATGCGCTGCTCGTCGCGCTGGATCCACCACGCGGCTTCGGGGGGCTGCAGCAGCTTGTCGTCGTCGTCGCCGTTGATGGCGTTGGCGTTGGCGTTGGCGTTGGCGCCGCCGTCGCGGTCGCCGCCGTCGCGGCCGCGGCCGTTGGAGTGGCGCACGAGCGAGGCGAGCTCCAGCGACGAGAAGCCCGCGTCGAAGGCGTTTTCCATCTTGGAGAGGACCTGCGCTTTGTAGTAGCGCTGGTAGGCGAAGCCGACGCCGCCCAGGATGGCGACGGAGCCGAGCGTCGTGATGGTCGTTTCGAGGAGCTTGGACTTCCAGTCGCCGTCGCCGTCGCCGTTGCTCGATCCCTTGCTCTTGCCATGGTGCTGCTCCTCGTTCCAGTCTGCGCCGTACAGCGGGTGGCCCGGGTACAGGCGGTGGCGGGGGATGTGGCGCGGGGAGCGGAGGTAGCCTGTGTGTTGGGGTGCAAAGGGTGAGGGCTCAGTGGTGTTGTGGCTCAGGTGGTGGACTGGTTACCGTATCTGGCTGAGCGGCGGATCCCTGCCGGAGCCTTCATTGTCGTGTAATCTCGTCACGTCGATGATGGACCCTGCAGCTGCAGCCGTTGGAATACGTACGCGGTTGCAGCGGAGAAGGGCAGTCGGATGCGAGAAGGGCAGGCGCAAACGAGACGGAGATCAATTGGCTCAATCGAACGCAACGCCAGATGACGCAGGTCAGACAGATGCCGCTGCACAAAGTAGGAGTGTTCTGGGGGAACTGGAGATGGAAAACGCGTGCGGCCGGAGACGCGTCTAACGAGGTGCTTGAGTCAGTTTGGACACGTCAGTGCCGTCTTCACGTGATCATCCTCCTCAACTCTATCTGTTTCTTTTCTGGGACCACTTTCCAGCGACAAGTCTCTCTTCTACTTCAAAATGACAAGATCAACCCGATCAGTTACTAGTCCGGTTCAAACAGCCGTGGTGTTCAGGGTCCAAGCGTCCGGTGAGTTCTGCACATCACCACAGTGCATGCAGAAAGAAATTGACCTACGGCGATTCCTTGGTTCAGTTTGCCTGAAGAGCCTCAAGCAGCCTCTCTTTCCCGTCTCCGTTTCCTTTTCTTTCTTCCAATCCTGCAAAACGCCTTTCCACGAGCACTTCCAGGCCATGTGCTACTCAAACTCCCTTATTGACATTTGAATGAACCCCCTACACACACATCCGTGATCTTTCCAACCGGGCTCCCCGTGGCAGGCAGGTTCCGGTTCTAGTTAAAGCTCAGTGCCATCCTCGAAGTCAACCCTCAGGAATCTTTCAATAACAATCATCGCCCGGGTCGTACCACGTGCACCGTCCTTCAACCCTGTCAGAACAAGAAATCGTCCCCCCATGTCAGCAAAAAAAAAAAAAAAAAAAAGGGACGTCGGTCTCTCCCCAACGCATGAGAAAGAAAGAAAGAAAGAAAGAAAGCAAAAAAAGCAAAGAACTCACCACTAAACTCCGCCGCCGCCTCACGCACCTCCGCCCACGTCCCCCTAGCCCGGCCGCCGCCTGCGCCGCCGCCAGCCTCTCCCCCTCCCCCTCCCTCTCCCTCTCCCTCTTCCCATTCCCCACCCCGGCCCGCATACCACTCCAACACCTCAATCGCCGCCACCAGCCAATCCGTCACCTCCTCCCTCTTCTTCTTCAGCTGCTCCGCCGACTCGTGTCCCCGTTCCAGCATGTCCATGACCAGCGGCGTGTGCTTGTACCCGCCCATCTCGAGCCGGTACCGCTGGAAGATGCGCAGCAGCTTCTCCTGCAGGTCCGTCGGCGGCGGGGGCGGGGTTCGCGTTGCGGCCGGACGATTCGATGCTGGCGCCGAGGAGGAGCCGGCGGAGCGTGGGGAAGTGGCCGAGGGCGAGGACGTAGAAGCGGTCGCGGGGGCGGCGGGCGAGGCGGGCGGTGCCGGTGGTTAGGGGGGTGGAGGTGGCGGTGTTGTTGTTGTTGTTGTCGTCGTCGTCGTCCTTGAAGGGGGGAGGAGAGGGTTCGGCGGTGCCGGTGCCGGTGGTGATGAGATGGATGAAGCGCATGATGGTCGGGCCGGCGGTGTGGGCGGGTGGGAGGGGCGGCCAGAGGTAGACGACGAGGGCTTGCACGTCGCGGAGGTAGAGGCGCGTGCCGTCGAGTGTGAGGGGATACTGGATGCTGCTGGCGAAGGGGACGGGAGCCGGAGCGGAGCCGGTCGTTGGGGTGGTGGTGGAGCGGGAGGACATGGTTGGTGCCCGGGGTTGTAGTCTTTGGGAGGGTTACGCTAATGATGGAGGGTTTTGTTTTCGGCGCGGGGAGGTTGCGCGGGTGTGGCATCCATCGGTCGCTTGCTGTTGTGTTGGAGAAGACGATGGAGATGCCCTCTGCGCGTGGGGCAGGTGTGAGGCAGCAGGTGCGATGAGCAGCTGCCGTGCGGTTCCAGCAGCTTCACTTCACTTCGAGTCGCAAAACAACATCAAAGCTCCCTTCCTCGAAGACCGGATCAAGTCCAGGCATTCAACGAAAGGAGAACTCGGGACCTTCCCTCATTGCTCTCCCGGGGAAAAAACTCTCGTGCACCAAGAGAAACCCCAACATGGGTCGTTGCTTGCCAAAGCCCCCATGTCTTTGTTACCCGCCCAAACGCTTTGACATCCCACAGGGGACCCCGAAGGGAGCATCCTGCAGGAAAAAGCAGAGAGGGAGGAGCTGTAAAGAAGAAGAGAAGAAAAGACTGAAAGCTGGAGGGAAGAGGGGTTTATATGGGACGAGGGGCGGTAGTGAAGGCATCCAGATCAGCTGGACATATTTCTACGCTAAGCCTAATATGGGTGGATTTGTTGGTCGTCGCTGCCAAAATCACTGTTCAACAATCACCACAGATTAACCCATGAATTATCACCACAAACCAAACACGATTCTGTGTACAGCGCTATCTAGAGGTGAGCCACGTACAATTTAGGCAAGCCCTTCCTTCACTGCGTAAGAGCGCAGAACCTGTCCGCTCGCCCATGCAACCACCAGCTCATCTACGCTTGTATAATCGGAAGTCCGGGTCTCGAAGACTCACCCCATTTCTGTCGACATACTTTATACAGGCTTTCCCCGAATCGCCATAGTAAAAGGCCTGGTCTGCACCATGTCCGTGATCCGGAAGACCTGCGTGCAAATGTCAAGTCTCGCTCGCTGCAGTCACTTGCGCCTCACTCACCAACGAGGTAAGTAGCATAACGAAGAATGTTCGTTTTCTCGCCCGTTTCGAAAGGCCTCCTCTCGTGCGAGCGGATGCCCATATACTCTCTTAGAACACGCTGTCGCGCCCTAAGCCTTTCTGCCTCAGTGACACTGGAATATGGCGGTGGTGGGATGACGGGTTTTGGCAAAGGGCGCCGGTCAAAAAACTTCCTCATCAGCCACGCTTTGTACGGGTTGGGATGCGGCCAGCCGTGACTTTGCGGTAAGCGGAGAACAGGGCATTCCACAAGCGCGAGCCGGTACAACCGCTTGTCGTATTCGATGAGGTCGATGAAATTCTCCAAATCCTCCATCTTGAGCGTATGTGTCTCGGTGAGGGACCTGTAGAGTATTCTGACGTCCTCATAAAATCTCTTGTAGCCAAAGTGTGTGGGGGAATACTGTTCTGGAGACTCGAATGGGGCCATTGCGTGTCGATCTTCCGTAGGAGCTTTTGCTGAGACTATCATGCATCGGTTTTCACAAAATTCTGTAGCTATTTGCAGCAAGGGCAGAGCGTGAATTTCATGATTCCAATCTCATTATTAGGCTTCTGCTAAATTGGATTGTTTGCTGTCATTTATTGACAACCGCTGCAAGTTGGACCGTTCCCGCAACCCGGCCTTTGATTGAAAGAGCACGAACAAAGAACACGATAATGCACAACGCAAAATCGCAACCACCCAACAAAATGAAGAACAGCAATCCCCCGCCTGCGAAGTTTCTAGACAAGAGAAACATTCCAGCCACGGCCGAAAACGGAACCAGGAAGGTTGCAAGAGCAGCCAACTCGCCTTCATGCTTCGCTTGATTATTGAAGAACATTGTCTCTTCGACAGAGGTCCGGACGCGTTGGAATCCAAAAAAAATAGCTATGCATGCTCAGATTGGCTCTGCACCTGTTCGCAAAGCCATCCTCAACATTGCACGTCACCTTCGGAGACGTAAGACTTTCCATGGAGTATATCCAAGCCCATTGAGCGGTCGGACTATACGATGGTGTCCCTGCTGACAGCCATTTGGGCTCTCACCAAACTTGACAGCTTCGTCGGCTTGCGGTGCATCGTCTTCGAGTTGCACCAGCCGCTTTAAGTAATCTTCCCAGTGGCGCCCGCCGTGGTATCTGCTTCGACGGAGCTCGGTGTTGAATGGTGACAGCATTGATCGAGAAGCGATGCCTCACTGCTGATCTTGGATCTGCTGTGACGCAGTGTGCAAGCTGCATGTAGGACGACATTGGGTCTGCGGCCCGTCGAGCCCTTCTTGTACAGCTGGTGGGATGTCGTTGCCAGCATCGCCAGGCGTCATGCCTACCCGAAGGACCTCTGTGTCCAAGAGTCTCCCGTACATGCTTTCTTCTTGGCCCTAGAAGGCAACAGCATGCCACGGCACAAGTATATCCAGATTCCGCCACCCAAGCTTACTACTCGTTTATTCAACCAAGAGTTTTGCCACGCGAGGCTCGTCGGGAGAGATCGGCTCCTTTGTGGAGGCTCGGGAGGTTCGAGGAGGCTGCCGGGGCCGCTGAGCAGCGAGGTAGAGAGGATGGGATTGCGCGCGCGCGCGGTCCGTGAGGCGCTCATGTGAGGTCGCGATGTCTTTGCCGTCACCCCGTGTCGCGACATAGAATGAGGTTGTTGAGAGGCATCACACGGATGAGACCAGCTCTATTTGAGGTGACTCATAGCCAGGGCCGGTCATCCAATAGCGCTGGCAGAATGAAGGACGGCATCTCGATAAGTCTAAAGATTTGTCGGGTCAGCTACGTCTCACGCGTGGTGTAGATGCTTTTCTTACCCAAGTCGCCGTCTGGCGGTCGGCGGGAGTGAAGGCAGACGTGGCGACGAAGGGTGTAGAGGCGAGGAGGAAGGCAGATGTAACGGCGGCAGCGATGGCGACAATGGTGGGTGGAAGTGTTCGAGGCGAAGTGAGCTTATGTCGTGGAGCTCGTGGAGAGTTTGCTCGACGCGTTGGCTATTGACGCGTTGGTCGTTGACGCGTTGGCCGTTGACGCGCAAAGGCCGACAGAGATGACAGGCGAGAGGTTGCAGTAGTGCGTAGCCATAAGCCAAGGCAGCGTGGTCAGGAAAGATGCTGCTGGTGCGGAAGTTGGGGTGAGTGTCACTGGTAGAGCGCAGACAATCAGTGCGCCAAAGTGAGGCGTTGAGTGACGCGGATCGTGGGCAAAGGCGCTCAGGACGGTCGGGGTGAGGTGGAAACATTGGCACATGAGGCTGGTGACGGGGAATATGAGATGGGAGTGAGTAAGCATTCGGGAGATGCGTGGCGGAGGTGGCGCGGGGGGTCAATTAATATGTTAGATCCGCGAAACTTTTACTATCAAAATCCACTGTGGTCAGACTGAACTGAAAACTCGTTTGAGTACACTGCGGGGGTCATATGTGGTCGCCAGGCGTTGCCCAATTTCCTAATCGGGTAACTGCACACTGGGAGAAGGTTTTTCAGCTGCCCATCTGTTGAAAAGACGGATGGTCGCCGGATCGCTACGGCTAGATCATAAACGGCGTAAAGTGAGCTTTCCTTTTTGCCCTTTTCCAGCTCGTTTCTCTCCCATTGCGACGAGCATCTGGACCATGGCCGTCGCATTTCCACTGCTTTTTTACGGCGGCCCCCGCTCTTTCGTGGCAGAAGTTCGGTGTCAGTAACTCACTCCCGAAGATCCCCCACGAGTAACCGGCAGCTTTATTTCCCAAATAGATGCTTCCCGCTCGTCCCTCCAAACATGGCCGTCTTGATCCCCCTCAGCCCACTGATCGGCACCCTCTCCTCCTTCGCCTTGACCTTGTCGTAGACGCTCGGCAGCGTCTCAGCCCTGTACTTCTTCCTCAACCCATCGTACCAGCCCTTGTCGTAGATCTGCCAGAACTCGTCCTCGGTGTAGTACGCGTTGGCGTACAGCCACTTGAACCCGCCCAGCCGCCTCACCTCGGCCTCCAGCTCGCGGTTCAGCCGGACGAACGGCTCCGCCTTGCGCGGGCCGGGCCCCCAGACGCCGACGTTCAGCAGAAACTGCGGACCGTCGCCGCCTTCCGCAGCAGCGCCGCCGCCGCCGCCCGATTCCGCGCCCGAGTCCGCCGGCGACGACGACGACGCCGCCGCCGCCGCGGGCCCCGACCCCTCCGCATTGACGATGATCTTCCCGCCGATCCTGGCGCGCAGGGGCACCGCCGCCGCGTTCTCGACGCGCAGCGGGCAGAGCCACAGCGGGTAGTTCCTGACCGCCCGGTCGACCCAGCCGATGAAGGCCTCGGCGGCGTCGAAGGGCAGGGCGAGGTCCTGGATGATGTACTGCTGGGTGAAGCCGCTGGCGTTGAGGGCGGCGTACATGCGGCGGGTGTGCATGAGGCGGTCGAGCACCAGGCGGGAGAGGCGGTCGAAGGGCGTGTGGAAGCGCCTGAAGGCGTAGCGGCCGGTCCAGAAGGCGCCGCGGTCGTAGCGGAAGAGGTAGTCGGCGAGCGGCACCGCTTCGACGTGGTTCGGTTTCCCCGGCTTGGTGACGGCGTCGGCGTGGAGGTAGAACCACTGGTCCCACGCGCGGGAGAAGCGCTGGGGCTTGATCGAAGGGGACGAGGGGCCGTCGGTCATCTTGCCGAGCATGATGGTGCCGCGCTTGAGCGAGAACATGATGCCGTCGATGTACTCGTGCTTTTCCTCGGCCATGGCGCGCTGCAGGGTTTGGACGGCAGACGGCACGCTGTCCACGGTTACGTACTCCAGCTCGACGAACTTCTGGGCGGGGATGAGCTGGATTTCAAACAGCGTCGTCACGCAAAGAGTGCCGTAGGTACCCGGGGCGCCATAGAAGAGATCCTCATTCTCGGTGGGCGATGCCTTGGCGATTTCCCCGGTGGGAAGGATGACATGACACCAATTGACGATGCGATCGAAGAAGCCCCATCTCCACGAAGAGCTCTCGCCAGCTACACCAGAGAAGCCGCCGCCAGTGGTGATGCCGGGGAACTCCATGACAACGGGAGGGATGAGGCCATACTTCAACGTCTCCTCGGCCAGAGCGTCCATGGGCACGTTGGGCTGCACAAGGGCGACCTGGCGGTGCCGGTCGACTTCCAGGACGTGGTTGAAACTGCTCATGTCGACCATCTTTTTTCTGTCAAACTGGACGATTCTGGTACTATTCGTGGAGCCATGGTAGATACGGAAAGGCTCCTTTCGCTTGTAGAAATCCTCGACCTGGGAAGCAATGGCCTTGACGGCGTCGTTGTGTTGGTCCATACTGGACATTATGAGCTACTGCTGTACATATGATAGACAAAGAACGCTGCACTGATCGGACCGAGCAGGAACGAGGCGGTCAGGGGGCGGAACAAGCAGTGTCTGGGGGTATCCGAACGTTCCGGTAGATGGCTGAGACACGAGACGGGTATCACTTGTAGCGTGGGCCAAACACGTGTGCGAGGAAGCGACTGTATTGCACCACAGTGACTGAAGCGACGTCGACGGATATCGGGCTCTTCTCAATGCCAATTACACTTTAGAAGTGAGGTGAGGTTCGGCCACACGATGGCGCGATGCAATCATCTCGTCCGGCCCGAAAATGTCCCGCCCGGACAGCCGTGGTGGCATGGAATCTACCCGGCGACATCTCCCTCATCCAAAAGCATGCCTACACGAACGTCCACACGACACGACGTTGCAAGACAATCCGCCTTTCAGTATCCACGTCACACACGAACAGACTCAAATGCATTGATTTAATCTCTTATCTGCATTACACGTCGTAGCTATTAGATGGTCGTTTACTTTAAAGTGTAGTAAAAGAAATAATATATATAGGAGCAGCGAGTCAAGCCCTCGTAATCCATCGCCTTAGTCTATCTAGTATTCCTCTCCTCTCTCTTGAAACGCCGTCGACGTCGAATCAACGTCATAAAACAATAGGGAAATATAACAACGATAAGATCAAGCGCCAACGCTATGCATAAAAAGAACACCCTATCCTAGGCGCACCGGCTATAAAACCCATAGCAACACCTCCCAAATACGAAGCGCCTTTCCCAATCCCTCACAAAAGGGAGGTGGGGAAAACCAAGTAACAAGAAACCAGCAGCCGCGGCTTCGTCTTCCGCCACGTCTCACAGTGGGCGTCGAGCGCCTGGGCAATCAGACGACAGCGCGGGCAATTTTCCCATCCGAGCGCTGAAAGGGAAAAAGCAGTAAAAAGGCTGTAGGGAGTCTCCCTCTCTCTTTCTCTCTCTCCTCCTCCTCTCCTACGGCATAACAAAATCCGTCACCCAGTCCAGCCACTGCTCCCACTCATTGGCCCCGCCCACGCTGACAATCTCCTGCTGCCGCCTCTGCCCATTCGCGCGGTGCCCCAGCAGCGCCGCCTGCTGCACGCTCAAGCCCGCAACGGCCGCGGCGTCGTCGCCGCCGCCGCCCACTCCGTCAGCCTGCCGCTGCTTCTGCATCTTCTTCAACTTCCACTCGCGCTCGGCCTGCACGGCGGCGCGGCGCACGACGGCCTCGACGTCCTCGTCGGCGTAGAGCGAGCACTTGTCGCAGCGGTCGCACGGGTTGTTGACGCCCGGGTTGGTGAGGCGGAAGTGGTTGCAGAAATGGTTGTAGCCTTCCTCGGCCGTGACGCGGCGGCGGCAGACGTAGCACATGGTGTAGCCGCACGGGCAGACGAGCTTGTTGCAGCCGCCGCTCTTGAGGAACGACATGTTGCACCGCGGGCACGTGCGCTTGACCGCGTTGGACACCGCGTTCTCCACGTGCGTCCGCAGCGACGCCAGCGCCGACTCGTGGCACACGTGCGGGTCGCGCCACGCCTTGTGGCACTCGAGGCACGACGCCCGCCCGCACGCTGGCGCTGCGCACGTGAAGCGGAGGCCGCGGCGGCGGCGGGCGACGCGCTGGTATGAGGCGCGGAGCGGGGAGAGCGGGTCGATGCGGAAGGGCGTGGGTAGGAGGAAGAAGTTGAGGAGGTAGTTGAGGAGGACGAAGAAGGGGAAGAGGGAGAGGAACTGGGAGAGGAGGTGGATGGGCTTGATGTACAAGTAGGGCCCGACGGAGAGGAACCAGAGGCCGAGGAGGCGGCTGGAGCACGGCCTCCAGGAGAGGAGCGGCGGCGTGACATCGTCCACCTCGGCGTAGGCGCAAAAGGGACATCTGATCAGAGGAAGGCCGGTCTTGCGCAGCGAGTCCGACACGACCCGCTCTTCGAACCTGCGGAAAGTGGTCTCGCCATCACGTTCTTCGGCGAGAGCGCGCTGGACGGAGTGTTGTGGGAGACATCCATGGCATTGGCCGTGGGACACAGGAGCGATGCAGTTCAGCGTCAGCTTGTCCGTGTCCACACTGCGAGCCCAGCCCTGTCCGAACAACGCCTCGTTCATAGAGAAACGAATGCAGCGGAAGCATATCCAGTGGTTGTTCTGGTCGCACGACGACATTTGCTCAAAAGCGCCGGGGGTGAAGCAGCACTCGCAGTCGTAAATTTCGTCGGCAGCCTCGGCTTGTTCCTCGTTGAGCTGCTCGGCAAGAGCTCGATCCTGGGCCATTCTCTCCTCATTCTGCTTGGCCAGCAGTGGGGCGATAAGTGAGTCGTACAACTCCTTGTTCAGCTCCGCGCTCTTGGTCAGCACCAGCCGCGGCACAAGAGCCCCACCAGTCCTCGGGTCCGGATTATGCCAGACAACGAGCGGGTGATCCTGGGCAGACGGCGGCTTCCGGCGGGTGAAGAAGCTGGTGACTGAGAACATCCACGACTTGGAAACGAGCTCTAGTAGGGTCGGGCGAGCTTGAGTGTAGGAATAGTTGCACTCGGCCAGCACGGCGCGGATGGCCGAGTGACTCAGGCCCTTGAACTCTTGATACAAAGCTCCCCGGACCGCCAGTTTGTACGACTCGCTCCGAAATCTCTCCTCCATGGGCAGCCGGGCGTCTTGGTCCGATGTGCGGCGGGCGAGCGGTGCGGCGGCGGTGGGGTCCTGGTCGAGCGGCTCGGCACGATGGCGGCCGCGCACCCAGCGGTCGGGCTGCCTGAGCATGGCTTCGGTGACGACCTCGACGCGGCTCTCCTCGGAGAAGCTGTTCAGCATCTCGCGAAAGACCTCGGGCTGGACGTCTGGGAAGACGGTGGTGAGGACATGGAGCTGGGCATTGAGCAAGCTTGTATCCGGGTCGTCGGGCTCGACGGCCGGATGGTTCGGGTCGAAGGCGGCGAGGGCAAGCGGGCTGAGGCTCTGGGTCCGGCGAGCCGTGGGCGTATCAGCAGGCTCAGGCCGGGGTTGGCGAGAGCGCAGGGATGCGCGAAAGGGGAGACCGGACAGCATGCTGCGGACAGAGCTGTGGGAGAGCAGTGTGGTAGGAGCGGGGGGCGGCCGGGTGGCTTTACATGTCGCATCTGCCCGGTGAGCGGACCAGGGAAGGCGCTGGTTGGAGGGCGGAGAGGCCGGTCGAGAGCGGGGGGGCTGAGTTCGCGGGTTGAGTGGTGGAGAATGTGCAGCCTCGGGAGCTGCACGTTGGTGGGGACACGCCAATCCAACGAGCTTGCGGGAGATCGTCGCAGGGCTGACCTGCAACACCAAGAAACCCTGCGAGCCACATTCGCCCGCGCTCTCCTGATCCCATCACATGGGCCGAATCCATCAGATGAGACGAGACAGGAAGAGCTGGTTCAACGCATTGTCCATGTCTCAACCCACAAAAGCGATAGCCGCTTCGTTACTGGTAGCCGGTTCGGTCATGCGCTCACAGCAATATATCCGGGTGGGCAGTGCGGGGTATGCGAAGCCACGGACGAGTCAACCAGTTTTCCGTGTTGCACTAGAAAAAGGTAAATTCATCTACACTAAGTCACTGCATTATTACCGCAGCCTCCAAAGACGAATCAGCCTCCTCCAGATGATCAAGCCGTAAAAGAGCTCCCAGTCACCGCAGCGCTACCAGCAACCCAAGTAGTAGTAGCAGCAGCCTCAACCCTCACCGGAGTCGCCAACGTCACATCCTCCCCCACAATCTTCGCAGCATTCGCGACTGCAGTAGCGCACCCACACACCTCCTTCACCCCCTCAGAAATCTCACTCCTCGGCGCGTTCCGCCCGCCGCACGCCTTGAGGATGCAACCCGTGAGGGCGAGGTTCCCTTTGGTCATGCGTTCCGGTTGGCGACAGGCGCACGCAAAATCCGATTCGACGGTGCAGCCGATGGCGGATTTGGCGGATACAACGCAGGACTGCGCGCAGGATGGAATTAAGGCCTGAGCCGAGGAGATGCATTGGTCTTGGGCAGAGACACCCGAGGGGTTGGCGGTGAGGAGGGTGAAAAGGAAGGTGAGGATGGTGTTGGTGGAGGGCTTCATTTTGGTTGGCGCTCGTTTGGTCGTGGTGGTGATGTTGGTGAGAGGACGATCCGCTGCAATGACGAGACTGGAGTGATAGTTGTGTGGATTGCCGATGGATGAAAAGAGACAGGAGTTTATATGCTGAGCTTCTCATCTGCTGATGAGGGAAAGGGGGCGACAGGCAACATCGTAGGTAGTACTTCCAGCTGGGAAAGCGTGATACGGCCGCGAGCGGTGTCACGTTCCTTGCGTTAATGATGGGGCCAAGGCTGTCAGTTATGCCCCATCGTCACTGACACAGCCACCCATCGTGTTTGAAACGACACGTACAGACGCTCCAAATGCAAAAAAAAAAAAAAAAAGGCAAGTAGGCAAGGCATAATCGATGGATCCTGAATGGCAGCTAAATCCAGAGAAGGCTTCATCTCAGCCTTGTACGATCAAAATGCATCTCGGAATGTTTTAACGTGTCTATTCCCTTTCAAAACTAGTTGTGTCCCTGACGGATCTGTCTCCTCTTCATGCCTCTGCACCTATTAATAAAGATGACAGACGGAAAAAAAAAAAGTGCGCATGACATAGGCCATGTGGTTGATCAATGACCTGATTTAATCGAACTTGGCAAAAGCCAGCTCGTATGCCAAACCAAGAGTCAACTTCGCATGCTGAAGCATGTGGTCGAAGTTCAGATACTCGATCTTGTCTTCAGTGGTGTGAATCTTCGAATCCGAGTACTTGAAATCACTCTCGATAACGAAAGCGGACGGATAGCCAGCCTTGCTAGCACTTGCGTGATCCGAGCAGGCGTATCCGCACTTGGTCAGGACGTAGGGAATGTCGCAGTAGGTGGTGATGACCTCCTTGATAAACTCGGTGAGGCCAGGGTCGACGAAGTCAGTGATGACGCCAACCGACTCGGGCTCGCCTGCGTCCAGCGTCTTCTGCACGTAGCCGGTCATGTCCTGTTGCAGCATCGCCTTCACATTCCGGCTGTTCTTCTCATACGACTGGAAAATTGCTTGTGATCCCAGGAGGCCGCCCTCCTCAGCCGAGTACCAGTGGAACTCGACCGTGTTCTCACCCTTGCCCGCGACAATGTCGTCAGAGGTAAGGAGTACCCTCAGAGCCTCGAGGATAGTCACGGTACCGGAACCATCTTCACACACGATTAGCACACGGTTGCCTACGGGATCAAGGTTGCCTACCGTCGTCTGCGCCAGGCGCCGCCAGGATGGACGGCAGGAACAGGTTGATGCTGTCCTGATGAGCGCCAATCACGACGGTCTTGTTGCTCTTTCCAGGAATGGTAGCAATGATGCTGCTCTGACCCCACGGGTGCTCAAACGGCTTCACCGTCGCACCATGATCGAGTGCGCCGGCGTCAGCCAGAGTCTGGTTCACCTGAGACAGGAGCCAGGCTGACGACTCGGCCCCATAGTGCGAGCGGTAGTAGCGCGTGTGGAACGACGTGAACTTTTCCAAATGCTTTCGCATGTTCTTCTTTTCCAACTGCTTGAGCAGCGGCTTGACCGTGTCATTGTAGGCGGTGGTGGGCGGGAACTTGACGGTCGCGGCGGTCTTTGTGATGGAGCCAAGGTCTTGGGTGTCGGTGATGTCGAAGAAGTTGATTCCTTGCTGGGCGGCTGTTAGCGAAGGCACGCGGCTGGATATACAAAGGGCTGACGCACCCTGCGCAGCGCCCACTTCTCGTCCTCGGAGATCCAGCGCGTGTCACCGGGGGCGAGCTCGATCAGGAACTCGGCGGGCTCGGCGGCTTCGTCGGACAGGTCGATGCTAGGCTGCTTGAGCGGGGCCTGGCCGTCGCGCAGGATGGACAGCGCGGAGGCGGCGGCAGCGAGGGATGAGATAATGGCGGCAGACTTCATGGTGGATGTTGGATGCAGAGAGCGGTGCCTGGGAGCTGGGCGCGAGCTGATAGCTGATACGGAGCTGGCTGGCCGGGGGCCCCGATGACGCCGTTCGCTCGGTGATTGCACCTCATCAGGCAGTCACGCGCCCCGCGTCAGGCTCGCTTCGCGCCCATGCGCGTCGCCCTTGCCTCCTGCATCTTCATCCTCCCAATGCCGTGACACCAACATAGCCTCGTTGGACCCTGACCATTGGACATGGCAACAAACTTCAATTGCCATTGCACTGGTTCCAGTACGACGCCATGTTTGCAACAATCGCCTCAGTAACCGAAAGCTCCATGTGGGAGAATCAATCCGCAATATCTACCGCAACAATCCTGCCCCGCATGCCCTCAGCAAGCCAGATCTCGATGAACCTTATCTTGCTTTCCGTCACATGCAGCTTTACCTTGGTGTTCTCCAACCGAGTTTCGAATGCTCCGTCAGATGTCCAACGCCATGAAGCCCAAAGCTGGAGTCTAGACTCAGAACTGGAAACTCGTGGTCGCAGGAGCGCATCTCGTGTGCGGCGAATCCAGTTTGAGGCATAAGAGGCTGAAGAGCTTGGACAGGTAAAGTCATGAAAGGGATTCGGTCCCCGCATACACGGTAACCAGAATCAAGCCCAAATGCTCATTACACCACAGTGATCAGTTATACGCCCGGGACGCAGGCCAAGACACTTCACCACATCTTCTGCTCACGACATACAGCTACTCTCTAAGCGCATCATCAAGCAGCCCCCGTATGACTTCATCATCGCCCGTCTCCTTCTCCCTCCCCTCCGCCACCAACGCCATCGCATCCCTCCCATCCGCATCCCGCCTCCTCGGATCCGCGCCCTTCTCCAACAAAATCTCCACCGCCAGCGACACGCCCGCCACGACAGCCAGATGCAGCGCCGTGCGCCTCTGCGTCCCGGCCCACTCATCGAGCTTGATGCCCGGCTGACTCGTCAGCAAATCCAGCATCTGCTCGTCGTCGGCCGCCAGCCCCGACGCCGAGCCCGCGCGCGACGCGCCGCCCGACCTCCACATCAGCGCCGCCGACAGCAGCGGCGTCATGCCCGACGCGTTGGCGGCGTTGACGTCGGCGCCCTTGTGCAGCAGCATCGCCGCCGCCATGGGGCTGCGCCGCCGCACCGCCAGGTGCAGCGGCGTGTCGCGCGTCGCCGGGATGCGGATGTTGACTCTAGTCCCGGCGCCGTCGTTGTATTCGGACAGCAGCAGCAGCGCCAGCGCGTCGAGCCGGTATTTCTCGAGCCCACGGCCGGTCGACGGCGATGGTTGCGCGGCAGAGCCTCCAGCGCCTCCGCCGCCGGCCTTGAAAATCTTCTCGAGCGCGCACTCGCCGTTGCGGTCTTTGATGTTGGGGTTGACGCCCGCAAACACCATGTCGTGCACCATGTTGACGTAGCCGTCTTTGGGCTTGTTCTCGATGGCCAGATGCAGTGGCGTCTTGTTGTAGTCGCCCCGCGCAGTGACGTGCACATCCACGTTGTACTCGAGCAGGAGCCGCACCACCTTGCTGTGCCGGGCACTAGCACCGCGGATGGCGTTGAGGAGCGGCCCGCACCGCGGTTTCGCCTTCGTGCCTGGGTTGCACTTTTGTTGGAGGAGCACGCGGACGGCGCCGGCGGAGCCGCGGGAGCAGTAACGTTCGAGCAGCCTGTTGGTGTGGTCTACCCACCGGTTGATGTTGTAACCCGCCAGAGCTTGCTTGGTGCGCGAAGTCATTTGGCTGGTTGCAATACTCTTGGCTTGCTGGCCGGCTTTTCGCGCCTCTTCCATGAAGAGTGTCGGTGATTCGGCCGGCTTGGGGACTCTCTTCGTTCGTTCTGGTTGCTGTGTGGCTTCTTTCGATGTGTCTTTAGTCTTCGAAGGCTGTGAGGCATGTTTCTTTCCCTTTCTGGGTGGTTTGCTGTTCGTTTTGGTTGACTTGGGCGAACTCGGGAGCAACGATGGAGGATTGTCAAGTGCCCTTGGATCACCCCCTTTTTTCGTATCGCTCGGGGTCTGCTCCCGTTGGTGTTGTTTCAACTCGATCTCGGTAACATCCTCGACGTTCTCTACCGTAGCTTGCTTGTTTGTACCATGATAATTCTTCTTTTGGTCGGCTGGGGCTTCATCATCTTCTTCAAAAGCTCTTGGGATCTCTTGAACTAATGAATCAACCCATCTGACCTCTTTTCTGATACCACGAGATTTCTTTGGTTCCTGCTCATGACTTGGGATTGTCACCAACGTCTCTGAGCCACCTGACTCATCTCCTGAGAAGATCGCATCCGAAATTCTGCTGGTGATAGACGGAGAACTCCTTCGATACTTTATTGTGGAAGGCGGTAGTGGAGGTGGAGATGGTAAGGTTCTGTCCGCGAACTTCTCACTTCCACGCTCGTCAGATGTCCAAGGTCCTCGGGGTTTCGAAGCATCGGCGATACTCTGACATCCATGGCCTGGTTCCGTGGGTGATTCTGCAGAATGGTCGTGTGGGGCGTCCGGAATGGCTTCTTGCTTTGGCCCTTCCTGATCAATGTCTGGTCGATAAAGCACGAACTGCTTGCCAGTGTCCATGTCCAGGCCCTTGCGATTGCTGCTTTCAAAAGCACCGATTACCCATCCATCCGAATGTTCCTCCTCTTCATAGTCATCGGAGTCATCCATCTGCAAATCCCAAGGTTCATGCTTGCTGAACCTCGAGAGATGAGGACCGGCAGGGTCTGTACCGGGGGTTTGCACGAGTGGCCGCAATTGAATCATCTCAAGTGAAGAGGAGCTACGTGAGGGTTCCAATGTTAGGTTCACTTCGCAACAGCTTCCCTCCGAGCTTGAAGAGTCTTCTTCGACGATGAATCCTTGAGCAACGTTTATTTTCTCCTTCGTGGTAGTGTCCTCTTCGTCTGAACTTCGATCATCTTCAATGAGATATCCAAGCCCAGAATCAACTCCAAGGTCTTCGTTTGGGGAATGTTCAGGCATTGGATTCGGCGTTGGCTCTTTCGTATATTTGCAGCCGGTGTTCATTGGCGGAGCGGTGGCGAATGAAGCTTCGGACTCATCCATACTTTCGGGGAGTGATTCCAGAGAGGGTCGCCGGTGCGCCGTTCTGTATACGCCTTCCCACGTAGACAAGGGAATGTCGTGCGCATCAACTGTGGCACTGGTCGAGTTGTTAATCCAGTTCTCGATTGATTGTGAGCATCTGGCATCTATCGGAACTGGAGGAAGCTCAGGCTCAAAAAGAGCGGCGGCCCGTGCTGATACTTCGGCAGCAGTAGCATGCTTCATCGTCTCGTTGAACCCTTCAGGATTCAAGGGCGTTTCAAAATCAAACGCTCTAGCTTCAAACTCGGGCCAGCAGTGTAGACAGCAGAATTGCCGGAACGACGGCGTCTGCTGGATCTCCACCATCAAGTTTTTCACAGTCAGTCTATTCTTTGGGTCGTCCTGTAGAAGGCTCTTTACCCATGTGATGGCCTCGTTGGCGGAATCAACGCGGGTGGACATTATCTTTGCCAGCCAGTCCAAGGCTGTTGGTAGATTTGCCCAAATTGCCTGCGGGTGTTCTTTGTTCTTAGCGTGTTTTTCCATGAACATCCGAAGACTTGAGAGGTCGTTCCCAAGCAAGACTGTGGTGATTTCAAGGAATACGACGCCCAACGACCACATGTCACTTGCTGTGTTCCTCCTGTTCCATCGAAAAATCTCTGGAGCAATGTAGTCCTTGGTGAAAGGTTTCAGGTCGTTCGTCGTGCTTCTGCCTGTCTGAGAAAAATCGGTTGCGGTGCCAAAGTCACTGAGGCAGACTTCACCCTGCGAAGTAACCAGAACATTACGTGTAGTGATGTCCGTGTGCTTGATGCTTCGGTCATGAAGGTAATCAATGGCGCTCGCAAGGCAGCCAAAGAAGGGCTGGACCTGCCTTCTTTTCTGATCATTGCGAGGGTCGCCGAGGAAAGTGAGGAATTCAAGAAGATCCCACTTCGCGACAGGCTGCATTAGGTAGGCGATGAAGCTGTTATCCGTATATGACCCAACATAGTTCACCAAATGGCGATGGGAGAGCTTCTTGAGGATTTGTACCTCCTTGATGAAATCATTCTGTCGTCTGAGGTTTATCGCCGAATCTCTCCGCCGCGGAACTCGTTTTCGTGCGAAGGTGTTGAAGCTGAGCTTGCTTTTCACCTCATCAACCTGGCTATGCATTAGTCCATGCCAGTCAGCTCAGAGACCTGAAAAGTAGCATTCTGCTTACCCAAATCCGCCTTGTCCGAGCACTTTGAGTGGCCAAAAATGTGCATCAGCGCTTCCCGGAATAAGTTGGTGCTCTCCTCCTTCAATCTCGAGCGAACGTGCTTCTGGGCTCAGAACATGATGCTGGAAGCTAAGGAAATCGTCTCTCAGCCTGTCACTGTTGAGGAATCCCGGCAGGGTACGGTTATCGAACGGGAGGTGGATATCAAAGTAGTTGCCATCCACAAATCGATCCAAATACTCCCAGTGGTTCCCGCCAGCGATGCTTCGTAGCACTGTGTATGTCCGCGGCCTGCACTGCCAGTTCCTGGGGTCTGGAAAGCTGGTGTCTCGGAAGATGTCGAGTTGGACGAGAAGACCTTCGATCCTCTGGAACTTCTCAGAAGTGAAAGGGGGCTGGCACAAATTCTCCAACGCTGCTTCAGCCTGGTCCACCGGAATAGGTGCCCGTGCCGGTTCTCTCCCGCCGGATTTCCCAGGAAGAAAGAGATGGAAGAAACTCATGATGAGTGCCAACTCGAACGAATGAGGTCGAGATGGGGATCGCGACCGCGAACAAGCGGACTCAATGAGGCCGCACTTTCAAGTTTTCCGCGAGGCGCCTGCATGAGGCTGAGAAGAGTATGCCGAGTTGCTTATGTACGTCATACGACCCGCCCATGCCTTGGGGGCGCAAACATCAGCTGCACAAACCCCGCACCTCAGCTGTCACCATATCAGCCTTGTGTGCACCTCGGACTAGCCGACCCGACGACGACAGCCTTCCTGATATCCAACTGCACATTTCTCCAGTCTCTACCATCAGTGACAGTTCGGGCAGAGGACAGGCATGGCTTCGGGTGTTGAGGGAGCCGCCGCCATTGCCGGTTTCATTTCCTTGGCCTTCGAAGCGTTTGAAGGATGCCTCGAGGCATACAAATTCGTCTACACGGCTCAGCACATTGGCAATGATGGCGACTCGGTGCGCTCAAAACTAGTCTGGGAGCGACATCGATTGCGGGAGTGGGGAGAGCGAACCGGCATTCAGACCAGCTCTCCGCAGGAAAAGCTCAATTGGAACCTTGTCGTTGCACTGTTAAATCAACAGAAAGCGCTAATGACTTCTGCGGAAGCTCTGGAGAAAAAGTACAAGCTGCGCGTTCCAGAGGAACTCATCAGTGTCAGCGACATGGAGGACGAGGCCTCAAACGAGAGTACATTTGAGAAGTTGCTTCAACGAATCAAACCGGACATCACCCAGCCCAGCAGCAAAATCATACAATCGCAAAACGGGACGCTCAAAAGGCTGAAGTGGGCCACCGTCGGGAAAAGCCAAGCTCTTCGCATTGTTGATGAAATAGAGGAGATTAACAACCGCCTGCATAACCTCCTGGACACGGCCGACCAGAAGCGGCTGCAGCTCGCCACCGAAGCCTTACTGAGGGACCTTGTCTCCAGGTCAACAAACTCAGCTGAACTCGAGTCAATCCAGCAGCTGCTCTGCCCAAAGCACTCATTCAACGATCGACAGATAGCAGCAGCCGCAGAGCTAAAGCAGATCATGGCCATCGTGGGCAAGAACAACGAAAACCACACTCTCGATGCGGCAATGCTAGTCAAGATGGGTTTGAAGCTCAAACTTCTCAGTGCGAAGAAGCTCAAGCCTTTGCTTCCTGCCTCGCGACTGGAGTGCTGTGGTATCGAACTGGGCAGATACCGCGACAAAGAGGTCCTCATCGAATGGAGAGCCACCGATGAAGAGACCTGGGACATCATGGAACCTCAAATGAGGGCCCTCGCTGTGCTTCTAGGGAAAATGGATGGCGGAGTCTTCCCTGTCCTTCCATGCCTGGGTCTTGTTTCCTGGAAGGAGCTCGATAGCTTTGCCCTGGTGTATGATCTATCTTCGGTCATCAAACGAAATGTTCCCGTCGAGCTGAAGTCCCTACATCAAATCATCTCCGAGCAGCCTCAGGCTTCGCTTAGCCGTCGTTTCGACATCGCCTTGGGCTTGGCTGAAGCAGTTCTTCAGTTTCACACCGCGGGATGGCTACATAAAGGCATCCGCTCGGAGAACATACTGTTCATCACGAATCCAGGTGTGTCATTGGAGCACTGTCTGGGCACAACTGCGTACCTCGTTGGGTTCGAGAACGCTCGGCCGGACACCGAAGATGGCCAGATGTTGACCCGCCAGCCGCTAATGGACTTACAGGCCGACTTGTACAGACATCCCTCGGCAAGAGGGGCGGATCGGCAATGCTTCAGAAAACCCTTTGATTTGTATTCGCTGGGCTGCGTTTTGTTGGAACTTGGTCTGTGGAAGAGGCTTGTGGATGTGCACTCCGGTAATCCGGATCTCGATGAACAGATACGGAGCGCGGAACGGGATGGGAAGATGCTGTCTCTACCCTCTCTTGTAGAGTTCGGATACGACACGGAGGAGGTGGCAAGGTTGTCACACACGGCAGGGCAAATTTTCGCCGAAGTAGTGGCTCGCTGTCTCACAGATGAGGAATCGGACAGCAAGGAAGCGGATAGCTCTTTGGAGACTCAGAGATCGATTGTAAATATGTTGCGTAGTTGCAATTGCTGATGGGAGACTCCTCAGTGTCCTGGTCGAGAGGGGCAGGCGTGGTGCATAGTATCCAGTAAACATATCACTTACACATAAGATGCGATTAACACCTCATCTCGATTTTAGGAAGGCTGCGGATTCGGCGTCCACAAGTGTAGAGGCAGAGTAGCTGTTGATTCATCATTGTGATACTACTAACTTGTTCAACCCGGCTTTTGCTTAGTCAAGAAACTGAGAGAGACACTCGAATCAAATCGGGTAGATCCACGACTTCCGTTGTGGTCTAGGGGCTAGGATTTGCCGCTCTCAGATACAGAGCACACCTCGCTATCAAGCGCCGGCAAGGCCCGGGTTCGATTCCCGGCGACGGAATAATCGGTTCTTTTTGCCCTCATTGAGCCCAGCGATTATCAAGACTTGATGCGTCTTTTTTGGGTGTTCTTAGAACCGGGGTGTGGAACCATTTGTGTGCCTGAGGCCTCGAACTGATGTGGGTCGTGGCGATCAACGAAACGCGGTGTGGCGGCACGTTGAAACACGCCTGTTTCGGGGAAGCCGTATGGAGCACCGACGTTGCGCCTCGAGGCGAGAGGAAGGCGCATCCGTGAGGGATGATGGACAGGAAGGGCCGAATTTGCGACGGTTGATCTGGAAAGATGTGAGAAAGGATTGGAGGCCTGTAAAGGATAGTCGGGCCCAGAACATCATTCAGAGGGAAGCGGGAGATGGACTATCATATTCAGACGTTTGATTGGATACGAGGTCTGTTCTCCAAGCCTCTATCTAACTGACTTTTTCCCGGCCTTGAATAAATGCCACCGTTTCCAGGTTCTGATTCTTCGTCCAACATGTAGCTTTCCGTTCATACGATCACTTAGCCCTTACACTCTTCTTCGCGATGACGACAGCAGGCGGGTGGCCTGGTCTGATCCGGTCGACGATCAGCCTGGCCAACGCGGCTGCAGCGGAGATGCTGCACGATCAGCGGCAACCCATTATGATCTCCCCTGCCCTTGTTGTATACGAAACATGAAACAAGACGGGAAATCTTGATTGGTGAACCTCGTGCTTCCGTGGCCGGTTACAGAGTGTATTCCTCGCACGTTTCTAAGGAACGCGTCCGCCGCTCTACATGGCGTATTCGCGGGAGTAGGCGAAGGAGGAGATATAATTAGCGTTCCACTGCAGGGGACGAGTCATTTTCCATGTGCGACTTCCTCTCCCTTTTCCCCTCATCCAGTTCTACACCTACGCAATGGTGCTGGCTAGCGGGGAAGAGACGACAGTAATCTAGAACGTCTAGATTGCGGCCCAAAGGAATCAAAGGTGCTACTCTGGAAACTTAGTCGATGACGTTAGACTCAGCGCGTTTTCTTTTCTCCACCTTCTCTCGCTTCCTTACGCCGTGGCGCGTTTGATGTACATGTAGCGCGGTCCTATGCCGTTCTAGGCAAAATAGGCCCGAGACACTTTGCCAGAACGCTCAATGGTCGTATCAGCGGCTGAGGTATCTCTACCTACTCTCGAGTCTCGACTATCTTGTTTGATACAGAACATCAAATCTTACCCGGTGTGTTTAGATGGCCCATACACATTGTCTCACTTTACATGCATCATTCTGATCAGGAAGAGGTGAAGCAGAAGTGGAAGAAAAAAAAGAATTTTGCAGGTGATGACCAATTACCACTGCGACTACTGACATTTCCTCTGATTTCCTAGCGCCTCTTCAATGCTCGGCTTAGCCGTCTCTCAATACATTTCAACATCCCTCCAATACTCATTCTTACTCCCGCATGATTTGAAGCAGAGAGAATCCGATCCTTTTTCTCTGCGCCCGTGAACAGAGCACAGCGGGTACACGACGGAAATCCGTTCACCATGAGTCGGCAAGGCCACAAAAAAAGAAAGGAGACGCAATATAAGGTCAACAATGAAAAACTGGGCATGCTGCAGGGGGGGAATTACGCCGCGAAACGCCTCGGACGACGATAAAGGAAAACGGGAGCACCGCATGTCAAATGACCAAGGAAACGAGGAGCGACAAAAGAACGTGAATGTACCAGCAAAGGAAATTGAGAAGGACCGAGAGACCGAAAAAAGCAAAAAAAAAAAAAAAAAACCGTTTCTTATCCCGGAAAAGCAGAAAATCAGGACGCCTGGAAGGAACGCCATACTGGCAAAGGTGGTAGGGATGGAGGAAAATTGACTTCGGTTCGTAGCCGAAACATAAATGTGAAGCCTCTTTTCTTCGTTGCCCTATCCAAGCAGAGGCTTCTTGTCCACCCAGCATCGTTGAAGTGAATATGCAATAAAAAGCAGTAAACAGGCGAGGGGAAACCAAAACAGAAAGTGATATCTTCAGTCGTGCGTCGTTAATCAGGAGGTATAGAAGAGAGAAGGAAATATGCAGCCCACCTAGTATGTCCGTTGTCAAATCAATTGGAGTCCAGCGTTTCCGGTGTAGCATGTGCTCCTTACCAGATTTCTTCTCCTACTCTTGCTCCATTCTGTCGTCTGTTCTTTCTCCCGGCACGGCACGTCTCCCCAGGAGAAGCGCGACCCTTGGACCCCGGTCTTCCGGCGCCCGCGCACGCAGGGAAACTCTAACCCTGGTATGCAGAGCCTCGATTCCCACGCTACTGGGCGGCACTGACCCACAACACAAGCTTGGGGCTTCGGGAAATCGCGTCTTCTAGTTGCTCGTCGTCTCCAATGCTGTAATATTGGCCGTCGGCCTCGTCTCTGTACTCGACCAGCAGCGCTTCATCAACCACCTCTTGCGGGCTCACGCCCTTCTCCAGCGCGCGTCGCTCTTGCAACTTCTTGTACAAGTCCCCAAAACGGAAGTACGCCGGCATCCTGATAATGACACAGTTGTCCTCTTCAAACCAGACCTTGATTTTGTGGGCGCCGACACCGGTTCCGGTGACGGTGCTGTTGCCGGCAGATGATGCTGACCCCTGCGTCATGCCACTGTTGTTCCGCTGCATTCCAGGATGTTGCTGGACCGGGTGCAAAGAATTAGCCTTGGAGGCCTGGCGCTGGTGGTTGTGATAGCTAGATTGCGATTGGCTGTGCGAGTGGTGGCTTTGCTGCAGGTTCCCCGTGGAAGACTGTCTCGAAGCGCCACCAGACGGATCTGTTGATTGCTGAGACGCGCCAGACAGCCTGTATCCATCCGCGCTGATGTTGGGGTCGATTTCGTAGTCATTCTCCTTGGGCTTGAAGAATTCGCAGACGAGCTCCGAGCGGGTGATATGAGGCCCCAGTTTTAGCAGATTTACAATGTAATCATCAAGATTCGCGCGGCGACCGTTGGTAATATTGTCCGTGACGTAGGTGACCGGTCCAGGCATGTAAGGCAGAGTTCTCTCGACACCCTCGACCTGACCGGCCTCGAGCGGGAAGGCGTTGATGAGCTTGATCTGGAGGTCGTAGAAATCTTGGTAGAGACGAGAGAGTTCCCAGTAAGACCCATCCTCCATCTGACACTCGACGATGAACCAGAAGATGTCGTTTGCGAAACAGTACCGGGGCACGCTTGCGTTGATTGGCGCAAGCGATCGGGCTTCGGCCTGGTTGGACTGGCGGTAGCCGCCGTTGTTGGCGGCAACGCTTCCTGCGCGCGAGTGGGACTGTTTGCGCTGATCACTATTCAAGCTCGCGTGGACTGGAAACTCGTTCGGACTTACCGTTGCGTATCCGTTCTGGCCGTTCCGACTCTGCACGCTCATGCGCTCCACGCCCTGCTGCAGCGTCTGCTGCGAGTTGGACTCCAGCTTGCCCAGCGGAATACTGCCGTTCTTGTACTCGGCTGCCATCTTCTTCCACTCCTCCACCCGCGGCACGCCGGCGGCGCGCACGGCCTCGTGGGGATCGGGAACGGCCTTGCCGGTGGACATGTCGCGGATCTCGATGAAGGAGACAGGAATCAGGCCGGGGCCACCCAGGCGGGTGATTGGCTTGGCGACAAACCACTCCGGGTTCGACTGGGCAATGACGATGATAGCCTCGCCCTCCTTGGCCTCCAGCTCGTCAGGGCGCTCGGCCTTGAAGTCGTAAATGACGACGCCGTAGACCATGGCACCGGTGCCGCCGGCGGCGCCCTTCATCGACGACTTGCTCATCCTCGCAGGCTTGGGAAAGAGGTCGTGCTCCGAGGAGGTTTTCTCGGCGTAGCCGCTGTCGTGGCCGGCGCTGTGTAGATTGGCGAGATCGGCGTGGGAAACGGAGCTGCCACTGTCTCGCACAGTCTTGCCGACGGTATCAAAGTACTTGACAGGTACCAGTCCTCGCGAGCCGTGCAGCGGGTTGCATGCCTCGTACCAGTCGGGGTCGTTCTCGCGGCCGACGACGTGCAGGAAGTCGCCTTGGGTGAAGCTGAGGTAGTGTTCGCTGTCGGGGGCACTGTAGTCGTAAAGGGCTTTAATAACCTGCGCAAACGCTGTGTGTTAGCGAGAGTGGCAATTTCGGCGATATGACTGCGCGGGCACAAGGACGCTCGTAAGGCTGGCCGGCGGGCGCGCGGTGACGCGGAGGGCGGGGCGTTGCGTCGCTGGGCAGCAGCGCGGTCGGGGGTGCTAGGCAGCACGACGCACCTTCTTGGGCGGCACGATGGCTATGGCATCCTTGGGTGGGATGGAGATGTGGTGTGGTTTCGAGTCGGCCTTGTCGCTCTTGAGCGATCTCCGGAACTAGGACGGCGGCATGTCAGCGCAGCGTTCGCGGGACTCTGCGGGCAGGGTCCACCGGCTGGGCCACGGGGCGCGCTGGGGCTGGGCCGAGGGGCTCACCTTGACCATTTCGAACGTCTGGAGCTGCTCGGCGCGGCGCGGCGAGAGACGGGGAGCGTTTGCTCGAGGGCTGCTGTTTGGTGGGGAGCAGGCAGGTTTTGGTACGGGCAGGTGTTGTCACAGGCAGGCAATCGCTTTAGCGCGCCCTGGCCGGAGCTTGGTCGCGATCGGTGCTTTGCTGGTCAGGCGCAGGCGAATGCTTGGGGAGGCGAGCAGAGGGCGGGCGCGCAGGCGAGCAGAGGGCGGCTCGCAAGCAGGAGGGCGACAGGCTGCGGTGCGTCGGGCTGGAATGATGGCTTGCACGTCAGGACGTCGTGGGAGACCCTGGCCCAAAGCGCCTTTCCTCGTGGCAGCGCGCCACCACAGCGAACAACGAGATTGCACGCCGGCTCCGCTGCGCTGCCAGGCGCGTAATAACCTGAGACTGCGCGCCCAAGGCGTCAGCGCGCGCGGCGGGGAGGCGCCAGGGTCCCGGATGCGCTCGTCTGTGCGCCGCGATGCAGCAGTTGGCGATCGCGTTCCTAGGACTCCCACGCCGTCGGGCTTGACAGCGCCTGCCAGCGCGACACAATCAGCCTTACCGCGAACCAGTGCTAATGAGCGCCATGCCAGGCGACACGTCAATTCCGCTACATATGTGCAAATCAAATCCCCAGACGCCCGCACCCATCCCCATGCCGCCGCGCCCGCTGTACCTGCGCCGCCCGCCTGTAAGCCAAGGGCAGCGCTCGCCGCCTGCTGCGGCGCCGGATGTCGGGAGCGCTGCACTACTCAGCACCACGGCCTGGGCAGCCCCATCGCTGAAACCACCACCCAAAAGCCCGTACAGCCCATCAACTCCAGACTCCCGCCGACGACGCCTCCATTTGTCATTCCGCATGCCTTCCAGCCCGCATGACGCTTGCCAACGGCTGTGCAGCCTCCCGCCCGGACAAAGCTCCTGCACGTCGCATTGACGCACCGACAGGCATAGCCACGTTCGCAACGCCCGGGCCTTGTTCCGGACAAAGGCTGCCGTTGCCGATCCTTCCAGCGTTGGGCGCCACACCCTCGCCAGTCGCATCACGCCCCGACCCGAACCGGCACCCCTGCTCTGGCCCGCCATCGCCGCCAAAGTGCCCCCTGCCATCGCCAGAAAGCCGAAACTTGAAACTTTCGTCAGATGCCAAAGACCTCGGCCCTCGCGAAAAGAAAGGTCGTAGACGATGCGCGACGCCAAGAGGTTGGAAGCGCCGTGGCGACCTGGGACGTGGAACTCGGGAAAAAGGTAGATGGAATGATAGAGAACAAAAAGAAGTAAAAATGCAAGTTGCCGTTAGGCGCCCCCGGAGGAGGCTTCGACGCGCGGTGCATGCACGCGAATGCGATGAGTAAAAAGCGTGTGACCGCTCGCATTCTGGGGAGACACTACAAGGCCGCCGGAGGCTCCGAAGCCACTGTTGCGAACACTCGGCGCATGGGCTGCGCGAGCACGGCAGGAGGTGCGAGTATCGTACCGGTCTAGTGCGGCATTTCATATTTGGCCCTTGATGTCGACCCGTCGGAAAGCTCCCGCTTTCAGCTGTTCGAAGAGTGCCGCCGACTGGGGTTGCGTATGGAAAATCACACTACCGTCATCTTTCTGCTCCAAGAACTGTTGAGCGCCATGGTCACAAAGATACTGCACGCAATCTTGGTAAGACTCGAATCCAAGCTCGTCCGTGAGGAACTTGATGTTGATGTTGGGCTTGTACCTGCGGGCACGTTAACATGTGCCATCCAAACAGCGGGAGGAGCAAAGGGACTCACGCTTTGCATATGTTAGCCAGGGCGGCTAGTCGCTCGCGCACAATGAACATGTCCATCAAGTACGCCCCCATGTTTGGAGTATCAAGGTACAATCTGAAAAACTTATGGTAGTTGCCAAGGGCCAGAGCGGAGCGGACGTCCAGGGCGTGCTTGACCGCTGGTTGTGTTTTGTCTGTGGGGGTTAGATCGGCCAGCACCTCGTTCATATCGGTTCGGTTTTGCGTATAGATAAAATAGAGAATGCGGTATGCCAGAAACTCGGCCGGATGTCCTCCGAGCTTCTGCGAATACAGTGCACGCAACTGCGTCTGGCACTGATTATACTCACCCAAATCCCCCTTCTCCAACGCGATACGGGCGTGAATCTCATACACTGTCACGGTAAACTCGTTCTTGATGTGTTGCACGGTCAGGTCCTGGCGAAGCGACTTGAACTGGTCGCAAATGTACGCGTAGTTCCCTTCCTTCTTCCACTTTTGCTTGAGGTGTTCCAGCGTCTTCTCCAGGATTTGCGGTGGACGGACGGCCTCCGGTTTCGGTGCTGATGTAAGACGAAGGTACCGTTTCTCCAGATCCTGGCAGGTGCCGACCACGGGTCCGTCGTTGGCGTCCGCGGGCGAGTCATCGCGGGAGGTGTTCCAGGGCCGAGGAGAGCTTTTGCCGCTGTAGAAGCGTTGCTGACGCTTCTCGATCTTGTCGGCGTCGTTGTCGTACTTACTGAGCCCCTTATCGCGGAGTCCTTTGGGGGTGATATGGTTCTTGTCCATTCGGTCTGCCAGGCTCCGCACTACGCCGGGCGAGGTTGGGGGGTCGCTGCGGTCATCGAGTCTTCTCTTGTTAGTTCTCCGCCATGGTGGAAGTGAGTTATCGTCAGCATCGTGGTTCGCATCGGGAGACTTGCGCTTCTTCGGAAAAGCGCCATTTGCATCCGCCATGTTCTTTTCCGGGGTCGACTGATTCCTCCAAGGCGAGTTGGCTACGTTTGCGGCTGAGGTTCGCTGGGCGACGATGATCTCTTGGGGAAGGGGGTGCTTATCCCAATCGATTTCGTACAGCATGTTGGCCTCGGTGGCTTCGGTGATGACCCTCTTGAGTGTTTCTTCAATGTCTTTACGGCCAATGTTGGGGACGGCGGAGAGGTCGGCGAACGAGCGCTGAACGTATTCGCGGACGGCCGGTGGCCACTCCACTTTCTTCGGCGGTGCCGAGTTTGCTGCTATGTGGGGTTGGGATGGGGGTGTAGACACGGGCTCAGGTCGGGCAAAGGTACGACGAGCGGGAACGGCGGTGTAGGCAGGTGCTGGGGCTGGGGCGACGCGACGCGTGAGTAACGGGCGTTCTGTGTGGTGGTGAAGCGCGTCTGGCTTACGATTCATGGCCGCAGCGCCGGGCGGCTGGCGCCATGGCACGGAGGCAGACATGGCTTACGGCTGGAGTGGCGAGCAACGAAAGCAGAAGTAAGGGTAGGCAGGACGACGAGGAGCCGTGTGGTGGGCGAGAAAGGAGGCTGGAGGAAGGGATGCGGTCGTGAGGGATGTGAGGCGGTCGGTGGAATGCCGCCTTAAACGAGCAGTCGCTTACTGGCTTGGCAGATCGCTGGGGTCCAGTGTGCAAAGTGGCAGCACCCGCGAGCGGCGCTGCCTGACCACCCGGAGGCAGAGCGGCAACCTGCCATGGCACGTGAGGAGCCAATCAGCGCGATGACGGAACTACCCAAGCTGCCTACACCTGCGGGGCGCAAGCTGGGCCGTTGCTGCTGCTGCTGCTGCACCACGCCTGCACTCATGCGCTCGCTGAATGTTCATCCACCGCCTTGACCTCACCACTGCTCTGCGTCCTGAGCTCCTGCCGGACGAGGCGCTCTTGTTCGTGCAGGATGCCGTCGGCCTGTACGAAGGGTGAGTGCTGCTCCCAGCAGCTTCGCCAGTGCGCCGCGAAGCTGATGGCCGCGTCTGCAGCAAGTACAAAATACCCGACTACCAAGATGGCCACGCCTACTTGACCTCGCACCGTGTCTGCTATGTCGACAACAAAGAGCCGCGCAAATCCTCCGTCGCCGTCAGCCTGAAGGACGTCGAGCGCCCTGAGTTCTATGTATGCGCCCGAGCGTGGGGGTGCAAGCAAGCGTACTGATTCCGAACACAGGCTGGCTTCCTGAAGTCGTCGCCCAAGGTCACCGTTTATCCCAAGCCCAACAAGCGTCCAAACCTCGCGGCGACGCGCGGTCCAGTTCCCATTAGCGGGAGCAGCGCAGGATACAGTCCTGCCTCGACCCCGCCGCGCCACGGCAGCCCTCTACGTCCCTTACCGACTACACCCGCACCTCCTCCAAGCGCGTCCGCGACGTGGGTGTGCCCGATATGCTCGTTCTCCAATCCCGTGCCATCAAACTTCGATCCCGCTCTGGCAAACACCAATACGCCGCTGCCGCCGTGCTTGGCTTGCGGCTTGAAGCCTCCACTTGTGCACCTTATCAAAGCTGCTATCGCAGCGAACCGGCAGGTGCAAGCCGAGTTACCAGGCAGTCAAAGGGCATCTGAGTGTCCTTCCACACCAGCGAGTGCGCGGATTACTGGATCCTCTCCGAGCGCCGCTGCCTTTCAGTGTCCAAGATGCACGTTCCAAAACCATCCGTCGCTGTTGAGCTGTGAGATGTGCGGCGCTTCTCTCGTCAACGCCGTAAACAAGCGTACGGACATCAACCACTCTCCAATACACAGAAACGAATCGCCTGCACCTGTCCTCAGTGGCGCGCCTATCGGCGACGATATACCGGAATGCATCAAGTTTTCCTTTCGGGCTGGCGGAGGACCGATATTTTTCGAGAGGCTGAAGGGTGCTCTCCTACAAAGGAAATGGCTGTTGCAGAGTGCCCCGCCTATCCCTAGGCCGATCGAAAGTTCTACGCCATCACAAAGCCCAGGCGATCTGCCGATCAGAAACAAAGCGGTCGGGATCGGGGGTCTTGAGCGACGCGGAATTGAGCAGCGCCAGAACAACGAGATCATGATCGGCAGTGCATTTGAGGATCTCGAGGCTTTGATGACTTCAGCCAAAGAAATCATAGCTCTGGCGGAACAGTTTGCCAGCCAGGCGAATTTGAACGGGAACGGAAACTCGGAAGCGGACGCAGCTCTGGCTCAGTCGGCTTCTGCGTTGGGATTAGTCACAACAAAGGATATGCTGGGTTCGGGTTCGGACACACTCTATATCTCAGAGCTGTCGCGTAACTTGGCAGAGTTCTTGACGGATGACAGAAAAGGCATCCTAAAGCGTGAGGGTGGCATCATGAGCCTGGTGGACCTTTGGGCCGTCTTTAACCGAGCTCGAGGGGGTGTTGAGCTCGTCAGCCCCACAGACTTTGAGAAGGCGGCTCAGATGTGGGATAAGCTCAGGCTACCGATTCGTCTTCGACGCTTCAAGAGTGGACTACTTGTTGTGCAAGGTCGCGACCGGACCGATGAAAAGACGATAGCCAGTCTACTAAGCTGGCTTCAGGAGCTCCATACTGCTGCTCCGCCTGGAGAAGCCGGTTGGGACTGGGAAACGTACGGACGAGGGGTCACAGCGCAAGAAGCCGCGGAATGGTTTGGTTGGAGTGTAGGTGTGGCAACAGAGGAGCTCGAGATGGCTGAGGAGAAGGGCGTGCTGTGCCGAGAGCAAGGCCTGGACGGCATCAAGTTCTGGGAAAATTGGATCGTGAAGCTGCCGCGCGTGGAGGATATTGTGGTAGAAGAGTAGTGCAGCCACGCGCATTTATGGCGAGAATGCAGTTGTCACGTCCTGGAATGAGTTGAGCTGTAAAATATTCTGGCCTACCATGTCTGTTAATCTGAGCATGCAATTCATTCAGCCTCTTGGCTAGGTCGACAAAACCAAAAGTCGCTCATAGCCTTCAAGATCGACCTGAGGCTAGATCATTCCGCGGTGGTTCCTATCATCTAGACCGTTGTGAGCACCAAGGAGCTGTCTTGCCTAAACGGGCATTCCTCCTCGCGATCCGGTCCCTAGACAGTGACGGCACAGGCCGATATCGGCCGCTTAGACACGGGCGCGGGAACATGGTCCATGTGGCTTGGGAAGCATGGCAGCTTGTGATAGCACTCCCTTTACCAATGCAGCTGGCGCCTCTCGGGTCTGATCATCAGTCTTCCGTTCCATACGTCCAAGGTATTAAGTTGTAGCTCGCCCCTTGGAACTGTTGAATTTGGCCCCAAAATCCAGCAGACGCGACCATGAAAGAAGCCCAAGCGGGCGAGACACCCGATAGCTATCGCAGCCCGCCGCACCACCACCAGCCGCCGATGACGCCGGCGGCTGCAACAATGCGCGGAGCTGGGTCGCCAAGATACACAGCAGATGCGGATCACCAGCGGGTCGCCGCGTTATCCTCACGTCCCACTTCCGCCAGTTTCGATGCAAACGGCACGACAGACATGAAAACCACGGCGGCTCCTTCGTGGAATACCCAAGATTTGGGCTGGAGAATCGGCGCTGACTGCACGGCGGCAGCCAGCGCGGGCATCCTTGTCGCGCCCGTTGTGACGGCAATCGATCGGTACGTGCAAATCCGGGGTAGAAATCAGGCCACTTGAGTTCGCCTACCCATGTACCGCGCCGCAAGCCTCTCCCAAGCCCATGTACCAAGACGAACACCAACGCAACGAAGGCACCACTACTTCGTGCTTCAGCGCGTCAAACAGCTAATCCTCCCCTCACAGAGCTATAATCGAAAATGCCTCCGGCCGTTCCACCCTCCGCAACTCCCTCCTCGGCTCTCTCCGCACCCTCCTTGTGCGGCCGCACACCTACATCTTCTCGCGGCCCTTCGCCCTCATCTTCGCCCTCTACACAGGCACCTACCTGACCGCCAACACGCTCGACACAACCACGTCCGTCCTGCACTCCACGCCCGCCTCGTCCACCACCGCCGGCGCCCCCAAGTTCGTCGCCACCAGCAGCGCCAACCTCGCCCTCTGCCTGTACAAGGACAGCCGCTTCACGCGCATGTTCGGCCTGACGTCCGGCGCGCCGCGCCCCGTGCCCACGGCCACGTACGCGCTCTTCGCGCTGCGCGACTGCCTCACCGTCTTCGCGAGCTTCAACGTGCCGCCGCTGCTGGCGCCCGCGCTCGCCGCGCGCATCGACCGCACGACGGGCGCCCTGGGCGACGCGCTCCGCAGACACGTCGACGCCGCGAGCGCCGCCCAGTTCGCCGCCCCTGCCGCCGTGCAGGTCTTCAGCACCCCGCTGCACCTGCTCGGCCTCGACCTGTACAACCGCCCGCGCGGCTCGCCCGGCGTCGGCTTCGCCCAGCGCCTGGGAAAGGTCACGAGCAACTGGGGAACGAGCTGCTTGGCGCGCATGGCGAGGATTGTGCCGGCGTTTGGGTGCGGGGGCGTAGTGAATCTGAGGGTGCGGAGGGCGTTGATGGGTAAGCTCGAGTGAACGAGGGATGCGGTGCGTGACTGAGAATATGCGCGGGCCAACGTTACTTGCTATGGACGACAGTACGTCGATGTCTTTGGCTAAGGCAGGGAAAGGAATTACGACCAGGATGACAAAAGCATGGCGACCTTACCTGCATTGAGACCGACAGTATTGACAGCATGCACTGCACAGCACACGTTCAGAACTTTGCGGCATGAGCTACGACATTGACTGACGAATCTTGGGTACCGACTGCACCGGTCTATTTCGCGCTTTGTCTGTTGTTCTTTCGGGTTAGTGAAAGCATATACTTAGACTGGCGTTTAGGTGTTGTATTCGGGGTTCTTGAACAGCTTGCCTAAGTGGATGTAGTAGGATAACCACCGGCCAGGCCTCTATGGCTTTGAATAGTGGCGACCATAGATAACAATGCATCAAATTACAGTAATGGCAAAAGCGACATGGGACATGATATAAAGTGCTTTTAACAGGTCGAATTCATATGAGACGTTCGGAATAGGAAAGACGAGCTGAGGCCGTGGCCGATCAAAACCACCGCGTGACGACACACCAATGGTATCAGCATAAACTTTATGAGAGCCGGCTATTTTTATGCCGGGCCTCGATCCTGCGACCTCACTACGAGCTGCCCGGCATGCCATAGAGAGAGTAGATAGGCATCCGTTGCGTCATGAACTCCAGGCGAGGTCATGGAAAGAACTTTCTGATTACTCATAGGTTTTATACCTTAGTGCTCCAGCTGCCATGCCAGGATAGTATGTTCCTCCACTCTCATCACTGTTAGCCACCTCAGGTCGTCGCCCCATGCAATCCCTCTCGGGCCAGGTTATCAATGTGCACTGGTCCGTAGTCCAGTGGGCCAACCTTATCCATCAACACCCTCTCCGTTAACATCCACAGCGCCTCGCTCAAGTCCTCATTCCTCGCCAAGTCACTCGGCTCCTCAACCTTTCGGTCCGGCACGATATACACGCCCTGCATTCCTTCACGCGGCACATCCTCGCTCGTCGCCGCGAACAGCGCGGACCGGCATCCCCCGTCGATGGGATCCTTCATGAACGGCCGCACCACTGCCGCTCCCACTTTGCCAATGGTACCATACGCCTCAACGGCCTGGTCCGGCTGGTCCGTGTTCACCGCGCCTGGGTGCGTAGCGATGACCCACGGGCCGGTCGACATACCTTGGTTGCGGAAGCCGAGCTCATCCTTGGCAGCATGGCGGGCAAGCGCGCGTACGAAGAGGATCTGGGCGAGCTTGGTGCGGGCGTAGAGCTTGGTGGGGCCGATGTCGGTGTTCAGCTCTTCGAGCGTGGCAAACTTCATTGATGAGTCGGCCATCTTGTGCATCTCGGATGCTTGGAGGACGAGGCGGCTGTTGGGCGTGCGTTGGAGGAGTGGGAGGAGAACCATGGCGAGATGGAATTGAGAAATGTAGTTGACTTGCATGTGGGAGTCTTTATTCTGCTGTTAGTAATGGTGAGGAGAAAAGGAATTTTGCGGGAAAAGGCTTACCGATGCCGTCTTTGGTCTCGCTGTAGACGCCTACACCCACACCGGCATTGAGGATCAGACCGTCTAGTTTTTCCAAACTCGAGAGCTCTTTAGCAACAGTGTCGACACTCCTCAGGTCTTGGAGATTGCACTTCTTCCATTCGACTCTAGCGCTATCGCCGTATTTCTTCAGGCCCTCTTGGGCTTCTTCTGCGTGCTCCTCCTTGTTGGACAGGAGGTAAATCTTGGATGCGTTGTGCTGGAGGAGATGAGCAACGATTCCGTACCCAATACCTGCAGAGCCACCAGTGACAGCGTAGACCTAGTTCAGCTCGTAAGCGGCCAGCCTTTTGAGTTTTATTTGCGTCAGGAGATATGTGATCAGTTCGTTTGAGATGGGCTGGAATAGACAATTGAAATCATCGAAACCTCAACGCCCAATCCCTCCCTCGAAGAAGCCACGCATGATTTTCATCCGATCAATGGGAAAACGCATTGAGGAGCAGAGGCTGATATACCTTGCCACTAAGGTCAGGGATGTCCTTGTTGGGGTCAAACTTGTTGTTACCAAGAAGCGGCATGATGCTTTATTTCTGCGTGTTGGATGAAGAGGTATCCGATGTGTTCTCCACTAAGCATGGGAATCAATGCAACATATAACGAAGACATCCAATGCGTCCAGTAAAGGGCAACTGCACATGTGAGCGTCATGACCGTGCAATGATGTCAGCAGAAGCCAGCTGCTTGCCTCTTTGGGCGACTGTGAGGCACATCCATAGCGTGCCGGCTAAGTGAATTCCGGCCGGAGCTGCATCGTGTAACTAGCAGCAATGCTGGAGTAGTCATGCGTCATCGTGAAGCCATCGGTAGTTCCAGCGCTGTCGGACGAAAACTTCTCGACAAAGCGGACGCTGGTGGAGTACGTGTGCAGAGGAGCGGAAGGCGGAAACAGCCTGCGGGAAAGCAGGCCATTTTTCAGCCGCCCGCTGACGCTCACCGCCCACCGCACCGCCGCCCACCTTGCACTAGCTACCCCATCGCCAGCTCCGAAGACCGCAGCACCCACGTCTCAAGCAGTACAAAGCCCGCAAGCAATCTTTGGGGAGAAACCATATCCGCCCCTCGCCGTCGACCTCCTCTTTCCATCTCGATAAACCTGACTCGCCTCCAGCAGCCATGGTCGAATGGTACGAGCCGGACAGCTGGGTAACCAAGCTGTTCGACGCCAATCTGAGCACCTTCTTGCTCACCCTGGTCGTCGCATTCGGCCTGCCGTTATTGTTGCACCTGTACCTATACCGCCATAGAACACCCATCAACACCGCTACCTTCTTGCTGGTTGGGCCAAGCGGCGCCGGCAAGACGTCGCTGCTCACTGCTGTACGCAAATCCCTACCCCAAACCTCACCACCCAAGAGAAAAAGAAAAGAAAGAAAAAACCACTAGAGCCACACATCCATAGCAGCCAGCAGCATCGACTGACCTCCCCAACTCCCCACACAGCTCGAGACCGGCCGTCCCCTCTCCACCCACCCCTCGCAGACCTCGCACAGCAGCATCCTCGCCCTCCCCGAAGCCTTCACCCCCTTCAGCGCGCGCTACCGCAGCGCCAACGACCCCACCAACTCGCGTACGCGCCAGCTCTCCCTGACGGACACGCCGGGCCACGGCAAGCTGCGCGGCAACGCGCTGGCGGCGGCGCTCGCGACGTCCAAGAACCTGCGCGGCGTCGTGTACCTCGTCGACGCGGCGGCGCTGGCGGCGAGCCCGGCCGGCCTCGCCGACGCGGCCGAGTTCCTGCACGACGTGCTGCTCGCGCTGCAGAAGCGCTACACGGGCGCGAGGACCAGCAAGGCCACGCAGGCCACGCCCGTGCTCGTCGCCGCCAACAAGCTGGACCTCTTCACCGCGCTGCCGCCGCAGCTGGTGCGCGCCCAGCTCGAGCACGAGGTCGAGAAGGTGCGCGTCGCCCGCGCCAAGGGCATCCTCGACGTCGGCGTGAGCGAGGACAGCGCGGGCGAGGAGCACGAATGGCTCGGCCTAGGCGGCGAGAGCAAGTTTGAGTTCAAGCATATGGAGGAGATGAACGTGCCGGTCGAGGTTGTGGGAGGAAGCGTGAAGGGAGAGGAGGGTGAAGGTCCTGACGTCAAGGGCTGGTGGGAATGGATTGCCCACCAGATGTGAGAGGAACCTTTTTTTTTTTTTTTTGGCGAGGAATTCGGGCTGAATCGACAAAAAGGGGGTATGTAATATTGCATGATATCCCAATCTCCGAGTCGGAGAGGAAACGTGGTCATAGTAATGGAAGCTTGGGCGACATGAAGAGGCGAACGCCGGCACCTTTCTCAACTGATATCGTGTTTGATTATGTATGCGACGTAAAATTGATTCCCTACCGGAGTATTGGCAGTCTTATGATCTCCATGTACATCCTAATTCTTTGATGGCTGCCAGCCCCTAAAGCCCCCTTCCCCTTAGAATGTTTACTCCTCCGCAGCGACCTGGACTTCCCTAAGGCCCTCGACGACCAAGTCCTCGCCCTCGGCCCTCCTGTAGATGTCCTTGATGTCATCTGCAATGTAAAGTTAGCATTCGAGACGTCAAAGTAGCATTGATCGTTGCAAACTCACCCGTCGTAGTCTCGAAGTGGCTGGTGGCATCGTAGCTCTTCGAGATGAAGACGTTGTCGTTGGTGCCCTCCTCGGTGGGCTCGTACAGGGGAATGGGCGGGCCCATGAACTTCTCCTCAATCTTGCCCAGGCGCTCGAATCCGGGCTCGAGCTCGAGGTGGTTGTTGCTGTCAGACTCAGCAATGGTGCTGACGATGGCGATGTAGTAGCCCTTGGGGCAGACGTTGTGCGCCGAGGAAACAACAGCAATGTAGACATCTGAACTAAAGTTAGTAGTGCCTTGGCAGAGTCTAGATTTTCACGTACCGTTCTTGCGGCCAACCTGGCTCTGGGGAATGATGAGCTGGAGGGAGTCGGAGTCCTCAGTGCCGGGAATGGGGTGGTTGAGGATGCAAATAGCCTTCAGCAGATGGCCAGTCGGCTTGACCTTCTGGGGGAAGTAGCTGGGGTCGGCAAGGATCTTCTTGCACTTGGTGGTGAACTTCATGCCTTCACCGGGAGCGTCCCTCTCCTTCATGGTAGCCTTGATGCCAGAGACCTTGCCGCCCTCGTACAGGACCTCATCAACATCGGCGTTGAGCATGTAGGTACCACCGTAGATGGCGGACAGACGGGCAAAGCCCTGGGGAAGCTCGCCAAGACCGTAGAGCGGGTAGATGTAAGGCGACTTGCCGTAGCGGGCCATGGAGTTGACGTAGAGCCTGATGCGCTCAATGGTCTCATCGGCCTTGCCAACGGCGCCAATGTACTCGTCGGTCTGGTACAGAGCCATCGAGTGGCCAATGAAGTCGCGGGTGGAGTCCTCGAGACCGAACTTGTCATAGACATCCTTCATGGTGCAGGTGCCAATGCTCAGGCCTGGTTTGCGTTAGTTGCGCGGTTCCAGAGAGGAAGGAATGCGGGGCATGGCAACTTGCCCTTGTGGGTGCCGGAGTCCTCCTTCTTGTAGGTGCCGACCCACTCGAGGAAGCTGCGCGCACGCCTCTTCTCGAAGAGACCCATGAGCGGCGAGCGCAGAGCCTCGCCAGCGTCAGAGGGGACCTTGGCAACGGTGGCCTTGGGGCCCTTGCCCTGCTGGACGAAGCTGCCAGCAACCTGCTTGAACTCGAGGTATCGGGTAACATCGGTCGAGACGAGGATGTTGGTGAGCTCGCCGTTCGACATGAGCAGCTTGGGGACAAGGTCGATGTTCCAGTCGTTGGCGCGGCCGTACTTCTCCCACGGCTTCTCACCCTCCTTGTAGTTGCCGTACTTCTTGAACATCTGCTCGGCGTAAGTATTCAGCGGGCTCGCGGGGCGCGGGGTGCGGGCAACGTACCGCCTCGATGTTCAGAGAAGCAGCCTCACTGGCAGTTGTCAGTATGGTTTGATGCTGCACAGGGCTCAGGGATGCCAACTCACCCGCCATAGTGGTCGTTCCGGTCCATGTGCAGGACCTTCTTGCCCTTCACACTCAGGACACTGCTGACGATTAGCAGACGCTCAGGAACGGCATCTCAAAGTGGGCGTACCCGGACAGCACGCATTCCGTCAGGCCTGTACCTCCGTGTTAGCTGTCCATCTGACGGCGAGCTGCGGCGGGGTAAAGTGCATACCGGTGCCAAGGACGACGACATCATACTCGGGGGCGACTTCTTCCATGATGGGCTATGTTGTGTGAATTTGGGCTTAGGGAGGAGAAGAGAGGACTGGGTGTGCAAGATATAGGAGTCGGACTCAAGAGGGTGCGCCGGTGGTCGTGGGCGGTGAATGGTAATTGAGGGGGGGCGGCGAGCTTGAGCCACCGCTCGTGCTTGCTGCGCGGCCCGCCCGCGACGCCAAGATCCCTGAAAGCCGCCCGCACCATCAGCTCACAATCAACTAGACATGCCAGAACTGGTATTCTACAAATGATGTACACAGCTTCCCGCCGCGCCTCGCGCTTCCAGATGCGCTCGTAGCCCCGTGACCTTCGCGGGGTTGCTCGACGGATCGCCCTACGCCCCGCCCGCCTCCGTGCAGCACCGCTCCCAATTATGCCTCCGTCTGCGCTCTAGATCCAGCTCCGCCTTGCCGTTGTTTTCTCGCCGTGTTCCCTTTCGCATCCTTTGTCTCCTTCTCCGCATCCGCCTCCTCAATCTCGCTCTCAAATGCGTCCTTTCGTCCTCGGTCAGCACGCGATCCATTGAGTGCAGGGGCTACACGTACCTCAACAGCAGGGCTGTAAGCTGGTCCTCTGCCAGACAAGTTGACCTCCTCGTCGCTGGCTGCCACTTCCCGCGCGTTCTCCCAAGCATACCACCGCTCCGTCAGCGTGTGCTTGATGGCACGCATTGTAAGCTTGACCTGTGCCGGAGGCTTGTTAGTGAAGCCCATTTCGCCTGGGGAGATAGCATTGATCCCATTTTGGCAGTTTCCTGGTACGTGCAATATTGCAAAAATACGAGTGCCGTGCAAAGCTGGGGTGACCGTGCTTAGTGGCGTCCATTGCAATGTGACGTACCTCTTTATCTCGCGCCTCTGCCTCATACTCGCCATAGCCTGCGTTAATGCGCTTGCGCTCGAAGCCTTCCGTCGCCAGACGATTACGGTCCTTCACGCAGACCCACCAGAGACGGTGCAGGTCTTCCCACGACTTCTGCCGTAGTTCTTGCACTGTCCACGCGCGCCCTGCAAACGATCAGCCCTTGCCATTATCCCCGTGACAATCTGTATCTCGCACCGTGTCCGGCGTCCTCTTCGGGCGTTGAGAGGAGTTTTCTATCCCCGTTGAAGAATTGCCATAGCCCATGGTCTATATCGACATGCACCCGAGACCGTCGATCCGGGTTCAGCACTGGGACGGGGAGCTGGTCTTTCGAGACGGAAAGTGTCTGTCGCGGGCGGAGGCCGGTCCTCCTCAGAGCAGAGACACCACGGTTCTTGTTTCTATCGCCGCGGTGAACACATCGGCGCTGGATTAACGAGAGCTGCGACACGGACGTGTTTGACGCCGCGAGTGATGGCAGGAACGGTTCTGCGGCAGGCCGAGCATGTAGCGATATGCGGGCGACGGAGCGGACGTTCATGGTGGACGGCGCGCGCAGAACGGTTTCCGCTGCGGTTCAATTGGCCAGAGCGTTGGTTGAGAAGACGCAGTGCTGGTGGGAGATAGTAGATGATGAGCTGCGCGGAAAATCCGCAACTGCAACCGCCGGGCTGGCAAGTGCCGGGGCCTCGCAACAGAACGACCGCTGCGCCCAGCAACGCCAACGACAACGACGCCTCCGCACTCCGACGTCGCGCACATTACTCGAACACCGCTCCACGAACAACAACGCACAAACACTGTACCGCTGCGGGTCGCGTCATCCCGCAAGCATGAACCGGCCAGGTTTGTCCCCTCGACCGCTGCCCGACCCTCCCCGCCGCATTCCCTCGTCGTCCGCTTGTCGCAAAGCTCCTGGTGCGCCTACCACCGGGCCCTCACCATGCACGTCACCCCCGGAAGCTCTAAGGTCCTCCGGGCGGCTATGACCGAGCGTCTGGGCTTTCCACTTTGCCCTGCCTGTTAGCATAGGGTCTGTGACATGAGGATGGCAGACATCACATTGAAGCTCGGCGAATTCGATATCAAGAGCACGGATTGAGGCTGACGTAGCAAAACAATAGGAGCAGGGCCGCACCAATTACGCAACATGCCTGGTAGCATGTTTCAGCAGCAACAGACGGGCGCCGGTCGCGGTGCACCTTTACAGTCTGGCCGGCTGCAAGGCGCCAAGCTTGGTAGCAAACACACACTCTCTCCCAGATCGACGACTAATCCGAACTCCACGCAGGCAACGGATCTGGATGGGGTTTTAGTGGTCCTATGGGAGGCGCACCGGGCCTTGCGGCTGTTCAGTCGCGCAACCCACCCGGCATGTCGAGCTTTGCCCAGACTATAGGAGGTGGTTCCCAATCGCACACACCTCTGGATCCTTCGTATGTTCCTCTAAGCATCTATCTTCAAAAGAAATTGCGAATGTAGTGGAGAAGTCGACTAACGAAAAGACATCGGCTTGTTAGGGAGTTCCCCTCGCTCTCCGGAGCTCCTCAGACGCAACAACCGAACAGCCAAGCCCAGGCGATATGGTCCAACCCGAACATCAGGACGGCCCAGCACACACCGGTGCAACGCGCACAAGGTCAAGGCGCCACCCCTCAGCCTCCCTCCGCGCAAGCAAATCGTCCGCAGCCAGAGCACCAGCAGCGAACTCAGGACGAGCCCTCGTCGGCACATTCTCAGTATGGTGGCGCGATGGATGATTATCGCTTTGGTGGTCAGTCGGGTGTGGGTCAGCTGTCAGGAGCCACTCAGCAACAGCAGCAGGTGAATATTGAGGAGTTCCCGCCTCTGGGAGGAGGAGGAGGTGGTGGAGACTTGGGTCAAGACAGGCGGACTGGCATGATCCAGAATGCGGCATATGGAGGAGGCAGTCCATTTGGAAACAGCGTGCACCAAGGCCGCAACGGCATGGCCAGCCCTGTGGAGAGCCAGCAGGATTCCGTCAGCGAGAGGATAGGCGGGACTGTGCTGCGCGATGACAGGACTGCTGTGGGTAACCAGCTACCATGCCGCCGACGTGCATTCACTGACATTCAAGCAGGCGGAACGTAGGGCTAGAGAAGCCAGCACGACGTCATTTGGCAGCCAGCCTGTTCAGCCGCCGTCCAAATCGGGCTCCATCTCCCATCCTGAGCAGACACGGCTGTCCCAGATGAGCGAAATCGACCGGTTTGGACTTCCCGGTCTTCTCGCCATGATTCCTCCGGACAGCCAAGACCACTCCAGCCTTGCCGTGGGTCAAGACCTGACTGTCTTGGGTCTGGATCTGAACCGCCCTGACAACTCTCCTCTGTACCCAACCTTTGGCTCACCTTTCGCGGAAGCTGGTTCGCGTCCGGTCATCCCTGACTTCAGCCTACCCGCTGCCTACACTGTCACGAACGTCCCTCCGTTGCAATCGAAAATGCCAAGTTTTTCCGATGAGACTCTCTTCGCGATCTTCTACCAATACCCCAGGGATATCTTGCAAGAAGCTGCTGCACAGGAACTGTAAGTCGATGGAAATAGCTTAACGATAGATCGATGCTTCGATCGATGCTGAACGATGGCGTAGCTTCAATCGTGATTGGAGGTGGCACAAGGAGCTCCGGCAATGGATGATGAAGGACACCAGTTTCCCGCAGCCACAGCGCATTAGCGAGAAGTCGGAGCGGGGCTGTTACATCTTCTTCGATGTCAACAACTGGAGGAGAGAAAGGGTAAGCAATGCACTGATTCCCTGCGTGCTGTAAAACGTGCTAATAAGCGAATGTGCTTAAGCGGGAGCTCCTACTGCACTACGATCATCTCGATCAAAGACTTGGCACCACGCAGCCCGCAGCGGCCCTATAAGGCGCTTCTGCATCTTGCTGCATGTTCCGATGGCCCAATATTCTCCCCGGTAATATCGATTCCAGCGGACATGGCCAAGTGCGTCATAAAAGCTAGGACGAGCATCTGGGGCTTGCTTCGACGGGGTGAACATGGATTTGGTTCTTGCAACGGACCTGACAACTCAAACGACTGATGCACTAAAGATAATTGCAAAAATGGAGACTGGCTCTCGGGCTCAAGCGCGGTAGCAACCTGTTTGGTGTTTCCAGATCCTTGTGGATCGGCATCTCGAGTCATCGGACTACTTTCACCTGACCCTCATGCCAACCGATCTTGATGTGAATTCACGCCATGGATGACCACACAGAAGCGGTGTCCGTGAGGCGATCGAAGTTGACGCAGTTGCAGGAGCCCTGCAAGGAAAGACATCATAGTCACTATGATGCTGACTTTTCAGTCACCATGTGCTTGCCCTATGGATATATCTTATATGAGCGCACAACTGCCGTAATACTGCTTGAATTGAGATGTACATCTTACGCAAGAGGTGCGTGGAACGCGCAACCCACGGGGAAGAGCGTTTTGTTCGTTCATGGTCGGGTCAATGACACGCGCGAAGCCTGCGCATTCAGGCGGGCGAGGGGTGACACACAAGGATAATCAAAGATGAGTCGGTGTACCATGTACCATCCATTTCCCTGTCTTGCCTGCCCCCTCCCAAAAAGAAGCAAGCAAGGAATACGTAATAGGGGCCTGCATCGATGCTTTGCACCATGTTCTGGTGAAAATGCATACATGCCAAGGTAGTGCTTCCCGTGCATATTTGACGAAAGACGTGAGCTAATTGCATTTTTTTTCTTCTTTCCGGCTCTCTTTCCTGCGGCTGCATGTGAATTGCCGGTGTATTGGAGGTGCTTTCGTCCGGACGCACATGGCCCGCGGTGCAAGTAAGCATAATCATTTTGGTGGGGTGGGAGAGCGGTTTTTGGCGCCCCCCCAGATATGGCAGGTAGAGCGAAGTGTGCGTGGCCTTGGCGGAAACCGTTCTTCCCCATGCGACAGGGAGTCGTTTGGAGGGGAAGGGAAAATAAGAGGGGCAGCGGAGGTAAGGTGAGGGGCGGGCACGATGCACGATCGATGAAGTCAGAGAGGGTGGGCAACCATGGTGAGGGCACGGGACTCGGGAGGGCGGAGGTACTTCAGAAACGGCGGGCAGCAGGCGGGGGGAACGCAAGGCATCGGGCGAATCAGGGGCCGGCTGGGTGACGCTGCTCGCCGAGTGTAGCGCGTCTCCGGTGTACTTCGAGGCGCCACATGCACAAGGGCCTTGTGTCCAATGCACAGAGGCTGGGGGCAACAGTGGGTTGCAATTGAGTTGATCTTTGAGTGCCCCACGAGAGGTGCTACTCTCTCAATATTCCTGCGTGGAGAGTTACATGAAAGCAAATATACCCGGACGTATAAGGACTCAACTAGGCATGTAATCCTTCTACCCACTTGAACAGTCTCCGTGAGACAGATGTAAGAATGTCCGATGCTTTGCACTCGGCTGCGGGCGGGAGTGACAGCTTGTGACAGGGACGAACAATAATAATGGTGTGCGAGATCGAAGCTGCTTCCCGATTCGTGCTGCGCGCGGATCGTCGTCGGAGATTCGTCCGGCCGGTCAGCGCTTGTGATTAGGTAGCTGGAGCCTCCTCCCTCCTTCCTCCAATACACAGTGAACCCCTCCACCTTGGCGCATCTGCAATGACGCTGGCCGGCCGGCTGGCTGGCCACCCGAACTAACATCCCGTCGTCGTCTCGGTTTTGATCGGTGCAGTTCCGTGGAGTTGCTCGAATATGGCTATGTCGGGCTCTGCCCGATAGGAATGACGAAGCCCGCTAATGGTGACAGTTCCGCAAGCCCGGGAAGCTATCAGCCTCGATCAGAGACGGCCGAGCTATCGGAGACAGCCTAAGCATTCCCCACAGGTTCGCGAGCGTGACCTCACTGCCCGCCGCCCCATGTCAACACTGCAGCCCCTCTCGCCCCCGCACGCCTTCGTTGCCCTCCGGATGCATACGTCAACCGCGTCGGGTGTGTGTGGGAGATGTAAAAAAAAAGATGAGAACGCTTCAAGGGTATCAGTCATTACGGATTGACCACCGAGTTGATTTGCATCGACCGCGCACTGCTGCCCCCGGACGCGGAGCTGCTGGTGGATTCGGACCGCTGCGCCATCAGTCCAGCATCTCGCGATCCTGTTGCTGCGCCGACCCACTGGTTGGTCCCTGCTGCGCCATGGACCTCGACAGGAATGGCCTGCTTCCACTCTCGTTCAAACTCTATACCTAGGTTGCGGTCCATGCGATGTCGAAGCATCTGGCTGGGTTGGGTGAATGTCATTCTCTCGCACGCGTCAAGCATCTCTTCAGGGCCGTAGCCCGTGCGTCCGCCCATAAGCTGTCGGGCATTTTCCGGCAGCTCGACTCTCTGCTCGTCTGCGGTCTGGCAGAACATGAACTGGAGCGGACCGACATAAGCGAAGCCAGCAAGAGATTCGTGCGTGGCTTCCAAGGCGAATCGCACTGCCCGCTCCTGATCTCTGCCCGCCCGCAACAGCGTCTCGCAGATGTGGACGACACAGAATGCCAGAAGTGGATTTTGGTATCTGTGGGTATACAAGCTTCTGTACCGCTCCAGCAGCTGAAGGCCGTCCAGCGCGCTTTGGATCATGAGGCTAATCAGATATGTTCTTGTGGTCCCTGGGAGGTCGGCGAGCTCGAGTATTGGCCGGTAAAGTTGACAGAAGGCGACGTGGTAGTGGATACTATAGGCCAGTCAGCAAGCGTATTCCAACTACTGCAACGTAGCCACTTACTGAAGAGAGAGAACATGCGGCAGCGGGTGAGATAGCGTCACACCGTCGCTTCTAACCGCCAGCGGAAGTGGGAGTCTTCGCTTCCATTCGTAGAGCCGGCGGCATAGGGCGATCACAGAACGCGCCGTTATGGTGTCGTTACATCCGCAGTACACTCCGACCATATCGTGTATTATCTGTCCGAGTTTCGTCATGGCTTCCGCTGTTGCAATAGCCTGGCTCAGAACTTGTTGTGTTGTTTTGTCCTGGAAATGACGATACGGTTGCCATAATCCATCGTTTCTGAGGACGTCCGGACAACTGGATATTTGGGATGGGGAAAGCGCCGACGCAGGTTTCTGGTACGTTAAAGATGCCCAGAGCCTTCACCAAAGAATTAGCTGCTGCACACTGACCGATTTCAGAACATCGAACTTACGCGCACAGAGTATGGATGCCCCTTGCAGTTATTTCCAAGGCTGCTGGGGCGTAAGCGGCTCTATCCAATGCAGCAACACTGTCGGCTGCCAGGCGCAGGTGGGATGCCGCATTTCGTGCTTGATTGGAACCCAGTTCGACCAAAAAAAGGAGCGCGTACGTGGTCACGCATGTCAACGACCTCGGATCTTCTTTCGCAACCTCGGCCATACCCCTCTCGAAGAAGCGTTTCTGGAGGGCTCTGGACTGGGTTTCGTCGCCAGACAGATCGGTGTGGTAGTGGCAGCCCATGGCGCACATCATGTTGACCATAGCCGGTGAGCAATAATCGCGATCGCCGTCGCTGAAGCTTCTCATGAAGTAGTATTCGCTGAACAGCATGTGGATGGGATGCACCCAGGTGAAGAACAAGGCGATGAGATGGTCCGTCAGCTGGACGTTGGCGAAAGTCCATCGCGAGCGAGGGTCGCCATCTGGTGACTGCGAGCTAACATGGGTCCGCGCCGTCTCGTCGTAGTCTTGTGCGGCATCGGTGCCGCTGGTGTCAGAAGCCGGTGAAAAGCGATCAATATCGCGTACAGGAGAGCCACGGAGCCAGGCAACGAGCTCCTGGAAAGGCTGGCCAGCTCGCAGCCGTGCGATGGCCTCAGCGCCGCGCTCGTCGGTCCTCATTGCCTCGATGATGGCCCCGATCTGCCTGTTGCGCTCCTTGACCGATCCCTGGAGGTCTGCATTCTGCTGCTCGAGGCTCTTGATTCTGCGAACCATTTCCTCCTTGGCCGTCTTGACATGCACCTCATAATGGCATTGGTCCCCCACCTCACGCATCCGACACCTGGTGCATGGACCCGGCTCTTGTCCGTCGCACTAATGGGGGTGAGTCAATCACTGGCGGGCAAGGCGGAAGCGGCGGAGAAGGAGGAGGTTGATACCTTTGCTCTGGCTCTTTTGCAGTTGGTACACGCGTTCTGAGACACATGGGCTGGGGCGCGGCGCTTCCTCACCCTGGCGGGATTGGCGGAGTTCGGGTCATTGGTGCCGCCAGCCTCGCTGCTGGCCGCTGACGAGGGTTGGGTTTCTTCGGGGTGGACGTGGTCGGAGGAGGGGCGCAGTTCACGGAACGCGGCCATGTCAAAGATCGGGGCTGGCGGGGACGAGAGGGGCCGAAATCACAAGAGTTCCAAGACGATCGGAAGTGATTTTGGCGAGTGATTGGGAAGGATGCCCGGTTTGGAGGGGCTTCTGCTGACAGCGACTTATGGGGCAGCCGGCGGCGGGAGAGTTTCAGGATGTTCTTACGCCTTATATCAGCCGCAACGTGCACGCGGCGAGGGCCAGGGCCGGAATCTTGACCCAGACGCTCGAGCTAGCAAATGTGACGAAAGGTCGGGGGAGAGGAGGAATCTCCGCGGATTTCACGTGACGTTTCAAAGCGAGATGGCCCCGAGAGGCGGGACCTGGCCTGGCGGCCGAGGCAAAAGTCATTATATATGTAGGCGGCTGCGGACGGGCCGAGGCGAGCGAGCAAGAGCAGACCTGGGGAGCGATGATGGCGGGCGCTGGGCCGGCGGAGGTTTCTCACGGCCAACCAGTGCATCTCTCGGCACGGGCACGGGAGAAGCGTTTGTCGAGGCTTGGGCGGAGGGCAACGCGGCAGCCCCTGCGGCGGCATCCAGCCCTGGCAGCCACAGGCAGGTAGGCCGGCTGCTGCAGGCCGGCGGAGGAAGGCTGTCGCATTTCGGTGGCATCGCATCGCACGGGAGCTGTGAAGGGCAGGCAGTATCTCGATCGGGCGCGGGCAGTCTCCCCGCGCTTGGCCGCTAGCGACGGGTGTCAACTACCGCGCCCAGCCGGGCTCCACTGGCACCCACGCCGAACGGCCGGCACGCGCCCGCTCGAAAATCTCTGCACCGCCCATGTTCCCCTGATGAGGCTCTCGCGTGGCGACGTGCGCCATGGCGGACCGCACCGCGTCGCGCGGAGGTAGGGCGAGCGCTGCGATGGGCACGGAGGCGCGCCCGGCGGCTGTCGTTGGCGAGACAGTTGACGTCTGCATGCGTGCGCCTGGCCGAGCGCGGCCGGGGGGAGCGCACGCTGCCACTGGGCGAACAGGGCCCGCCAAGGTGCGCGACACCAGCCGTCAACGCCGCATGATGGCATTCTCATCCTCGCAGATGCTATTTTCGCCGACGTGCGCGCCCCCTGCGGAGCCTTTCTTCGCAGCACCACGCACCACGCACCGCGGCACCGCTAGCCAGCAGCCAGCGCCGCCCGCCCGCCCAGCGATTCCGCGGCCGGCGCGCTGAGGTGTCCGCCTTGTCCGCCTTATTCCCGCCGCCGCGCGGATCCCGGCGCGCCGCTGATGATCGGCCACACGCTGCCACACGCTGCCACACGCTGCCACACGCTGCCACACTGCGTCGGCTGCGAGCCACGCGCGGAGAGCATGCTCTCTCCCCGCCGCCCCGGCTCTCGGCGCTGCTAATGGCTAAGCTTACACGCCCCACCGTGGCCGGTCCTGAAGACTGCAACTGCCGTGCGACCCCAGGGCCCAAGTTGCGCCTCCTCCCTCCACCACGCAGCAAGGCAACCGCGCCCTTTCCACTTCGGTCGCGACACGTCCAGCCCGCCTGCACCTCACGCCATTCGCGCACGCGCCGTTGCCCATGGCTGCTTCCTCCGAATCCCGCGCCGCTACTCCGTACCTACACTCCCAGCCGTCTCCACTCTCCATCTCCCGCTGCACGCCCAGACGTGCCAGCGACAGGGAATCTGCCTGCCCCGGTCCGTGCACGGCCTCCTGAAGATATTGCATCACAACCCACCCATTGTCGCACACACCAACGCACCCAGACACCACCGCTGCCCCGGACGCCCTGCAGCCGCCGCCCCGTCCAATCAGCGCCTGGCGTCGACCATTGCTGCTTCACTCTTCGCCCAAACAACATGTGTGCCGCCTGCTGAAGCGCTGAGACTGAGCAGTCGCATTCTGCACTTTCAACGCATTTCACCTGCACCGCGCCAACTGAGATGACTCTATCCGCTCTACACGCGCGCTTGTGCTGCTGTGCTCCCACCCCTCCTTGCTGCACACATTGCGAGCATCTCAAAAACCGCCTCTCGTGTACCGCGAACCACCCCCGCCACACTGACCGCCACTTGGGGGACCTGTGCCGCGAAGAATGTTTCGCGAAGCAGCTAGATTCATTCTAGATCAACCAACGCCCTGTCGGACGCTGCTTCTTTACGGGCCTCTGATCTCAACGGTCCGCGCGGCTGCAGGACTAGAACCCGAGGATCGGTCTCTAGAACGCGGGATTTCGCCGTGTGGACGGGTCTGTTCCGGTGCTACTTCCTTTTTCCTTTCCTGCATTCTTTTTGGCTGGCTTTGGCGCAAGATCTAAGCCCTACCTCTCGACTTGTTTCCGCTCCGGGATAAGCTTATTAGATGAGCTGCAGCATTTAGCTCAGGATTCCAGTGCCATGGGTAACGGGTACGTATGAACGACCATGCATATCCTCAGTCCTGCGGAGATGGCACCACAACCACCGAGCGCTGAAAAGAAGGAATATGCCAGCCGCCCTCTGTCCACTGCGTGCAATCGCTCCACGTAGTACGGACCACACCACGGAAGCTCCCATGCGCACGAGTCTCGGACTTAACCGGTAGAAGCGCGCCAGAGGAGCGTGGTATGTGCGTCTCAGCTTGCGCACCCTGGTTTTCTGCACGCCATCTCTTTGACGTTTGCGCTACTGGGTGGATGAGGCTACAATGCCATCGAAAAATGTAGCGCCCGGAAGATCATGCAGGGTGCAGTCATTATGACATCGCCCGTCGTTCAGCCGCAAGCCACGCAGGAAGCATACCCTTGCTCTAAAAGGAAATCACAGAGTGTTGAGGGGCGGAGTACACGCACCCGTGGCTCTCGAGTCTCTTTCTCTTCCTTCCCGATTTCCTTGTCAGGCACCTCTTACGCGTAGTCCGCTGGGCGCCCCTTTCTTATTTCGCCTACGAGTCCACATGTGTGTCCCACCCAGGTTTTTCCTACCCAAGCTCCACAACAGACGCACCGGATTTCGCGGCGTTCTTCAGCTCCGGAGCAGCGCCTTCACCGTGCTGGATATGCCATCGGAGTGGCCGCTCACGCCCTTGGCCTGTGCTTTCAATGGATGATGTTATGGATGGACGCCTGATTGAACAGCGCTGCGCTGGGCCAATGAAGCACAGTCGGACTATGCTTAGGCCTTCTCCCACGGTTCGGTGATCGCCATGAACCAGCAGGAAATTTGGGGGAAATCGAGAACCGCGTGGTTTAAAGACGTACGCCACACTTGAAGCCACCTAGAATCCTGGCGTTGAAAAAGGCCCGGGCCATCGTTCAAGCAGGGCGGCTTAGTCAAACCAGATGGTTGCTAAGTCTGGATTGGGTAAGCCGAAGCGATAGGATGCTGATTGTGTAATCGTACTGGGATTCGTTGAGCGTCTTTTTTTTTTCCTCCTTCAGTTGCGACCCCTCAGTCGTCTTTCAATTGCACACTGATAAGCGCCGGCAGTCTCTAGATTCGTGTGCTTATTAGCACACAGCACACGCCGCTGTTGCGCACGGCATACTGATTGGAGCTTAGCTTTCCTGCCTTAGCATCTCAAAGCGACACGAAGCACGTGGTCAAATACTGGAGAATAGAAACGAAAAAGGCGCTTCTCCACATGGGCTGTGATGCCCTTGGGCAGCAAGACATGATTAGTATGGGGATTATCGCGGGAGCAGCGGCGAAATGGTCCGTCTAGAGAGAGCGACTTGCGTTTGCAACGGGAGCGACTCCGGGTGTTCCGAGGAGTGGTCAACAGCCGTCTTGCTAGGCATGTCGCGATTGCATGTGTAGGTGGTCTCTTTTTCCTTTCACAATTCGCTTACCATTTGACCCAGAAGTGGACTGGTACGACGGCTTTTCCGTAAGCATGGCACCAGAATAGGTAGGCGTTATCTCGATCTCGTTGACCGCCCAAATTAATTAGGGGTGAGGAGGCTTGCCCGAGGCTCGATGACGGAGGCTGAAGAGAGGGCTCGGGTCACTTTACCTATGCTTCCGTACTTGGCCTACATGGCAATTCTCGCTGCGGCTCCTTCTTGAGCAACGGGGGTACGTCGGGCGTTGGGTGTGGATTCGTGTGTGCGGGGTAGACAGGATTTGCATTGGTTTTTTTTTTTCTTTTAATTTTTCAAATCGCTCAGGAAAGATTTTGGGCGGGAGCAGGGAAGATGACAGATTGAACGGAAACACGGGATACCGGATACCGGATTTCCCGTGGATGAGCGTGTTCTGCACCGCGATGGGATTGGCAGGACGAGTCTGGAGAAGCGCGGGAAGAGATCCTAGGGGTTGGGCTGACTGGGGGGATGAGGACAGCACACACATATGCACGCATCGCATGAAGTCAGATGGGCCCGTATTGAGTCACGTCCCAGGATGCTGTACCATGGATGGAATATGGGGAAGGAGGAAGATCGAACGGCGCGGGTTATGGTGACACCACGATGGGCATTGTTTCTACGGCAATACGGTGCACGGCCCCAAGGCACTGCATGCCGTAGTCTCAGTCGTACACGATTGATTGCGCCCGGCTTCATCATCGACACGTTGCCCGATGTATCGACCATCCGAATGCTTGGGCTGCGAGGGGTAGCGAAAGAATAAAGTTCGCGCCCGTTGGAGGGGCCCTGGGAAAGAGATCTCGGTGCTTACTCCCCTATCGTTGCGTCTGCGCCCATCCAGCCATGCTCTTGCATATTCGCTTTCCCGATCCCCGCATGTGCGTCTGCTTCGGCATGATCCCTCACATGACGCTGCATGGCCGCTCCGCACCCAGCTGATCCCCTTTTGACTCACGCACGTCACTTGTGGATTCCAGGAGCAAAATCTTACTTGAACTCATCTTGCTGCTCCATGTCAGCCAGCCCGGCCAATGGCTTGGTTGATGCCCAGAGAGAGAGAGAGAAACAACGGCGTTCGATGTTGACAACTGCTCCTGGTTGGTGCGAATCCAACATCTGATTAGCCAGCCCATCTAGAATCCGCGCAAACGCCACGCCTTCGTCTCCCTGCTCGGCTGAAGCCTGCTTAATCACTCCATATCTCTATCTGTTATCATATTTGCTCATCAAAATCACCATCCATACGAGTACGCGTGGCATTTCTTGCGCTGGAAAGCGAGCCCAACCACGCCCTACCAGGGTGCGTCCAGCCGAACGGCTCTAACCGGGGACCTCTCAACCGACAGAAAGAAAGAAAAAAAAAAAGCAAAGACATCCAAGTTAGAGATTAAGCCAAGCGTCGTTTGATGCCCGAACGCCATAGCTGGTAAGGTAGAAAGATGAAGCGGTCCGCTCTTCTCCGCGGGCTCCGAAAATGCTCAGGCGAAACGAAAGGGATACTAATGGCGTTGTGCGTGCATTGCATCAGTAGACCGGCAGCTGGTTCCCCTACCCATCGGTGGCACACTCTTCCTTCGTTGATCTGCACACCGGCGAGCAGCTTTGCCGCGCATCTGCGGCGTGCGGTCGTCCAATCGTGGCTTGTCATGTACGAAGCTGAATCGAAGCGGAGGAGTGCTCAGCCTCAGTCCGGTCCCTTGCGCAGGGTTGTGGTTGTGACAAATCTTCCTTCTGCCCAAAAAAATCTTGTTTTCTCTATAAAGTCCCCGTCAGTTGCATGCCAAGGTCTCACGCGCGTTGGGCAGCACGGATGAGGTGCTCTGGCGGTGGGCGCTACGTACTCACGTACAATGCATCCCGATCCCCATCCATGCCATCTTGCATGGCGTCCTGTACCTTTTCTCGATCTTGGGGCATTGTTCACTAAACATTCAAAGGAACGAACACGTCAGTCCCATCGCGATTGTTCCTTCTTAGGCCCTGACTGCTTTTGTTGCTTTTCCTAGCCGTTGCTAGGGTCGTTTTCTGTGCGTCTTGTCTGCCTGGCGCAGTTTCGCGAGCGAGGGGAAAAGGAAAGAAAAAAAGGCACGTGTAAGGGGTGGCAGGTAGGCAGGCCTGTGCGGAACTCTCCTCCAGGTCGAAAAAAACTGTGCAGGACACCGGAGGACTGGCACGCGGCTTCTTCTTCGTCCTTTTTGTTTTTCCCTGCTCCCTGCAGAAACGCTGATGTGCAGGACACTGTCATGAGCAACTGTGACACAAACCAGCGAGGGACACGCTCTTTGTGCGACCAATCGCGTTACTCTTTCCCCCAAAGGGACTACTGTGTAGGTAAAAGAGCAGAACCTCGAGTCATGGCAAGGAGAAGAGTCTATCTACCGACCTCTAAGCAACCCGCGTCGATCCACCACTACGCTTGGACCTTCCATGTATCGATTCATGATCCACTTGGCTCCTCCGTTCCCCCACCACCTACACACGTCGTCACGGCCGAGGTAGAGGACAATGAGTAATTGAACCACAGACTAGCAAAACACGTGGCGGCCTCTTTTTTTTTTTTAAGCTACCGTATTCGTTGCGAAGACGGAGATACGGGTAGAGCTTGAGACCCAAATCAAAGATGGATGCTGTTGCATGAATCAAACTCGCAAAAGCACATCATATAGTCTTGTCATCACGTTGCTTGATCCGCTCCTCTCACGAAGCATAAGAGCTAACTCCACCCAGAGGGTTGTTAGTTACAGCCTTCCAGGCGGGATATCAATAGCCAAATCGATCTTATGGTTTCGCTTTTTATAACTCATATTTTCTTTTTTTTTATCCTTCTGCTCTCTTACTTCTACATTTACAAGCACCCACCATGCAAAATCATACTTGCTTCACCACGCCCCAGCATATGCATACAACCTAGCAACCCCAGAGCCCTCATCATTCAAGAAGCCTAGCCTAGCCAAACCTAGTCGATGCGATTGCAAACGAGATTGACTTTTTCTTCTTCTTTCCTTTACGCCAGGCCCAGCTCCTTGTAAAAAGCTTCAGTGCTCGGCTTCCTGCCGAGGAAGTCCTCGAGCGTCTGCATCTCCTCTTGGCTGCCACCGCGCTCAAGCACCGTGTGACGGTACCGCCTGCCCTCCTTACCGTTCATCGGGTCCTTCTTGAATACCGTGTAGAACATGTCCGCCGAGTATACTTGGGAGCTGTTGTTGAGAGAAATTGGATGTCAGCGTGGCTCGTTTCTTTTTACCAAAAAAAGAGGCGGGTAGAGTGCTAGCGTGAAGAGAGATGATGACAATTACAAGTAGTAAAGAAATGAAAACCGAAAGCAGCAGAGACATTGAAGTGAACAACAATCCAAGTTGTGATGCAGCGGCGACGACGGCATGCAAAGAATGCTCCGTCCAGGATGCACACCGAGGAATTTTCTTCCAGGTTGTAGGTGGTACATTGCCTGACCGGTACAAATTGTACCACGCGAAGGACTGACTTCCGCAGGCATTCCCACTTGAGGGACAAAGAAGCATATAACCGTGGCTCGACAAATCACGCGCAACGTGATGCGGCTTGATGCACACTACTGCCGAGACTGGTGTGTGTCGCAGCCTCCGGCGCCTCTTGATTTAGTGTCGCCGAAGGACACCCTAGCTTCAGTGATGGCGACTTTGTCGAATGGGCAAGCCATACGCCATACGTCACACGGATTCGCCTTTAACGTTGAAGGCTGTTGCTGTTGCGGGCCTTTTCTGGCGGCGACCGCTGACGGGGAAGATGATGGGCGGCTACGTAACTGGGGCACATGATGTGTAAAGGATTGTCGCAGCCTCATTGTGGTGGCCCCAGTTCCGGTCCGCATGGTGATTGTCCCGATTCGGCAAAAGTAGAGAACGAGTGGGCTTCCACGCCGGCCCAATGCAACCGGAAGCGCTACGGGTGGATGATCGGGACGACAGGTGATTGTAGGAGACGGTTGATCTCTCGTACCAGTGAGGTCAGAGAAGGGGGCTTCTATCGGCCCATCTGCTCGGTTAAAGGACCGGGGTTGCCAGGGCAGGATGGTTGCCGTATGCATGCCGTCATACGCCCATGGGTATGGAAACTCGAGATTTTCGATGCCACGGCTGTTTCGGCGGACCCACCGAAGCGGAGGCGCCAAAGAAGCGAGGTGCGGACGAAGGGCACTGGGTGAATAGGAGGGTTCCCGGAGCAAGCTCCCGGCCAATCACAAGCGGGCAGCCGGACAATTCGGCCGCCAGCCTCGACGCCAAGACCTCCTCAACGGTCATCACTGCCTGTCCTTCTCCTCTTTCCACGTCGACGCGCGTGCTCGAGCTTTCGCCTGCTGCGCGCCTGATCCACGATCCGATCGGATTTAATCCGACCGGCCAGCGTTTGACGTAAGAATACGCGCATCTCTGCTGAGATATCCCATCCCCGAGCTCTTGCAGTTCCATGACCCCGCAGGCCGTCATTGTCCGGGAAAATCAGGCAGGCCATGCACATGGAAAAAATGGTGAAGAGAACAAAGAAAAAAACCGCAAACCAAACGACAGGCGAGGGGGTATATGGAAAAAGATATATGCGCAGAAGACGGAAGGTGGGGGATGACAAGCAAAAGACGTGGATCGAAGTTCCAAAATAACTCACCTCAAATATCCATAGTATCCGGCATCGTAGCCGCCAATCAGGTGGCCGAAGGTCGCTTGTCCGTTGCCCCAGGCCCACTTGTCGCTTGAGGACAAGACCTCCGGACCGTCGATCTTGGAGATCTCCTTGCGCAGCTTGTTGTAAGTCTCGCTGATTGGCAGGGCTTCGACCTCCGCGTGTGATTTCGGAGTGTGCACCGTCATGTCGAAGATGCCGAAATGGAGCTGGCGCAGGTTGAAGAGAGCATCGTTCACGTGCTTGGTACCGATCAGGCTTTCGATCAGCGAGTCCGGAATGCGCTCCTCCGGTTTGGCCGCACCCTGCGAAGACTCCTCGTACGCCGCCTTGTATTCAGCCGAGAGGTACGAGTAGTGGTGAGAGAGCGACTTGAGCTGCGACGGCGTCCAGCACCAGTTTTCGAGCATCTGGGAAGGTGCCTCCACAAAGTCACGGACGGTGCTGGTGCCATGGAACTGCGAGTAAGTCGTGCGAGAAACCAGATCGTGGATGCCGTGACCCAGCTCGTGGAACAAAGTCACGACCTCCTCGTGCTTCAGCAGCGAGGGTTTCTTAGGCGTCGGCTTGGAGAAGTTGCACACGAGAGCGGTGGCCGGGTACCTCCTCTTGCCATCCTCCTGGATGTATCCAGGCTGCAGGTTGAAGTTGGCAGCGTGGCCATACTTGCCCTCGCGAGGGAAGAGATCAAGGTACAGGTAGCCGACAAAGCCGGCACCCTCGCCTTCATCATCCCAAACGCTGAAGACCTGGACATCCTCGTGCCAGACGATGTCAGAGCCCTTGCCGGTCTCGGAGATTTTGCTGCGGTCTTCACCGGTAATCTCAACGAAGACCAGGCCGAACAGCTCCTCGAAGATCTGCAGCATGCCGCGAATGGTAGGTCCGAGCGGGAAGTACTCGGCGATCTTGTTCTGGTCAAGCTGGTAGTCCTTCTCGAGCATGAGGCGGTCGTAGTAACGGTGGTCCCACAGGTAGTAGTGGTCATCGAACTTGTCGCCACGCCCCTCGACATCGCTCTTCTTCAAGTCCAGAAGCTTGTTGATCTCCTTCAATCCACCGGGAGCAAGACGCTCGCGCAAGTCGCCCAGGAAGTCGTTGACGGTCTTGGGGGTCTTGGCCATCTTGTCCTCGATGCGGAACTCGGCGTGGTTGCTGTAACCCAGCAGACGGGCAGCCTCGTCACGCAGGACAATGGCCTCGCGGAAGAGGGCGACGTTGTCGTTGCACTTGTTCTCATTCTCGACGAAAACCTTCTTGCGCACGTCGGCGTTGGTGGCGTACTTGAGAGTGGGGAAGAGATCGGGGTACTTGAACGTCAGGCGGACCTTGCCCTCGTTCTCGCCCGTGCCCTTCTCCAAGTTGTTGATGACGTCCTCGGGCGTGCCGTCCAGCTCTTCCTTGGTAAACCACAAGCCGCCGTTCTCCTCGTTGAGGTTCTTCTGGAAGGCAATGCTGATCTCGCTCAGACGGTCCTTGATGTCCTTGAAGCGGTCGCGCTTAGGGCCGGCCGGGATGCCCAAGCCGTTCCGGATGTAGCTCTTGTGGTTCTTTTCAAGCAGGCGCTGAGACTCCGGGTCGAGCGACTCCTTCTTCTTGAGAGCGGCATCGACGAGGTTGAAGTAGTCCTCGCGCATGCTCATCTCAATGCTGAACTTGTCCATCAGCGACTCGGCGTCGTTGGAGGCGTCGCGCAGGGCCTTGTTCGTGGACACAGCCGAGTAGAAGCCGAGTATGTGGGCCTCGATGCCCATCTTGTTGTCATCGTGGGCGACTGGGAGCAAGACGCTGGCGAAGGAAGCCTTCTCCGGGGTGATGTTCTTGACGATCTCATCCTGGACGTTGCGGGACCTGGCGATCTGGAGGAGAGTCAGCATCGAGCGGGTGCGCATGGGCGACAGGCGAAGCATACCAGCCTCTTGGTCTCCTCGAGGACAGTGTCCGGGGTGTGGGTGAACTGCGGCGGGGCCTGGGGCGGCTTCTGGTATTGGGAGGGAGCCATGGTGACGTTGGTCAAAGGGCGCGATTGCTGGTAGCCAAAGGTGAAGGAGGAGGGGCGCAGGGAGCCGAGTACCGCTTGTAGCCGATACCCCGCGCGTGAGGAAGCCAAGATGAGAGATATGGTGACGAAGAGGATGAAGCTGAGGAGCAGGAGCCTAGATTGTCGTAAGCCCGCCAGCTTGAGAGTGGACGCCCGGACAGGCGCTTTCGCGGGTCTTCGGGAGGAGGTACTTGTGAGGCAGGTGCGATGAGAGAAGGACGGCTTCTGCAGCGCTACGAGGTGTCAGAGGTGGGTGTACCGGTGGACAGCTGCGGTGCACGCGGGCTGCACTGACAGCTCTCGCCCGCACGCGCCGACCCCTGCGCAACTTCCCCGCCGGCCTGCGCAGAGCCGCAAGCTCCCCAAGCTCCCCGACGCGTCTCGCTTCAGATCAGGCACCGCTCAATCACAACTCTCTTTCGCTGTCTCTTATCTCACCGCGCAGATCCGCGCATGATCCCTTCCAGCAGCTCCAGCACCTCATGCAACACGCAAAACGTCGCGCCTCGCGCCCTTCTCGGCTTCTTTGGCTCTAGCTCAATGCTCGCTCAACGGATCTCTGCCCCCACGCTCAACACCGACCTTTCCTTCCCCTGCACCGTCGGATCACCCAACCCGCTCCAGGACAAAAAGAAACTACACGACTTGACATCGCAAAGCGAGAAAGAGCAAAAAAAAAAAAAAACTGATATTCCGTCGCCGGGAATCGAACCCGGGCCTTGCCGGCGCTTGATAGCGAGGTGTGCTCTGTATCTGAGAGCGGCAAATCCTAGCCCCTAGACCACAACGGAAGTTGTAAGTCTACTCGATTGCTCGAGTATCTCTCTCAGTGATTGTGAACGTAAGAATCGCATGGATAATTTATATCTTACAATTGAAACTTTTCTCGCTGCAATCTCCGGACAGAATGTAGAATTCGCATTTTGGAAAAGGAATGTAACCAGACTCGCTTGTGAGTACTGATGCTGCGAGGAAGGCCTGCCATGCGCAAGCTGACCAGTCAAGTCCAGAATCATAGAAGGAGTTGCCGAACAGAGTAACAAGCCCCGAGGCATATATTCGAATAACACGTCAGCCTTTGGCATCGAGTTGCACACCGGATCCTTTGATGCACCAATGAACGACGGTACCCAGCGCCAGCGGCGTCAAGGGGTTGATACTCTGGGCCATGGTGGCGCCGGTATACCGTCCGAAGTATATTGCCGCGTAAGAGTCCATATATACTCTTGATATCTTCTATTGCGACTGCAATCAGCCGATATTACGTGGCTGACGATCATACCCAATGAACATTCCCTGTCAAAGTATCCGTACCATCGTTCATTCCACTTCAGGCAGCTGTACGGACACGGGATACCAGTGAGCTCTTGAAAAATGCTCAAAGTCAAGCCCTTCGAGGGGTTTGTAGCAAAAATTACCTCCACATGCCGAAGCAGGATGCCCAGGTTAGCTAATTGAAGCTCTGATGCTGCGATCGTGATGAAGAAAGCACTCTTGTTAGTTTAAGTGATGGGTTCGCACAAGCTCGATGGCCTTGATGGGGGCTGGGACTGCTTTGGCCATCTACGAGCGACCTTAATATGCCCGTGTGTCCGACCCAGAACCTCTGCTGATGTCTTCAAAGGCTCTTTGGACCCAGTGCTTGCTTGGATCTATAATGCGCTGGCAAAACGACAGCAGTAGGCAGCCGCGACAAGGTCGGGAAGGAATTGCCTCTTTGGAAGCCTTCATTAATCAACTCAATGTGCAGTGCTGGCCCAGATCCACCACGATCCACCAGATGAGCCAAAATAGCAGCCTTCCTGAAATTTGCTTAGTACAAAACTGAACATCTATCTCGTAATCGATAGTCTGAGACGATTCCACCAGACCCTATGATTGAGCAGTGATCTAGCTCCAACTGCACCCACTCATTTACACGTATCCGTGACTATGAAAGCGATGTTCAGTAAGCAGGTGGCCATGGACTGATTAAGACAGAGCAACATGCAACGAGAATAAAGCGTATGAAGATACGGAAGTCAACTAGTAGAAAACGAGCATGTTTGAAGGAAATATAGTTCCTTGGCTTTCGAATTGGCGTTTTTGACCGGTTGGTAAATGTGGATACGCACCCCACTCAGTGCAGATTAGTACAAGCTCTTTCCAAGGCCCCCGAAATCATTTCTTCCATAGGTCGATGCACTTCCCTTGTCGGTGCTTCTTCAAGACTCGCTTGGCGTCTCATGTACAAGCAGATCAGTTAGTGATGGGTAGCACATATCTAAGAGTACAAGCACGTGGGTATTGCATTTGTGCCATGCTGCCGACTTTCATGGGCTATTACGTAGCAATACTTGCCACACACACAAGACCTTGGTAGGCTTGCTCCTCTGCAAACATCCATAGAGCAGGTGCAACTGCCGGTATGCGGGGATGGGAGTCTAAGCCGTCGACCATCATGTAGTCACCGTTCAGGACACAGCTCCGTTCAGATTAAACTTGATGACTTACTATCCCCTCAGTGGACGGAATTATTCACAAGTTGGCTTTCATATCGTGCTCAGGTGATGCACCAATCGACCCGTTACGGCGGACAAGATAATCATGCAGACCGCAGAGAAGTCCATGCCAGCCGTGGTCAGACAGCAGGAGATCGACGGGAGAGACGATGATGGTGAAGAGTTGTAATCTTTATCTGTTCCCCTTTGACCTCACGAAGATGTCTCAAACACCTCGTTCAGACTCTTCTCGACCGACTGCGAGCGGATTCGACAAAGAAAAACAGCCTCGACATGACCACTCGGATATCTTGGGATAAATAACATAATCAACCAGGTCTACGCATCCCCAAAGACATGTTACGTTTCAAACGGCGAAACTCTTCACGCTTGTTCCACGTGACGGTCTTTTGCCATGCGGACCCTTGGCGGCCAGACCGCGCACAATGAATAGCCTCCAAGTACGAAGTGACTCATACCCACAGTATTGAGCAGAAATTCACCTCATAGGCAGCAGTAGAAATCGATGGAAGATGCGGCATGATATTACCTGATTGAGATTTATTGCGGAGTCTTTGATCAGTATCGTTCTGGGAACGAAAGTCTGGCCCTCAGGATGTCTGATACATTGAACCCTGACGAACAAGGGTTCCTTGGTAGGGCTGATTCACTCTAGAAGCTCGGATGATGGCCAGAGCACAGAGTGATGCCAAGTGTTGTCACACGTGACGCAGAAAGCGGCCAAGACTATATTCTAGACCATATAAACATCCCGTGTAGTCTACCAGAGCCATCTAGATCTCAGCAAGCCTGCCTGGGCCCCAGATTCTCGACCAAGCCTTGACGATTTCTAAGGAGCAAGCACCGAGATAGCAGCGAAGAGCCCGTCGCAAACATACTGATTGCCCCGCCACTGAGAGCACTAGCAGCGTTTTCTGCATGTTGGATACACCGATGGCTAATGTTGCCGTTGATAGCAGCTGGCTGACACCGATCGAGCATTTCGCCCATAAATCTGGGCTCTTCCACGAGCCTGGTCCGACTCTCATATCTCCTGATCTCTTCCATCCTCCAAGAAGCAACCCATCCCCGGATCCCTTTGCGATTTTCCAGGACTTACCAAACATGCTTCCCGAAAAGAAGCTGCACTGGACTCAGCGTGTGGCCCTCATCAGGCACAACCTCCATGCTGCCAGCCGCACTGGAGACTTTACCTTCTTCAAGACGCTTCAGGCCCACCGCCTCCTTGAAGGGACAGACCACCTTGCTGCCCTCAACGCTGTCATCGGAGATGCTGCTGACCAGGTCCTGGCGTCTCTCGACAACTACAACTCGGTCATGGCCTACGTGCATGAGGATGCATTCAAAAACGTCTACGAGAGCGTCAAGACTGGAGTGCGCGAGCAGGCTGGCAGCTACGATGACCGCCGTGCCATCTACTATGTCGATGCAGCACAACAGAAGGAGAAGGCGGAGAAGGCAATCGACAAGATGATCAACTCGGCCATCACCATGATCAACGCACAGCCGGTCAACTGCCAGGAGGAGGCGGCCAACGTGTGGATCTGGGGGACAACCTTCGTGGCAGACGCGATGGAGGTGTGCCTGGCGCAGGTCGACGCCATTGAGGCGTGCCTGGACGACTTCATCCGGCTGGAGAATGCGTGGAGCGTGGTTCAGAGTGCGGTGGGCGCATCCATCGGCGCCATCAAGGGAATCTTCAACCTCATGGCCCCCTGCGAGGCGCCCGAAGCCCAGCAGCACCGCTCAGACGCCACCGAAGGCACCGTTCGCTCCATGCTCCGCCGCATGAGCACTGCCATGACATCCGGCATGAATTCGGCCGCGCCGTCCCGCCGCCAGTCCGTCATGTCGGTTTCCAACACCATGCCTCCTGTGGTACCGCTGCAGCACGGTTCCGTCCAGACCGGCCCGCCGCTGCGCGGTGTCGGCTGGAGGTCCAGCGCGTTGAAGCATAGTAGAGGTCCGATGGAGCTGATGCCGACCATCCCACCCACGCCTGCGGCCGCCATGCTCAACACCAACCCCTTCGACACTTCGTTCAACGGGTGGGTCTCTGCTCCTCTCTCTAGTCCTCCATCACTGCCTCCTCTCCCTTACCATCCCCCATACACTGTTTGATCTCCACACTAACACCCAAACAGCAACAACAGCAACTTCTCCGTCGGCGAAGACATGCCCCCACCTCCAACAGCGCCGCCGCCGACCGCGCACTTCTCATCCCACACCGGCAGCAGCGCCAACAGCAACAATGCCTCTCACCAGCAGCAACAGACCTCCGGCGGACCCTCCTCCGCCGGCAGACAACAGACCGCGCAGCGCAACTTCTCCGCCCCTACAGCCACCACCACCTCCTCCTCCAATACCAACAACAGCAGCAGCAACAACAACAACACCGAAGACATCGTCGGCTCACCCGGCTCAACGACCACCAGCAGCGTCACGTCGAATACCAGTAACGGCGTCGGTGGCGGTAGCGGTAAGACGACGACGACGACGACGACGACGCGCCCGCGCAGCGCGAACGTGCAGGACAACACGCGCCCGGTGTTTGACGATATGCTGTTCTCCATGTAAGGTTCGCCCTCTCCTTTTCCTCTGCCATCTCTCAAGTGCTCCTCTCTTGCGTTTCGATGGTAAGGTCGTCTTGCACCAAATGTAAGCAATAGTGAGGGTTGATAGTCCTTTGTTTTGCCGCGGTGCGAGACGTTTACAGCTGCTGATGTCGGCTTTGTCGCACAAATGCTACAGAGGACAGGATGATCCGTTGTCGGAGGACGCCCAGATGACGGGGATGATGTTGAGTGGGGACGAGAACGGCTTGGTGGGGTTGAGCGTCAATGGCGGGTTTTTGAGGAGGCTGTCCACGGCGTTTATTGCGCCAACGGTGGTGCATTGATATGGTCAAGTGGTTTGCCTGGGGGAGAGGGGGACGATACAGAAGGTTTGTGATGGATTTCCATAGGTATCCTCTTGGAGTTTTCGCGGATGAAGCCTGTCGTTTCCGGACCGAGCTGTGATTTTCGTGCTTGCTTTTCTTTGTCCTCGGAGCGTCCTGATAATTTTTAATTCACTCCCCGGTTTTGGTCTAGTGATGTCATCATAGGCGGTACAGACTGGCGTTCGTGAAGAGAGCCATGATGGCGTGAGAAATGCCGGTGTGTGGGCGCAGAGGTTCAAGGTAAAGTGGATGAGGAGGAAAGAAGCAGGACAAGCCTGGCGCGTTGGTGACGCAGCTGATCACGCGTTGAGGGATGTGATCGAGGAAGGCGTGACCCAATATCCACCCCCGTGGCTTCCCAATTCGCCCACCGCGGAAACTTTACTTCCTGTGGCTTCTTACACGGTAGGCGTTGACACAATCATCATCATCTACTTCCCGTGGCCGACGTTAATACAACCATCATCATCTACTTCCCGTGGCCGACGTTAATACAACCATCATTATCTACTCCCCGTGGCCAATGCCCTGTCTCTATCGAAAAACATTCTACCAAATGACCAGTCTGGCTGCATCCAGGGCGTCGGAACCATCCGATTATGACGCCGACTCTCTAATTAACTATGATAGCGAACCATCCGGGGCGTCGGAACCATCCGATCATGACGCCAACCCTCCAATTTTCCATGATCGTGAACCATCCAAGGTGTCGGAACCATCGGATGATGACGCCAAACTTCCGATTTTCTGGGACCTTCCAGCATCCCATCGCTTCTACAGCCCCTCAACCGAGGGCGATCTGCACACCCAGCTCAGAGACTACATTGTTAAACAAGGCAACCCAAATCACATCCGCGCCGCCAGCCGTATCATCTTCGCCATCAACGAACTTGCCTCAACGTCCGCCCTCGGCCAGGGGAAGATGTTATTCCTCAGGTATCCTGCTTGGAAAATGCAATCTATCCACCCCATTGCAGACCTTCTCTGGGTCGCGTCATACGAATGGACAGAGGTGAAGCACCCCCCGCCAAGATGCGACGCAATCCACCTGGGACATGTCTTGAGACTTGCACTGACGCCCATGCGCGAGCCAGGACACGCGTGATGAGTTCCTCACCGTCAAGCCCCTCGAACGCGTCCGAAAGATGTCGGCTACCGACGCCGTCAACCGTCAGGACGTCGACACACCCGTCCTCCCTGTGTTCGTCTTCAAGAATCTCGACTCCATCTGTGTACCCGTCGATCAGGCCCGGAGGCTGGAAGAACCGCCGATGCCTGATAGGGGCGCGTGGATCTGCATAGGCGAGAATAACTTGCATGTGGGTATGGTGCAGGATATTGTGAGCATGGGAATCATTGTCGGTCCGAATAGTGAGATGAGCACGGGGCCGGACGTGGTGTCCAGGAGGCTGGACAAGTCGATCGAGCACCACCGCGCGTACTTGGAGGAGACGATGGTGCACGGAAAGGACCAGATCCTGGCGGTATATCAGCGGCTGAACAAGATCGTATCGTCCGGCTCTGACTCGCACTTGGACACCTGGGGGAGAGCGACCGGGCTATCAAGTATCAACTGACGACGTATCCGAGCAATTACCGCCACCGGTTGCGATGGACTGACTGCTGATCATTCATTTCTATTCAAGTTGGTTCGGCACATGATCACAAGAGGCCAGGTCAGCTCATCTGGCAACATGGTGGCCAATCATCAAACATCATGAGGGAAAAAACATGTCGGCGGGTAATGCGAGGTGTACAAGTCAATAGCAACTCAAACATGGAACCACACGATTCGTTGCAGTTGATCCTTGGCCACCCGTACTTGGCAAGCAAATGAGTCACCCCTGGTTTCCGCCTGGAGGGAACCAGCGCGGGTAATGGCGGAGTGAAGTCCTTTTTCACGCCGAGATGCCAGTGATACCCAACCTCTGATCAACCACGTCCTCATGAAACATCATCGGAAAGTCCGCGCGTGAAGTGAGATTGTTGAACTTCCCAGTCAGACATGTCAACACTGCGCTCACATACCCAGGCCCCATGTGATGCCCCAATCGTTGCTTCGCAGCTTCGATGAAGATCTTCCGGATGGATGCTGGCGGCACCAATAGTAATACTCTTCGCTATTTATTCGGCTACCAAGAAGAGCTGGGGAAGGCCCAGCCTGGTTTTTAAGCTCTTTCCTTTGATGACGGAGAACAAAGAAACAGTTGTTTTCTCACTCTGTACAGCCTCCAGGCGTTCGTTATTCAGGAAAATACTCAAACTCTCATTGCGAGAACTACTCGAGAGTTCTCGGAGACGAGCGTGTCTTGCAATGCCAAAATGTTCGGCATGTTCGTTTCTTGGATCTGTCAACGGGCTCGAATTCTGGATCGGTATCGATGAGTGCGCCTGGAAAGCCAAATAGAGCGGCAGTCTCTCCTTGAGCTTGCCGTTCTTTTCTTGGAATCCCCGAAGAACGTCTGCGAATTTCCGTTTCTCGAAAAGGGCCCACTTCCACGAATCCATACCCTTGGGTATCCGAGTGTTCCATATACCAAGCCACTTCCAAGAGGCTTTGGAGAAAGATTCTGGATTCTGTAGGTCTGGCAGAGCATGGCTGGGTTGCTTATGATCTGGAATTGTGGTCAGCTAGTAGCGCCGATCTTGTTGTACGAAAATCCTATGTGGACTTCAATGTTTATAGTGCAAATCATGCTAATCTCACATGACCTCAAGCCTTCCAATAAAGTGTACGACCTCTGTAAATGCTCCAACACAGACGCACACAACACCCACCTACCCGTCCACCCCTCTTTCCACAAGCCATTTGGTAGTTCAACCGCGCACAAGCGCCACCTGCCGCGCAAGCGCGCGCCAGAAGGCTTGATCCGAAATCAAGCATCATATACGATCAATTTCCCCGCAATAAAAATAGATTAAATTGCGCATCACCACCAACGACCTCACAAACACAGCACGTCATAGGCACACGGCAAAAGCATCTTCCACACTCATAAATTTTCACATAAAACTATTTTCTGTACAACGAAGTGGCTAAGACCAAAAAAGAGGAAAAAGAAGCCCACGCAAGGCAGCGCGGCAAAAGCGGCGCGCCTCCTCCCGCAGCAGGACCCGATCAAGACCGTCGCATCTACGACATGGAGACGGAGAAAGCGGTGGTGGTGAAGACGGCGTCGGTGCCGGAAAAGGGCTCGGTGCCGGCGCCGATGCTCTTGATGTACTGGGAGGTGGACAGGCCCTGGTTGGCGGTGAGGTAGTCGACGAAGTCCTTGAGGTCGGCGCTGAAGTCCTTGGCGTCGCTGCTGGCGACGAAGGAGAAGACGGTCATCTGGCCGTTGGGGCCCGAGTACAGGTCGAAGCTGACGCCGCCGAGGGTGGTGGTGGCGATGGACGAGCCGGTCGACGAGATGGGGCCGGCGCCGCCGAGGGCGCTGAGCCAGATCATGATCTCGTACTCCTCGTCGCCGCCGGCGGTCGACGAGGTGAAGAGGTCGTAGGCGACGTCGGCGACGAGGTCCGAGCCCTCGTACGACCACTGCCAGGTCGAGGGGATCGAGGAGATGGCCGAGAGCTGCTTCTGCTCGACGTCGGTGAGGACGACGTTGGCGTAGGACTTGACCTGGCCGGCGCTGTTTGGGGGGTCAGTCCTGAAAGAAGCGAGAGTGTGGAGGGTAGGGAGTGGGAACGTACCCGCCGGTCCAGGTCCAGCTGGTGTGCCAGGCAAGGGTGGAGCCGCTCAGGGAGTCGACGCCGGTGCACTGGGAGCCCGAGTCGGCGTTGGCCTGGCCCCAGAGGTTGTTGTAGACGGTGTAGGTGCCGGTGACGGCGCTGCCCCACTGGTCGCAGAAGTCGGCGCGACGGTTGAGCGTCTTGGTCGGGACGGCCGAGACGAGAGCGGCTGCGCCAGCGCAGAGAGCGGCAGAGGTGAACTTCATGGTGAAAGTGATTGCAAGAAAGTAGCCAGGATCAAACAGGAAAGCGAAGGAAGGATGGTTGGTGGAGAACGGACAGCTGGGCGCGGGGCAGGCATGGTATTTAAACAGCAAAGTAGGGAGACTAGGGAGGGTGGTGCCGGAAGCGGTAGACGAGTAGGCGAGAGTGAAGTGGAAGCAGCCCCAGGGTTGACGTAAGTGGATAGGGCTTGCGGGCCACGGGCTGGGCTGGATGGGGGTGTTGTCCGGCGAGGCGGCGGATGCAGAGGGCGCTGTGCCGAACGGGTGCAGCAAGTAGATGACAAGCTTTTCCGTTTGGAGGCGGTTGAGGGGTAGGTGTTTCGAGAGGTCGGGCAGAGCAGCGCCCTGATCCCGGGCCGGCTCGGTCGGAGTGTCGGGACGGGCGGGTCTGGCTGGTGGGAATGCTGGCGCAATTCTCCTGACTCCCCACAAAGAGGCGTCGCTTAGCTGCTCGTTTCACCCGTGCGCGGCCCGGCCACAGTCGACGCACGCCGCGTGTTTCTCGCCAGCTAGTCACGCCCTGTCTGGCGACTTGCCCGCCGCCCAAAACTGCTGGAAACGGGGCGCGTCTTCGTCCATCGCAATCTCGGTTTCAAGAAGCGCCCAATGCGGGAACGCGGGAACGCCGAATCAGTCGGAGCCGGCGGCCGTCTGCCTGCCGTACGCCAGCCCAAGCCCGACGCCCAGCACGATGGCGAAGATACATAGCAGCGACCACGCCCACAGCAGCACGCGCTTGTCCTGCTGCACCGGCCCCAGAATCTGCATGCGCTCACGCCGCCACGCCATCCACGCCGGCTCCATGCGCACCTCGGCCGCCGTGGCATCGACCTTCTTGGGCGACGACGACGACGACGGCGACGACGACAACAGCTTCACGTCTGGCTTCGCAACGACCACATTGGCCTCGAGGTCGGTGTCGGTGGCCCCGTACGACGGCGGCGGGGGCGTGTACCTGGGCGGCGGTGCCGGCGAGGAGTCGCGGGCGATGTTGGTGAGTGAGGCGGGCATGGCGCGGGCTGTTGGTGGTCGGGGAGGCAGTGGGCTGGGCTTGTGCGCTATCAACAGGTATGGTCCGCAAAGACAGGCGGGGGGACAGCTCACGTACAGATGCAGCGGAAGCGGTCGAGAAGATGGCTCATGGACTCGGCAAACGTCTTTGCGAAGCTTGGCTCGCAGTCAAGGTGGGCTGGCGCCATGCATATATAAGACTCGACCACGACGGCACAGCAGAGCCGCGCGAGCATCATGACTTGGCGCTGCCCCCGCGCCGCCCGGGCCCGTCTTCACGCGCACCAACGTCTGCGGGGCCCGAGGCCACTGGGCCGTGCCGCTGATATTCAGACAGGCGTAGCGCGGGCGTCTCGTGGTGTTTGGATGCGAAGTCGCGGCGACTGACAGCGTCCGGGCCGACTCCGCGGTGGCTTCATGACGCGCTGTTCTATCAGCCGTCTGCCGACATCCGTCGAGGGCCAGGCATGTGGCCGGAAAGCCGGCATGGGCAGCGGAAGAGCGGTGCCGAGAGCGTGTCAGCTGGGGGCGATTGCGTGGACAGGCTGGAAGAGCGGCAAGGAATCCAGCGCGCCTGCTGATCGCAGCCCGCATTAGCCGCATCACGACCTTGGGACTGCCTACAAAGCGCGGGCCTGCCCCTGCCTTGCTGCGTTCCTGCGTTGCTGCTGATGAATCTGCGAGACTTCTTCGTTCGGTCGTGACCGCCGTCCCTGGGCCCCGTCAGCATGCGACCGCGTGACTGTCCAAATGGTCACCCGCACCCGCTTCTCCGCTTCTTGCTCCCAGAGCGAATGCACGACCGAGCTGCTCCGCCGCGGTTGGGAGGCTGCTACGATGATGATTCTCGTGGCTATTTTCGGCATCAGCAGCAGCAGCGGTAGCCCTGCGCCCTGCTCGCTTCCTTCGGGGCGGGGCTCAGGCTAGTCTACCTCCGTCATACCGCCCAGGCCATCGCCGACGCCAACGGGCAGCCTGCCTTCTCCCGCCCTTCTAGAAAGAATTCGCCACGAAGACGGTCATCTATCGTATCGGCCTTGCAATCGCTTGGTCGACGTGACGTGAGGCTGCGTCGCAGAGCAGATCTCCAACCCGACGCTGCACGACCGGCATCGCCGTGTTCGTTCGGTCTGTCCGTGATGTGGAGCGCCGTCGTCGAAGGATCCGACACAGCCTCTGGGCGGCATCCGTGGGCACAGTAATCTATCCGTGCCTTCATGTTGGACTGTAGCGCTTCTGCGGTGACATGGCGCTTCGGCGCCGAGCTCATATATTATCTACGTCTACATGAGCACTAACGTCCTACCCATATACACTTTCACCGTTCACACCACTCCATTGGATTGCGCATTGTGAACGAGCCCAATCCACAACGACCCCGTCTCTTCAGCGCCCAACAGGATTCAAACAACGGTCCCCTGTCATTATTGGCCTGTCCAACACATCCACCACAAGCACAACACGGCAGCGCTCCAAAGTTATGAGCACAAATAGCACCCACCTCCACCCCGAGTCCGCCGCCATCGGCGGCGCCACAGACTCAAAACATGGACAACAACAACAACAACATCACCAATTCGGCCACCACACCTCCGCCTCCTCAGAAGACGTCCAGCACATCATCGCCGATGCCCGTGCGCGGGGCGAAGCGCGCGCAGCCGCAAAATACCCTTCCGCCTCCAGCAAGCGCGCCTCCTCGCCGTGCCCGTCGACGACTTCACACCGCTCGACCGACAGCGCGCGGCGACGGCGAGAGGCGGAAGACGGGTACAACCCGATCCAGTACGAGTACGAGAAGAAGGGCGGGTTCAGGGACTGGTGGCGGAGGCAGATGCTCGACATGAGCCCGCACGGCGCCGCAGCGCTGGTCGAGGCTGTCGGCCAGGGCTTTGTGTATGCCCTTGTTTCTATATTAAATTAATCCCGTTTCGTGACGTGTTGTTGTTTCCTATTCTTTTTTTTTTTCATATTTTTCTACACGCTGTTTGATTGCTGACTACTCTGCGCAGATCCGCGTTTGGACGTCTCCAGCGAGCGGGCTATTGAGTGAACACGATGAGTCGATGTGTGATGGTTGATGAAGTTACGGCAAATTGTCGATTGATGAGAACTCGACAAAGCTACAGTCATCATGCAAAACAGCAATCTGCTCCTCTGGTTGCGCATCTTGCGCAAGACATGAGCAAAGGTACCGCTCTCTGATGACCCTGTACGAGACTCGCAAGTCCGGACGAACCGGCGCGACGCTCCTGTGGTCCGCATCTCCGCACATTGGCGCGCGGAGAGGGCTCGTCGAATCTCGACCCAGTGGCCGGGTTGGTTGTGGCTATGCGGCTGGGCGCGGAGAAATCGGGCGGCCCTGTCTAGAAGTCCCTCCACCCCCGCACACGGAACCATGTAGGGCAGGAGACGACGCCTCAGACGCCATCTTCCCCTCGCACAATAATATGTAAATGTTCTTTTCTGTGCACTGACCGAGCGCAATCACTCATCGCCGGCCCATTCGCTGCTCCTTTGCTCTCAACCCCCATTCTTGCTTTTTCCTATCACCCATCTCCCCATATCATCCCACGCCCAGTTCCCGCTGTGACGTCACGGGGTCCTTCCTTTACCACAGATTGAGAAAGCCCCCCGGATCCCCTCCCTGCCTCCACATCCAGGCGCCACGTCCGTCCCGTTCGCGCCCGCTTTCGTTTGCAAGGGGGAGGAGAAGGAAAGGCTCGGAGCCATGGTGCCGAGTCGCGCCCAACGTAACAATGAATTGCTCAAGCGCGTCCGTCCGTCCCACTCAGCGAGTCAGCCAACTGGACCGCTCAATCGCTCGCTTTCTCGCTCTCAGATCTAGAGCGAAGAGTAAGGGTGGCCATGGCGGAAACGCGGAACCGGCCTGCATGGCCGGACGGTCGGACGGTCAGACGCGGGAAGGTGAGCCCACTGCGCGCATGCATATGTAGACGTGATCGGCCGCCGGTCTTCGCGTGGCGTGGGGTAGGGTGAGCCCTGCAGCAGACGTCACTGGCCTTTTCCCTTTCTTATCGGGACAAGAAGGACGGCACAGTGATCTTGGTTATTTTTTTTTTCTTACCTGCCGTCGGAGCCGCCTGCATGGGTCAGAAGTGCTTGGTGCCCAGCCAGCCGCATTATTACATACGATTGATTTGAAAGCGCTGCTGCCTTGCGCCACGGACCCTGGATTGATTAATTGCGGCCACACCTACATTTCTGGGAGGATCGACGAGCTGGACTCACACTACCTACCTACCCACACCTCTTTGTTGCCATATGAAAAAAATATACACCACAGCATCTCGACCCTCGAAGGAAAAGAAAGAAAGACGTCGACCTCTCAATCGCATCCAACGCGACACACGAAACGAGGACGAGGCAGATCTCATACAAGTTTCACACCATCACCTCCATCCTATCCACCCTCTCACTCTTCTTGCACGAGAGGCCTCAAAATCCAACCACACCACCCACCCATTTCTCACACCACACTACACCAAACCATCGCAAGAGCGAGCGCGAGAGAGAAAGACAGAAAAAAAAAAAAAGAAGAACAATGACAACCACCCTCCCCGACGCCATAACGCTCCACCCAGACGAGCAGCTCCGCCTACAAGAGCTACTACAATCCCGCCGCAACCACCGCCCCACCCACCGCAGCAACACGGAATCACCCGCCGTCGTCGACGACGACAACGACCACGACGACCACCACCCCCGCCACCACCCCCGCCACCTCCCCGCCCCGCCCACACCACCACCACCCACCACCGAAAACTCAACCCCCTCCTCGCGGTCCCCCAGCACAAGCACAAGCACAAGCCACCGCCCCAGCCCCGTCCCGCTCCCGCCGCCGCCGCCGCCGCCGCCGAGCGCCACCACCACTAGCAGCAGCAGCAGCACCACCAGCACCAGCAACTCGCCGCACCCGCACCCACACCCCCGCAGCCCCCCAATAGCCGCCATGCTGCTGCGCAAAGGCGGCGAGGCGGCCGCGAAGCGCGGGCAGCACAATTACTACAAACTGCCTTCCGGCGGCAGCGGCAGCAGTCCTGGTGCTGGTGCTGGTGTGATGGCGGCAGAAGCTCCTCCAGGGGCGGCCGGGTCGACGGGGCGGTGGAGCGGGTGGATGAAGGGGGTGATGCGGCGGCCGGTGTCGGTGCAGCAGTCGGTGTCGGGGCCGCCGGCGCCGCCACCGCCGACGCCGTCGACGGGGGAGGGGGCGTCGACACCGGCGGATGGGGAGAGGGGTTGAGGGAGTTGAGGGGAGTTGAGGGGAGGAGAGGGCGGGAGGAATGGTTGGGGTGGTGGTGATGGGGGTGGGGATGGGGATGCCTTGTGTCTTTACTCGTCGATGTGCAGGGGAGGATGAGAAGAAAGATATATGAGCGAAGGGCAGGCGTGATATGGGATGATCGTTTGTATTTTCCCTTGGTTTTCCTTGGTTTACCCATCTTTCCTTGCTCTTGGACTGCAGTCATTGGAAAAAGCGACGGATTGGAAGAAAGGGGAGTGATTAGCATGCGGTTTTTACGACTTTTGTTCGTTACTCTCGGGGCAACGTATCATGGTAATATTTCTCTCGATTCCGGATAAAGGGCGCTCGGGTGTAGTTTCTTTGCTTGTTTAGTTATACGGGAAAATGAAAGGAAACGGTATACACCCTTGGGGACCCGCTTCGGACGCCTTATGGGGGTAGTGTGACGCGCGTCACCTACTAGTACATGTATAGAGCTTAGCGTCAGTGCTTTTCAACCCAGTCCATTGGATCTGTCCAACCGGAAAGCTTAATTGAACCATCAATATAATGTTGTATAACGCTTTCGTCCAATATACAATCATTGGACTCCAGAAAATGTATATCATTGTGTAGTGTCTCGGAGGCGTACTATTGACACGGCCTACGGTCTAGTATCTAAATTCCATGCCCTCGGTCTGATTCCTGCTGGCTGGTCTCCCACATATCGTGTGTATAAAGCAATTAAAGCGCTTATCAAATGAAGTGGAAAAGAGTTGGCCCTCGTATTATCTTGAGGAACCCATGCGCGACTACTCGTTTGTGTCGAAGAATGTGAAGACAAGGGAAGAATCTCGGAAAGAAGAGATTTTGATACAGCCATCCGGCAGAAAGGGTATCAAGATGAAGAGAAGAAAAGAGAAAGCTTAAAGAGCCCATACCATCCATATTCCTTTGGAGAACGCCATTGTGCCGACATTTTTTTCATACCACAAAAACAGCCGTTATATTCTGAAAGGAAACTGGTCATCCGTCTACTGACCCCAGAAATCGTCCTGGTTCGCCCCAGTGGGGGCAGGGGTGGCGTCGGGGGCTGAAGTCTCCACGTCATCCTCAGCGCGCACCTCGTCAGACATGACTGGCGTAGGAACGGCTGTCTCGAGCGGAGCGCCAAAAGGAGTTTCGAGCAGCTCGATGGGGGTGGGCACAGCAGTGACGGGTGTCACCGGGGTCTCCACGACGGGGGTGGCAGGGGTGGGGGTGGGGGTGGACTCGTTCTTGCATTCGCTCTTGGGTTCCTCGGCGATGCCGTGTTCAGATCCGTCCTTGCCGCGGAAGGCGAAGCGCTCGAACGTCTGGCCGCGGCGCAGGCGGTGCACCACCTCGCCGTCGGGGCCAAGCTCCTCGTCGTACAGGCGCGGCTCGAAGTCCTGCACGCTGGCGTACTTGGCAATCAACCGGCGCCAGTAGCACGCCTCGGCGGCGGGCGTCAGGTAGCGGTCGCGGAAGGTCTGCGCCGACTGGGCCGCGATGCGCCTGGCCTCGTTCGGATTCGCAATCAAGTGATCCATCTTCTCGTTCAGGTCGGAAAAGTCGCGGTTGACCTTGACGTAATTCTGGTACGGGCCCGACTCTTGCAGCAGCGGGTAGTAGTGCGCCACCCAGTCCAGGTCGTGGATGACGGGCACCGAGTTGCAGTTGTGCAGGTAGCGCAGGCGGCCACTCCAGGTGTTGCCCTCGGTGTGGGCGACGTACTGGTAGTTGCAGAAGTCCTTCATGGCCAAAACATTGTTCCGCGTCCTCCAGTCGATGGCCTTGACGTCGGACCATTCCTTGCCCTCAGATGCGTCCATGAGGTTTTGGCGCAGGCCGTGGTTGACGCCCAGACTGCCACGCCACGAGAGCTGTGGGATCTTCTCCTCGAAGGGCTTCTCAATCTCGGCCACTTCATTGCGGAACTGCATGTAAGAGCCAACCGCATCGTCGGGGTAAGTCCAGCCATCAAAGTCCTAGCGCATATTCATTAGGTTCATGGTTCGGCGAAAAAAAGTCGAGCATTCTAAAATACTTACAGGCATGACCCACATGTACGGGTTGTCCTTGTGGCGGGCCCAGGTGAAGCGAATCTTGCCCTCGGGACCGGGCTGGCTGTTGTCGTGGATATCGAGAATGAACTCGATGTTGGGAATCGAGCGCGGGTTGGGATGGGCGGTGATGGCGCGGTACATGGATGCCATTGCGGACAGACCACGGGACCGGTCCGGCTCGCCTTTTGCTTCATCGACAACGATCAGCTAGAAAGGGATGTTAGCTTTGCTGTTTCAGGCCCGATCTGGATCGTCCCATTCGCGTACCTCGCCGTTGTAGATCATGAGGTGGAACTCAGCACGCGTCTTTCCGTTCCAGTGATCGTTTAGCTCGGCCTCGGTGGAAAGGTGGATATCCTTGTACTGGATCCGGTTGTCGGAAAAGAAGCCCTGGGCACGGTCCAATTCGATGAAGAGATCGGGAAAAGCGGCCTGTGGCGGCGAGTTAGCGGCCATGACATCATTCACACAGGGCGGAAGCTGCGGGAGAGAAAACCCACATCGCACTGCTCGTCGGTGAGGCCATAGTTGAGAGAGTCGCGCTGGGTGTCGAACTGCCACTTGTAGCCCTCGGGGAGCTTCACGGTTTCGAAGTAGCTGGGGTCGTGGAAGGGGGAGCGGCGGTTGACGTGCCAGGAGGCAGCAGCAATGACGAAAACGGTGGCAGCTGCGGCGGCGCCGGCGTACAGTATCCGGCGCGGCGGCACCCTCTTCGCAGCGCTGTCCGGGAAGCCGAGCGGCGTGTACCGGGGCGACGAGGGCGACAGCAGACTCTTCCAGCTCATGATGGGCGTCTTGAGTGAGCAGCAGTGCAGGCGGTGGAGAGTGGGCGGTTGCACAGGCAAGCGGGGAGCAGAGAGTCCGGGAGGGCTGTCGAGATATACCTAGCACCTAGGGCTTCATCAAGGCACGGGCTCCAGGCTAGTAGTAATACGAGCCAAATAAGGGCTCTGGCACGTCTGGATGCGCGCTGGCTGTGGCGCACTGCCGGCCGATATGGGCGCACGGCCTTCTCCGGCGCAGGATGCAGCCCATCTGCCTGGCCCAAGACGCCTTGACGCCCGGGCTGGCAGGACGACAGCCACCGGGGCCGTTATCAGCAGGCTCCGCCGCCTGCACATGCAGCCGTCTCACTCAGCACAACTTGGCATCGGCAGCGCGCAGGCTTGGAGGCACAGTTCAATCACCGCAGAGACACCGCCTTCGTGCCTGTCGCCTAATCGACGCCGTGGCGCGTGCGACATCAACTCTATCGATCAGCCCAATCGGCGCGACGCATATCTCAGCGCAATGACGGCGCTCTGACGGCAGGCCGAGCGCCCAGAAGAAGAGCCCGTCGCACACGGCGCGACCGTCTTCCCTTGATACGGCGCTCCGTGCGAGGATAGAGGGAGGCCGAGATGAGACAGCGCATGCGAGGCAGCGCACGCGAGGAGGAGCGGTCCCCTCGTTGGACTCGCCGACGGTCATGGCAAGGGGCCGAGAATGCTGGTGCCAAGCTTTGTGGGTTCTGTGATTTCGTGGGCCCGGGCTGTGGGAAATGAAAAAGCTTGACCTCTCAAACGCGAGGTTACATGGCCGCCTGCGTATCCGTGAAATAACTCGAACGCAGAGTGACCGCAACTTTTCCGCCTTCTCCCGGCAGGCCCAGCATCGCGGCTGTGCGAAGGCAGCACAGGACAACGGACATCGGACAACAAACAGGAACCCACATTCCCACTTGCTGCCGGTGGATCGAGGGCTGGGTCGGTCAATTCGCAGGTGGTGCGCTACAAAAGGGCGCCTTTACCTAAGTACTCGCATTGAGTGTGGCAGCGGCAGAGGCAAGGAAGCTGGGCTGTTTTGAGAAAGACGGCCCGCGTGCGCCGCTCCCAAAGCCGCAGGCCCCACTCCGCCCTATCGCCCCAGCCAACTCCGAGCGTGCACTATGCCACTACTATCGACACGAGCCTCATCCGCCTCTACAAATGACCCCTTTTGCTAGCCCCCAGGCGTTTCGCTTCCGCCACTCAACCGTCGCTGTAGCCTGCCACCCGGGCATTGTGCCCGCCCCTGAGCCCCGCCCACGCCCAGCACCAATGCTGCATTCCCGTCAGCCCTCCTCTCCGAAACGCTGCGACGAAACATGTCTGCTCTCGAGTTGGCCCTGCATTGCACGCGCTGCAAGGGCTCAAACACCATCCCTCTGTCCAAGCGCACCTTCAAACACCATCCACCTACACGAAGGGACACAGAGATGCGGGTACGGCCAATTTCCTAATCTTAGCGCCGCCGGCTCCCTCCAGTCCCACCCGACGGACCCGTGGCTGCTCCCCACCTATCGTCACATTCCCATGGCTTACCCCCGCTCCAATTTCTCCCCGAAAGCTGCACGGCTTTTTGTGATTTCGACACAGGTCTCAGCAATTGCGCCTTCAGGGTAACGCCGGCTCGACTACCGAGTGCCTGATTTTACCTTTCTCGTTACGCTCATCCGCTTGGCCCGAAGCAGCAGTAGGTGCCTGCATGCGCCCACGGCCCTGCCTGCTGCCGAGCGGTGGTCCTCGGCTGTGATGCCCAACAATAGATCCCATCTTCCTCGTATTCCTTACCGGGCTCGGGTAATTCATCGTAATCCTGCACGTCATCCTTCGTGAAAAAGAAAGCGAACCATTCACCGAGGGCTTGGCGTCTTGAATTTCAAACCTTTTTCTTTTCTGACCATTGACCGTGTGGCGCGACGCCCAGCCTGGCCCAGATAAAGCATTGGTAAGTACACAGTACTATCTGATGCATTGGCCAGCCTGACTCGGCGATGAGCTGTAGATGAATACGCAATTGTCATTGGTTCTCGCATAGTCCCGTCTGCACCCAGCTAGTCAGACGCCCACCCGCCGAACACGTCGAGGGTGTTGTTGTCCAAGGCTAAGTGCACGAGCAAGAGGAACGGCTCCCATGTCTACAGTCTCCACAAATTGCTGTCTGCCGCACAAGGCTGAACGGAACGAGTGTGCCGAAAAGGATTCACACAGCCACTACCATGACGTCAAATGGTCCGTCACGTGTTTGTCCATGGTCAGCTTCAGCTTCAGCTTCGTCTTGTATCTGGAAAGGATGTACATACAGCAAGGCGCAGCATGTCGCGTCTTTGCAGTCCCTAGAGCAGCAAAAGCATACCATTTCTCAACCCATAAATACATTGCAATCCCTCTCGCAGCCACCACATTCCAACACACCCACACTTCTCCACTTTAGAGACCCCTCTCGCCCAGCAACAAAAACGAACGACCACATCCTACCATTCCGCACCACAAAAAATAACAACCAAAACGACCAGCCATGCCTTCCCTCTCCGCCGGCATCTCCTCCCTGAACGCGGGCTACATATCCACGACGCAACAAAACCGCACCTCGCCCTACATGCCCGGCGGCGAGCCACGACCAGGCAATAGTCCTTCAATGTCAGACAAGGCGGTGGCGGCCCGCAAGGCGCGGTTGGAGCAGTTTGACCGGGAGGTGGCGGAGGCGAGGGAGAGGAGGGAGGAACGGGAGAGGGAGAAGAAAGGAGGTTCGAAGAAGATGGACGAGAGGGAGGGGGATGAGAAAGCGAAGGGGCAAGTAGTAGAAGTTGATTGTGGTGGTGATGAGAAGGAACATGGAGGTTTCCGTCAAGGTCTGAAGGACAAGATTTTTGGGCGGAGGGAGTGAAGTAAGCTGAATGATGTGTCGCAGGAAGTTATTGGGAGTCATGGCGTTCATGATTAGTGTATTTCGTTTTCATTTCATCAAAAGAAAAAAAAAATTATATATTCACAATTTCGTGACCAGCATGTCACGCTTCGAAGTAAACTATCTGAGAACACGCGCATACCATGTGTGAACCTCCCTCAACTCCCAATGAACGCCCGTAACGCCGTTGGCCAAATGCAGATGAGTGGCCGACTGGACCGTGCCCAGCCCTTGCGGTATTGTCAACCACAACGGGAACGACCAAAAAAAAAGGACCCTTTCTCTAATATCGTCCTGGTTCCCGCCGTGAATCGTGCCCAGAGTAGTAAGGCCTTCGGTGCCTTTCTGAACCCGGTCTCTCCAGTTCCGGCACCTTGCCCATATCTCCAGGCGTGCTCATCATGCGCTTCAGTGGGCTGCCTCTCCTCCTCTCTGGAGAGGCGATCCGCTGATTCGACTCGTCAGGTCTCATGAAATTTGCGGACTGCGGCTTCCGAAGGGGTGATGCAGCGTGAGAGTACACGCCCAGGCTACCGCCATCGCCGGTGCTGGCGTCCGCTGTGGAGCGGAAGACTGGCTGCCTCATGGAGGTTGTTCTTCGTCCTACTGAAGAGCCACCGGCCGATCCAGCCGGTGTCTGCGCGCTCGCCAGTCGCGGAGTGACAAACGGGTTTGGCATGGTAGATCGTGGGGCGCGTTGTTCGGATTGGAGAGCGTTGTCCGGGTCGTACTGCCCCGCGTATGCAGGATTTGGGTTGGTGCGGAATCCTCTGTTAATCACAGTAGTCGGCGTGTAGGTGTCGACTTCCCTAGAGGCTCTGGCTTTGGACTCGTGGTTTGGCGTCTGGGTACCCACGTTGCGAACCGGCTTATTTAGGTTGGGGTGCACGAACTTGGTGTCGTACTCGTGAAGGACCTCACGGTGGATCAGCGCGGCATCCTTGGTCTGCTGTGAGAAGGATGTTTGGAGAAGATGAAGTTGCGTCGTCATTAGAACTCCGAGGACCATGGTGATGGCCACCGTCACACTGGGCCGTGGATCCAACGGGCCTAGCGGAAGGAAGAGCCAGTACACCAAAACATGACCGGGGCTGAACAAGCAGAAAAGCCGTAGACATGTCGGCGTGGGGTCCCACACCGATATTTCCCACACGTCGCGATTCGCATCTGGGTGTGCGCGCGCCTGGGCGCTTGATGACGCCACAATGTTCGAGAGAAAGCGGAGCGGCGATGAAGCGAGAGGTGACGAGTCGACGCGAACCCGGCGGGCAGAAGGTGTGGTCGGGGTTGTCTCGACGGGATTTTCGAAGAGTCGGTAGTGGCGCTTGCGTTGGAAAGTGAAGAAGGCGTTTACGAGAGAGAGGAGCGACAGCAGGTGTACGACAAAGGAGCACTACTTGCATGTCAGTGGAGAGCTTATACCGGCATAAGAACAAGATGGCATACCAGCCAGCGGAGCCAACCAGTCCCAGCGCCAGCAGAATAGTCTCCGAATACGTCCTCACTGTCTCGCGAGGTTACCGCGCCACTGTTTGCTCTGGTGATCATGAAGATCAAATTGACAGCAATGCCCAAGGGCCATGCCCATTCCTTGAGTGCTTCGTCCAGATCGTTGCTGTTGAGTTCCTCCGACAGCCACAACAGCCAGTCATACGGGTCTAGGTAGGCTTTGATGCGCTCCGAGAGCGGGCGGCGGCGGATGAGTGGGGGCATTGCTACCGCGTGGAAAGGGTGCAGAGGGTGTAGTTTGGGTCGCGAAGCTGCACGAGAGATCCAAGTATCGTTCGGCAGCGGCGAGAAGTGATTGTCATGCTATGTTGAGCTGCGGGCCGGGGCCATCGTGTTTGTCTTTGGCCTGGTGTTCTGAGCAGAAAGAGCACGGACGGCCAATTGTCAAGGTAAACAGACCGGAGGAAGGAACGCCGGCCGCCGAGAATCCCTGCCCATGATCGTCCTCGTGGTCCCCGCGGCGTCACAGCCCGACGACCAAGCTCCAGCTTCGCTCAACCACAACCTGCATTGCCGTCCACGACAGTGCACGCAGGCTGCTGACTACGACCATGGCTGCCCCAGCTTCTGCCTACAAGGACCGCCAGTTTCTTGCTGTCATCGGAGATGAGGTGCGCCCTCTTTCCCCCCGATGCGGTGGAGCTCTGCTAACCGCTACTTCCAGGATTCGGTGACCGGTCTCCTCCTCGCTGGTGTCGGCGTAAGTTCTCCTGCAGCCTTATCATACCTACCGCAGTCCGTAGCTGTTCGTGGATGGCTCGTGCTGATGTACCTTGCGCGTAGCACGTCACGCAGCCGCCGGACAACCAGAAGAACTTCCTCGTCGTCGACAACAAGACGGAAACGTCTGCCATCGAGGCCGCCTTTGACAGGTTCACTGAGGAGCGGAAGGACATCGCTATCCTACTCATCAACCAACATGTACGACATCCACACCCCAATCCGAGATCATAGGTTGTCTCGTGCTCCTTAGGCCATAAAATAACGAATTCCAGATTGCCGAGCGTATACGCCACCGCGTCGATGCCTACACCGCCGCTTTCCCGTCTCTGCTCGAGATTCCTTCCAAAGACCACCCGTACGACCCGGATAAGGACAGCGTGCTGAAGCGTGTGCGGAGGCTGTTTGGAGAGTAAACGGCGGGAATCCAATTCTGTGCATACAACGAGCATTCTATCGGAGGCGTTCTGCTTGTACAGTTATACATCAATTTATACCCAAATACAAGATGGGCTCGGTGTTTCGTCTTCAACATTGATATTTGTAGGCCACGAGCCATCGCTCTCAGCGCCATGACTTGCATCGACAAACACAAAGGTATCGCGATTTATCCTTGACTTCAAAGGAATGGCAAGGAATCATGATATGTCATTAACCCAGTGAGACTGTCTAAACTACTCGTCGACCCAGGTATCTTCGACAGAGTCGACCATGCGCGTACGGCATCCGATCCAACAAATACAGATGGAATAGCAGATTATCCTCTGACGTCACCCAGAGCCATGAAGTCCTGTGTACTGTACAAATTCCACCTGACATGGCACAGCCCTAGCTTTCGTCGCAGCTTTCTCTTTTGATAGCATCCTGCTATCTGCCCCCTTCAAGAACTAGACAAGGCAAAGGCTCCCTATCTGTGGAACTGGACGGTAGCGGTAAGGCAGGTGATCTTCTTGCCGTCCTTGTTGGAAACGTCGGCGAGCACGGTGTACTTGCCCTGCAGTGTCACGCCATCAGCATCAATGATTCAACGAGTTTGGTGGTGAGCAGGGTAAAGCTTACCGGAGGGATCTCCTTGGGCAGATCGACGTCCTTGGTGAGCTCGAGATCGCCCTTCTCGAGTGGGCACTCGAGGCCGACCTCCTTGACGTAGTCGCACAACGAAGCCTCCTGCTTGATGAGGGTGATGAGGCCGTATTTGACCTGCAGGCGGACCTTGGCACCTTCCTCGACAACCTCGGAAAGGGTGCCGCTCGCCTTGATGTTGAGGTTCTTGCCTCTGCGCGCAATATGCGTTAGCCTTGCTTGCGCTCCTTTGATGGTGGTTGCGCGCGAAGGTGGGAGTGACGGTGATAGAGAGCTGGGAGCTTGGGGTTACTCACGCCTCAGGCGGGCTGGGGTCGAGGTCGGCGGTGTCGATGGTGAGGATGTTGCCAGCCGGGTCCTCGCAGAAGTACAGCGGGTTCTCGCCTGGGACCTTGAGGTCCTGGCTGATGACCTCCTGCTGGCCCAGGAAGCTGCCAAGCACGTTGGACGAGGCCGAGACCACCAGCGGGCTGGCGACGGAAAGCAGCAGCGTCGAGAGCTTCATTGCGACGTTGGTGCGAAAAGAGTGCGACGGTTCGGGAGGTATGGCGATGGCAGTTGGTTGTGGGGAGAGCTCTGTTGGGGTCGGCGACGATAACGGAGGCGATTTGTGGAGAGGGCGGCGAGCTCAGGCGCGGCTGACCTTGTGACGAGATGACGATGAAGTGGCTGGGGCCCGGCCTTGGCGCGCGCTTCGGGGGGTCATTGCGACCCTTGCTCTGGCAACAACCGTTTGCAACGCTGTCTCTGCTCTGCCCCTACCTCTCTCTTGTTGCTGCATTCGTTTCACTAATAATTACGCCATCTGATCAAGAAAAGGGAAGGCCACAACTTGATATCGTTATCATTACAGCTTCGTCGCGTACTCGACACCGCCGGCCTCCCGCAACGCGCTATCTACTTCCTTCCAAGCATCATATCCGTACAGCCATGGCTGCACCTCGGGGCACGTCCTGCACCCAGCGTTAGCAATGGCCGCCGTCTGCTCACGCTCCTCAACTTACCATCTACTTGGGAAAGCGCAGTCAATTTCCTTGCCCAACTTGGACATGAAGAGCTCGTCGCGTGCTGCCTGCTCTGGGCCGTCCGGCATGTGGAACGATTCTCGCTTCTTTGGGTCAGCATTCTTCTTGTCTCCGACCTCGGCCTATCGAGAATTACCTGCTTGAACGTCTCTCGGACGATGGCTTCTCCTCGTGCCTTCCGCAACCGCTGGAATATCGTGAGGGCTCGTGAGAGTGATAACCCTCCTTGCACCCCAGCAAGGACTCGTCCCAACACTGCGCCATCCTCTAGCGCTGAATTTGCTCCTTGCGCAAGGTAGGGGAGCATTGGGTGACAGGAATCGCCACTACGATGATTTAGTTCAGATACCAACCAGGTGTATGACTACCGCACTTACATCATCACCAAGTTGCCCCGTTCACTTATCCAAGAATCCATCTGCTCACCTGGAGATAGTCATCAGCACTGCGTCGTTCAACATGTACTGCGGCCACTTACGGTGCATGAGTTTCCATTTGTCTACTGTGTCCACACAGTCTAAAAATCTCGTCAAAATGGGATCCCAGCCTTGGAATAGCTTCTTCATTTCTTCCACCGATCCGGTTTGCCTGGCTACTGATTCTGGTAGATCATCTGGAACAAGCAACACAACGTTGTACATGGTACCGCCCTTCAGCGAGTATGCCACAACATGTGCGCCCGGTCCCACCCAGAAATGCACCTGGGGGTTGGAGACCATCTCTCTCAGCTCGGGGTCTTTGATCTGATCCAATTTGAGCACGATGCGGTAGGCGAGATCGCCTGTCGGTAACGGCAGAGCTTTTTGGCCAAGCAGGTATTCTCGGCACTTGGACCACAAGCCATCTGCTCCAACTACAAGATCGCATTGGTACTCATCACCGCTGGTGGTTTTGATTCGCGGCCGCACTGCGTCGAGGTCCAGGGATTCCACACGCTGACTTAGTCTTATGGAGACGCCCAGCTCTCTTGCTGTCGCGACGAGACCCTGCTGCAAGTCGACGCGGTGCACGTCTGAGAACGGGGAGCCGTACTTCTCGTTCATGTGCTCGTTGAAGTCGTCTTCCCTGGCCAGGACCTTTCCCGTATACCTATGGACAACTAGAGACTTGGGCTCGCACGCTTGGCTCTGCAGCTTCTCATATACGCCCCATCTCTTGAGCAGTTTGGAGGAATTTGGGGTTATCTGCAGCCCGGCTCCAACCTGTGTGTCTGCGTCAGAAGTGCTTTGGCGTAGAGGTGACGGGGAACTTGTGCAAACCTCAGCTAGCTCGGAAGCACTCTCCAGTACAGTGACACTGTGACCTGCGCGCGCGCACTCGATGGAGGCAGCCAGGCCGCCCAAGCCCGCACCCACAACAATGATGTCGAGCCTATGTGCATAGGCTGTCATCGCCACCGACGACTGAAAGGGGTTTAGTAAAGACGGTAGGGAAATATGTTGACCCATGGTTCTGTGTTTCGCTTGAGATAGACAAAAAGCCCAACATACGAGGCTGTACCATCTTCTTGTATTGCATGGTGCGGCCGGGGTTCGGCAAAGCCGACAGTGAGCTGGGGGCCCGGCGGGTGTCAGCGTAGCAGCAAGCGACAGAACAAAGCCACCAACCAGCGGCCACAACAATGGTTAAAAACAGCTCTAAGGTTCGCATTGCCACCAGATGTGCCGAGGGGTAAATGCCGAGGGCGATGTTGACGTGCTGCGGCGAAGCACACCTGGCATTTTCTGCTTTGCGGTGGCAGTAGCAGATCTCCGCGGGCGGAATTCCCGAGGAGATGTTGCAGTGCGAGCAGCGACATGGGCGGCGTCCCCACCAACCCCGCAAAGGGGTGGATCCCTGCCGGTGCGGGGGAGGAGCCATCCGTGTCGTTGGCTGGCGCTGGCTGGGGTGCTGGAGCCACGGAGCTTCGAGCGCTCGCGTGCGGCTGCCGGCCGGGCTGAGCCGAGACGGCGCCCCGGGCAGCGACCTTCCAGTGCGGCCAGCTTCGCTCATAGCGTCGCACCCACTTTTCATCTGCTCGTCCTCCCAATTGCCTGCGTCCTCTGCCGTTGCGACCGTCGATGAAATGCTGCCCTCGCCGCAAGACACCACGACCGCCAGCCGCAGCAGCCCGCGGCCGCCGCGCCGGCCCCGGGCCATCCAGGCCTGCAACCTCTGCCGCTCCAAAAAGTACAAGTGCGATGGCGTCTGTCCATGCTCGCACTGTCGCAGTACGCCTCCAAACCAAATGTTCCAGCCTCGTGCGTCAACCACGCTGACCGTCTCCGGCCCCTCGCAAAGGGCGCGGACTGCACTGCGTGTATCGCGTGGCCCCCGTGGCGATTGAGAGGGAGGCGGGTTCGCAAAGGTGGTTTGCCGCCGCCTCGTCCCCCGGAGCTGGCGCCGCGCTGACCATGCATGCACCTCCTCTAGCCTTGTGCGCGACCTGGAAAAGCGCTTGGAGCTCGCAGAGGCCGAGAATGCGAAGCTTCGCGTTTCGTACAACGCCCTCGCGTCTGGCGCAGCCAACCAGAGCGCTGCTGCTGACCCGGAACATGCGTCCACTCCTGCCGAGCGGGCTGCAAGCTCCAACGCGGTGCCACCATCTGTGGCCTCGCAGGCGGAAGCCTCTGCGACCTCGCCGCTGTCGGAGCAGGCCGCGCGCTCTGCGGGGCTGGGGCGAGTGAACGAAGAAGTTGGTAGCCCCGAAGAGGGCACCGAGATCGTCGAGGTCAACCCGCACACCAGGGACATCGAGTTCCATGGCCACACGTCCTCCGTCGCCTTCCTGGACCGCGTGCGGCAAGAGTACGGCTACAGCGAGAACGACTCGCAGGGCGACCTGCAGACGACATGTCAGAAGCCGTCGTTGGTCAGCACCTTTTACAACCACGCCTTTGGCACCCAGCGCACGGGCGACGCCAGCGGATGGAATGACGTGCTGGAAAATCAGTTCTTCTTTCCACAGTCCTACGTCTTCCTGGAGACTTATTTCAACAATCTCCATTATATCCATCCCTTCCTGGACAAGGAGAACTTTTACTCCAGGTGCGATGATCTCTGGCAGGGCCGCTTTCAGAACCAGTCCCGCAGCTTCATCGCCTTGTATTTCAGCCTGGTCTCGCTTGGCGCCCTTATCCGCACGTGGACGGAGGAGAGGCTTAACGGGATGGGGAGGTTCGAGTGGAGCCGCATGCTCTTTGAGAAGGCACAGCTCGCCTTGGGATTTCCAGGATCCGCAAATGACCTCGAGGCCGCTCAAGCTTACATCTTCATGGCCAAGGTCTGCCAAAACGAGCTGAATCCCAATCTCGCATACACCCTCCTCGGAATGGCTTCACGCACGCTTTTGTCAATTGGCGCAAACCGCAATGCCTCGATTGATAGCGGCAATTCGGCAAGACAGCCACAGGCGCTGGAAGCTTCGAGGACGTGGTGGGGGTTCTATACCTTGGAGATTGAACTCAGCTTCGCTCTTGGTCGGCCTGACAGCCTGGGCATGGACGACTACCACAACCGCCCTCTTCCCCCGATAGCTGGGACCGACGTCGACATCATTCCTGGAATGATTGGCCTGGCGCGCATCATGCGCGCCATCTCAGTCAAGGTCTACCTTCACCGATTGTCATTGGCACAGAAGCTCCAAGGAGCGATGAACATCGAGATGGAGATGGATGCGTGGGTGGCTCGACTGCCAGAGGCAATAAGACCGCAGTTCACGAGCGATGTCGGCAGGCACAGTCGGTTGGGAGATCCGCCTTGGGCGTATTACCAAAGGCTCGTGCTTCAGATTAGTGAGTAAAGGGAGAGGGAAGCTTCTTTGCTTATTTCTAACCTTTGCAGGATATTATAACGTCAAGATGCTTCTCTTGAGACCGTTCATCGTGCATGCATCAAAGTATGACGAGCGAGAACCGAGTCTGGAAGACGCCGTCAACAAATGTACAGACGCGGCTGCGAGGACAATAGATCTCTGTTACGAGACGTACAGAGTCCACATTTTCTTTCATACCTGGTGGGTGCAGGAAGCTTTCTATCCAGACCTCGTACGATCGCGTTTACTGACGCCCGAAGGTGGTACAACATCACCTACCTCACCTTCGCCGCCTCCATCATCCTCTACCGTGCCGTCCAAAGCATCCAGGAGCCCGACCGACAGCACGACTACATCCGCCTGATCGAGCAGACGCTCAGCATGCTCGACCTCATGCGCGAATCCGTCGTTGCGTGCAAGACAGCCAAGGTCCTCCGCCAGATGCTCGCCATCCTGCGTCAACGCTCCGGTCGCTCCTCGTCCACGCTTGGGGACGACGGCGTGCATTCTGCTGCCAGATCAAAGCAGCCCGCGCCCCAGCAGGGGGTCCAAGCGGAGTCTGTCGTGATCGACGAGGGTTTCGAGGTCCCCCAGATGGGCTTGGAGTCGCTCGACGGGTGCTTGTGGGATTGGAGCTTTGATTTCAGGGACGTATGGGAGAGCCACGGGGGCGGGCCTCATGGACTGAGTTAATATGTATGCTTTTGATATTGTGGGGTTTAATCTTTTTTTGAAAAGAAGAAGAGGTGTTGAAAGGAGATGAAATTGAAAAGGAATAATGGAAGGAGATGCTAGAAGGGGAGGGTGACGTCAAAGTCCGTTTCGTCCGACCTCACTCAATCAGTCTTCTCCTCCCCTTCTTTTTTGGGGTTTTTTTTTGCAGTCGCCGCCACATCTGCCTGCCTGCCTGCCTGCCTGCCGTTCACCATTCTCTTCATTCGCTCCGACCCGACCGCCTTCTCCCACCGAAAAGAAAAAGGCAAAAAAAAGCAAAGGCAAAGGTATCCCGTCCCATCCCGTCCCATCCCGTCCCATCCCGTCCCATCCCCGTCCCGTCATCTTCATCCTCATCATCATTACCATCATACGATCACGACCACGATCGTCACCACCACCCCAACATACCAAATCACCTCCTTCCCCTCCCCCCCACCCCCACAGCACCACTCCCACCCCCACCACCACCTCCAACAACACCCCCACCACCCATCCTCCCCTCCAACCAATCAAACCCCCCCCTCTGCCTCCCCCACGTCTCGGACCCCTTCTCCATCCCCCCCGCAAACGTGTGCCCCTCCCCCCGCACCTCGATCCACTCGCAACCCCGCACGCCCGCCTCGAGCAACCGCCCGTACAGCTCGCGCGACAGCTCGATGGGGACCGACTCGTCGGCGGTGCCGTGCACGACGCAGGTGGGCGGGAAGGCAGGGGTGATGTTGGCGGCGGCGTCGATGGCGGACAGCGGGCCGAAGGGGTAGCAGACGCGGAGGAGGGTGCCGCGGGCGATGTGGGTGAGGGCGAAGGAGGGGCGGGGGGGGAGGGTCTGGGTTTGGGTGGGGGTTTGGGGTTCTTTTTTGGTGGAGGAGGGGGTGGTGGTGCCGTTGGTGGTGCCGTTGGTGGTGGATGATGATGGAGGAGGGGGAGAGGTGCTGTTGGTGGAGGAGGAGGTGGTGGTGGTGGAGCCGGTGGAGGCGATGGAGGAGGAGGATGATGGCGTGGCGGGGGTTGTTGGGGTTGTTGTTGTTGTTGTTAGAGCGGATGCTGCTGGGGCGGGTGCTTGGCCTTCGAGCGAGACGCCGCCGCGGATGGGCACGGGCGATTCGTCGTAGACTTGGTTGATGTAGTCCGGGTCCGTGTTGGGCGGGAGCTTGGCCGTGCGCAGCGGCGTCGACCAGAAGGGGTGCGTGAAGTGCGTCGCGCCGTAGAAGTCGAGGATGGCGAGGGGTGGGCGGGGGACGGAGTAGCCCTGCGGGGAAAGGCCGGGTCAGTGTGAGGACCGATTGGGGGGCCAGCAGCAGAAAGGAAGTAGAGAGAATTAATCAAAGCTGTGTCTCACCAGGGCAAGAGCTATGGCACCGCCGGACGAGGTGCCAAAGGCGACGACGCGGTCTTTGTCGACGGCAAAAGCAGCCGTCGAAGGATTGCGGGCCAGCTCAGCATCGAGGCCGCCGTTGTACACCCAGGCAAGGGCGTCACGGCAGTCGGTAATGGGGCCCTCGAGGATGTCGACTTGCGGACAGAGGCGGTGCTCGAGCGAGAGGGTGATCCAGCCACGGTCGAGGCAGTCTTGGATCTGGTCCTTGTTGACCATGTCCGAATGGCCGAGTATGAAGGCGCCGCCGTGGATGGCGAGGACTGTGGGGTAGGTAGGTTAGCGTATTCGGGCCTTTTTCATCTTCCGCATTAGGAAGGAGGTAGGTGTCGGGAATCCCGGACGTACCGACGGGGCATTGCGTCTTGTCTGTGGGCGGCGAGGCGGTGGGCGGGAGATAGACGTCGGCGTAGATGACGCAGTCGTCGACGACCTTGTAGGCGCAGCGCAGGTGGGGAGTGGGCATTTTGGCGGGCGAGAAGATGTGGCGGATCTTGTGGCGGAAGGACTTCATTGGGCAGGTGGACGGGGTCGGTGGAGATATAAAGGGCCAGGGTGGGCGGTAGAGGGTTGGCAGGTCGTCTGAACAAGCACTGGGAAGAGCGGTTGCGAGCGGCGGGTGATTGGCGGATGCGGAGCTCGGGGCTTGCGGCTGGGGTTGGGGACGAGTCCGGCGCGATCTGGAGCGGGTCAACGGGCACGGCGGCGAGCAAGGACGGCGTGTTTGTGTCCAAGGGCTCGGAGGTTTTCCGGTGGGCCCTGAGACAGAGAGACTCGCAGCTCGGGATTGCCGGGCTGGGTGGGTTCAGGATGGTTCAGCAGCAAGGACGCCACGTGAGCGGCGTGGCAGGAAGCGCTCCCAGCGTGTCACCCCATCCCTGCTACCACGCGATCAATCGCCTGATAGCTGCAGCTCAGACGTCGCACAGCATGCATTCCCACGTTGTCGATTCCCGGAGAAAAACAACTGAACACGAGGCTTCCACGGTGCCGGGAGACAGCCCAGGGGAGTTCCGAGTCTGGACCCCTCACCCGACACGTTGCAGAGCCAACTTGACGCCGTGCCCATCTCAACGGGCAGCATGTGTCAGGCTGTGGCCGTGGTGGTCACACACAACATGATTCCGTTCCTGCCTTTTCCGCCGAAAACAGTCGCCAAGGTTCCCTCGCGAGCAAAGAACAATGACTTCTACGTCCTTCTCGCTTTCACTGCGTCATGTCTGTCATCACAACCACTCCACCTTCAAATCTTCTTTCACTCTCGGTTTGCCGCAGCTGATAGTGCGCACTATTACCGATTTGGAAAATGTTGGAATTGGGTGGGAGAAAGGCGCTGTCGTGGAACCGTGGTCAGTATCTGTATTTTCCCAGCCGCAACTTGAGCCTCTCCAGGTTGTGCCGGGGCTAAAGCTCGGAAGATTGCTCAATGCGACGCGGGGTGCGGGTCTCCGGCAAAGCCAGCACAGCCTCACTGGATGCTCATGCCTTTTCCGCTCTAGCCAGCCCTGCTCGTTCTTGTTCCCTTCTGGGCCTAGAGCTTTCCGAGAGCCCTCGCTCTTAGTCAACGCTCCACGAAGATATCTTTGTAACCCTTTGGCTCTGAACCCCTCCAAAATCAAAGCCGGAAGACTGCTTCACTGATGCATCCTGCCAGCAAAGAGTACGGCCCAGAGGTCCAAAAGGTCCCTGCCACGACTCCACTGGACCATGTTCTGTACCTGTTGAAACGCGACGGGGGGGTGTTCATCAAGGGACTGATTCCAACCGAGGACGTCGACAAGGCGTACGATGAAGTGCGCGAAACCCTCGACAACGACGTTGAGTGGGATGGCAATTTCTTCCCCAGTACGCCCTCCATGATTTTGCACGTGCATGACTTGGCTCATCAAATTCAGAGGAGACACAGCGAGCCTCTGCGCTCATCATGAGAAGCCCGACATACGTGAAGACGCAGTTGATGAACCCGCTGTATCAGCAGGTAATCCGTCACTTTCTCACCACTCGAAGCTGGTTCTGGTGGGGAGATGAGAGGAAGGAGTCAGTGTCGAAGCCACAGGTGCACTCCTGCGTTGCCATGCGCATCGGGCCTGGAGCGACGGCGCAACCTTTGCACAGAGACGACTACATCAGCCACAACATGCACGACGAAGTCGACGCATGGGACGATGAGAGGGACAAGCATCGAGAATCTGCCGTCGGCATGTTTGTTGCCGGATCCAGAGTCACGAAAGAGAACGGAGGGACGGCCTTCATTCCACGCAGCCACTTGTGGTAAGCCATTGCACCATGGTGATTGTGACCAAGGTTTGACCCGCTTCCAGGGGCAACGACCGCAAAACGCCGCCACGGGTCGACCAATGCATCTTTGCGGACATGGAGAAAGGGGACGCTTTCATCATGCTCGCCTCGGCTTTCCACGGCGGCGGAAACAACACGACAAAAGACGAGAAGCGGCTCGTGTTTTCAACCTTCTCTGTTCGAGGCTACCTTCGTCAAGAAGAGAATCAGTTCCTGGCTGTTTCTCAGGAAGCGGCGAGGAGGTACGACCGGTCTGTGCAGGACTTCATGGGCTATTCCATGAGTGAACCTGCAGGCGGGTGGGTTGAGCAGATGGATCCTATATATGCCTTGAGGCCGGAGCTGAAGGAAGGTGAGCGGCCCAAAGACTATTGAGTGGCCGCAATCCCACTCGTCGCTGTGCCAAGCGTCGTTTCGACCAAGACGTGCAAAATACCACACAAGTGCATTGAATACCAGCCATGAAATAGACGCCCGGTGGAGGCCGACATTGCTCCTCAATTTCGCCGAGGACACGCTCCGGTTTCGCCGATCGTTGGCGCAACCTGGCGCCGCAGCTTGTGCCAGAATAAGCCCCGCATCTCTCACCGCGCTAAAAGCTACGTCCTGCCTGTCTGCCATCGCCGCTCATCTCCAGACCCTGTGTCCAAGTCCAACCCGGCGTTGCGCAGTCTATAAAAAGTAGAGTCTCGCACACCTCATCTATTCCCATCCATTTCGACGTCGGGAAATCATGTCCAAAAGATTGACTGCTACTCGTCTAGGTCAGTACGGTCCGTAAGCCCAAAAGATCCTCTGCCTGAATCTCAATAGACCCTGCCTGTGGAACATGTCGGAAGAAATGCCGTAAATGTGATCGGACGAGACCAGTCTGCAAGCGATGTACCCTCAAAGGCCTGCACTGCGAGGGCTATCCACCCCGGTTTCAGTTCTTGGAGTACGGGGGAGGAGCTTTGCCCAGCACGGCTAGTGGGCCTCGTGCCCAACCCGACTTGTTGACCCAGCAGACACCCAGCCAGAACAGGAAAGAGAGCGCGCAGCACTTGAGCATACAAGACCGCTTGGGCTCCGTGACACTGGGGGACTTGCCCGACTGTCCGCTCATCACCCCCGAATCGTCCCTGTCGCCCAAAAGTGAGACGCCCTTTGAGCGCGCGAGCCTCGTCGACGACGTCCTAAGCACCAGCCATGCGCAGAGGCTGCTGGTTCACTGTACGTCACAGCTGTCCAGGGGCATCGGGCCCAGCTAACCTCTCGCAGTCGACACGGTGCTGTGCGACAAGCTGGCAATCGCCACGACGGGAACACTCAACCCGTTTCGCGCATATGTGCTCCCTCTCTCGTACCAGCACACGGGCACCCTACATGCCTTGCTTGGACTGACGGCCTATCATCTCGAATCGTCAGGCGTAGACACGACCAAAGCAAACAGCACGGCCGCACTTCAACACAAACTGTCGGCCATCCAGTCTCTCAGCGGGCTGCTCCTGAAGGAAGAGATATCGGGATTGTCAGAAAGGGAAGAAGAAGTCGCCCTCGTCATGGTGTTGCTGCTGGTGCTCCAGGACGTGTGCGAGTCGGGCATATCCACCCACGGAGCCCACATCACCGGCGTGACCTTCCTCTGCCGGCGCATCGTCGAGCGCCCCGCCGAATCGCGGTCACCGTTCAAGATGTTCACCATCTCCTGCCTCGCCTGGTTGGACGCCCTGCGAGGCTTCAGCGGGCCCGAGAAGATGGCCTATTCCGACGAAGTGCGCAGATGCATCCTCGATGCCCGCGGCGGGAGCCTGGAAACCCTGGTCGGCTGTCCCGCCGAGATATTCTTCGAGATCGGCAAGGTCCTCACCGTCGGCAAAGAGCACGTCAACGGGACCGTGTCGATGGAGGACTTCCGGCCGGTCCTGGACGCTTCCGAAGCTTACCTCCGAAGCTGGGATCCGGATCGAGCCAGCTTCCCCACGCCAGCGCCCGAGTGGAAGCTGCTCGCAGACGCGTACCGCCATGCCAGCATCCTCCGCGTGCTGCGCTTCCCCGAGCCGTTGGCGTCGTATCCAGCCGACGAGCCCGTCATCAGAGAATCGGTGGCGGCAATCCTGGATGTGGCTGCGAAGATGGCCATGGACTCGCCCTTCTACAAGCGGCTCCTCTTCCCGCTGTTCCTGGCGGGCGCCGAGACCAGCTCGCCGCATCAGTACCACTACGTGCAGCTGTGCATCGGCGAGATCAAGAAAGCAACGGGCTTCCAGCATCAAGCCATGACGGACCTTTTGAAGAAGGTGTGGGAGGTCAGGCAAGAGAGCCCGCAAAGGCGCAGGAACGTGTCGTGGACGGAATGGGTAAGGCTTCATGCTCTGTTGCGCAGATGGTGCTTTTCTGACCTTTTCCACTTCAGACCTGTTCCTCGGCGCTGAAAGTCCAGCACGCATTTCTGTTCTTCTGACCAGTCGCATCCATCTGGTCCACTCGAGACCCAGCCTCGGCCGTGTATTACGTGCGACAGAATCGGAGGCACCTGAAAGGCCCCGCAAGCCAGCCATTGGCGGCAGGTCGGGCCGGGTCAGCGCCAAGGCAGGTGGGGGTGCGCGATTGGAAGTATTTCCAGTTTGGGTCTAGCCCGCCTTCTGGATCCCCCCCCCGAGACAACAGCTCCGGACAAACATCACACCAATGGGGGGAAAGTGCTGCACAATTTGTTAGACTATCGGGGCGCCCTCTCAGGTATCCCCCCAAAACCGCGGAGCTTCGGCGCAGTGTGAAAAAGAGTCCACCGCATAACAAACACTCTCATAACAACCCCCCAGCCCGGTGGTCGTCGAGGATGGGTGTTGGAAGGGAGGGTGACGGAGAAGGCGACGTCGGTGCCGAAGCCGTGGAGGGGGGTGGGGGCGGCTTGGGATCTCCGATTTGGGAGAATGCTGGGTATGACAGAATTGCTACATTTTGAGCACTTGAGTACTATTTCGTTGATGGTATCCTGGCCTTGCTCGAGGCAAACCCGAAGAAGATGGTTTGATCCGTCTGCTCGCTGAGCGTATCCATTGCGCGTTTCATTCCTCTCAGGGCCGCATGGCGGCCAATGACGGCCAAGTTCACTGGCCGATGGAATCGTCAAGAGTTCGTCAATGTAGTCAAAGTCAATGCAAGCTCGATGTCAAGTTCTGATCTATCCTCTCCGCAAACAATCCGCTGGCTCCCGGTTGAATGAAAATTTATTCAGAGCGACATCGGGCACGGATTCCCTACCATCACTGCGTTAAGCTCCTACAAACAACTTACACTTTGGGGAGCAATCAATTCGCCGTCAGCTCTGCATCGTCTGTTTTGCCTGAAAAATCCAAAGCCCTTGCCAGCCGACTTCATTTCAATCAGGCGCATGCAACACAGGACGAACAGACCGATCGAGGCACATGGAGGGCTTTTATAAGAAAAGGACACTTTTGTTGTCATTGCTATTCGATACATGGGGGAAACAAAGTACATTCAAGTGCGACGATAGTCCTCAACCGTGATTATTACATAAAAAGAAAACCAGGACATGTGCGGACGACACGATACAAGTCTGTATTATGCGGAGAAAGCGAAAAACCAGGAACATAGGAAAATAGTACAGAACCGCATGAGGTGACCGGCATCGAAGCGGTCCTCTTCATAGAGTCGGATAGAGCGAGTGATGGAGAGAGCAAAGGAGAGAAACGCCAGTCGCGTGTGTGTGTGTTGTTGTGTACAGCTTCGCTCCCTCATCACTCTTATGATGACGTCGACGCCCAAGTGTCGGGACCGCACGACGGCGGGCGGAACATGCCCCACGTGTCTGTATACACGCGTCCATCGGGCTCCGTCGTCTTCAGCTGCCAGCTGAGAGCGCCGGTGCCGTCGGCAAAGATCATGCGGAACGGCACGTAGGTGCCCGCGGTCAAGGATACGGTGTAGCTGCCTGGTGAAGAATTTAGGCCCGCCCTGGCGTCGGCGTTGGCCGCGGTCCATGCCGTTACGGCATGCTGGCCCACCCATAGATAGCCGACGTCGTCTGGATTCGCCACGGTGAAAGTGTACGAGCCAGTCGTGTTGGGCAGGAAGTAGCCTCGGTAGATGAAGGCCGTGTGCGCGATGTTCTTGTTTGTGAAGCCATATATGTTCGCATTTGAGGACTGGGAGGTATCGATACCAATGTTGATCTCGTCCGTGTAGCCCGAGAAGTTGATGACGCTGTACGGCGAGGCTTGCGGATTGTTGTACACGTCCGGGTTGAAGCTGGAATAGTATGGATCAGTGGTGGTTGAGCCGCCCGAAGCCGGGTTCGGCCGGTTGACAAACTGCAGGCCTGGCGACGCCGAGCACGAGGCTGGGACCACGACGTCGACGGTGCCGGTGCCGGTGATGGATGTTCCGGCGGGTGCGTAGGTACGTGTCGTTATCACGCCGGTGCCGCTCGTGACCGTGCGGGTTGTGAAGCTGACCGAGTTGTAGCACGGCGTGAGCACGACTTGGTGACAGCCTGACGGAATGCTGCCCACAAGGTAAAGGACGTTGGAACAGAGGGCTGCCAGGTATTGGCCGTTGTCAGTGTTGGTGACGTGCAGGGTCTGATCATCCCAGAAGGTTGTGTCGATGTCGACGTTGCCGGTGGCGGTCGAAGTATCGAAGAGGAAGGGCGCGTCCGAAGACCCTGAGCGTTGGCAGGAGCCGAGCGGGATAGACGAGCCAGCGCCGCTCTGGCAAGTGAGCTTCTGGGTGGAGGGTTCAATGTAGAAGAGCGAGGCGTCCGGGTAGGACTGTGTGAGACCGCAACCGTGGGCCGAAGTCGTCCCACTGTAGACAGAGCTTTGCAAGTTCAGGTAGCCGTAGAAGTTGCTGCTGAAATCCGTCACGGAGATTTTGAAGGGAGCATTGGTAGGCTTGACAACGACTGCCACGTTGCTGCTTGTGCCACCGACAGTGGTGGGTTGCACTGTTGTGAGGGACACACTGCCCGATGTTCTCGTAATGGTCAGCGCCGCCGAGGGAACCACAACGACAGCGTAGGTTCCGCTGGGCAGAGTGCCGGCCGGATCGGTTGCAATCGTCGTGGTGCGTGCAACGTTGCCGCTCGTGACAGTGATGGTGGGATAGCCTGGGAGGTTCACGACGACGTAGGTGGCCGGGGGAAGCGTGCCCGACGGATCCGTGTACAGAGTCGAGGTGTAGGCAACTGAGCCACCATAGTTCGTGATTGTCGGGTAGGCCGGAACGTTGACGACGACATAAGTGCCGGGCCCCGCGTTGCCGGGGGGGTCGGTGTAGAGGGTGCTGGTGTAGGCGGTGTTACCCGAAGTTTGTGTCAAGGTCGAGTATGCTTGGGTCGGCACGTGCACGACGACGTAAGTGCCCGGACCCTGGCCGGCGCCTGGAGGATCCGTGTAGATGGTGGTTGTGAAAGCCGAGGAGCCCGAAGTCACAGAGACGGTGGCGTAGGTGACGGATGGGACGTTGACCACGACATAGGTGCCAGCACCGAGAGTGCCAGGAGGATCCGTGTACAATGTGGTCGTATATCCGACGGCACCCGACGTTTGCGTGTACCGCGGACGATTGGCGGCAAGGTCAGAGACGGGGAGGGCAAGGTCGGAGAAGGGGTTAGAAATAAGACTGCCAGTAGGTCGGTTGACGAGGACGTAGGTCGACACGGCCGACGTGGTCCCTCCAATGCCGAGAAAGCCAGGGATGGTGGTGAAGGAGGTGACGGTGCTTGTGTATGCAGACGCACCGCTTGTTTGGTAGCGCGTGTTCAGACCCGAAGTTCCAGAGCAGACGAGACCGCTGCCTTGGATACATGACAAGAGACTGTTGCCGCTCAACAAGTTGTTCGCGAAACAGCTCACGGAGCTCAACAGCCCGTTCGTGCCAAGCGCTGCCTGACAGGCTGCCAGTGAGAGGACGTCGGGAATGCCGGACCCGCTGAGACTAGTGCAGGCGGCGGGCAGCGAGTTCGAGCAGCCACGGCAAGTTCCAAGGTTGCCCCAAAGGCAGGCCCGGAAATCCTGGGCGGAGAAGGAGCTCAACAGGTTGCTCAAGAAGCAAGTCGGTGCAACTGTGGATCCAAGAACCCCCAAAGAACTCTTGCACAAGGCTATGTCTGCCGCAGAGATGACACTGCTGATGAGGTCCGTCGACGTGCCGAAGTTGCAAGCACTCGGCAGAGCCGTGACGCAAGTCGTCGCCGTCGCAGTCCCGCAAACCGTCGTCGACGTCGCCGTGACAATGGCTGTTGGCGTTTCACCCGCCGTGTCGCAGACGGCCACCTCGTTTTGCAAACAATCATGGACCGAGTCACCGCCTTTGGTGAGCAGATCCGACACGAAGCATGAGACCGAGGTTCCAGTGTTCGACACACCGACTGCCGCCTTGCACGCTGCCAGCGCAGCGCTTCCCGCCAGGCTGCTACCTGAAATGCCTTGGAGAGCCGAGCAAGCCGGCGGGAACTGAGGAGAGCAGTTGTCGCACGTCGGCAAGTGGTTGTACAAACACGATACGAAATCGTTGTTGTTGCCCAAAACCGACGACACTGCATTCGAGACGAAGCACGCGGCAGCGTCCACGGCACCAAAGCTTCCGAGAGCAGTCTGGCACGCACTGTGGTCGATGAGTCCGATAATGTTGGAGAAGATGCTGGTCGAAGACGAGGGTGTACATTCGTCCGGAAGTGAATCGAAACAGTTCGGCGTGCTGGGGTCGGCGGCCGTGGGCAAGCAAGCGCCAGCCGATCTGCTGGATGATGCGCGGAGAGTGGGCACGTTGACCACCACGTAAGTACCCGGCCCTGCATTACCAGGGGGATCCGTGTAGAGGGTGCTGGTGTAGCCAACACCCCCGGAGGTCTGGGTATATCCCGGGTACGAGGCATGCGTTGGCACGTTCACGACAACATAAGTGCCGGCGTCCAAGCTGCCCGGAGGATTCGTGTAAAGCGTGCTGGTATACGCAACCGCTCCGCCAGTCTGAACATACGTAGTGTACGTCCGCGTTGGCACGTTGACTACCACGAAAGTGCCTAGCCCTGCACTGCCAGGAGGGTCGGTGTAGAGGATGGTCGTGTAGGCTGCGTCACCCGAAGTCTGCGTAAACGTCGAGAACGCTTGCGTCGGCACGTTCACCAAAACTTGTGTGACCGTGTTGCCGTCGGTCCAAGTCGTAGTTCGGCTTGTAGTGAATGCAGAGGATCCAGAAGTCCGTGTGCTTGTATAGACACGGTTAGCGCCAAGGGTGGGAATGTTGACAACGACTGCAGTAGCCGGGCTGCCGTTGATTACCGTCGGTACCGTCGACGTGTATGCCGATGGCCCGGACGTCTGTGTAATGGTAAGTATTTGGCCGGCGGATGTGGGAACGTTGCCAGCGAGTGCGGTGGGCGGGTTTCCGTTGATGATCGCTTGTGTCGGCACGTTCACCAAAACTTGCGTGACCGTGTTGCCATCGGTCCAAGTCGTAGTTCGGCTTGTAGTGAATGCAGAGGATCCAGAAGTCCGTGTAGTTGTATAGACACGGCTAGCGCCAAGGGTGGGAATGTTGACAACGACTGCAGTAGCCGGGCTGCCGTTGACCACCGTCGGCACCGTTGTTGTAAACGCCGAAGACCCAGCCGTCTGTGTAATTGTGAAGACCTGACCAGCCGGCGCAGTGGTGGGAAGGTTGATCACGACTGCAGTAGCCGGGCTGCCGTTGACAATCGTTGGAACCGTTGTTGTGAAGGCCAAAGACCCGGCCGTCTGTGTGACTGTGAAGACCTGACCAGCCGGTGCAGTGCTGGGAAGGTTGACGAGGACTTGTTCAATCGGAGTTCCTGCAACGGAAGTTGCAATGGTTGTCGTGAACGCCACAGAGCCAGAGTACTGCGTAGTAGTGACGACCTGAGTCTGAATAGGGGCAAGCCTGGTCATGCCTCCTCCTGTGATGAGTGCGCCGCGAGTAGGGACGTAGACGATGACTTGCGTGAATGGAACGCCGTTGTTGAGGTTCGGGTCGGATGCTAGGCCCGTGGTAACATAGCTTGTGGAGCCTGCCGTGATTGTAGTCGTGACAGGACCAAACTGTGTCGGGCCGGGGACGTTGATGATGACCTCGCTGAACGGCTGACCCCCGTTGATTGCAGGGTCCGACGTCAGCGTCGTAGATGTGAAAGCGATACTGCCCGAGGTTTGAAGCGTAGTGACAGGTCCGAACGGCGTTGGCACGTTCACAAGAACCTCGGTATAAGGCTGACCGCCGTTAACGACACCAGCAGGGTCCGAGGTGACCAAGGTTGTTGTAAACGCCGAGACTCCAGAAGTCTGCGTCACAGTGGTGGGGCCGAACGGAGTAGGCACGTTAACGAGAACTTGGGTATATGGCTGGCCACCGTTGACGATGCCGAATGGATCCGAGGTAACAACTCTAGTCGTGAATGCCGACAGCCCAGACGTTTGTGTGACGGTTGTCGGGCCAAATGGAGTTGGCAAATTAACTAGGACCTCGGTGTACGGCCGCCCGCCATTAACAAGGCCGGCAGGGTCGGAGGTGACGACGGTTGTAGTGAACGCCGAGATTCCAGAAGTCTGTGTGACTGTGGTGGGGCCAAACGGAGTGGGCACGTTGATGACGACCGCAGTGTAGGGCTGACCTCCATTGATGCTGCCGAGCGGATCACGGGTGACAACGGCTGTGGTAAACGCCGAAGAACCAGAAGTCTGTGTAACGGTGGTTGGGCCAAACGGAACAGGCACATTGACGAGAACTGCCGTGTAAGGCTGGCCTCCGTTGACACTGCCAGCAGGATCCCGAGTGACAACTGTGGACGTGAAGAGCGCGAAGCCTGAAGTCTGCGTGGTGGTGATTGTGCCGAACGGAGTTGGGACATTCACCAATACCTCCGTGTAAGGCCGCCCGCCGTTGATGATTCCTGCAGGATCTGACGTAACAATCGTCGACGTGTAGGGTAGGAAGCCGGACGTTTGTGTTGTCGTGACCGAACCGAAAGGCGTGGGAACGTTGACAACGATCTGAGTGTAGGGTTGGCCACCATTGACCAAGCCTGCAGGATCAGATGTAACAAGCGTCGACGTGAAGGGCGAGGGACCAGACGTTCGTGTGGTTGTAGTTGGACCGACAGGTGTAGGAACGTTAACCACAACTTGGGTGTAGGGTCTACCGCCATTGATCGAGCTTGCGGGGTCAGACGTAACGATTGTCGACGTAAACGCTTGCGGACCCGATGTCTGTGTTGTCGTAGTTGGACCGAACGGCGTGGGAATGTTGACAACCACCCGAGTGTAGGGTCGACCACCGTTGAGTAAGCCTGCGGGATCGGACGTTACAGCCGTCGAGGTGAACGGCACGAAACCGGATGTTTGGGTCGTAGTCACTGGGCCGAACGGGGTTGGGACGTTTACGAGGACTTCAGTAAAAGGCTGTCCTCCGTTGATGGCAGGGTTGGCAGTGACGAAAGACGTGGTGAATGCCACCGCACCAGACGTTTGCGTCGAAGTGAAACCGAAGGGTGTTGGCACATTCACGAGAATTTCGGTAAACGGCAGTCCTCCATTGACCGCAGTGTTGGAAGTGACGAACGACGTAGTGAAACCCACGGAGCCTGACGTTTGTGTAGCAGTGAATCCGAAGGGAATAGGCACGTTGACAAGAACTTGGATATAGGCTTGTCCGCCATTTACAGAGGGGTTGGAAGTAGCAAAAGAGGTCGTGAATGGCACGGTGCCAGAAGTCTGTGTGGTTGTGGCAGTGTACGACGTCGGAATATTGACCAAAACCTCCGTGTATGGTTGCCCACCGTTGACGGCCGGGTTCTGGGTGGCGAAGGTCGAAGTAAACGGCGCGAGGCCTGAGGTCTGCGTGGTTGTGGCAATGTACGGCGTCGGAATATTGACCAAAACCTCCGTGTATGGTTGCCCACCGTTGATGGCCGGGTTCTGGGTGACAAAGGTCGAGGTAAAGGGCGCGAGGCCTGAGGTCTGCGTGGTTGTGAGGATGAACGGCGTAGGAACATTGACTAAAACCTCGGTGAATAGCTGCCCGCCATTGATGGCTGGATCCGAAGTTACGACGGTTGCTGTAAAGGCTGAGGTCCCAGACGTTTGAGTGCTTGTGACTGGACCAAAAGGCGCGGGAACGTTCACTAAGACCCCTGTGTATGGCAGGCCCCCATTCACCGCTGGATTCCGAGTGACGAAGGTAGAAGTAAATGGAGTCAAACCAGAGGTTTGCGTCGAAGTAATTGGTCCAAAGGGAGAAGGCACGTTTACAAGAACCTGCGTGTATGAAAGACCGCCATTGACCGACGGGTTCTGCGTGACGAAGGTGGTGGTGAATGGAGCAAGGCCCGAGGTCTGCGTAGAAGTGACAGGTCCGAATGGAATGGGCACGTTGACCAAAACCTCTGTGAATGGAAGGCCGCCGTTGACAGCAGGATCCTGGGAAACCAGAGTGGTCGTAAAAGGCACGTATCCGGATGTTTGCGTGGTAGTGAGAGGGCCAAGCGGCGTGGGTACGTTAATCAAAACCTCAGTGTACGGAAGTCCGCCATTGGAAGATGGGTTCGTCGTAACGAAGGTAGTCGTGAATGCCACGTTTCCAGATGTCTGCGTCGTCGTGACAGGGCCAACCGGCGTGGGCACCTGAACAACCACCTGCGTGAATGGCAGGCCATTGTTGATACCAGGGTTTGACGTCACCACCGTCGTCGTGAACGCGGGAAGGTTGCCTGACGTGATAGTCGTGGTGATTGGGGCAAACGGCGTAGGAACCTGGACAACCACCTGAGTATATGGCAGGCCGTTGTTGATGCTTGGGTTCGATGTGGCTACAGTCGTCGTGAAAACTGGAAGGCTGCCTGACGTGACGATAGTGGTGACAGGACCGAAAGAAGATGCACTGGCCGGCTGGAAGATCACAATTGCACTGTACGGAGGCGGCACAGAAGCGCCCGGAGCGGTGGCTGTGGGCGTAAACTGTCCGGTTGAGGTGATCGGAATGGACGCAGTTCCTGGCAAAATCACGGTTGGAAGACTGGCAGGTGAGGTAGAGGCCGGCTGGAAGACCACGATTGCACTGTACGGAGGCGGTACAGGAGCACCGGGGGCAGTGGCAGTGGGCGTGAACAGCCCAGTTGACGTGATCGGGATCGATGCAGTGCCGGGCAAAGTCACAATTGGAAGCGAAGAGACCGGTTGGAAAACCACGACCGCACTGTACGGAGGCGGTACAGGAGCACCGGGAGCAGTGGCAGTGGGCGTGAACAGCCCAGTTGACGTGATCGGGATCGATGCAGTGCCGGGCAAAGTCACAATTGGAAGTGAAGAGACCGGTTGGAAGACCACGATTGCACTGTACGGTGGTGACGCAGGAGAGCCGGGGGCGGCAGTGGGAGTAAACAGTCCAGTAGATGTGGTTGCAATTGACGCAGTGCCTGGCAGAGTTACCGTTGGAAGGCTGGCAGGTGAAGTGCCCGGCTGGTAGATAACGACTGCGCTGTACGGGGACGGCTGAGGTCCGCCAGGAGCGCCAGACGGCGTGATCAGACCAGTTGAGGTGATGGGCACGGATGCAGAGCCTGGCAATGTGACCGTCGGAAGGCCGGAGGACGGGACAGTGATGGGCTGGTAAACCACGACCGCACTGTAAGGCGAAGGCGCAGGTGCACCTGAAGCAGCAGGAGGCGTAAACAGACCGGTGGAAGTGATCGGAACAGACCCAGAAACCGGCAATGTTACAGTCGGGAGGCTGGCAGGCGAAGTGGTTGGTTGGTACACCACGATTGCGCTGTAAGGTGGAGGCGGAGGGAATCCAGAGGGCTGGATGACAGTCGTGGCGGTCACAGGGACAGATGCCGTGCCTGGTAAAGTAACAGTTGGAAGGCTGCTGGAAGGCGAAGCAGTAGCTGGCTGGTAAACGACGACCGCACTGTAAGGCGAGGGCGGCGGGGAGCCAGGTGCTCCAGAGGGCTGGAAAAGAGTCGTGGCCGTGACAGGGACAGATCCTGTGCCTGGCTGAGTGATTGTTGGGAGGGGTCCAGACGCAGGCGCAGAAGTAGGCACGAATACCACAACTTGGCTGTATGCACTTTGGGTCAATCCAGGCGCAGTCTGAGAGGCAGGTACAAGGGTCGTTGTTGTGTAAGGAACGCTCCCGGAAGTCAAGGTAACGGTAGAAAGGCTAGCAGGCAGTGGCCCTGCGAGGTTGGAAGGTAGGCGGGACGGAATGACCAGGCCCGGAACGTAGACTTCGACTGCGGCGGTGACTGTTCCACCGATAGACGTAGAAACCGTCCTGGTGAAAGGCGTATTGCCGCTGGTGTATGTAAACGTTGGGACACTGGCCGGAGCCGGGCCAGAGGACGCACCCGCGCCGGACGTTGGCTGGAATACCACAACCTGAGTAAACAGAGCACCGGGAAGGCCGGGGAGTCCAGTGGTGCCGATAATAGTGGTCGTAAATGGCACGCTGCCGCTTGTAGTAGTAACAGTAGGGATGCTAGCGGGCATACCAGAGGTCGGCTGGAATACCACAACCTGAGTGAACGGAGCACCGGGAAGGCCGGGGAGTCTAGTGGTGCCGACAATGGTGGTCGTAAATGGCACGCTGCCGCTGGTAGAAGTAACAGTAGGGATGCTAGCGGGCATACCAGAGGTCGGCTGGAAAACTACGATTTGAGTGAATGGTATTCCAAGAGCGCCGCCAGGAAGCGAAACTGTGCCAACAACGGTGCTCGTGAATGGTACGCTGCCGCTCGTAGAGGTAATGGTGGGGATGCTGACCGCAGGAGGGCTTGGAAGACCAGACGCCGGCTGGAAAACGACGACCTGAGTGAAGGGAGTAGGGAACCCGTTAAGGCCCAAAATGCTTCCAACGGCCGTTGTAGTAAAAGCAACGCTACCGCTCGTGGAAGTGATGGTTGGGATGCTGGCCGTAGGCAAGCTTGGTACGGCCGAGGTCGGCTGGAAGACAACAACTTGAGTATAAGGGGTTACAGCGCCATTTGGACCCGTGTAACTTGCAAGGGCCGTAGTCGTGAAAAGAACGCTACCACTCGTCGAAGTCGTCGTCGGCAGACTAGCAGGAGAGCTCGGTGCAGCGGGAGTCGGCTGGACGACAACAATCTGGGTGAATGGCGTAGGAATTCCGTTAGGGCCCAAAGAGCTTCCAAGGGCAGTTGTGGTGAAGGGAACACTGCCGCTCGTAGACGTGATCGTCGGCAGGGCAGCGGGCGTCGGCTGAACAACGACAACCTGGTTGAAAGGCGTGGGGATCCCGTTAGGGCCGACAGTGCTCCCGAGGACCGTTGTAGTGAAGAGGACACTACCGCTCGTAGACGTGATCGTCGGCAGTGCAGCGGGAGTCGGCTGGACGACAACAATTAGGGTGAATGGCGTAGGAATCCCGTTAGGGCCCAAAGAGCTTCCAAGGGCAGTTGTGGTGAAGGGAATGCTACCACTGGTGGAGGTGACCGTTGGCAAGCTTGCAGTACCAGACGTCGGTTGGAACACGACCACTTGAGTGAAAGGTACAGGAATCCCGTTAGGGCCCAAAGAGCTTCCAAGGGTAGTTGTAGTGAAGGGAACGCTGCCACTTGTAGAAGTGATGGTTGGCAAGCTTGCAGGGCCAGACGTCGGTTGGAACACGACCACTTGAGTGAATGGTACAGGAACCCCATTAGGACCCACAGTGCTAGTGATCGCCGTTGTAGTGAAGGGAACGCTGCCACTGGTGGAGGTAACCGTTGGCAAGCTTGCAGGGCCGGACGTCGGTTGGAACACGACCACTTGGGTGAAAGATACAGGAACCCCATTAGGACCCACATTGCCAGCGATGGTCGTTGTAGTGAAGGGAACGCTGCCACTTGTAGAAGTGATGGTTGGTAGGCTGACAGGCCCGGAGGTCGGGACGAATACAACAGCTTGTGTATAAGGCGTAGGAATTCCGTTTGGACCCACAGAGCTTCCTACGGCAGTTGTAGTAAAGAGCACGCTTCCACTCGTGGAAGTGACCGTCGGCGAACTAGCAAGGCCAGACGTCGGTTGGAAAACGACAACTTGCGAGTACACCGACGGAGGGCTTCCAGGAATGGACGCTGGGAGAGTTGCGCCAACCGTTGTAGTAAAAAGCACGCTGCCACTCGTGGAGGTCACGGTTGGCAGACTTGCCAGACCGGATGTCGGAACAACCACAACAACTTGTGAGAGTACAGCAGAAGGAGCGCCGGGAACGGCGGGCGGGATAGTGACAGCCGTTGTCGTGGTGAAGAGCACACTGCCGCTCGTAGAGGTAACGGTTGGCAGACTAGCCGGGCCAGATGTCGGAACAACCACAACAACTTGTGTGAGTACAGAAAAGGGACTGGGGAAGAGGCCTGGAACGGTCACAGCAGAGGTTGTAGTGTAGAGAACGCTGCCGCTTGTAGCAGTGACAGTTGGAAGGCTCGCGGGCGCAGTCGGCACGTAGACAATGACCGCGGTAAACGGCAAGCCTGTGGCGGAGCCAACTGAGTTCGTGGCGAATACGGGGCCAGTGGCTGTGGAGCTGATGCTGCCAAAGGTCGAGGTAATCGTTGGCAGGTTGCTCACGGGGGCTGAGCTCGGTGCGCCTGCGGAAGTGGGTACAACAACAATGACCGCGCTAGTTTGCATCCCCGGGTTGCCTTGCGCGTCAGTTAGAGTAACTAGCCCCGTTGTGGTGTAGGGCACGCTGCCCGAGGTAGTGGTGATCGTTGGAAGAATGTTCATGGGGGCTGAACTCGGTGCACCGGCAGACGTGGGAACGACAATTATGACCCCACTAGTCGGCGCACCAGGGCTTCCCAACGCGTTAGTGGGCGTAAAGAGACCAGCCGTAGTATATGCAACGCTGCCTGAAGTCATCGTGATTGTCGGAAGGCTGTTCGCAGTCGGAACGACAACGATAACCCCGCTAATCGGCACACCTGGGTTGCCAAACGCGTCAGTGCGTGTAAACAGTCCAGTAGCGGTGTATGCAACGTTGCCCGAAGTCGTGGTAATAGTGGGAAGCGCTCCGGGCGCAGCTGCTGAACTGGGTACGACAACGATGACGGCGGTGGATGGAGCGCCTGCTGGGGATCCTGCGGCGTTCGTGGGTGTAAAGAGTCCAGTCGTGGTGTAAGCAACATTGCCCGAAGTCGTGGTAACGGTGGGAAGTACTCCTGGCGCAGCTGCTGAACTGGGAACGACAATAACGACCGCGGTGGATGGAACCCCGGCCGGAGATCCTGCAGCGTTGGTGGGCGTAAAGACAGCAGTGGTGGTGTAGGCAACATTGCCCGACGTTGTGGTGATGGTCGATAGAGCCCCTGGCACGGCAGCTGAAGTGGGAACAACAACAATGACAGCGCTGGACGGTGCACCCACTACGTTTCCTGACGCGTCGGTCGAAGTAAAAAGGCCGGTGGTGGTGTAAAGAGCACTCCCCGAAGATGTTGTGATAGTTGAAAGGGCCTGCGAGACTACAGGAGCCAGGGCGGAAGGCAGGCGGGACGGGATGATTACACCACCTCTTGTGCCCGGGTTAAACACTATGACTGCACTGCCCGAAAACGACGTGCCATCACCGGCGACGAATTGGGTCACGGCCGTAGCTGTGTACGCCGTGGACCCTGCATAAGTCGTGGTGATAGTTGGTAGAGCTGTAGCACCCGTGAGGGGGTTGAAAACGACTACTGCGGAACCAGAGTACGGAATACCGCCACTGCCGACGAACTGGGTCACAGCAGTTGTTGTATATAGCACATATCCTGCGTAAGTAGTTGTGATGGTTGGCAGACTTACAGCACCTGTGATGGGGTTGAACACGACAACCGCGGAACCGGTCGTGGGGAGTCCGTTGCCGCCTGTAAACTGGGTGACGGCCGTCGTCGTATATGGAATAGATCCTGCGTAGGTAGTCGTGATGGTAGGCAGACTTGCAGCACCTATGATGGGGTTGAACACGACAACCGCGGAACCGGCGGTGAGGAGGCCGTTGCTACCTGTGAACTGGGTGACAGCCGTCGTCGTATATGGCACAGACCCTGCATAGCTGGTCGTGATCGTCGGTAAGCTCGTGACACCGGCGGTTGGAGTGGCAGGGTTGAACACAATTGCGGCGGTGCCGGTGGTTGGGAGCCCGTTGCTACCGATGAATTGAGTCACAGCTGTCGTCGTGTACGGCACAGATCCTGCATAGTTGGTCGTAATTGTCGGCAAGCCTGTAGCACTAGGTGCTAATGTGGCAGGGTTGAACACAACCACGGCAGTTCCCGTGGTGGGAAGGCCATTCCTGTCAGTGAACTGGGTCGCAGCCGTTGTTGTGTACGGCACAGATCCTAGATAGGTCGTAGTGATCGTGGGTAAGCCTACAGCACCAGGAACCGAAGTGGCAGGGTTAAGCACAATCACAGCAGAACCGGTAGTCGGAAGACCATTGTTGCCCACGAATTGGGTCAACGCTGTCGTCGTATATTGTACAGCGCCCGAAGCTCCTGAATAAGTCGTGGTGATCGTCGGCAAGCTCGCAGCACCAGGGATCGGAGTGGCAGGGTTAAATACAACCGCCGCGGACCCGGAGGTCGGGACGCCGTTGCTACCAATAAAGTTCGTGACCACCGTGGTCGTGAACGGAACGGAGCCGGACCAAGTCGCCATGATTGTGGGTATTACCATAAGGGTGCGAGGGCGGCCAATGAGTACAACGGTACCCGACGTGGGAACGCCGTTTGCGCCGACGAAGGTGGTCACAGCCGTAGTTGTAAAAGGAACTGAGCCGGTGTAGTCGGTGACGATTGTAGGCAGAGCCAAGGCGGTACGAGGAGTGGCAATGATCACAGCGGTGCCCGACGTGGGAAGGCCGTTTGAACCGACAAAATTGGTCACAGCTGTAGTGGTGTAAGGGACCAAGCCGAGGTAATCAGTCGTAATCGTAGGCAGAGCCAAAGCTGTACGAGGGGTAACAATGATCACAGCGGATCCAGATGAGGGAAGGCCATTTGAACCAATGAAGTTGGTCACAGCGGTAGTTGTATACGCGACTGAGCCGGGGTAGTCGGTGGTGACTGTGGGCAATAATGCGCCACCACCAGGCGCGAGTGCGGTGATAGGGTTGACAACGATGACCGCAGGCCCAGATGAGGGCAAACCATTCGCACTTCCGAGGCTCGTAACTGCCGTAGTAGTGTACGGAGTCGAGCCAGGGTAGTTGGTGGTGATAGTGGGCAAGACCGCGCTGCCAGACGTTTGGACTGCCGGGCTATAAACAACGACCGCAGTACCAGACGTGGGCAACCCGTTGGCACCCACGAAGTTCGTAACTGCCGTCGTGGTAAATGCACTTGAGCCAGGGTAGGTGGTAGTAATTGTAGGCAGCGATACGCCGCCCGACGTTGCCGTGGCGGGATCGTAAACAATAACCGCGGAACCAGATGTGGGCAATCCGTTCGCACCCACGAAGTTTGTAAGTGCCGTCGTGGTAAATGCACTTGAGCCCGGGTAGGTGGTAGTGATTGTAGGCAAGGGTATGCCGCCCGACGTCGCTGTAGCGGGATCGTAAATAATCACCGCGGAACCAGACGTGGGTAACCCATTCGCACCCGTGAAGGTCGTGATTGCCGTAGAGGTAAGCGTGATTGAGCCAGAATAACTAGTGGTGATCGTAGGCAAGGATAGGCCTCCGGAAATCGCGAGCGCGGGACTAAAGACAATGACCGCAGAACCAGATGTAGCAAGACCATTGGGACCCACGAAATTCGTAATTGCCGTGGTAGTAAGTGCAACCGAGCCTGGGTAGTTGGTAGTGATCGTCGGCAAGGGTGCACCGCTTCCAAGAGCAGCGGTTGCAGGGTTAAAGATAACGACCGCGGAGCCTGATGTGGGCAGCCCGTTAGTTCCCACAAAGTTCGTGAAAGCAGTGGTGGTATACGCGGACGAGCCGGGATAGGTGGTAGTAATCGTCGGCAAAGCTAAGCCTGAAGCTGCGGTTGGAGGATTGAAGACAACGACGGCGGAGCCCGATGTGGGTAGCCCGTTAGTTCCCACAAAGCTCGTGAAAGCAGTAGTGGTGTACGCGGAAGAGCCGGGATAGGTCGTAGTGATTGTAGGTAAAACCAAGCCTGAAGCCGCGGTTGCTGGATTGAAGATAACAATAGCGGTACCAGGTGTGGGCAAACCATTTGTCCCCATAAAGCTTGTGAGTGCGGTGGTAGTAATTGGAACAGACCCCAGGTAAGTTGTAGTGACAGTTGGCAAACCAGTAACGCCCGTATTTGACAATGGCCCGGACTGGCCACTAAGCCCTAAAAAAGAAATCGAGCTTGATGGAGCGACGGCGGATGCAAGTCCGGTAGCTGGGAAACCACTAGGCCCTGAAAAAGAAGGCGAGCCGGAAGAAGCACCGGGAACGCCATTGCCGGGTGGAAGTTGACCGGGGCCAGATGGGCCAGGCAAGGCACCGCTGCCAGATGGAAGAGCGCCGGAGCCGGAAGCACCCGGGATGCTAGAGCCAGATGGAAGGCCACCGGGGCCAGAAGGCGCACCAGGCAATTGTAGGTTGGTATCGGGGACGTTCACGAGGATTTGCGTTATGCCTTGTGTGGCACCTGGAGGAGTAGTTATGAAGGTGCTGGTGAACGGGATTGAACCGGAGGTTTGTGTGAATAAGAGGGCACCGCTGGGAAAGGAGGCGGATGAACCAGCTGGTTGCGGGCCTGATGGAAGACCACCGGGACCAGACGGAACGCCACCAGGCGGAAGAGCCTCTGTGCCAGCTGGGAGGGCGCCTGGACCAGATGGAAGACCGGATGGAAGCCCGGAAGACCCATTCGGAATGTCACCTGGACCAGTTGCAGTACCACCTGGGCCCGATGGAAGACCACCTGGGCCCGATGGAAGGCCAGACGGGAGAGCACCTGAAACAGAAGGGAAAGCCCCAGGACCAGACGGAAGACCGCCTGAGCCGGATGGAAGACCTTCTGAGCCAGATGGGAATGCACCTGGACCCGAAGGCAGACCACCTGGACCAGAAGGAAGACCACCTGGACCCGACGGACCAGAAAGAAGACCTGAGCCAGACGGGAAAGCTGCCGAACCAGTTGGAAGACCATCCGGTCCGGATGGAAGACCGCTGGCTCCGGAGGGAAGAGCCCCCGGACCAGAAGGAGCACCAGGCAATAGTAGATTAGTGGCAGGTACATTAACGAGCACTCCCGTGAAACCTTGAGTACCACCTGCAGGTGTCGTGATGATATTGGTGATGAACGGAAGCGAACCCGAGGATTGGGTGAGTGTGAAGGCACCACTAACGACACCCGACGGCAAATTAGAATCAGACGGGAAACCGGGGCCTAGAGGGAAGCCGCCGGGGCCCAGAGGAAGGCCAGAACCGGACGGGAAACCAGACGGGATGCCGGACGGGATGCCGGACGGGATGCCGGACCCTGATGGGGCGCCAGCTGCAGAGAGTAAATTGGTCACAGGCACATTGACGAGGACTCCTGTAAAGCCCTGGGTACCACCAGGAGGCGTCGTAACGATATTCGTAACGAATGGTAGCGAACCAGCGCTTTGAGTGAGGGTGAACGCACCGCTGATAACGCCAGATGGCAGGTTGGAATCAGACGGGAAACCGGGGCCCAGAGGGAGGCCACCGGGGCCTGTAGGGATGCCAGAGCCGGACGGGACACCAGACGGGATACCGGGCCCTGATGGGACGCCAGGTGCAGAGAGTAGATTGGTTGCGGGCACATTAACGAGGACTCCGGTAAGGCCCTGGGTCCCACCAGGAGGAGTCGTGACGATATTCGTGACGAAAGGCAGCGAACCGGCATTTTGAGTGAGGGTGAACGCACCGCTGATAACGCCAGATGGCAGGTTGGAATCAGACGGGAAACCGGGGCCCAGGGGAAGACCACCGGGGCCTGTAGGTAGGCCAGAGCCGGCCGGAACCCCCGGACCTGAAGGAAGGCCAGAGCCAGCCGGAACACCTGAACCCGAAGGAAGGCCAGAGCCGGCCGGAGCACCCGGACCTGAAGGGAAGCCAGAGCCGGCTGGAACACCGGAACCTGAAGGAAGGCCAGAGCCAGCCGGAACACCTGAACCCGAAGGAAGGCCAGAGACAGCCGGCACACCGGGACCTGAAGCGAGGCCAGAGTCGGACGGAACACCCGGACCAGAAGGAAGGCCAGAGCCAGCCGGCAAACCTGGACCTGTAGGGAGGCCAGAGCCGGCCGGAGCACCGGGGCCTGTAGGGAGACCAGAGCCGACTGGAACACCCGAGGCAGGAGGGAGGCCAGAGCCGGCCGGAACACCGGGGCCTGAGGGGACTCCAGGCGCCGAAAGCAGATCTGTCGCAGGTAAATTGACGAGCACCCCCGTAAGACCCGAAACACTGCCTAGAGGAGTCGTCACAATGTTGGTGATAAATGGAAGTGAGCCGGAGTTCTGGGTGAGTGTAAAAGCACCACTAACAACTCCAGACGGTAGTTGAGAACCGGGCGGGAGACCGGGGCCGGAGGGAGCGCCAGGCGCAGAAAGTAGATCTGTCGCGGGTACGTTCACGAGCACCCCCGTGAGACCTGAGGAGCCGCCTGGAGGAGTCGTCACAATATTGGTCATAAATGGAACTGAGCCGGAGTTCTGGGTGAGTGTAAAAGCACCACTAACAACGCCGGACGGCAGTTGAGAACCAGGCGGGAGACCGGGGCCGGAGAGAACGCCAGGCGCAGAAAGCAGATCAGTTGCGGGTAGATTTACGAGCACTCCTGTAAGACCTGAAGTTCCGCCTGGAGGAGTCGTCACAATGTTAGTAATGAACGGGGCTGAGCCGGAATTCTGGGTGAGTGTGAAAGCACCGCTGAAGACGCCGGAAGGCAAACCAGAACCAGAAGGCAAACTAGGACTGGACGGGATACCAGGTAACGAGGGGGCACCAGGCGCAGAAAGCAGATCGGTCGCAGGTAGATTGACGAGCACCCCTGTGAGACCTGAAGTGCCACCTGGAGGAGTCGTTACGATGTTGGTGATGAACGGGGCTGAGCCGGAATTCTGCGTGAGCGTGAAAGCACCGCTGAAGACGCCGGAAGGCAGACCAGAACCAGAAGGCAAACCAGGACCGGACGGGATACCAGACACCGAGGGGGCACCAGACGCAGAGGGTAGATTCGTCGGCACATTGACAAGGACTCCCGTAAGACCTTGAGTGCCACCTGGAAGAGTTGTCACAATGTTGGTGATAAACGGTATCGAACCGGAGGTCTGGGTCAGTGTGAAGGCACCGCTTGGAATGACGCCTGATGGTAGGCTAAACCCAGATGGGGCACCAGGTACTGAAGGGAGGCCAGTTCCGAGAGAGAGCCCAGAAATGGACAGACCACTAGGCACTGAAGCACCAGGCAGAGAAGGAAGACCAGAAGCACCAACACTGCTCACAGATGCACCGCCGGGAAGGCCGGGAATAGAAGGACCGAGAGACGCACCAAGGCCAGTGGGAAGGCTGACTGAGGGGATGGGCACGGATGCGGACACCCCCGCGCTTCCTGCGGCAGATACCCCTACGCTCCCCGAGGCGGACGCTGCAATGGGCACAGAGGCAGATGAAGACAAGGCACCCGCGAGCCTGCTGTCCGGAAGACCGATGATAGCTCCCCTACTGGTTGATGACGAAGCCAAAATGGGTGACGAGCTGCTGGAGCCTGAGGCAGATGACGACAAGGCACCCGCGAGCCTGCTGTCTGGAAGACCGATGATAGCTCCCCGACTGGTCGATGATGAAGCCAAAACGGGTGACGAGCTGCTGGAGCCCGAGACAGATCCGCTGGCTGAGCTGGCACCGAGGACAAACGAGCTACTGGTGCCAGAGACAGAACCGCTGACCGAACCCCCGGATACAGGCGCTGACGATGCCACGGTTACAGTACTGGAAGTCGTTGCGACACCCACCAGTCTGGAGTTTCCGCCAGGAACGACCAGTGCGCCTCTTGATGAAGATGATGAAGATGAAGATGAACTAGAGATGCGTCCGAAAGCGAGGTTCGACACCGGAGCAACGACCTGCCCCGACGAAGAGGATGCGGCAGATGCAGAAGATTCCGAGGCGGCAGAGGAAGAGGCAGCTTCAGAGGAGGACGCCGCCGCAGAAGAATCTGATGCCGCGGAGGATGACGCTTCGGCTGAGGAAGATGCCGCGGCAGAAGAATCCGATGCCGCAGATGACGATGCTGCTGCGGAGGAAGATGCCGCTGCAGAAGAATCCGATGCCGCGGAGGATGATGCTTCGGCTGAGGAAGATGCCGCGGCAGAAGAATCCGATGCTGCAGAGGATGATGCTGCCGCAGAGGATGACGCTGCCGCAGAAGAGTCTGATGCCGCGGAGGACGATGCTGCCGCGGAGGATGACGCCGCTGCAGAAGAGTCTGATGGTGCGGAGGATGATTCTGCCGCGGAGGATGATGCTGCAGCGGAGGATGACGCTGCCGCAGAGTCTGATGCCGCGGAAGATGACGCTGCCGCAGAGGATGACGCTGCCTCAGAAGATGATGCTGCCGCGGAGGATGATGCTGCCGCGGAGGATGATGCTGCAGCGGAGGATGACGCTGCCTCAGAAGATGACGCTGCCGCAGAGGACAATGCCGCGGAGGACGACGCTGCCGCAGAGGACGACGCTGCCTCAGAAGATGACGCTGCAGCAGAGGACGACGCCGCGGAGGACGATGCCGCCGCAGAAGACGACGCTGCCTCAGAGGACGACGCCGCCGCTGCGGAGGAAGAGGCGGCGCTCGACGACGTGCCGAGGACGGCTCCCGTTTGTGGCACGAAAACGACAACCGCAGAGAACGGCGTGCCAGTGGCACTACCTGCCGCGTCCGTGGGCGTGACAAGTTCAGTTGTGGTAGAAGTGGCGTCACCCGAGGTCGAGGTAATGGTGGGAAGGGTCGCCGACGATGACGAACTGCCCGACGAGGTGGACGAAGTGACGGTGCCAGAAGTGGATGCTGCCGAACTGCTTTCGGTACCAGATGAGGCGGCCAGCACATTACTGGAAACTCCCGAGCTAGACTCAGCGCTCAGGCTCGCACTTGACGATTCGCTCGAAGTCGACGACGCCGATGAAGTTGCCGTAGCCTCGGACGACGCAGACGCCGTAGTGGTGTCTGCAGGCACCTCAATGAAGACTGTTCCGTAGGTGGCACCCGACGAAGGCAGAAGGGTGACGGACTTGATGGTGGTGCCAGGGTATGTCCCGGTGAAAGTCGTCTGCGGGTCCACCGGGCCTGTGAACGGCGTAGCGGCTGGGGAGATGCTGATAGTGGTCGGAGGTCCAATTGGTATGGCGCCAGAGAAGCCGCTTGGCAACGGCGATGTGGACGAAGCAAGGACTGGAGTAGCTGTCACAACACCGCTCGTGGTGTCTCCCACATACAGCCGGCTATCGAGTGTCGAAGCCAGCGAGGCCGAGGAGGAGCTGGTGGTTGAGCTTCCAGCAGCAGTCTCAGGCACTTCCACGATCAGAGTACCAAAGCTACCGGCGGCATCAGGCTGCAATGTAATAATCTGCGTCGTGGGTCCCGGGTAGGTAGCCGTGTAGGTGGTTGCCGGATCAACAGATCCGGTAAAGGTCGACGTTGCTATATCAAGGCTGACCACAGTGGGAGCGCCGGTCGTCTGCTTGCCATCTTGGCCAACGACAGCTGGAGTAATCGTCAAGGTGCTCGGCGCAGAACCGCCTTGGAACAGACGAGCAATGAGCGATACCGAAGATGACGAGACAGCTGCAGATGACGTGACAGCCGCAGATGACGAGACAGCCGCAGATGCCGAAGTCGATGGCGCGGCCAAAGCCGTCACCGGTACATTGACGAGTAGCGTGCCCAAGCTTTCAGTGCCCGTGGGGAGGAGGGTGACCGTCGCCGTCGTGCTGCCGGAATAAGGAGCAGTCAGAACGCCTGAAACAACTCCGCCGGTGAACACCGACGTCGCGGGATCGAGGCTGAGGATAGTGGGGTCGCCAGTTGTTGCGATGCCGTCGGTTCCCGTCGTGGTGGGTGTGATCGTCGCGACTTCTGTTGTGGTGCCTCCCTGATACAGGCGTGTTATTACAACTGGCACAACAGTCCCCGTTGGACCAGCCGTAATGGTAGCTGAAGCGGAGACCGTAGCCGAGCCTGTAGAACTTTCGGGAACTTCGACGACCACAGTACCGAAGGAGTCGCTGCCGCTGGGGAAAAGGGTCAGAGTCTGCGTGGTACTACCAGTATATGTGGCAGTAAGGGTAGCTGGATCAACTTCTCCAGTAAAGGCAGAGCTCGCTGGGTCGATGCTGAACGACGTTGGTGCCGCAGTTGTCGGAAGGCCGTCGGTGCCTGTCGTGGTGGGCGTGATGGTGATGACATCGGTTGACGAGCCACCACCCTGGTACAGACGGCCGGCAGGCGAAGAGGTCGAAGACTCTGTACTGCTTGCTGGGGTAGAGGTGATGGAAGGCACCTCGATCATAAGAGTGCCGAGAGTACTGCCACTCTCTGGGAAGACTGTAATCGTTTGGCTGGTGGTGCCGTCGTACAAGGCTGTGAAAGTGGCGAAGTCATCGACCGAGCCGGTGAAGGGGGTAGTTGCTGGTTCCAGACTGATGACAGTGGGCGAGCCATTCAGAGTCGCGGTGAAGGTCCCGCTGGAGGTCCCGAACTGGTACAGCCTGGCAGTCAACGCAGGCGAAGTCGAGGCCGCAGAGACAGGCGAGGCGGTAATGGACGGAACCTCCACAAGCAGCGTGCCGAAGGTACCATCAGCCGCTGGGTACAGCGTCAAGGACATCGTTGTAAGGCCATCATATTGTGCCGTCAGTGTTGTCGATGGATCTAGCTGGCCGGTAAACGGCGTCGTCGCGGGATCCAGGGTAATGACCGTCGGCGATCCAAAAGACGCGCCATTGACGAACGGCGTAGCCGTCACTGTTCCGGTGGTCGTGTCGCCCTGATACAGACGACCGCTGAGAGGGGGAGATTCGGTCGCTGTAGCGACAGGAGTCTCGACAAGCACAGTCGCGGCAGTCTGTCCGGTGTTGGGGAGCAGCAAAAGTGTTTGCGTGGTTGAGCCGGTGTAGCCCGCGGTGAGAGTCGTGGAAGGGTCGACAGAGCCGGTATATTGCGTTGCAGCAGGTGTGACGATAAAGGTCTGCGACATAGCGCCGGTAATAGGGCCCATGCTATCGCCAGGGAACGCCGTGACAGTCTGTACAGATCCATCGCCGCCATTGTACTCGTACACTGGAAGGCCGGTCGAGGAAGGTGAAGCTGAAGCCGTAGCTCCAGTCGGGATCTCCAGGACGACCGTGCCCAAGCTCTGCGAGCCGGTGGGGTGCAAAGTGAGCGTTCGAGTTGTCGACCCGTCGTACGGGGTCGCCAGCGTTGCCGCGGGATCGACCGGGCCGTCATAGGGCGCAGTGGCTGGAACAAGGGCCAAGGTGGTCGGCGAACCGAACGCCGTGGAGACACTGCCGTCAGACTCGGTAACGACGGTGAATGGGGTCGCAGTGATCGTGCCCGTAGTGGTGTCACCGTCATACGGCACGTCAGTCGAGTCGGGGGCAGCCGAAGACGAGGTAGCGCTAGCAAGAGCAAAGCTAGGAACCTCAACGAGCAGGGTGCCGTAGGTAGCGCTAGCGTCAGGAAGGATGGTGACCGTCTTGGTGTCCGTCCCATCGTATGAAGCAGTCAGCGTGGTGGAAGGATCATAAGGGCCGGTGAAGGTGACGTCTCCCGTGTATGGATCAAGAGAGATCGTAGTGGGGAGGCCAGTTTCGCCGTTAGGGAACGCCGTGATGATTCCGGAGGTCGTGTCACCCACATAAAGCTTACGGGGGATGCCCGCGAGACCGGTGGGCGAGGCCGTGATGGAAGGGGAGGCGGTGCTGGTTGGAGTCTCGAACAGATACGTGGCAAGGCTCTCCGTGCCTGTGGGGTACAGAGTCAAGGTCTTCACAGTAATTCCGCCGTACGGGGCGAAGAAGGTGTTGGTCGGGTCGACTGGGTAGGTCAGCGACTCAGTTGCTGGCGTGAGAAGCAACCCCGTAGGGGTACCACTGGGCCCAAGCGTGGCGGTGATGGAAAGCTCGACGCTGTCACCTGCATACGGCCTGCCTGAGGTAGAAGACGGGGCAGACGTAGTGATCGTGTCGGAATTAGCAGCCGCCGTTGGAACTTCAAGCAAGGATGTGCCGGCCGTATCAGTGCCGGTCGGGAACAGAATCAGTGTCTTCGTATCTGTCCCGTTGTACGGCGCTGTGTACGTAACGGACGGATCGATCGGTCCGGTGAACATATCAACAGTAGCCGGCGCCAGCGTAAAGTATGTGGGCTCCGCACCCACGCCTGAGAATGCAGTAACAACACCGGTGGTGGTATCGCCAATGTACTGTCTTCCAGTATCCGTAGCAGTCGGCAGGGTGGTGTCCGAAGTTGAAATAGCTGTGGGCAACTCAACCAGAATTGTGCCATCCGTTTCTCCCGAAAGCGGCAACAACGTGACTGTTGTGGGGACCGTGCCAGGGTATTCACCGGTCAGGGTGTTCGACGGGTCAATCGGCCCTGTGAAGGTGTCGGTTGCCGGCACGAGGTTTATGACGGTCGGGCCGGCAAGGTTGCCTCCCGAGACGGTGATCGTGCCAGAGGTGGTGCCGCCGACATATTCGCGGTCGACGACGCCTGTCGGGGTCGATGTGATGGTGTCGCTGGAGATACCAGACTCCGAAATCGATGTGATGGTGTCGCTGGAGATGCTAGACTCCGAAGTCGATGTTTCACCCTCAATGGGCGTCTCTACAATGACGGAGATGGTTTGGTCCCCTGTACTCGCGGGGCCATCTGGCGAGACTGTGTACGTTGAGGTGGTGGAGCCAGAGTAGCCAACCGTGGTTGTGATAATGGCTGTCGTGTACGTGCATGGGGAGGCAGTGACCAAAGTGCCGGTCGGGCTGGCCGGATCAGTGGGTGGAACCGTATACTGGGTCGTCGTAGTTCCCTGGCATGAGAGGGTAAACGTTGTTTGCCCGCCGACCGGGCCGGTGTAGCCCGACGACGCCGTTCCTGGCGTCAAATAGTACGTCGTGTAAGGATTGCTGGGACTGGCAGTTGCTCCAGCCAGGGCGGACGCTAAACGGGTTGGAACGATCGCACCAGTCCCTGTGGTGGCAGTGGCAGAGCCTCGGTTGGCACCTACAAGCGAGCCACTCGAGTAAACCAACGTGAAGGTGTCGGTACCAGTATAGTATGGGATGATGCGGGTATTCGCGTTGGTCACAACAGTGGAAAGTAATGTTGGTGTCTCGACAACCAGGAAGCCGGTGGCGAAGTCGTCAGCAGGATCAGTCGGGAGAACGGTCAAGGTGGTGCGCGTGGACCCGCTATATCCAACGCTCAAGAGCGAATCGGTGTTTATTGCGCCATTGTACGTGGACACGGTTGCCGGGGTCAGCGTTAGAATGACGCTAGAACCGCTGATTGTCGATGGGACCAGCAAGACAGACGAGCCAGTGAGGTACGGATATACGAGATTTGCCGCAGTACTCAACGGAGAAGCTGTGGTGAGGCTAGAGGGTGATGAGGTTTCACTCGTAGAAGTCTCAGAGATGATGCTCAGGGAGGTATCTGTAGCTGTCTGGATGACGATAGTTCCTTCACTCTGGGTACCAGTAGGGACGATCGTATATGTTGTATCGGATGGCCCGCCAATCGTGTATGTGTTGACGGGGTCAACCGGGCCATTGAATGTCGTGGTTGCCGGAACGAGAGTGAACGTGTATGTGGCACCTGACATTGTGGCTGAAACGAAGGTGGTGTCCGTGCCAGTAACGTAGGGCACATCATTGTTCGTCGGAGAAGGCACCCCAGTGATGGACGGAGACGAGCTCGTTGACTCCAAGGTGGATTCAGAAGACAAGGCCGTAGGAGTCTCGACAACTATTGTGCCCGCAGTCTCGCCGGCAGCAGGAAGCAGGGTCAAGGTGATGGTGTTCTGTCCGTCGTAACCGATGGTCGGGGTGTAGGTGACGAAAGGACCAGCGAAGTCTGACTGAACTGGCGTGATGAAGACGGGAGTCGCAGTACCATTGACGGTGGGTGTGATCGTTTGAAGGGAATCACCACCAATGTAACCTTGAGTCCTCAAACCAGTGGTAGTCGGGGATTCAGGAGTGCTTGACTCCGACGTTTCGCTGACGGTAGTCTCCGTGGAACTAGCCGTATCCCCGAATGGGGTTTCAACCACGACAGTACCCAGATCTCCGTCCCTTGTCGGAGCCAACGTGATAGTGTCCCGGGTGCTACCGCTGTAGCCCGCAGTCAATGTTTGAGAACCAACACCTTGAGTGAACAAAGAGGCGGACTCGGTAGGCAACGGGACGATGAATAAAGTCCTGAGCCTGCCATTGACGGTGGCTACCAGGGTCCTCGTGCTCGTGCAGCCGACGCAGAACTGAGTGACAACGTCGTTCGCATCCGAAGAAGTCGAAGTTGGCGGCGCCGTGATGGTAGCTGGCACACTTGTCTCAAAAGAAATCGTGTTACTTGTCGTGGAGGTAGAAGACGTCTCCAGTGACGATGGCCCTGCCTCAGAAGGCGAGCTCGTCTCTGAAGAGGAAGACAGACCCGTCTCCGAGGATGAAGAACTCGTGAACGTTGGCGTTTCGATCAGCAGAGTCCAGACGTTTGGATTGTTATTGGGCAGGATTGTCACGGTCTTGGCGGTGGGCCCAGGGTAGCCGATAGTGTACGTTGTGAAGGGATCGATGACGCCACTGAATGGGGTTGACGTGGGCTCGAGGGCCAGGCTGGTGAGACTGCCCCCACCATAAGTAGCAACAGCATTAATATCAGTCGAATCTCCGATGTAGAGCCAGGTGGCGGGAGGGGCAAGAGTTGTGGTAGTGGACGAAGAAACGGTGCTGATAGGTGTTTCGATGAGCAGCGTGCCCCGGTCAGAAGTCGCGGTCGGCAGGATAGTCAAACTCCGAGTAGTAGTTCCGTTATAACCCGCTACGATCATGACAGTCGGATCGATCCCAGAGAGGTTGGAAGGCGTGGGCACGGGGGTGATGACGAAGGTTGTCAGCGTGCCGGCTCTCGTAGCTGTCAGCGTGGCCTCGGTCACATCGCCGAAGTAAGCAAGAGTGTTGAGAGCGCCGGGGAAACTAGACGTCGGGGCTGAAAACTCAGAGATGGGGCCGGTCGAGATGCTTGAAGATTCAGACGTGGTCGATGAGGATGAGCTCTCAACACTGTTCGGGGTCTCCACCACAACAAATCCAACCTGAGAAGAACCCGGCTGAACTATGGTGATTGCTGTAGCGGTTGAGCCATTATACCCGACGGTGTAAGTGGTTGATGCGAGGCTCCCAGTGAAGGCGGGGTCGGTGGCCGGAGTCAAAACGAAGGTGACGGGCGTACCGCCCGGCCCGTACGGCAACACCACAGTAGAAGTGTTGGTTCCTGTGAAGTACGCCCATGTGGGGGTGTTTCCAAAGGGTCCAGCCGAGGTCGACCCGGTCGGTCCAGGCGGAGACGTCACGCCTGGGCCCTGCGAAGCTGAAGTGGTGGGGAACGATTCAGTTGATGACGAGCTCGTGGGAGGCTCAAGAGCCGTGGCTGGGCCTTCCACAATCAGGGTTTCAAAGCCGCTTGTCGGGACGACTGTGAACGTTGTTGCCGCGGTGCCAGTGCCATTCGCAAAGATGGTGGTCGTTCCGGTGGCAGAGTATGTGTTGGACACGGTGGCAGGAACCAAGTACACAAGACGGGTAACACCGTTGATGACAAGCCTGAGGGCGGTAGCAGTTGTGCCGAAATACGACAAAGTGAGCACACCATCATCGGTGCTAGAAGTACTCGACGGTGCTTCGGTGATGCTGGCAGTTGATGAGAAGGTGGTGGTTGGTGTCTCTATGATCAGAGTCGCCGAACCACCATTACCAGCGCCTGCGAGCCGAGTGTTGACGAAAGGTACGAGCCCAGCCCCGGTACTAAAGGCAAGTGCAGTATTAGCGCCGAATTGAGATGGCAGCACAGTCAAGGTTGCTGTCGTGGACCCATCGTAGCCTGCGTAATACACGTCACTGGCTGTCGGGCCAGTGAACGTAGAGACGGTAGCGGGCGTGAGGACGGCAGGGAAAGCGATTGATCCAGATGTGAGGGTCAGCGTGGTTGTCACTGAGCCAAGGTATGGCAGAGTGACAATGTTCTCCTGAGGTGGGCCAACGGTCGCAGATGAGGAAATCGGAGGCGGGTATGGCCGCGATGAGGAGGAGTACTGGTGAGTATGTTAGACATTGCTCTTCAGACAGGCCGGAATGCAGTGCGCATCGCATGGACATTCCGGGCAAAGACTCACCCCGGTGGTTGTCGGGAAGGAAGCGAAGGACGTGGTGGTCAGGGTCGAGTAAACGGTAGACGAAGGGTTCGCGGGGCGAATGGTACGGATGGTGGTCCTTGTGATGCCAGAGCCGGTCCTGTTGATGGTGTAGGTGTGGGTTCTCGTTCCCATGTGCGTGGACAGGATGGTCACGACCGTGTCAATGTCGGTAGGAACGCGATCGGGGCCGACAATGAGGGTGGCACCGGGGCCAACGGTGATGATGGTGGGCGTGTCGATGTGGGTGCTCACGGCCACGGGCTGCTCGTAGATGGTGGCGGCGACATCGATTTCGACGAGACAGTCCGGGTCTTGGACTTGGACTTTCGCCCGGTGACGGCCCAAGATGCCAGCGGAGACCGATGGCAGCAAGAGGCCGGCCACCAGGCCGAAGCTGGGTAAAAACATGTCAATCTATCCCCCGGGTTATTACTTACGATGCGCGTGAAGTCGTCTAAAACGGGCAAAACGCGGTGCGGGACTATCGTCACGACCGTCTCGAGACGGCAAACTCAAATGAACGAACAAACACACGGAATGACTGGCTGGGCAGTGTAGCGAGAGTTGCTTGAGAGAGAAAGCGGAGCTGGATGAGAGCGTCTAGATAATATGTAGTCCGGGCCATGGGCGAAATGAAGAGGCGCAAGAATGGGGCAAAACAGAGCAGGGACGCTCCAGCCTGGCTTTCCGCGCGCTCCAGTCGCCGCAAGGCAAGGGACAGGCCGCTACGGCAGAACGTGGAGGATGGCGGGCGCTCTCCATGGATTGCCCCGGCTGCGATTCGACTGCTGGCCATGATCTGCCTGTCATGTTTCCTCCAAGGGCCCGGGAACGCGGGCTGTGCATGCCTCGGCCACAGCCCGAAGGAGCGTATGCTTGCAATCCGCGCCGTGCGCCATTGGTGACGATCAGTCGGCTCGCAGTGTTGAGAGTGGAGGTGCAGGCCGTTGGAGGCGCGGCGTTGATGTTGTGCGCGAGGCTTGACCTTGGCGAGGCTTGTTCCCCACTCGCTCCCGCTGCCCTTTCGGGCCTAGCGTTGCAGCTCCCTGTCGCTGGTCCAAGGCGATCTGAGTGTAACACCATCCGTTGCAACCACATGGCACTCTGCATGGGGCGGACCGGACGCTCCATGTAATGTTTCAGCTCCACAGTCCTCTGTTCGCAGCTGCCTCTCCACGCGCAATCACGGGCCGCAAGACACGCATGCTCGGCCACTCAACCGCGGCCATGACTTTCGTGCAAGCACCCGTCTGCCGAGATCCATCATCTTTCAAGCACCCGCCCGCACGGATGTGCTCGATCCCGAAAATCATCTTCTCTGGGCATGCCATGTTGCCCCAGAGGGCTGCGCCGTCACAACATACTGTGGGACTAACCCTATCGCTCACACGTTGATGGCAAATGGTGCGAGAATGCTTGCCTTGCCGCTCAAGACCTGCCGACTTTTCCGGTCGCCTACCCAGTAAGCTTTCTTTGCCATTTCCCCAACACTATCTCAAGATGGTGGAATGCATGGTCTGATCTGGCAAACCAGCACAGGCATCGGCTTTCTTGCGTCTACCCAGCCAGATCTTCGAGAGCCGCGTGCGACCTCATCTGTGACCCCATGTTCGGCTTCGTAATCCGATACTACGTGTGCAAGACCTTTCAGTTCCCTCAAGAGTCGCGCTGGGAAAGGGTGCGCGCATTCTCAAACTGCCGTGTTGATGTCCTTTTCGACAGGGGGGCGATGACACCCCTTGCCAAATGATCTACTTCTGCAAATTACCCGCGTTCCTGGCCACCCAGTGTGGTACGAACGCCCCTGCGAAGAAAAATATATGACCTCTGAATGGCTTCCTTGACACATTATGGGTCTTCGAGCGAGCGCCTCAACGTCCGACTGCTTTTACTAGCAAATGTGAGTGGCGCTACACGTCAAAAAATCACTCATCGTTAGGTCGGAAATGCGTAATGCGAGGCGATCTTGCTCAGGATTGCAATAGTCGTGGTGGCGAAGGGCTATTTGATGTACCCCTCCGACGATTCTGCGTAAGAAAAGATTACCACGCCACAGTTCTCAACTATTAAGCTTTGTTGGAATCAAAGCAAAACACACTTGATGGAATTGGACTGGACCTCATGGGGCTGGTGGGTCGGGAAAGTGTCCGAACGGTTAAGGCTTTTGTTAGTTGTGTGGTTTTTAACGAGCACCGGCAGTGCATCACTCACCACAATCACGGTCTTGGAATAAAGCTCTTTGTAGGTTTTAGTGCACCATAGCACATAGATGATACACTGTGTCAACCATATCGAAAGCTCGCTGGCTGATGGCCGAGTGCCTGTAGAGCGTCGAATTTACTAGAGATAAGTCGAAATTACTATAGCACCACCGCAAGCCTCGACCTCCATGCTATTTACTTTAGCCTCAGACTAAGGGTGCTTTTTCTTTTTTTGGTCTAAACTTAGTAGTTGAATAGCCGTGTATCACTAATCAGCTTTCAATAACATTTCTTAACTCTATGAGATGAAGCATAGTAACGAAAAAAGCTTGAAACAAGAATCTGATGTTTTTCTTTATACCTTCTATATTCCTTGACTAAGTGGGGCGTATCTTTAAGAAAATAACCAAAATTCAAAGAAACATCCATGTGTGTCACTGATTATTCGGAATATAATATCTATGTTTTGCGTTATTAGTAGAAATTGAAAACTCCTAGTCGACGACATATGATTGAGTAGAAAATGCAATATATTCGATGATACCACTACAAATACACAATGTCCGCACGGTTGAGCTAGAAGCTTTCTACCAACATCCATTAGTTATCAGTCCTTAGATCGCGTCCCTTCGTGGTGTTGCCTGACTAGTGACTACCATCCGTAATTAATCGACAAAAGTTGCCTCTCGAACACACAATCAGCGACCTCACCACAGCATCACAATCATTGCCACTCCTAGAAAAGCCAAGTGTCAGGGCTTGTAACGCTAGAAAACCCGACCCCTCCACGAAAAAAAAAGAAAAAGCAAGTGGCAAATCCACCGCTTATCAAGAACCCATCCTACTCAACCTCCAACTCCTCCTCCCCAATCCCCAGCCCCCACCTGGCCCACACTCCCAACTTCGCCCGCATATCCCTCAGCATCGCGACGATCCTGTTGTGAATGAGGTGCAGGCTTCGTAGGTTCTCCTCGTCGCACGCCTCGGTGAACTGGCGCCGCTGCGGTGCCTTGGCCCGCCACCAATCCTTCTGCTCCTCGTCGAGCACGTCGAGCGATGCGCGCACGAGCCGCGTGGTGGTGATTAGGCTGTTGCGGAGGTCGTCTCGCTTTGTTCCTTCGGCTTCGTTGGTGGAGTTGATGGCGGTGTTGTACGATTCGACTTCTGCGTGGGTGCGCTGGATGATGTCGCGGAAGGAGGAGAGCGTGGGGTTGAAGGATTTTGGCTGTCAAGGGCGTGCAAAGTTAGCTGACTGGTTTGATTTAGTTGGTGGTGCGATTATGAGAGGCTGGTTGTCGGTGAAGGGGAGAGTGAGAGATGGTGGTCTGTACCCAACGATCGCGGTCCGAGATAGTGATAAGCTGGCAGAGTTGGCACATGTCGGCCGGGTTTGAGCGATGGAATTTTCTATGAATGAATCGTGCTGCGATGTTGGAACTTCTGGAAGAGTTGGTGGGTGCTATTGGGCGGAGGCTATGTGCGGACGGTCAGAACGGTCAGAACGACCGGAAAGAGCAAAGGCTGTGAGGAAACAACGCAGTGAAGCACCACATAGGCTCTCTACATATAAGAAGAGTTTGTTAAAGAAGAAGACAGAGAAGAAAAAGGAAAGAAATTGCGGTTCTTCAGTAGCTCCTGTACGCAGTTTGGGACAACCAATCTGGTTCAGAAGGAACCATAACAAACCACATAATCAAAGAGTAAAGTCAAAATGCATTCACATGGACGTCCAATCTGCAGAATGCTTCGACTATCCAAAGCAGCGCTGTCTTGGAATGTAATCGTAACATTACAGGTATTGCTCGTTTCTATAAGTGCCAAGAAATGTCGGCGAAGCGGCATCTTCTAAACGGCTCTACTAAAGCACATCAAAGAACATACAAGGCATTGTTGGACAATCAGGCCCACAACCACTTCAAACAATGCTCCACAAAGGCTGGGGCAATTGCCTGTTTGTGGCGTTTCTACGGCCGGACTTTAACCTATTTTCCTTGATGCCAATATATGCTTCCCGCTTGGCAGGTGTGCCAGTGGTGACGGACCAGGTCTCGAGGCCATAGTAGGCGGCAATTGAATGGACAAGCCATCGTCTGCGACGGGTAAGCGCGCGCGAGGGGAACGACGGCACCACCAAACTTACCCAAACGCAGCACTGCGGTCGTTCGCCAAGCTGTCAAAAACCATCAAGTCCTTCTGCAGCTCGTCCTCGGCCGCACGCATGTCGCTCATCTGGCCGTTGCGACCGACAAATACGATCTGCTCGTCCTCAGAGTCGGGATCAATCAGGTCGTCCTGCTCGTCCTTCCGCGCCTTGGCCTCCCATTTCTCGACAAACTTGCGCACCTCGCGCTCAATGTCCTCCAGCATGCTGCGAGCGGCACGCTTCTTCCTAAGACGCTCACGTACCTCCTTCAGCGCCTCCGCCGCCGCTTCTTCCTCCTTGCTCACCGTCGGCTTGACTCCCTTGGTGTTGCGCGCTGCGTTCCGCGCAGCCAGCTCCTTGTCCCAATACGATGCGACTGCGTAGGGCACGTAATGGAACTGGTACTGCGGACGAGCCTCCCAATCACTAGGAAGCGGCGGCTGGGCGTGGGGGTTATTGAGGAGGCGGTCTGTTGGAGGACAAACAATCAACAATTGGGGCGCTCTTGGGGGGCGGCAAAAACGAGGCCACGAAGCGCGTGAGTTTGCGATTACGCACCATTCTCCCAGCGGCGACGCTGGCGACTGCCCTCCTTGCCCTTGAGGAGAGCCTCGCGGCGCTTCAGACTGTCGCGCCGGAGAGGCTCGCGTCTGCGCGTGTAACCAGATCTGACGGCTTGGGCGGCAGTGCTGTCGCCATTTTCGCCGCTCTGGGCGCGCGGCTGCACATGGTCATCAAGCGGGATGTCCAGCGTGACAGTCGTGGGGCGAGGGGCGGGAGGCGGCGCAGTGCGCGCGACTGGGGGCGTGATGTGGATGGCGCCGAGGGCCTGCGATGCCTCCTCGGTCCAGGCCTCGATATCGATGGGCTCCTCGGGCACGGGGGGATTTGACACGGGAAGCCCAGCGGGAATCGTGGGGATAGCCATGGTTGGAGGGGCGGCGATAAGGCAGCGGCGAAGCGATTGCGGGGAGACTGAGTGCTGCTCAGCAGGCGTGAACAGACGCGGGCGCACGAGAGTGCGATGGGATCGAAAGCAGTCGCGCGACGAGTACGACGCGTACAGTAGTGTGTGAACGATGGACTGGGGACAACAGACGTATGAGTGTGTGGAGGGGGGGAGTGGCGCATTCCAGATAAGAAGGAGCGCCAAGCCGGCACAGAGTCGAGCTATCATCCATCGGAGCCGCATCACCGCGACTCCCCGCAAAACGTGCTCCAGGGGCGTCATCTTGTTGGAGTCATCGTCGGCAAGGGGCCCACTCCTTGCTCGATCGTTTCAGCCTCCCAACCTGCCAGCGATTCGCTGTCTTGCTGCACACGGTCTGATGCACCACGCGTGGACGACCGGAGCCTTTCGGAAATCGTCTTCAATTTCGTGGCTGGATCCATCCCTCAAAACTGTCCTGGTACATGCCAAATCCCTTGCTGGGATGCAATCAAGCAAATCCTTCTACAGGGCTAGGTACCGCAACCAGGGACCCCCTCTCACGGCCCGTTTTCGAATGGCAGGCCGCTCTCCTGCCTGACGGCGCCGTAGATGCCAGCAACATCGCCTTTTGCACCGCACGCCTTCTGCACACCCTCGAGGTGCGAGTCGATAACCTCTACAGCCCGCAGCTTCGCGCCTGAAGACTCAGCAAGACTCAGCGCGTGGCGTGCGTCTTTTCTCGCTAGATCGACCTGGAAAAGCGGCTGCGAAGATTGGAAAGTCAGCCCTGCCAAGCTGTGGGCTCCGGAAGGGAACAAGTAAACTCACCTCCTCCCGCTTGTAGTAGTCACCGGAGCGCATCCTATTGGAGTAGGCAGTGTAGGGACCGGGGAACATGGTCTCGATGAACTGGTGCAAGTTATCGGTGCCCAGCCCGGACTTCTCGGCCAGCGTGTGGCCGACGGACAGGGCCTCGATCATGTTGAAGATGAACGTGTTACCGATGACCTTGAGCAGCGTGGCTTTGCCGTGCGCCTGCCCGCTGAAGTCGATGATGGCCTTGCCCATGACGCCGGTCGTGTACGGCTTGGCTTTCTCGACCCAAGGCGCCTCGCCCGCCAGGACAAAGATGAGCTGGCCTGCGTCCGCCATGGCGGGGGCACCGAAGACTATCAGTCGTCAGTCAGGGGCTTCGGCTGCCCATGTCAAGCTGCAACTCCAAGCAGCCCGATGCGATGAACTGGCGGACTCACCTGGACCGGCGACAAAGCCGGCACCCTTGGATGAGATCCTCGTTGCGAGAGCATCGGTGGTTTCTGGATGAACAGTGGAACAGTCGACGAACAGCTTGCCGTTGACGTCTCCTGCAAGAGCAGAATCAATGGTCTCATTGATGGCCTTGTCGTCGCCGACACAAGTAAAGATGATGTCAGCCTGCCTCACGGTATCCTCAACCGACGAGACGACGGTAGACTTGCCCGAGGGAAGTTTGGTCGAGAGGTCATCGGCACGCTTCTTGGTACGATTGTAGATGATGAGCGGTTTCTCGAGGTTGCCCTTCTCCACCAAGTTGGAGCACATGCCCTGCAGACCATCAGTCAGATGCGAAGCGCGGCCGTCCAGCTGTGCGCTTACTCTGCCCATGTTGCCGAGGCCAATCCAAGCCAGCTGCGGAGCCATTTTGCGTGGTTGATTGACTAGTGACTGATAATGCCTCGGTTCTCAAAAGTTACTCCTCGAGCGATCTGTGAATTGGAGCCTCGGTGCAGCATGAGGGGTTTTTATATACCGCGTCGACGGCACTTGCGAGTGGTGGATGACGTCCCACATGCACTGCGGGGCTGATTAATTCGCACCAGGTTAATTCCGCCTTCCCCGCCAATTGCACATGGACAATCGAAAGCGATAAGACGGGCGCCATTGCGGGATAAAATGCCACTTGGAGAGGAGCTCGCGGCCTTCGTGCTGTGTTGCGAACAGTCTGCAGCCCTAGGCGGGAATTGGCGCCTCGGATGTTAGGCAGCACACTTGGCCCGGGGAATGCTTGAGCGGCTTGTTATCGATAAGTAGGGCGTCATTTTTGTTGCCGCGCATGCCGCCCCCGGCGCTCGCATGAATTAAGTTGAGCTCGCGAGCTCTTCCTTGACTCACCCCTCACCACCACTGCTAACAGCTATGCCTAAGCTGCTGCTCTCGCTCTTCGCCCGAGGCAGCGCCTTCTTCGTCCTTTGAGACATGAGCGTCATCCGCAGCGCCTTGACGGCGCGAGCCTCCACTACTGCCCGTTTGCGCCGTCGTGTGCGTTTGCTCCCTCTCATGCCTAACTCCGACTTCGCTCTACCGCGACCCTCGCGCTAATTTGTCGCCGCCACCAGTCTACAGCTGCCATTGACTGCCCTGCGCCATTCCAGCACTTCCGTCAACCCGCCGCAAGCTTCGGCAACAGCGTGCGCCCAGACCCCCGAGAAGACGACATCGTGACCACTCCGCCGACTGTCAATCCAGACCACGTCGACCATGAGCGCGAATTCATTCTCTCCGTGCTTAGCACCACCGCGACGAAGCGTGACGCTCGCAACTACCTTGCCCGCTACCAACCTCAGACGAAAAAGAAGCAGGCGCATCGCACCGCGAAGAAGTATGAGCAGCACCTGGAGCGTGAAACTGCCGCTGCCGTCGAGAAGCACAATGGCTGGCGCTTGAAGCAGACGGGTGTCAATCTGGGAAATCTGTACGCCCCGACCAAGGCGATGCAAGAGAGCCCTGTTTTCACCCACCAGGTGCTGCCAGAGGAGACCATTCCCGAGGAAGAGATCGTTCAGCCCTTGCACGTTGCTCTGGTCAAGGTCCGGGCCGTTGACCTGTGGGATGAAGCGACCTTGTACGGCGTGGGCTTGACGCTTGGCCAGCTCGTGCGTCTGGGATTGAGCATCGCAGTCGTGGTGGACTGTGACGAGGAGGGCTCCCCAGATGCGCCGGAGAAGCTCACGAAAGAGTGGCGGAACAAGGCGAACGAGCAGGCAGACCGCGTCGTCGAGTCGCTCCGCCGCACCACTCCTCTGGGAGGCGTGCGCATCAATGACGCCCTCAGCATCTCCAATCACGAGAACGAGTTCTTCTCGAGCCAGGTCGAAGTGCGGGGCGGCGTCACAGTTGAATACCCGAACCTCCTGATTCCACTGCTACAGGGCGGAAAGATTCCCGTCATTCCGCCGATAGCATTCACCAAGGGTGACTTCAAGGTTGCGAGGGTGCAGCCCGATGATGCCATGCTTGCCTTGACCCGCGAGTTCTCTGGCATCCAGAGAATCGCAGAAGAAAAAGACACTGCGGCATCTCCGGAAATGACTTTGGAGAGGGTCATTGTATTGGATCCGTTAGGAGGAGTTCCCTTTCCCAACCGCGACGATCGCGCGCATGTTTTCATCAACTTGGAGCAAGAATACGAGGACATCAGGAAAGACCTTCAGGAGGCTCAGAGAGCCATGTCACAACAAGCCAAGAAGAGAGGGTGGCTGCCGAACCCTTTCGCCAAGTTCACGAAGCGCGAACTAGCATCTCTTCCTGTGAACCCTCGAGTCTTGGGGTCCCCAGATAAGCCTCTCCGTCATTTGAAAAACCTGGATCTGGTCCAACGGACTTTGAGACTGCTCCCGCCGGTTTCATCCGCCCTGATTCTGACCCCAGCAGAAGCTGCCATGTCTGCCATGCCATCCGACTCCTCCACCCCCGGTGTCCGCACTCGACAGCAAAAGAACCCCCTCATCCACAACCTCCTCACCGACAAACCCATGGTATCCTCGTCCCATCCAGACTCCCCTCTCGCATCCATCCCCTCCATCATGCCCGCAACGTTCGTCAAACGCGGCATGCCCGTAACCATGATCCCCAACCCCAACGCGAAGCCGTGGCGGCCGCCGCAACCGGGCCAGCCGAGCCTCGACCTGACCGACCCGCGCATCGACTTCCCGCGCCTCGTGCACCTCATCGAGGACTCGTTCGGCCGCAAGCTCGACGTCCAGCACTACCTCGAGCGCATCCGGAACAAGCTCGCCGGCGTCATCATCGCCGGCGAGTACGAGGGCGGCGCCATCCTGACGTGGGAGTACCCGCCCGACGCCGTCGGCCCGGGCGGCGAGCGCATCCCCCGCCCGCCCGTGCCGTACCTCGACAAGTTCGCGGTGCTCAAGCGCGCGCAGGGCTCGGGCGGCGTCGCGGACGTCGTGTTCAAGGCCATGGTGCGCACCTGCTTCCCCGACGGCGTCGTGTGGAGGAGCAGGCGCGACAATCCGGTCAACAAGTGGTATTTTGAGCGTAGTACCGGCACGTTGAAGGTGGACGCGTGGGACCAGACTCAGTGGACCATGTTTTGGACGGCGGAGGATGTGGAGAAGGACGAGCAGGTGTGGAGGGACTATCAAGAGGTGTGTAGGAATATCGTGGCTAGCTGGGTGGATAAGAAGCGGCCGGCGGATTGATGCGGTCTCGGTGATGTGGGACTGTCGAGGAGGGCTTTGAAAATGGTTTTTGTAGCATGCATGGAGTTTGGTATAGACAAAATGCGCGAGCTGCGTTGGAGCTGGGCTTGACCAGCTTGTTTTCATCAACTTTACTGAAGTTTGCATCCAAAAATCGGACTCGAGACTGATCGCAGCGATGGAGAAGACGTTGTGCTGCGTTGTGTGATTTTGTTCGGAAATCAATTGCTCGCAATCCACAAATTCCTTGAAGCGAGTTGATGCCGTGCCGTCTTCTCGCTGGATAATGGCGGACGATCCCTCCCTCAGCATCCAAGGCAGCATCGACGACACCCTCCGTTCTCATCAGCCCCCACCTTGCGATTTCGAGGCTAAAAGGGAAATACGAAGGTGGTTCATCAGATAAGATGGGATCGCCATCTGAGATATACTTTCGGTCGTATTCGCCACGGGCCGAAATATTATGCTTCAAAGCACTTGGCTCGTCGTCCGGAGCCATCCGTGGCTTGCAGAAGCTCGTGACAAATTGAGCGCTGAGATGTTCCAGTGGTTCGACTAGGTATAACCGTAGATCAATATCCAGGAAGGAGAGCATAGCGGGTCAGGTGCTGTACAGAAGGATCTGCATGAAGACGGAGAATAGAAATAATTAATATACGAGATCGATCAAAGGCCCAGAATCATGCGGGCATACGCATATGTACGGTCGCCGGGAGGGTGTCTGCACAAGCAGCAACCGCAAAGTCTTCGCGGGCAGCGAAGCTTCGAAGGGCCAGGCGGTCGGAGCCACTCTGCCTTTGAAAATGGTATTTGGTTGCGCTCCGGGTCCTCCTGTTGGATCAGTCGGAGTTCCGATTTCTCCCGGGGGCTGTTCCTCGAATCCCTGTTCGTGAGACTCCACGTGTTGGGTCCGCAATTTTGGCGACATGGGCTACATCGTCGGTAAAGGGGTCAGTCATGCGCCGAGCGGTTTTCAAAGGTTTGCCATGTGTGCTTGCAGCTGAAGACGGAAGCGTGCACAGCGGGGCGACCGCTCCCATCTTTCTCCATCTTCCCTGCAGTGTGAATGTCTGGGTTCAACTAGCTGGCACTGGCGTGTTTGGTGATGACAAGAGTGGCTGTTCTAGGCTGTGGGACATGATCTGTTTGCGACGGTTTGAACGATGACCCCGGGAGCACATTCTAGCAAAACAAGGTTGGGGAAGCCACACAATTGTTGGTATCCACCGGCCAATCTCCTGATTTCGGGCTTCAAGGAAGCCCCACTTCAGCCTTGGGTATTTTCAGTGAGCAGTCAGCTCGTTGTTCGCAGGGTTGAAACGTGGTCTTGCTATATCGGGCGTCTGCCGCGCATGGCCCGACACCGCTTGCAGCAGATTCATTACGCTAGTGTTCTGTGGAGAGAAGGCTGGCGAGAATAACGTCCAGAAAACGGCCCCGGCACCGGAAAGGCAGTGCGGCGGGCCGTCGGGCGGAGGGAGTCCCCCTGACCGACGGCGGAGGGCGCCGTCCGTACTCGGTCCCGAGCGGCGTGGTGAGAGTCCAAGGTCGGCTGCGCGCGAGGTGTTTGAAGAGACGAACGCTCGAGGGTTTTGCAGGTGACAGGAGTGTAGGCAACCCAGGCGCGCCGTGCACGTAAGCGGCGTCGGTTGATCGGATGCGGCGCAGGCAGTGCTCGAGGCTTCTGACTCGAGCCGGCATCAGGCCGTTTGCGCCTGCGACCTGGGTTCCTCTGGTGGATCGGCCCGGCGGCGTCGTACCTGTGTTCTTGGCGGGGGTGCTGACGGATGCTTGCAAATCCGACCTTCCGCGGTTGCAATCACTGCTAGAGGAGAAGGGGAAAGAGCGTGCCGGTTCAGCGCGGGTGCGAGAAGCGACATGCCTGTTTTGGGCACATCGTGGAGATAGAGTGCTTACGGCTCTGGTACACGTCCGCCGATCCACCAGCATCCGTTGCGGCTCTCAACACCACGGGCGCGATAGCAGCAGCGGCCGCCGGTCGCGGAAAGTGCTCAGGCGGTTACGTGATCCGGAAGCAGCCTTATAGGAAGGTCCGATCGACAGTGCTATTAGCGCTCCCAGAGCTCTGTTTCAACGCCCTCCAAACGGGCCAATCACAGCGCTTTGGCCCTGGGTGAAACGGCGGCCAAGCCGTTGCCAAGATCCCGCCAAGCATCGTGCCTGCTCCGCGCCTGCTTCGCGCCTGCATTGCGCCTGCATTGCGCCTGCCTGCTGCCAACGGCTGCGACTCGTAAATCTAGAGCTCGCGGTGACCTCCGCTTTGACCGCGCTCCTGAACAGGCGCCGCTAATTCAATCCGTGCCAGGTTTTGGCGAGCAACCTGCTCCGAGGCGCCGCTATCACCAATTCAGCAATGCGGAACCGAGCCCAGCCTTCAGTCTATCAATCTAACCGACCTTTCAGCCTCGATGACTTTCTGCATCTGGACAGCCACGGCAGCTGGCCAAGGCCTGGCTGATACGACTCAGACTCCACGCTTCTGATATAAGTACTCGATCTTCTCCCCTCTCCCATTTCTCGCCCATCACGCTCATTGTTCACTTCCCACTGTCTGTCATTCCTTGAACGCTGGGCGTTCTCAAATTTCCATCATGCTCTTCCAAGGTCTTTCCCTCGCTCTCCTGGCCCAATTCGCCTTCGCCGCCCGTCCCTTCCTTAACGAGCCCGACACCGGTATCGCCGATGTCCTGAATGGCCTGCAGCCGGGCGAGCTGCCCAACATCACTGCCGTCGTCGGCCTGCCCGACTTCGACTACGTTGCCCGCAACTACATGAATGTGTCGGGCTACACCTACTACCGCAACGGCGCCGCCGGCGAGTGGTCGTACCGCAACAACCTCGAGGCCTACGGCCGCGTGCGCTTCAGGCCGCGCGTGCTGGTCGACATCACCAAGATCGAGCAGTCACTGCCCACCACCCTGCTCGGCCACAACGTGTCGGCCCCCTTCTTCATCAGCCCCTGCGCCAAAGCTGGCTACGCCCATGAGGACGGCGAGATCAACTTCCTCAACGCCGCCGCCGATGCCAACATTCTGTACGTCGTCTCGGACTTCACTTCCAAGACCAAGGCGGAGATCCAGGCCGCCAAGAAGGCCGGTCAGGTGCTGTTCCAGCAGACATACGTGCAGGAAGACCTCGAGAGCGTGCGCACCCAGCTGCAGACGGCCGAGAAGGCGGGCTTCGCCGGCATCGTGCTGACGGTCGACTCGGCCGCCGATGGCAACCGCCACCGCGCCGCACGCTACGGCGTCGGCAGCGCGGACGCGTCCTACACTTACTTCACCTGGGACTACTACCAGCAGCTGCGCAACATGACGCGCCTGCCCATCATCCCCAAGGGCATCATGAGCGTCGAGGACGCGCAGAAGGCGGTCGAGCTCGGCGCTCCGGCCATCTACCTGTCCAACCACGGCGGCCGCCAGCTCGACGGCAGCCCCTCGCCGCTCGAGGTTGCCCTCGAGATCCATGAGCAGGCCCCTGACGTCTTCACCAAGACCGAGGTCTACGCTGACGGCGGTGTCCGCTACGGCGCCGACGCCATCAAGCTGCTCGCTCTCGGCGTCAAGGCTGTTGGTATCGGCCGTCCGATCATGTACTCCAACGTCTTCGGCGAGGAGGGCGTCTCCAAGGCTATCAAGCTCTTCAAGCACGAGCTCGCCATCGATGCCGGTAACCTGGGTGTTCCCGACCTGAAGCAGATTGATACCCGCTACGTAAGTTCTTTCCCGCCACTGGTTTCGACCCATTCGATGTGAACGAGGTGCTAACGCTGGTTTTTGCAGGTTTCTTACAAGTTCGATAACTGGTACAGCTAGATGTATCACAACACCATATTCGTTGTAAATATAAGTGTCTGGAGGGGTGTGTTCATAGAAACCTTGCCAAATTCATACCAATCGTTCCAAGAGCATCAACCCATGAAATTTATCCCGTGTGCCTATAGTAGAAGAAGACGTCATCCCCCGTGCTTCCCCTATCCCTTGTGCAAACAACCTGTTTCTTATCGACGTGAGTCGAAACGGCCGACATATGTACCATGATTCAGCATCTTTTCAAAATGAGGGAATGCCTGTTGCCGATCGCGATACAGAGTGGCGCCCTTTTTTTTTTCTCCTTCCTGCCGCGTCACCTCCACAACGATGGTGGTGGTGTCGAGACCTTTCCCGTCTTTGGAAACAGATCTCGTATTCGCTGAATCGCATGTGCGGCCGAGCCTCCCCTTCCAGAAGGAAAGATCGACACTTGGGATTAAAGAACCGCCTGGGCCACACACCCTACATGCACGCAGGCATCGCACCACCGGATACCAGGTTCTCGGGCCGCGCGTCCGCGGAATTGGTCACACCTAGGCAAACAGGCGCAGACACCTTGGCGCGCCATACACGTCTTTTTTTCTTTTTTTTTTCTCTTATTCCTTGGTAGCTGGCCTTGCGACATCGGCAGCACAACGGAGCTGAATGAGACATTAGTTCGTGCGAGTGTGTGGCCGAGCCCGAGTGTTTGTCCGAGTGTCGGGTTGGACCGGCCGGTGGGAGCTTGGCAGATGTAGCGTTGATGGCGCGTGATACCTATGTATGCGCTTCACTGTCTCGTGATAAAGCTTGACGGCGAGCCGGCTCGGGTGAGTGGCTCGGACTGTGTTGTTCGGAACGCATGATGAAGGGCCAAGAACGAAGACGGAGTATCATGCTGGTGAGACGGATGCACGTGGGAGGTCGTACACGTCGGTGCAGGCTGACTACATCTCTGTCGAGTCCGCTCAGAGCAAACAGGTAATTCGGATTCATCGCTCGGTCGGGACATGAGGGCTTGTCAAGCGTATGTGGTGTGAAAATAGACAGTGAGAGCCCGATGGCTCAGAAGAAGTGACAAGAGAATAAAGGACGTCTTTGAATTCGCAGTCTATGAAAAGATAGTTCAAGAAATGACTTTCCAACCCGGTGTCGCCCCTCAAGGAAATAACGAAGCCTTGACTTCAATGTCCATAGCCCTGAGGCCCTCCCCCAACATCGACTGTCCGTCTACGTCGATCCCATCCCTCTCAACCATGTTCCCCCATTCCTCAACACCTCGCAGCGGCATTCCAATTCCCATCTTCCGCAAGAACCCCCCAGAGCCTCCAGACCGCCTCCTACCTGCGACCAGTCCGACGCCCGCTCATCTTCCCAGCAAATAGTCATTGCTGATCGTCGTCAACACCACCATCATCCACACCCCCCTTCGACACCTCCCCACGGTACCTCGGCGGCGGCCCGGCCCGCCGCAACCGCAACGGCACCGCCAACGCCAGCGCATCGCGCAAGTCCATGGAGCCCGGCGAGCGCGGCAGCGTCGGCGTGCCCTGCTTCTGGGGCGTAGCATGAGCCTTCCGCCCCTCCCCCTTGACCTTCTGCACCTTGTCTCGGGGCGTATACGGCTGCTCCTGCTGCGGCTGCTGCGGCGGTGGCAGCAGCGGGGCGCAGGCGGAAGCAGCAGCAGCGTCGTCGCGGGACGACGTCCAGATGCTGCCGGACCGGTAGATGGCGTCGATGGTGGAGGTGACGTCGAAGTCGGCGGGGGGGCTGACGACGCGCGGCGCGAGGAGGCGGGGGCGGAAGGAGTGCGGTGAGGAGAGGGGCGAGGACGGGCGCAGGTGGGCGCGTGGGGCGTCGGGCATGCTGGCGTTGGCGGCGGTGGGGAGCGATGCCAGGGTCGTGGAGCGAGGCGCTGCTGGTCGGCTGGAGGCGGTGCAGGTGTCCGGAAGTGAAGACGGGGCGGTGGCGCGGCGGCCGCGGCGGTGGGCTGGCAGAGGGAGCAGCGGGAGCGCGGCGGCCGCGGGGCGGTGGATGTTGTCGGCGTCGGCGTCGAGGTCGATGGCGCTGGGTTTGCGCTGGAGGGCGGCGACGAGGACGTTGTGGTTGTTCGCTTGGGGACGCTCGACGTCGTTGCGGCGGTGGAGCTGGAAGCAGCACAGCATCTTGACGATGCGCTTGATGTGAGGCAGACAGGCGCAGACGAGGCTGAGATTGATCTCGACGGTTTCGAGGAGGCAGAAGCGCGCTGAGGTCCAGATCGGGTCATCGTTTGTGTGATAAGAATACCACAGGTACCAGACCTTGACGATTCCAAGAACGAAAACTCTGGAACCACGTTATTCTCTTTTTTCTCATCATAGGATGTACATTGGCGGAGGGGTGTGGTGACTTACACGCTTCCGAGAGAGAACAGAATGCTCAGTTGTAGGCGGACGGCTCGTGACAACTTCAGAGACCAGATGAAGTATACCGGCCATATGAAGACGATTGCTTCACTGGTGGCCTTCTGAATCACGGCAGTCGTGAGTATTTCCTCCTTGCGCTGGCAACTGTTCGGTTTGGGGTACGGGCTCCAGAAGTCCGAGATTGGACGGCAGGCGAAAGTCGAAAGGACAAGGAGAATTATCCCGGCGATGGTGCAGTACGCGATTGTGCCGCGGCAAAACCATACGTTGACCTTGCTTCGGGGAAACAAGTGTATGTAGGTGAGGCATATCGAGACTTTGATGAAGGCAGCAGCGACACCAAAGATGGAGCGGTATGCCAAAGTGACCTTCATGATTGCCACCAGTTGATCCTGGTTCAAAACCCAGAGGTGCCATGACATCCCATACGAGATACCGACAAGAAAAACCGCGTTGCAAACAGCGACCAAGATCTAAGATTGGATAAGTGGTATCTGTCTGTGAATAAAAAAGCTTAAGAGTGAGAATGTAGGCATACTGCAGCAGGGATGATGAGCCAGTCCGAGGCCATTAAACCGCGAGTGAAGTAGGCGCGGTCGAAGAAGCGCGCCGCAACAGCAAGTAACACAAGCGCAATCGTGGGCACTTGGATTGCCAAGATGAACGCGGTTTGCGTTTGCGGGTAGTCGGCGCTGATCATGGTGTCGAGTTGCTCCAAGGGTCGGATGTAAGGTGTAAGTAAGAGAGAGAGAAAGGCGAAGTGACCTTGGGTAAGAGATATTTATAGGTATACCTATCCAGCAGTGCCGGAGTACGGTGCGCCGGCTTCCGCTGCAGGTCGGGCAAGAGCGAAAGCGAGAAGCTTCACATCAGTCACGTGGGTGTATTGATGGGTGGTGTTACGTGTGTCACGACGGTGGTGTTAATGGTGAGCGATAGGAGCGGCTGCCTCACCGGGCGATTCGCCCAATACGGGATATGGCTGCCCCATCGGTCGGCTGCTTTGGCTTTAGCCTCACTTCATTTTCATCCTTTACATAGTGCTCACCTTGAAGCAACAACCGTATCCTGCTCTGTTCGAAATCGCACGATCTACTCCTTCTGGTTTTAATTGCCATTCTCCGCGGCCATTGAGTATCTCCAACATACGCGCCTAAGCATACGCTCTGAGGAACTGCGTCGCACTTATGAAGTACTTATTCTCTACACCACTTCCGCATTTGATAAGCTTTGCCTTTTGTCTTGTTTTGACGTCAATCACGTGGGCTCCCATATGCACCAGTGTTTCCATCTCAAGCACCGTGATCAGTTGATGAAAAACTTGCGTGGCAATTGCGACCTATATACTAGAGCGAATGTAGAAAGTGGAGAATAAAACAACAATCCAAGAATAGAAAACTCCTATCGACTGTCCAGACGTAGACACGAAGCCTCACAACTGAAAGAACACGTCTAAACACAGGATCCATCATTCACGCAGGTGAGGTATTGGCGGAGGGACAGACGCAAGCAGGCTCAACTCCTCCCCCAACCCGCTCACCCGCCGTCCCCCACCTCACCTGATCACCTCACCTCACCCCTCCCCCTTCCCCCTCAGCACCACCCGCAACCGCCTCAACCGCCTCATAAACCGCCCCCTCAAACGCCCCCAACAGTCCCACCGTCCTCTCATCCCCACACGGCAAATGATGCATCGCCTGCAGCCCCGCCACGCCCGCCCGCCGATCGATCCAGAAGTAAAAGTTCCTCATCCCGCTCCACGCGAGGCTCCCCTCCTTCCGCCCCCGCCGCTGCCCCCGCCCCCCATCGCCACTAGGAATCAGCACCACGACGTCTTCCACGTTCAGCAGCCCGCCGAGGCCGTACTGGATGGGCGACCCGCGCGGGACGCCGCACAGGGCGCCGGGGTCGACGGTCTCGATGCTGCGCAGGCCGCGGCGGCTGGCGGCGTCGAGCTGGGGCGTGAAGATTTCGGCGGCGGTGGCGCGGGTGAGGAGGAGGGGGGGTTGTTCGTTGTTGTTGTTGTCGTCGTCGTCGTCGTCGGCGTCGTGCAGGATCGCGGCGTAGATGGCGAGGAGGGCGGGGGCGGTGGCGACGAGGCCGCCGCCGCCGAAGTCGTCGGTCGTCGGGGCGGACGGGTCGGGGATGGGGACGAGGAGGGAGGGGTTGGCGGGGTCGCGGCGGAAGGTGGCGGGTGTGCGGGGGGGGGGAGGGAGGGGTGGCGGTCGGGGTGGTAGAGGATGGAGGAGGGGGGGAGGGAGAGGGGGGTGAAGATGTGGTGTTGCATGTAGGTGCCCAGGGAGAGGTTGGTCACGCGCTCGATCTGTGGAGAGGGGAGGTTTTTTTTCGGTTGGTCAGAAGCGGTTGGCTTTTTTTTTTTGGCGGGGGAGGGAAGCGTAGGATTGAACGTATGCGCACCATCAGGCCCGCCCAGTCCATGCCGGGAGAGTACATCCATTTGGTACCGGGCTCCTCGACGAGGAAGAGCTCGTATGCTTCTTTCTGGAGATGCTGGTGTCAATGATCGTCCGCATCGAGGGGAGTTGTTACCAGGAAAGATCGAAAGCTTTCGACATACCACCGTGGTTGGGTGCGGCTGGGGGCCACGCAGCTCCTGGTATTTTTGGAGGGTCTCGCTCTCGAAGGCATACGCCATGCCGCTGTTGTGCGAAAGCAAACGTCTGTAGCTCTTACATCAACAACCATGTCCTAGGAAATAGACTCAAGAGGAAGATTCATGAGAGAGACCTCAAGCAAGAGAAGCGTCGCACGAACCGCAGAGTCACAGTGTTCTTGGCGGGCACAAACACGGGCTCGTCAGTCTCGGTGAAGCCGGTCAGAATGTTGGGATTCTTCCATTCCGGCAGGACGTCTCCGATGTCACCGTCCAGCGTCAGCAGACCCTTGTCCACGCACTGCAGAGCCGCAATGGTGGTGATGAACTTGGTCGAGGACGAAATCGTCCACAGAGCGTCGACGTCATCTGACGGGTCGGCGTTGCTGCCGGGCTGGGAGTCATTGCCGAAGGTCTTCAGGTACTTGAAGGTGCCTTGAGAAGCATCAGCGCTGCGCCTGCACGAGTCCGACGCTGCATACCCGCGCGGTTCACTGCTCCGAAGGAAACGCGGGGTAGTGGACGCGCATCGGGTCCCTGCGGATTGAGGAAGGTCGCGACGGTGCTGTTGAAGGACTCCATGCTTGATCTGTGAAGCTTCAGTGCTAATACTGTGTTGGGCCACATTGTTATCGGGGTTCGCTGGCCCTTATATGGAACACTCACCTGCTGAAGGATTCAACCGCGGTGTCGCGAAGTAGACGATCGCCGACGCCGGCGTCCGATGTCGTAGCCGCCGGAAGAACGGCGTCCCAAGACGTAGTCCACCATCGCCGGTGCTGTAAAAGCGACAAGATAGATTTGAGGTAGCAGAAAGCTAGTGAAACAAGTGCCGATTTGCTCCATTTGGCTCTTTGTTTTGATGGCGGGGTAAATCAAATCCCGCGCCAAGATGTCATGCGCGGTGGTACACGTGCGAAAGTGTGGCAGTGAAGCTCGCACTTCAGACTTACATTCCTGCTTTTTCGTACAAGAATACAGAAACAGACTCCTACAAAGGCTATCGGTGAAAGGTTTGGCTATATACGCCCCTGCAAATATAATGACAAGAAGATAGAGAGGAAATAAGCCACTTTTCTGTCCACTCGAAAGAGTTGAACGCAGCTGTACCATGGAGCGAAAACAGCAAAGGATAGAAATGAGGGTATATCCGCCGAAGAAGGCCAAGAAACGAGAAAACATGAGAGTGACTAGCATCACGGCTAGTAGAGTTGCGAGAAACGCGGCTTCTGTGGCCATAGCTGTGAACGGCGAAGTTCTTTTCTTCCATGATAGGAGACCTACCCAGCCACAAACGTGGCTCCGAACAGACTCTTCTCATTCAAACGGAGTAGGAAGGTCGATGGTTCCGGGCGATAGACGGAGTCCAGAGAATGCATTTGGCGTCGTGTTGGTCCCATCGATTGCACAGGCGCGACGTCTGCACGGACAACAGCTCGCAAGCAGCACACGAGAGACACAAGAAACGCATCGACATCACCACCAGCACATTCACAAGTCCAACAAGCTCTCCCCCAACGTCTCGGCGCTCTTCTCCTTCTTCAACGCCCTCCCCTCGCTCTTCACGCTCAGCGCAGCCCCGAAATTCATCCCCCCTAGTCCCGCAACAGCTCCCCCTCCTCCTCCCCCCCTCCCCACTCCCTTCTTCCTCCCCGCCGCCACCGTCGAACCCCCATACCCCTGCACGCCCGCACCAAACCCCACCCCCGGCTGCATCTCCAACACCCTCCGCAGCCCCTCCAGCGCCTCGACCCGCCGGCGATACAGGTCCGCGTCCTCGACCGCCGCCGGCGCGGGGCGCTGCGCCTCCATCAGCCGGCGCAGGCCCTCCATCGCCTCCACCTTGCGCCTGTACAGGTCCGTGTCGTCGTCGCTGTTGTACCAATTACTATATGTCATCGACCCCCTGCCGGTGCTCGCCGCGCTGCCCCGCCGCACGTGCGACCCGTTGACGCCGACGCCGTTGCTGTTGCCGTTGCTGTTGTGCTGCTGCTGCCCGTTGTTGTTGGTGTTGTTGTTGTGCCCGCCGCCGACTTGATGATGTTGTTGCTGCTGCTGCTGCTGCTCCTGCTGCCCCCACCGCTTCTCCCACGCCTCCGCCGCGCCGACTACGCGTTCGACCGCGCGCGTCGCGCGGGCGATGAGGTCCTTCTCGACGTTGACGCTGCCACCGCTGGCATTGTTGTCCTTGGTGGCGCGCTCGGCGGCGGCTTCGGCGGCGGCCGCGCTGACGGAGCGCAGTTCGCGGAGGAATGCGTCGGTCGAGGCGGTTTGGGCGGCGGCGGCGGCGCGGTGTGTGGCGAGGAGGGCGTGGAGCGTGTGGGCGATGTAGGCGAGGAGCGGGAGGAGGAGGGCGAGGAGGGTGGCCTGGAGGGGTGGGAGGGGTGGGAGGGGTGGGAGGGCGGCGATGGCGGCGGCGGCGGCGGAGGCGGCGGAGGCGGGGGGTTGTTGGGACGGCATTGCTCGGTGTGCGTGTGTGTGCTGGGTAGCGCGTGTGGGGTGGGTGGGTGGGTTGGTTGTTCGGCGAGTGTGGGCAGGCAGCGTTTGGCGGATTGGCTGACTCCGCTTCCAAGAAGGCGTTTGTTGTGTATGTGTGAGAGAGACAGGGCGGTTCGCGCGACAGGTACGTATTTATTTTTCCTCGTGGAAGTCGGGGAGTCAGAGGCTGGCTGGGTCGGGCGGGCGCGCGGAGCCGTCGGTGTCGTGTGCCGGCGACTTTGCGGGGTCGGTCGCGACTCGGCTGGTCTCTAGGTCGCGTGCTGGTCACGGACGCGACGGGGATGGCGGGCAGGAGGGTGGTGGTGGTGATGCAGCGGCACGCGCTGGGCGACGACGAGGAGAGATGCGGTCGGGCGGCATCTGGCAACGGGCGGCGCGAGCGACGGGCCGGCAAGGGAGGAAAGGGAGCAGCCGGACGGGATTCCCGGTACGCACGAGAACGGGCGGAAGCGGTGGGAGGAGGCGCTGAGAAGCCAGCCCCTTTGCCGAGGCGATCGACGCTCCCCGCAGTGCGCTAGTGTAGGGCTGACATCTGTCCCATGCCGTCGGTGAACTTAAAAGCTCGTGAGGTGTCACAAGAGGCACGAAACAGCTGCCAGATCGGAAATCTTGTACCACGCTCTGCCCTACCTATGCACACACGCCGCCAACCACGTCCCGCCTCATATCCTCCAGCTTCTTCCTCTGCTTCCCCTCGCTGTCGAAATTGGCCTCATCCAACCACCGCTTCAACGCCTCTCCGGCACCTCCCTTTCCATCCCTTCCGAACCAATCCTCCTCTATCATTGAAAACCACACCGTATCTCTCCTTCGCCCCTTCGCAACCATGTGGGCTCTGAACCGCCCCTCCCACGTGAAGCCCAATCGCACCGCCGCCCGCTTGCTCGCCTCGTTCAGGTCATTCGTCTTCCACTCCAGCCGCCGGTAGCGCAGGTCCTCGAAGACGTACCGCGCGAGCAGATACACGGCTTCCGTCGCCGCCGCCGTGCGCTGCAGCGGGGGCGAGAACATGACGTGTCCGATCTCCGCGACGCCATTGCCGGCGTCGATGCGCATGATGGCGATCCAGCCGAGGACTTGGCCTTTGACGAGGACAGAGAAGAAGAGCGGGTCCTTGGAGGCGCATTTGGACGCGAAGACGGCACGGTAGGTGTCCTGGCCGCCAGAGGAGGCCGGGATGGGCCCGTCTGGCATGTAGTCGAAGAGCCAGGCCTTGTCGGGGCCGCTGATCAAGGGAAGTAGCGCGTCGAGGTCGGAGGGAGCGAGGGGCCGGAGCGTGACGTGTTCGCCGTGAAAGTGTTTGTGTTCTGGGGTGAGAGCGGGACGGGGCTCGACAGCGGGGCCGAGAGGCCTGTTGTCTTGCTGGGATTGGGCCATGTTCTGTGTTCTGCAGCAAGATGAGTTGAATCTGTGCATGTGCGGGCTTTGAGTGGGGTGGTGTTGACAACAATGATTCATACCTTTTATGTGTCCGAGCGAGTGCAGGGATGATTGGCGCCATGACGCTAAACTACATTTAGGCCTAGCCGTCCATCACGAACAAACGTCAGTCTTTCAGTTGGTAGTCACAATCCGTAAGCACAAGGTTCTGTATCGCAAAAGAAATTCATGACTGCTTGTAGCTCTCTTCTGACCGAAAGCCATTTCTACATGCATCAGCATTCGAAATTACAGTCAACCCCCCATTCGTTGGTATCCTTTGACGAGTTTTTCCAGGTGCTTTCAGGCTGCCCTTGAGTTGGTGCTTATTTTCCGTAAGCCGTATCGACCACAGCTTAACCTCCTCATGCAACCTTCCAGCATACTCGGCCAGCCTCTCATCGCCCACTAGATTCCTCTCTTGTGGAAGTGCCTCGCCCTCTTGGAAGAAGGGAGATGGCCGCGGGAGCCGGCTGGGCTGCTCAGAGTCTTCTTGGGCTTGGCCTTCTGAACGGCTTCTTCACTAATCTCGGGAATGTTGGGGGATCTAGAGCGCTTGTGCTTGGCGTCCCTAGCTACTCCGGCTGTCTTTGCTTGTCTAAGCTGTGGCGTGTTAGTCACAACAGGGTAGCTGGTGTTGTTGGTCACGACAGGGTAGCTGGTGCTGTTGGTCACGACAGGGTAGCCGGTGTTGTTGTCCTTGGGGCTCTCCTGCTGCTTGGCTTCGGACACGTTTGCAGCATCTTGCTCTGACAGGAGACGACGTTCGATCTCAGCCACCACATGCGGGAGACGTCCCGTCTTCCTTATGTTGGCGTACATTGAATTAGCCCTGCCCCAATCCGTGGAAGTGACCTTCAGAGAAGCGTTAGGATTGCCCATGGTCCGCGTCTTGATTGCCTTCGGGACGCAGTGCTCCTTCATGACGAGACGTGCGCGGGGGTACGTGGTCGCAAACCGAGCCATGAGACGGAGAAGCTTGTAATCCCAGGCCAGAGCACTGGAGTGCGGGATGGCGCTCGGCTGGAGCCATGACTTGACATGGTCGCCCCAGGCGCTGGAAAGGCCGTCAATGCGATCAAAGGCTGGCGTGAGATTGGTGAGCAAAGTCTCGGCATCCCAGGCGAGCTGGTCTGCGAGCTGCTCCGAGGGCATCCACGGGCCGAAGGTTATGGAATCACGACCGATGACCTCGACAACCTTCTTCTGGAGCTGTTCGATAACGAAGTCGCGGTCTTCGTCAGTGTGGGTGCGACTGGCCAGAGCGGTTATGGCGACGAGAAGACGGCGCGGCCACTCTTCTAGGTCCTTGTAGAGATGACTGCTCTGAGACGGCAGCCATTTAAGCTTGTCGTCGCCCCACTTACCACTGAGCGTGGCGACGAGGTCTTCGGTCGGAGGTTGCTAGCCGGGGGATCAGTAGAACCTGACTGCTGCAAAGTTATTGCGAGTTTGTAGACGGGGACACGATCGAAGACTTACATCGGGCGAGGTGTTCATGGTGAACAATCTGCGGCGCGATAGTCAGACCCCGACTCTCGAGTGGATGGTGGTGAGGAGAGTTGAGATGGGTGGGTGGCCGAAGGGTATTTATGAGTCGGCCGGCTGTGGGAGTTTCGGGTTTTCGGTAGCGCCGGTCGCCGGTGGACCCTGAGAGTGCGCTGGAAGGGTCCTCTGGATGATTCCATGGGCTTCCACGGTTCCATCTGTTGACTGCATCTCAACACAAATCGACAGTCCCGAGCCGCGATGCGTGCAAAGCATCCTCCGATGGGAAGATGACAGCAATGTCTCGAATTGCAACATTTCATATCGCCGCATTGTGTAAGTGTCACGGTAGCCTCGGCGCGTGAAGTATTGATTGCGCGCATGCTCTGTGGGATCCCTCCAACATAGCCCTTCCTCTCAAGCCTACTTGGCGCATGCTGCAATCCGCGTGTTATTCTTCACGCTCAAGCGGAGCCATCGCCGACACTGTAGCCATGCACGAAATGGTGGTTTTCGGCTGGCTGGCTGATGCAGTGCGATGAAGTGTTGCTGCAGGTCAAACCTTCCCGATCGAGTAAAGCGGAAAGCGGGGATCCTTTGCGCAACACCAGAAGGCACGCTCCTCTGTTCCCCACACCTGTATTCTATCGCACGCCTACACCAAGGACATTCGGCATAGTAACGATCATGGGGGCTCTCAAACCGAACAGGCTAGCGGCCGAAGACCCAGAGGCCGGAGGTACTCAGCGACGTTGTCGAATTAGCGTCGCCGGGATGATGCCGTGAACTGCGTCATCAAGGGAGCCAACGTACCTGCCTGCTTTTTCCCCCACCCACACAACAAATCTCCAAAATCCTTCGATAGTCTACTACGGCTTACATCGCCATCCACACGAAGCCAGGTCTTCCAGCTTCTTCTCCCCAAGTTCAGGCCGCCGCGCGCCTCCTCTTTGTCCCAGTGTGCCGCCGCGCCAGCCGCTCCGCCCGAACATCTCTGTCCCACCACCCTTCTTTCTCCCCCGCAGAGAAGGCCAGGCTCAAGATCGCCGCAGCCATGGCGTGGTCTCAGCTGGAACCGACAGCACCGCACTTGACCTACATCGTGCTGTCCTCCTTCCTCATCGCCTACGCTCTCTTCTCGCTCTTCATCCGCAACCGCCTGCACCTGTCGGAGCCGCCGCTGGCCACCGTCTTCGGCATCATCTTCGGGCCGCACGGTGCCCGGGTCCTGCATCCGCAGCAGTGGGGCATGGACGACCTCCACATGCAGGAGCTGACGCGCCTGATCCTCGGCATCCAGGTCTTCTCCACCGGCATCGAGCTGCCGCCGGGCTACTTCAGCCTGGGCCCGCGCGGCAACTGGCAGAGCGTGCTCGTGCTGATCGGGCCCGTCATGGTGTTTGGGTGGCTCGTCTGCGCCGCGCTGATCTGGGCCCTGCTCGGCGTCGACTTCGCCGTCGCCCTCGTCATCTCCGCGTGCATGACGCCGACCGACCCGGTGCTGGCCGCCTCTGTGCTGGCCAACTCGCAGTTCTCGACCCGCGTGCCCAAGCGCCTGCGCCGACTGCTGTCGGCCGAGAGCGGCTGCAACGACGGCGCCTCCTTCCCGTTCCTGTACGTCGGCCTCTTCGCCCTGACGAGCGCCACTTCCGGCGAGGCCGTCAAGCAGTGGTTCCTCATCACGCTGCTGTGGCAGTGCGCCTTCGGCGTGGTGCTGGGCGTCACCCTGGGCTTCGCCGCCAACCGCGTGCTCCGCTTCGTGCACGCCCGCGACTTCATCGGCCGCGCCTCGTACCTCGTCTTCTACCTGCTCGCCGCCGTCTTCTGCACCGGCGTGGCCGCCACTCTGGGCACCGACGACTTCCTGCTCGCCTTCAGCGCCGGCGTCGGCTTCAACCACGACGGCTGGTTCCGCCGCGAGATCGCCCAGACGCGGCTCCCGCACATCATTGACCTGATCCTCAACAGCACCATGTTCGTCCTCTTCGGCGCCAGCATCCCGTGGTCGCAGTTCTCGTCGTCCTGGTCCGCCCTGCCCTCGGGCACCTCCTCCGCCGTCTCGCTCGGCCCCGGCCGCCTCCTCGCCCTCCTCGCCTGCATCCTCCTGCTGCGCCGCATCCCCGCCGTGCTCGCCGCGAAGCCGCTAATCCCAGACCTGCAGACGTACCGCGAGGCCCTCTTCGCCGGCCACTTCGGCCCCATCGGCGTGGGCGCCCTCTTCCTCGCGCTCGAGGCCCGCGCCCAGCTCGAGACGGGCACTTCGCAGCCCCTGCCCTACCCCCCGGCCGACGGTGACGCCGCCGGCCTGTCGCCCCAGCGCCGGCTCGCAACCCTCGTCGTGTGGCCCGTCGTGTGCTTCATCGTGCTCGGCTCGACCATGGTGCACGGCTGCAGCACGCTCGCCATCAGCGTGGGCAGCCACTTCTCGCGCAAGGAGGGCGAGCGCGCGCCGCTGATTGGGGCCGAGACGGACGGGTTCGGCGCGATGGTGTATGATGAGGATGAGGTCGAGGAGGAAGAGTGGGAGGAGGAGAATGAGGAGAATGAGGTGGAGAATGGGGTCGAGGACTGAGGACTGAGGGCGTCCGTTTACTTGTTTGGAGGATGTGTCCTTATTTCCTTTTATCCTTTTTTGTCTTTTTGTCTTTTGGTATTGCGCTGCTAGCTCTGCTGCTGGCGCTGCGTTGTTCTAGCGTGGTTGACTTACGTCACCGCTACCGTATCACGCTCGCTGGGGGTTGGGGCGGCTTGACGCTGGATGCCACTCGCTGTTATCAATTGTGCACTCGTTGTTTTTCAGAGACGCACCACAGAAACTATCTGAGACATGCTACGCATGTCCCCGCATTCGCACCCCCTCGTTTGTTATCCTTTGTCTATGTCCGCGTCTGTTGAATGCCACGTTTGTTGCCGGTGCCCAACAGGATCGCCTCAATACAATGGAAGCATGGCATTATTCCGGAAGAATTTGCGATTGGAGGAGTAAGAGGACTAATGGCCAGCCGTTGGCGCCCAAGGTAGCACGTGAGAGTCGTCAAGAAGGCAAAGTGGGGTGGCACGTTCCCGGATGACGGTTTTGCCTATGGAAACGCGCCGTACAATAACGTCGGACGACGTGGACCAGGCTGACAGCGAACGAGCGCGGACGAACGCTGGGGGGGAGTCGGGTGGCATACACGGAGAGAAGTTCGGCGCGGGCCAACTCAAATGTTCACGAATCCATGTACGGTACTGGTCTCACCTGTTTTCAAGCTTCTCGAAGTAAGTTCATCTTACCTTCTACCCGCCGTGTCCCACTTGGTGTTAGCTTATGTTTTGTGAAGGTCCAGCTTTCTGGCCGGCAGTTGACAGCATAGAGCTCAGTAGCCGATCCCATGATCACGAGAGCCACGGTCGTCCTTTTTGGTGTCCCAACATTACACCTTACACAACGAAAGAGGCTGGCTCGTGGAGAGGTGCAAGCATGGACGCGTCATGGCAGGCGGCGAATACAGGGCGTGCTATCATCGCTCTTCACGGATCGTCCTCCCTTGCTTACGGGACGGTCCGCGTGGGTAGCCTCAGCTGCAGCCTCATCTTGTTCCACTATTCTTTCACTGGCCGGATGCTCTGCTGTCCCGTGGCTTGGTAGACCAACTACCCGGTTAAACCTCAGCATTGGCCGGCTCCCGACAACGCACGCGCCATTCTCAGATGTCCCATGATGAACCAGATCAGCAGTACAAGGCACTTCGTCAAGCAATCCAGCACGCCTTTGTCCACGTGGGTCATCTGGGCGATGCATCGGCTCGCCCCAGCAAACATAAGAAACCTCTTCCGTGTCCCTCTCCTTCGACATCCTCCCACACACGTCCAGAATCTTCGCGTCTTGACGGCCCCGTTCAAACACACTTTCTGACTCCTAATCACTTCAAATCAAGGTCCGATCCATTCAAGGGTCCGGTCCAGTCAAAAGTGCGGTCCAGTGAGAATACACACACGCGTAATCATTCTACTTTTGGCTACCCCAACCTACCTACCACTATGTCTGCACCGGCTATAAGGTCCTCCTCAGCTCCTCCAGCACTCACTTCTCCATCAACTCACCCGACAGTCATGGATGTGATGCGCCTCGAGAACATCCTCAACGCCGTAGACGACCGGGAAGGTAAGCCGCTATTACTGGACGTATATGGACGTCGCTCAGACCTTGCAGCCCAAGCTGCGCGCCAGGATGCTGCCGAAACTCTCCTACAGCTTGGCTTGTCTCTTGACAGTAAGTAAATAAGCTACCCATCCCCCATTTCCCATCGACTCGCACTGACGACCTTGCCAGCTCCCATGAAGACTTGGTCACCGGCTCAGCGCGCAAGAGCTTGCCGTCCCCTTCCTCCCAACGACTCCATCATGCCTTCCCCACCCCATCGCATCACGGATTTGTCAGCCGTGACTGCGGAATCTGGCGACAGCTCTTCCGAGTTCACTCTCTCTCCGTCGACGGCCGTCGACGACGCACCGCCCTCCTCGGTCACTAACACCACCGACCACGACGACGACGAACCCGACCTCTTCCTCCCTCCCACCGACGACGACGACGACAACGACCATGACCACGGTGCGTCTCCCCCTCCCTCCCTTTCTCCCCCCCCCCTCTCCCACATATAACCCGCGACAGCAACAACAACAAAACAAAACAAAACAAAACAAACCAAACCACCTCACTAACTCCCCCCGCCCCTTCCCCCCACAGAAACCGCCGGCGACCCCACCAACCGCGAATTCAACTGCTGGGCGGTCCCGCACTCGAGGTGCATGACGGGGCAATACACGCTGCCGCTCTCGCGCAAGATGGTGTCGGACTACTTCGGGCGCAACAAGGCGGGCACGCGGCGGGTGCAGCCGCGCCGCTGGATCCGCGCCTGCCGCAAGCACTACCAGCGCCAGTCGTACCAGGACTCGTGGCGCTGGCACAAGGGGCGCGTCGTCATCCGGCAGCTGCAGCTCATCGCCGCGCAACAGCAGCCGCCGCTGACGTTCCGCGTCGCGCTGAAGAGCAGCGAGGAGAAGAGGCTGGAGAGGTACAAGGGCGGGCTGGTGGATGCGGGCAGGCTGTTCGATCGCCATCGTGAGGAGGTAACGCGCTTGGATGAGGAGAAGCCCGATCAGGCGCCGTTGGCGGTGCTGCAGGACATCAAGGAGTTTGTGAGGCAGCGCGGCGGCGAGGCGGCGTGCTTGGGCGCCGCCGACTGCGAGGAGTTGGTGGGGCGCGCCATCGATTGGGTCAAGGGCAAGAAGTGTCTCCGCTTGCCGCTGTTTGAGATGATGCCCCTTTTTGCGGACGAGGAGGGCGCGGAAAAGGAGAAGAAGACGAAGAAGAAGAAGACGAAGGCGACACCGGCGGCAGGGAAGAAGCGTAAGGCTGGTTCTGCTGGAGCTGGAAGCGCTGCGAAGCGTGTGATGGCTTGAGATGCAGGCTTCCTGGTTTGTTGACGTCAATCTTGCTGGTCACCTAGCGTGGGATGGTATGCTGTCTTTTAGGGTCTTTTACAACCTTCTTTGGCGTTTTACGGGCGGTCGATTGCATATGGTTTCAGAAAGGCTGACGGGTGGCTCTTCGAGTTCGCCGCCTTTCTTTATTTTTGCTTTGCCGCACATGTGGCGCGGCATGCTGGAGTATGTTTGGTTACAGATTGTCATGTTCTACTGTATTACTAGTATGATGAAAATTTTCTCATAGATATTATAGCAACCGGTGGAGAGTTCACTAATTCCATAAACCTAAAATTTACTTTTTCTTAGCTGCATATCTTTCGACCTAGGAGCGGATTGGTCTGGAAGGCATCGATATCCAATAGACTGCAAAAGTGCTTATTCCTCTATTGCAGTCAAATCTATGCCACCACCAAAAGATTCTGCTCATCGTGGTTATTCTAAAACCCGCGGAGATTGTCCGCATGGCGATGAATTAAAGGCACAGCTAAGCAAGTGAACCAAGCCAACGTGGGTGCTCTACACTATGAACGCCCTCACACGCAGCCTCGACACAGCTAGCAAGACTGCCAAAACAGAAGCGTCTCCCCGTGAGCCCCGGCCCATAATGAGCGTACTTGGCAGAGTTGGTCATGATGGTCTTCGCCGGACGGGGGACAATGGGCTCTCGAATCATGCACCAGCACGTATCCGTCACGAACTGCACGCCAAACGCCTCCAGCTCCGCCACCAGGCCGGCTTGGGTGGCCAGCCCGTGGGTGCTGCGGCCACACGTCACGATGACAGCAACTCTCCCGTCCTTCCGCCGGCCGCGACAGAGCGCCGCGAGCTTCCTGATCTCGGAGAGCGAGAAGTGCGGGTTCCCCAACGACACCAGGTCGATCGGTCGACGGGCGTTTCGGTCCGCGCTGTTCAACGTGTCCCAAGCGCATGCGAGATCCTTCATGTCCAAGTCGACGACGGGGACGTCATTACCCTCGCCGCCAACCGCATCCTCCAGCGTCGCCGCCTCGGGAGTCACGCCGACCATGTGAAACATGGGCGCGCTCGACAAGGTGGCGAACGCGGCGCCGAAGGCTTTCAAATCGTCAGTGGAGGGCGGTAGGTGCCCATCCTCCGCAAGGCCGAGGATGACGGGGATGCGGTTTGCCGCGACGCCTCCCACGCAGTATCCCAGGGCAGGGTAAAACGAGTCGTCCACGTGAAGAAGAGCATTTGGGAGTCTGATACAGACCGTAGCTAGGCGATTGGACTCGACGTGCGGCCCGGCGCAGGGCGCGCGGCCCGTCAGCGCGACGGCGAGGTCGAGGAAGTCTGGGTACTTCATGGTGCGGGCGCCAAGCACGCTGTTGGCGTAGACGACGGCGTTGGACTCGGCCCAGGCCACCTGCTCGCCGCGCCGTGGAGCAGTTCCCAAGTTGTACGGCGCGCATGTGAAGGTCGGCGCAGCGCCCATGTCCGTGTAGGCGGCAGCGAGGCGCTCAGATGGCTCGCCCAGCGCGACTGCATCGACGCCGTGCTCGTGCCGCCACCGCCGCTGGTCGACAGAGATGGAGTTGAGCGTGGTTGGCACCACTACCCTCCCGCCGGCGTCGCGCAGTCTCGAGGCAAAGGCGAGAGAGGCGGGTCCGGTGTAGACGCAGCCATCAATGTGGACTTGTGTCACGTCGAGAAGCTCTGAGGCGCCTTGCAGAGCGGCCATGCGCACGATGATGCGCATGGCTGTGCGCGCGGCTGGGCCGCGGGAGCCGGAAAGGAAGGCGTGGTCGGCGGGAGAGAGACTGACGATGCTAGCGAATGATGCCCGCTTGGCCGCAGTGTCGTCCGCATGCCACCCCTCAGCCCGAGTCGAACTGTGATCCGTGACAGAGACGCGGTTGTCATGGATATAGAGGTGGCGAGCGCTCAGAAGCTCCCGAAAGTGCTTCGAGCCCAAAGTAACCACGGGAATGGACTTGGCGAAAAGCTCGTCGGCAACGACGACACCGAGGGTCAAGATGTCTTCCCTTCGCTCGAACAAGACAGCGCTGGGGCCGGTGCCATTGAGGAGCAGCTCCAGCATGACACCGCTGCCGGAGCACGATCCCCTGCCGCCAGGGATGACCAGGACTTTGTCCTTGAGGCAGCTCCCACTCAACGGATGATGGCGGTCAATGACCTCGCCAGTCAGCGGATCGACACCGCCCCAAAAGCTTAATTCTTTATGGCTGGCGAGCACCTCGCCTGAGGCGCTGCCCGAGACATAGGCAGTGCCGTGGACGGTAAACTCCTTCGGTTGGGGTGCGTCCTCTGCTGCAACGTCGCCCATTGCGTTTGTTGGTTATGAGAATGAATCAATATGAGCGGCGTGTAGATAGAGGATGTAACGCAGGATGGGGAGATACGATGGTGAGAAAATGGCACCACCATGGGTTCGGCCTACGTCGCGGCGACATGTAACGGTGCCTGCGCTTGAGATAAGCAGAGCCCGGGTAGAGAAGGGCCAGTGCCTGGCCCGATGTCCCGGGAAAAGGGAAGGATTGCGCCATGGACCGGGAACGCGTGCCGTCGAGATAGGGCTGAAGTCGGTGGTACTGGATGCGACCCGCGGGCGGTGTCATCGCGAAGACCTGCCGGTCGCGTCGTCGTGGCGTTAGTAGTCCGTAATTCTGCGCGGTTTGCGCCAAGATAAGCCAGGGCGGCAGCCAATGGGGAAGGGGCCGTCGCACTCGTTTGTTACCCCGCGGGGTGACCCATGAAAAAATTACAAAACGAAAGCACAGGCTGCTGGTCGACTTGCCTATCGGCCTCTGGTCCACCCGCTAGCTCCAAGCCCGCTCCCATGCGGCCCTTTTCTGATGTCCTGGCACCCAATCACCATCCACGCCTGCGGCGAACCCCGCGTCACCATAAGCCGCGCTGCACTGAGGTACCAGCCTAACGGGGTGCGCCTCAGCCTGGATTCTGCCCTTGACTCCAAGCCGCACTTCGCCGCATGCATATAATATTCGACTCGCCGCCGCCTATACTAATGCTCAATTCCCCGTCTCACCGTCTTCTCCCTCCTCCCTCCCCGCCCTTCCTCCTGCCTCAGCCGCCGCCATGGAAAAGGAGTACAAGGAAGCCTACGGCGCCACCGAGCCCGCCGACGTCGAGTCCCGGGCTGTGGGCGAGACCTTTCCCCGCGACATCGACTTCTCTCGCATGAACCATGAGGGCACCGCCAACCTGATCTCCGAGCATAATCAGCTGGAGCGTGGTCTCAAGAGCCGGCACATTCAGTTCCTTGCTCTGGGTGGCGCGTACGTCATCCCGAATCTCCACCCCGTCCTTGTGCAACATCACTGACACTTTTGCAGCATTGGCACTGGTCTCTTCGTCGGCTCCGGCAGCATCCTGTCCACCGTCGGCCCCGCCCCGCTCTTCATGGGATATCTGTCAATGATGATCGTCGTCTGGAACATCATGAACAATTTGGGGGAGCTCGCAACATACCTGCCGCTCAAGGGCATCTCCATCCCCTACTTCATTGAGCGCTTTGTGGACCCTAGTCTCGCATTCGCAACGGGCTATAATTATTGGTACGCTTACGCCATGCTCGTGGGCGCCGAGGCATCTGCGGGAGCAATTCTGCTCGACTACTGGAAGACGCCGGTGCCCCCCGCGGTTTGGATTGCCATCATCCTGGCCATCATATTAGCCCTCAACATCTTCGCCGTGGAGATCTTCGGCGAGGCCGAGTTCTGGTTTGCCAGCATCAAGCTCATCACCATCCTGGGCCTGATCTTGTGCAGCTTGGTTATCATCTTGGGTGGCGCCCCCGCCGAGGGTCGTATTGGCTTCACGTACTGGAAGAATCCGGGTGCCATCAAGCCGTATCTGGTCGACGGCAATACTGGCAGATTCCTAGCCTACTGGTCCGGCTTCGTGCGCGCCGGCTTCGCCTTCATCACCTCGCCCGAGCTGATCGCACTCGCCGCGGGTGAGACGGTTGCCCCCCGGCGCAACATCCCCAAGGCGGCCCGCCGCTTCGTGTGGCGTCTGGCCATCTTCTACGGCCTGGGCTCGCTGATGATCGGCGCCATCGTCCCGTCGGACGACGACCGTCTGCTCAGCGCCGAGTCGAACGCCAGCGCGTCCCCATGGGTCATTGGCATCCAGCGCGCGGGCATCGGCGGCCTCAACCACGTCATCAACGTGGCCATCCTGAGCTCGGCCTGGTCCGCCGGCAACGCCTTCCTCTATTCGGGCAGCCGTATCCTCTACTCGCTGGCGCTCAACAAGCAGGCGCCTGCCATGTTCACCAAGACGACGAGGCGCGGGGTGCCCTACGCGGCGGTGCTCGCGACCTGGTCGATCGGGCTGCTCTCGTTCCTGACGGTGGGGAGCAACACGGGCGAGGTCTTCACGTGGTTCATGAACATCTGCACCATCTCGGGGCTGATCGCGTGGATCGTCGTCATGATCGCGTACCTGCGGTTCCGCAAGGCGATGATCTACCACAAGATGATGGACCGGCTGCCGTTCAAGACGCCTCTGCAGCCCTACTTCACCTACTTCATCCTCTTCCTGCTGACGCTGCTCACCCTCACCAACGGCTTCCAAGTCTTCTTCCCCGGCCACTGGAGCGTCCAGGACTTCCTCGCGGCGTACATCACCCTGCCCATCTTCCTAGCTCTGTACATCGGCCACAAGATCTGGTTCCGCACTCCGCTGGCGCGCAAGATTGAGGATGTGGATGTTATTACTGGGGTGTCCGAGATGGAGGACTTGGCGGCCCTGGACGAGCCGCCGGTGGCGAAGAACGTGTGGCAGAAGATTTGGTTCTGGTTGGCTTAAGCGTTGTGCCTCTAGAATACGGATAGATATGACTGTACAGATTTTGTAGATGTGCGATGACTGAATAAACGAGTTTCATTTTGGTACCATATTCTTTTTCTCTGAAATGCGGGTGCTGCGATCCACAATCCGTTGTTCGCAGCATTTTTGGTACAAGACCCTGAGGGGGTCCGTTAACGCAGTGAATTCAACTGCCGTGCCTCCATCTAAAATCCTAATAATATACTAACAGCCTGATGTCAACACCTATCAACCAACCTTGGTAAAACGAAAAAAAAAAAAAAGGCCAGAAACCATCCAGAAGGACCTAAAAAAAATTCTCGCCAAGCTCGTCGGGTTGTCCAGCCGGCCGAACCGCCACCGTCCCGTCGATCAGCCTAGCACAACCGCCGCTCCGCTCCGCTCCGTACCAGCCACTTGCTGATTAACAGCTGTTTTATCCGAGACCCCAGCAAGCCCTCGGTTTACCGCGGTTCAAGTCTTAGCATGGGTGCGACTCAGGTCCGGAAATCGGAGTGGCTTGAGGCGTTATGCCGGTTTTGGGGGGGTTGCTTGCCCTTTGCGGTGCAGAGTGCGGGAGGCTCGGCGGGAAGGGTGCTTGCTGGGTTGTTAAGCTCTGCTGCCGCTCCGCTGCTTGCCGAGCACCATGCTGCACTGCTAGCGCCGCTGCTGCTGCGCGGTAACCGCGTATCCAAAGAGTGGCCGATGGGAACCGTCAACACGGGAGGAGATAGGATCGCGTTGACTTGAGTTTGGGGGCCGCGGGGAGACGGCGCGCGAGCTAGCAGAGTTTCTGGTGCGTGGGAGAGGGAGAAAGGGTGCGCTGACTCCGACATGTCAACGTACTTTGTCTGAAAAAAATTAAACCCCTTGCTTCCACTTCATGGCTACCTATTAAGCTCAAGTCCGATTTGAAACGACTAAAAAATAGGTTAATAACTTACAAATTAGGAAAGACCAAAGCATGCACCGGAACATTTCACGTAGCATCAGAGCAAGATGCTGCATAACGCTTGGCGTACTATGGTGAAGAATAAATACACATCACGGAAGCCATACCCAAAAAAAAGACACTAAGTTAATGCCTCCGGCATGCCGGTAGCTGCGGGGAGTAGGTATAATCCACGTGTTACTGTGTAACATACCGCCAGCATCCCTTGCAGACACAAACGCACCAAGAGATCCGGCCTCTCGGCATTTTCAACTCCAAGCAGCCCAAAGGATCAGAAAGACGCCGGGTCTCTCACGAACCTATCCATCTCCACAACCCAACTGGCTGACTCAATGGCGAGGCCCCGGACCACGGACATTCCCGACATTCAATCACTGCGCATCATGACCTCGAGACCAATAAATCCATTACCCCAGACCAAGTGAGACCAAACTATTACATAACTCTTTCTCCAGCTCCCTCGTATGTACCTATGCACTGGCCCGACTTTTTCCCAGTCTCCACTGTATAACGCCACCCCATCGGCGAATCCCACGCCCCACCCACCCAGTCACACTTCTCAGATACCACCCCGGAGTGCATCTCCTGACCGCTCCTGAAATCCGTGTCTCTCGGTCCGGCATTGATAGGCTGCGCAATGCGCCACATGCAGTTGCTAAAAGTCCACGGGCGGCTGTCTGGCTCGCGGCTTGGAGAAGTGATTGGGCCAGATCTTCTGCAAAACGCCTGAGGCTCAGGGAACCTCGACTATCATTACGGTGTGGTACTCAGCAACAGCAATGATCTGCGGGTAGTTCACTGTGGGTCAGGGTATGTCGGAATCAGCCGAGCTGCGCTTGTCAAGGAGCCGGAGGAACAGAAGTATCATTGCGTGATCCACTTCGCTTCTTTCGCACGTACCATAGCCTATCTCTGCACTGTGGATCCCACCAGATTGGAAGCGCGGCATCTATCAAGTGCTACGTGACAAAATGACCCTATCAACCATACTCGCCGGTTGCTTGCTTGGCGTTGACTGGCCTGCGACCCACACCCAGGCGCTCGGCAGCTCTCACCGATCCAGAAGTCTGTGTCAGACAGATTTTCTGGTCACAGATGAGAGCTTAAGGCGGTCACATGGCTAGAAACCTTTACTCACTAAGGGTCTACCATGCGGAAGTGGCGCAGGAACCACTATAGTACCTGTTGCCCACGTAGTACGTACCACAAGGCGTATTAGTAGAAATTGCGCCAGGAGGTCGAGAACAGCTAAGAGATGGTGACATAAGCTAGGCTTCAATTGGCGCAGCCATAAGATGGGAATGCAGCCAAGTTTACCATGTGGGTAGGTGGTTGTGACAATGTGCCATCAAGAGGCGCTTATATACACGGCCCCGACGCCCATTTAAATGTCGTACGGACGTACAAGTCCGTTTATACGGTATATGGTTCCATCAGGAGTGTTACGATTTTTTTGACCTCCTTCATTGACTTCAAGGTCAATACTTGTAGGGCTGTCCGGAAGGCAATGGGCGACTTCTATTTTTTTCAACCGTCCCGCAACCCGCTCGAGAGCGCCACGGATAAAAAGAGGATAAAGGACGCACGAAGGATAAACCACACCTCAAGCACGTAGGAGCCGTGACAGTGTCGAGACCGCCGCAACCCTGACGAAAGTCGCGCGAGAGCACGTCGGCGCAAACATGACAACCAAGTGGTGAGAGGGGTCAGTCCAGACTCTCCCTCCCTTTTTTTCCACCTCCTCCACCTGTAGCGGCGGGCATGCTAGATCGCGCCCAAAAAAAAAAAGGCAAAAAAAAAAAAATGCCACTGCACGCAACCGGCCGACGAACCACCCCGCGGCCGGCCCGCCTTTGCAGCACTAAGTAACGCTCTAGCCGGCCGCCTCTCCCCCGCCGCGCCTTTCTCTCCGCATAGGTTATGCCCGGCCTCGGCACCAGATTGCAGCGCCCCACCTGCCGTTCTCCGCGTCCCGCTCAGTCGCGGCTTATGCGTCAGTGCGTCCGGGTTGCGGGTGCGAGGTCGGCACTGACCTGTCTTGTAAGCTGTTGGATGTGGGCGCGGCACTTATCTGCTCGGCTTCGACTATGACGAGGCGGCGGTTCGCGTCTCCTGATCCGTTGAGGCGAATGATTTGCGATCTACCGATTGGGAGGGTTGGCTCTTTTCTCCGCGATCCTTTTTTGGCGTAGGGTTCGATCAGAGCCACGCTAGCTGGAGTACTCCACGGAAGCTTGCATGATGCTAAGAGCTAAGCTACTTACTACACCGCGCGCGTAAGGGGAGAATTGGCTGTCACTAAGCCATGTAAGATTGGTGGGTTTGGAGGTTCGGCCGCATGCTCGAAGATGCTTGGAAAGCAGTAGAATGCATCAAGGGAAACAGGAGCATTTTACAAAAATGAAAGGCTATTTGCCGGTGGCCTTATCAATGCTTTAAGGTTTATTGACTTGTGGAGTATATCCTTGTACTGCCTGTATTATCAGCATCACAGTTCATATCGGCACAGATAGCATCGTGAATTGTCTTCAAGGAATTCAAGATTCTATAAAACTTGATAGCGAAGAAGAAGTTCATTAGTGACATAATGGAAATAATTGCTAAGCAAGTTTTCTGGGCTCATGTCAAGACTGACGGTCTGGAAATGTTCTGATTCTCTGAAGTTAAGTAATCGAGATACGGATCACTATTTGTACCCCTCCGTACCAACTGCTGGCCTTCCTCTTCAGCACCGGTTCCTACTTCTTGGAATGGGTGTCCTGCTCCTCAAGCTTATACTCTCCTTCTCGAATATCAGGATCTCATCCTGAGCTTTTCCGTACTCCACACAGGTGGCCTTTTGATGTCAACTCCTTATTACTCAGCACTCTTCTCCCGTCCATAGTTCATCGCGACTAGATCAATGATCCCAGCTGTGACGAGGCCGTCTTTCCTGTTCAACTGATTGATAGTATCCTGCATCTTTCCAACGAGGAAGCGCCTCCACCTGCCTTCGGCATGTTTCTTCGCAAGGAGAGAAAGCGAATAAAGAATGCCTGTGTCCCAGCATAGAGGCTCCCGAGGGAACTGCATGGTAGAATCAGAGGGGAGCCACAAGTTGTGGGACGGGCCCCAACTGGCTCTGAGCTCATTGATAGCCCTCAGCTTGGGCCTAAGAATCCTGAAGACATACCTAACGTCGTCTGTATCAAGCAAGGCCCTGCTGGGATCCCTACGTTGACGGGATCTGAGACGAGCGAGGAAGGTGTCGCGGATGGCGTTACAGTGCCTAGGGAGTGTCATTGTAGAGAGCTTCCACAACCAGTACAGGACTTGTACCGGCCATTCCTCGGGTGTTTCCAAGTGCTGTATGCTTCTTTCTGGTAGCCAGTCTCTCAGCTCGACAGGCCTCGTGTTCCAGTTCTTCTTGATCCCGTCGGCGTGATAACAGACCTCAGCCACATTGACGTCAGCGACACTCATTTCAATAGGAGCTCCAGCGTATCGAGTGTAAAAAGCAGATGGGATGTGAACGTTGAGCATGGGGTCCTTCGACTCGGGGCCATTACGGCTAGCTACAGCAGCAAGAGCCTGAAGCAGCTGTGCATCCCAGGTAAGTGGCGAACCGGAAGGTGCGAACCGAGGCCAAGGACCACATCCATAAATGGCCATGATCTCGTCGTATGCGGCAAATTTTAACTCCAGTCTCCTATAGACCGCCGCCAAGCCGAACTCGTAGTCTATCTGATGTCGTCTGCTGGTTTGCGGATATTGCTCCAACATATTGTCAGACATGATATCATGCAGCTCAGTACAAGAAAGATTACGGGTAGCAAGGTTCCAGAGTCGAGAGATGATCAGGGGATCCCATTTTTCAGGGGTTGTGAACCTATTAGGAAAACCGTCGGGAACCCAAGACTTGGAGTCATCACCAAAGATTTTCTTTAGTTCTTGTATCTGCTTTTCAGTTGATGGGACCTGCACCCGTTCGTCAGTGGCTGTTGCTCACTTCCTCGCTGACCTGTATGAGATGGTTGTCTACCAAATGGTGGCAAAACTAGTTGAAGAGGTACTGACCTTGTCGTGAACAGGCATGGTCGTCGGTTGTCTCAAGGGTTGAACACAAGTGACAGCTAAGAGAGTGGTGGCGTATAGCTATGTCGTCAGGGTGATGCTAAAAGGTTTTAGTGTGACTTGGTCCACGGAGGTTGGTATGGGGGTGTAGATGTAGTGGAATGGTCCAAGAGTGAAGATAAAGTTGGTCTTACGGAGAATCCGCAGCAGTGAATGCTGGCTCGGAGGCATAGTCACGGGACTAGGAGAAAGGTCCTGCCCCCGCTTCGGTCAACCCGCATTCTCTAGACTCTCCGTATGCCAAGGCAACAACTTCATAAGAGGGCAGATGGGTATGATACCTGGAAGGATGAGTTCTCATGGATCAAACTTCACCAAAGCGAGCCGGGACGTAGCCAGGCGGGAAAAAAAGGAAGATAAATGCTGTAACAACGAACCAGATGACTGAAGGATGAAAGGCTCAACCTCTAGTGACACCTGGATTAAGGCCGTCCCTCCGCACGCCTCGTGTCGGCAACTTCAATGGACCAACTACAGTAGAATAAGTCACTTGAAAATCCCGGTGCTGACGAAAGTTCCGATCGATGAAAAATATTATTTTATCCTTCACTCAATTCATGATGACAAGATGAGAGAGTGTATGTGTAGAATTGACTCGCCGCTTTGTCGCTACTCACCGTTGCTGCTGAATGCTGGATGTCTCTGGGCAGCTAGTGACGACGCTTTTCGAATGCTAGAAGGTAGCCGCAAGCGCAAGCAAGCCGAAAGACCTACTGGCAGCGTGCCTTCCCACCTTCCCTGCCGCGTGTACCCGTCTACCTACCATACTACAGCGTCTTTCGATCATGACGCCATTCCAGCCCTCCGACCCTCTGCCTGACCCTCCACCCAACCCCCCCACCTGATTATCTAACCGACAGTAGCATCTACTGCAGGCGTGCCGCTGCCGCCGCTGTCTAGCCTCCTACCTTGAAGCGGGGTATACGAGAAGCCCCGCCGGGCCCGACACGCTAACACCCAGTCAGCGGAAGAAGCACAAGGCCAAGGCCCGGAAGCCGATTGAAGTACCTCGTGCGGACCTGCGATAGTCATGCCGACTGTGGCCTGCGTGAGCGCCATGGCTTCGTTCGTGCTGTCGCCGAGAACCTCCTCGTAGCCTTTCGCCCTCCTTTCTACCTGACATTTTGATCCAAACGAAGGCGTCGGCGGCGAGGAGCACCGCGAAGAAGTTGTAGATGGCCGCCCATGCAAAGTTGAACCGCAGGCACCCAATCGCGCGTCTCGACGCATCTAGCGCGATGAGCAGCCGGGTAAGGTCGGGCGGCACGAGGATGATGTCCGCCGTGCTCTTCGCCACGCCCATCCCCCCAAAGCTCAGGGCGCTCGCACAAGGCCCATCAACAGGCGAGACAAGGCGGCGTATGTAGCGTCGCTCAAAAAGGTGGACCCGCACATCATCGTGCTCTTAGGCTCGCGGTTCCACCCGCGTTTGCAGGACTGGGGAAAATCGTGAGCATTTTGCTCGTTGAGCAGGCTGAGCGCTCCACTGAGCACATGACACTGACCCGAAAGTACTGTGCTCCGGCTGAAAGGGCGATCGGTATCCCGTTCCGAGGCGCAATAAGCGTTCTGGCCCAAAACTGTGTACCGTTCAAATCTCCAAATCAACGTGAGAGGACACGGAACTTGGTACGAAAACCCGGGTGCCGCTGGACAGAGCATGTGAGCCAGTAGTTCCACTTTCGTTCTCTGTTTGCGGAGAAACGATGCCAACCAAATGCGCCGTTCATGCACAGATGATCGCAGCGTATAGCATAGTAACAGGATAAAGGCAGCCTGAGTGATTCAACGAAGAGTGACAATCACCTCCAGCACGCTTGTTTTTCGTATTCTCGTCTCCGGGAGCTCCTCCTCTTCATCGTCATCGGCCGGTTTCTTGCGTTTCGCACTCGGTTTCTCGACGATATCATCTATGGCATCAACAGTACCAGTGCGTAGAGTGACGCGACAATCCTCCTGTTGCTGGAAGAACAAGGCCAGTTCGGTCGCCTTTTCGATGGCCTTGCCCGTCGCCTTGATTGTCACTCCCTCCTGAGGGCCTTCCTTGTCGATAGAAGCCTTGGCAGCAGCAAGGATGGGATCTCCGCGCTGTCGGTGCTTCTTTTGGGAAAGGGCACTCTGAGTGGCGCGCTTGTCGGCTTCCTTGAGTAGGCTTCGCACGCGCTTGACAGCTGATATGAAAGGCGTTTTAGTGCCGACGTAGACGATCTTGGGCGAATCGCTGCTTTTGTAGGGCGAGGGGATGGGCGGGTGCATCAGTGGGCGCTTCTGGACGTCGGCATCTGTCTTGAATTAGCATCATCGTTGGGACAGAGGGAGGCGGATGCGCACGAGCTGGAAGGCGCGGCAGCTTTAGCGGCACGGAGGCGCCACGGGATTCAGACGTTGCACTAGCCATGGTGTTGTTGAGCGTGGTGTTTGGGAGATATCAACGCAGTTGCGGCGGATGCGAATGGGCGGCGAGGTGTGACGCGGGTGGACGCGACTGATGAAATTTTCGCACGGGCCATCATTTCCAACGCGCTGTGACGACACCGCATTCTTCATGCCCGGCTACGAACACCGCCCAACTTCCATCAACAATGCGTCTAGGCCACCTCCATCTCTCCCGGCCGCAGAGGATATGGCCCTATCAGCGGGTCGCGGCCCTTCAAGACCAGGCCGTGGCGAGATATCTGGCCGCGAAAGCACGGCCTGATCTATCTCCGCCCAACCCTACCATCATTACTGCCGAATTCAGCCCTGTCTACACCTGCGGCCGCAGAGAAGTCGGCACCGTCGATGCCAAACAGCAGGAATTCCTCCGTGCAAATGGCGAGGCCGACTTTGTCGAGGCCCTGCGCGGAGGCCAAACCACTTTCCACGGTCCTGGCCAGCTGGTTGCCTACCCCATCATCGACCTGAGAAGGCATCGTATCACCCCGCGCGACTATGTTTGCCTGCTCGAAAAGACTGTCATTCAAACCTGTGCTGCCTACGGTATCAAAGCCATGACCACAGAGCACACGGGCGTATGGACTACCCCGGAAAAGAAGATATGTGCTCTCGGCCTGCACATGCGACGGAACATTACCAGCCACGGCATTGGCCTTAATGTTAACACCGACCTCAAATGGTTTGACAGGATTGTCGCTTGTGGTCTTGAAGGCAAAAGGACTACTAGCTTCGAGGCCGAGGGCGTTGTGGGGAAGACAGTCGAGGAAGTCGCCAAGTTGTTTGCCCAAAATTTCTCTGAAAGGCTTCAGGCCGCTGGAGTTGACGAGATGAACAGCGAAGAGGACTATTTACAATATTTAGATGCCAAATAGAACACCTTTGTTTTTCAGCTTCCCGTGCTACCGAGGTGTTGGTGCTTCGATTGCTACAAAAGCACTTTGACCTTTCGTGTCACGTTCCCGATGGGCACTAAGGCAAAGTGAAAGATGTAATTTGGGATATTCACCAGTGACTTTTACAGATGGACGATAATTCGCTTACTCGGCCCTGTTGGCTGTGCCATCGATAATGCCCATCTTCATTCTAACGAAGTAAAAACACTGTACGGGAAAGAGGAGCGGACACTCAAACCAAGGAACATGTGAATAAATGAAAGCTTCACGATGCGAACACCCTAATCCCCCAAACTTCATACTTACATATTGCCTCGAGTGCAAGCGCCAGGCACTACTCATGTCTGAGCCGCATTTCATACAGTAGTCTGCTGCTGCAACGTTGCCACCAGCGCCGGTGGCATATCCGCGGTCCCATCGTCGGGCACTGCCGGCGTGGTGATGCCGCCCTGCCACGACCCGCCCTCCTTCGACCATTCCACATGACCGCTCGAAGTCGTCCGCAGAATGGTTGCCGAGAAGTTCGTCAGCTTCGGGCAGCTCTCCTCCAATTTGCGCATGTCGTCCGCCGACGGGAAGGTGTGGTCCAGGGCTTTGCGGCGAGGGTTCATCACCTGCAAGAATGCCCATGCCAGTCAGTAATCAAATCTTTGGGGACGGGAAAATTACAGCTAAGCTGCTTCAAGGGAAACTCACGGCCATTGAGAACTCCAGCGTCGGATTACCCACGATCTCGACGCGCTCCATCTCTGGGCAATGCCTGAGCGCTTCCAGCAAGCGATTTTTGCACATCTCGGTGGGCTCGATCTCCAGCGTCACGCTGATCATCAGCAAACCGGTATGCTTCTGGAGAACAGTCTCCAGATCGTCGACGGTGAAAGTGTACAGCGTCGTGTTCAGCGCGCGCAGCCCGGTCGGGGCTGTCTTCTCGTCCGTCAGCGTGTAGACGAGGTGGTTCGCGTGGCTCTTGTGGAAGGCCATGACGCCCTCGGGCTTCTGCTGCATCTCGCCCTCCTCGTTCACGTTTGTCGGATCCTCTGGGTCGTCCGTGTTGTCGGGCGCGGCGACGTTGAAGCTGCACATGACGAGGCTCGGATTGACAAACGCCGGTAGCTCCTCCGCGGGTATGCGGCGGAGGAAGTCCTCATCCTCGTGGCGGAAGGTGTAGTTGAACTGCAGGAACATGAGCCGCTGGTCTGGGGTCCGCGCCGTCAGCTTCTCGCCGACAGTCTGGAAGAATTTGGGGCGCGCGAAGACGTCGAGCAGCTGGATGGCGCGCAGTTCGTGTAGCTTGTCGAAGAAGGCAACGGCATCCTCCTGTGCCTCGGCGGTGATGCCGCATAGCAGCTGGCTGTAGGCGTCAAAGCTGCGCACTTGTGGGAGCGCATCCGCCAGCGCCGACAGGAAGCCTGCCGGGTAGCCCAGCGAGAAGAGTTCCAGTGTCAGGCTCTGGACACCTTGCGGCAGCTTTGGAATGGGCGCGAAGCTCTCCAGTTGCTTGGGATACTCGTCGATTTTAATGTCCGACGTCAGCGTCAGGGCTTTGAGCTCCTGCGCCTCGGGCGGGAATTCGGGAATGGCGAAGGCCGGGAGCGGTATCTGCGCGCCCTGGGCCTGCGCGGGGTCCACAGGATCCTGAGAGCCTGATTGGGGGTCGAGCTCAGCCATCTTGCTGGTAAGGTGAGCACCAACTGTAGGATGCGATTTCTTGCGCGTGGTGTGAAAACAATTGAGAGAAAGGGCAGAGGGTGACGGCAGACGGTGGAGGGGACGTCATGGTTTTTAAGAAGCGCGCGGAAGGCAGGCGTGGCGAGCTTGTTTGAGGCCGTCAGTATTGGGCAGGATGTGCGGGGGAAGCATCATGACGACCGGGCTGAGGCGGATGCTGGTGCGGAGAGGCTCGTCTGATGGTTCACGCGCTAGCTCTGGAGGGGCCATGCGGCGGGGACCCTGCAAGTGGGATGCGGGGAAAGCTCTTGCAAGAAGCTACCATGACTCGGCCCTCGCGCGCCGCTTGCGTACCTGGTCCGCTCTGGTGGCCTACATGAGCTTGCTGCAGCAACAGTGCTAGGGATCGGTCGGAAACCAAGGAGTAGTTCGGGACTCTATCCCGATGACCGGGGTTGCGGTGGTGACCTCGCGCCAGCTGGATGTCCGTACAGGGTCTGCCCGTTTGGGGTACTCGCATGAGGCTAATGGCGCGACCCTTGGAACATGTGCGGTGGGATATCTTTACATTTCAAAGCTCTACGTAGAAGCTTCTGTGCCAACTTTTTGCTGACCTGCAAGCCATCAACCGAAAATGCGCCCAGAGCAATGCAGGCCAATCCGGAAAACGCCAAACTCCTTACCGTTTGGGGCCTGACCTGACCCGCTCACCCCATCAGTGGAGTAGCTCGTCCTTCCCGAGCAGCTTCGACATGGGGTCATCCGCGGATTGCTTTTTCCGTCTGTACTCCTCCATCTCTTCCTCTGTAACCGTGTCCGTCATTTCTGCCAGGGTCCTCTTCTTGGACTTGGCATCCTCCTTCGCCTTTTCGTCCTTATCAACAGCGTTCGGCACGTGTTCTTCAAGCGTTTCCTCCTGCTTCCATGCGATCTCCCTTGGGACTTCGTCCACGTCTGCGCCGGTCCTGCGACGCTCTGCCTCCTCGAAAGCCCGCTTGCCCGCCTCGCCGGTACAGTAACTGTTCTTAACTGTCGAGTGACAACATGCGTATCCCCATTGAAAGTTTGACCACCAACTGCCCCAGACAGACATATGGTTGTTGATAAAAACATCCTCCGGGTATTTGGATTTGGCCTTGACCTTTGGTAGGCCTTTGATCCGTCCCTTTTCGTCGTACTCGACGAACTTCTCATTCTCGAGAACGGCCGCACTCTTCATGGGAGCGTCTTGCAAGTGCTCCGAACCACCATACTTCGCCAACAACTCCTTCCTCTTTGCTGCACGCTTGGCTTCTGATTCTTCCTGCTCCTTTTTCCTCAAGAACTCGCCAGATGTAGGGTTGGCCTGCAGATGAAGCTGGTTTCTGTCACCTCGCTGTTGTGACTCCCAAGCAAGCTTTTGAGCCCTCTCAAACTCTGCTGCATCGCCGGAAGCTTTCATAAAGCCCTCCTCCGCTACCAGTGCTGCAGTCTTGTCCGCAGTCGCACCACTGTCAACCATGGACCTCGTCTTGGGGTCGTATTTGGCCGAGTCCAGGTCGAGATTGAGCAGATACTTGGCCGTGTCTTCGCGAATACGCAGGTTCCGGGTAGACGTTGGCTGTTTCCGGCCCATGTCGGCTTCAGCTTCATATTTGGCACCCTCTTCTTCGGCATCCTCGTCCTCGTCGCCGTCGTTCTTGTCTTCGCCCTTCATCTTGCGCCTGATTTCCTCCAGCTCGTTGTATTCCTCGATAACAGCATCGTACTCGGACGGGTCGTAGCCGTTCCAACGGTCTCGCTTAGCGTCCCAGCCTAGCTTGACATCTTGCACAACCTCGTCGGCCTCGATGTTCTTGCCGGTCCATCTTGCGCCAGCTTTGCGCGGGCGGCTCAGGCAGTCCTTGGCTTTGTGGGTCATGGCGCCACAGTTTTCGCAGGCGCCCTTGCGGAACTTTGTAGCGGCGGGGCCCGACTTCTTGCCGCGGTCGTACCATTTTGACTGGCTGGTATCGAGAGCGGACTTCTGAAGACGCTGATGCTCGAGGTAATCATTGTTGGAAGCGGCCGAGGCGTCCTCTGTGTCGTCGGTGATATAGAAGGGCTTCTTGGCGATGAAGCTGGGGATGTACTCGTTGCGCTCCTTGTTGGCAGCCTCAGGCTTGCGGGGCTGTCCGGGGGGCATGGTGGGCGAGCGGCGGCCGACGGAATGACAGGCGTGCGGTGGTGAAGGTGCGGCGAGCGGAGGTTGAAGGGCGCGGACGGGCGCAATGCGACGGCGACAGGCCGCGGTCCGTTGTTGCCTGACTCGCGTGGGCGCGTCAAAGGCACGTCAACTCGCTCCCAGCCTTCGCTCCTTCCAGCCAGCCAACACAAAGACACAACGCGCCCTTTTCCGCTTCTCACCGTCTCACCCATTTCCCGGACGACCTGGCTGCGAGCTCCTCGCGCATAATGCTCCGAAACCTTTCCAACTCCTCTTTCACTTTATCATCCAGTTGGCCACAGCCCTGATGGACGGCTTCCGCTTCCGCCTGAATTGTGTCGACCACTATCAGGCCGCTCCCACAGAATTTGACCCGAAGCTGCACCGCGAACTGGGCCTGCCATCGCAGCGACACGATGCATACCAAGTCCCCGTTATTCGTGCTTTCGGCGCCACCGAGACGGGCCAGAAGGTTTGCGCCCATATCCATGGCGCATTACCATACCTCTACCTAGAGTACGATGGGAGCTTGGAACAGGATGCCGGTAAGCACGAGTCGACTTGCAAGCCGGATGCGCGCTTACACTTCTAGTCGACGCGTACATCCAGAGTTTGCGCATCTCCATCGACCACGCGCTTGCCGTTAGTTACCGCCGAAATGCGTACGACGGCAAAACCAATTTTGTCGCCCATATCACTCTCGTCAAGGGCGTCCCCTTCTTTGGATACCACGTGGGATACAGGTTCTTCCTGAAAGTATACATGTTGAATCCTTCAAACATGACGCGGCTGGCCGACTTGTTGCAACAAGGTACTGTTCTGGCCAAGGTCCTGCAGCCCTATGAGAGCCATCTGCAGTATCTACTGCAATGGATGTGCGACTACAACCTGTACGGATGCGCGTACATCGACTGCGCCAAAGTGAAGTTCCGCGACCCGGTGCCGGACTCCCTGGAAATGAGGAATCCGGCGCACAGGTGGCACGATCGATCTATATCTCCCGAGTGGATATCCGATGCGGACAGCATGCCTCGCCAGAGCCACTGTTCTGTCGAAGTGGACATATGCGTGCATGATATACTTAATCGGAAAGAGATCCACTCGAGGCCTATCCACCACGATTTCCAGGAACGCTTTAACCATCTCGCGCCCGACGAAAAGTATGTGCACTCCATGGCCGGGCTGTGGAGGGATGAGACCATCAGACGGAAACGTAGGATGGGTCTGACGGATCCTGGGAGCAGCCCGTTTCCTCCCGAAGTTCTGGTGACAATGTCCGCAGACCCACGAGATACCGGGGATGGTGGTTGGATTCATGAAGAGGAATACCGGGAGATCCTGGAAAAGCTTATAGACGACGAGAGGAAAGTGGATCATGGTAGTGATGTTGGATTCGATCACTTTGTCAAGCCTACCGCTCGAGAATCGGAGATCAAAACCGTCCTTGAAAGTGTCGAGGATCTCTTTCCAGAGTCATTAGAAATCTTCCACGCAACTCAAAAACCAGCTTTCCATCATCATCAAGCTGATGGTGCACCTCCGCCGCTTGTCGATGAAGAGAGTGCTACACAAGTCAATGATGAGGATGCCATGTACGACTTCGACGACGAGATCGCACAAGAGACTGCATTACATCAAACAGCGGCGGAACGGAATGTAGTAGGCGTCAAAGAAGGAAGGGAGCCGAACGAGAAGGACACCGACAAGTATGAGGCTCGCCCTGATGGGAATGACCATGGAGAACGGTTTCAGGATCCCGAAGACCCTATAGAACCTATGTTCGGTGATGAGGATTCAGGAACATTCGACTCGGAGAACGAGTACGGTAGTTTTCATGAAGATTTCCTTGAAAGCTCTCTTAATCAATCAGGCCAGAAGCATGGCATAGTGTCGATAGCAGCGGGTCTCGGAAAACGTCAGAAGCTGTACAACTTCACAGAACGCTCCAACGAAGCAAGTAGCTCCCCTATGAGGCTCTCACCTAATAAACCAACGTTGTCATCAAAGCGGGTGGCATTCAATGACAAAGTTGACGACCTGGCGGAACCCACCAATAATCCTTGGAAGAACCCCAGCCAAGATATGCCCGCGAGTCAATCTTCCCAGGGTAGCATCAAGGCTCAGCAATCGCACGGACCCAACACTCTCTCATTCCCTGTCGTCAAGAGTCCCCACGATCCTGAAGCAGCCCTACGTTTGAGCAAACGCGCTGGGTGGTCTAACTCTCAGAAATCTCCTCACACACCTTCAAAGTCATCGTGGCCAAACGAGGGCAAGCACTCCATTAATACCTCATGGAGCGATGCAAAGACAGGTGCTACTGCAGCATCAAGCAATGCACCAGTTTCGCCACAAGTGCTGCAGATGGCTGAACAGTTGCGGACTGGATCCTTTGTCAACAGCGGTGCTACTGTGCTCTGCTTTGCTCAGCTCCCTCCAACCGCAGAGGCAGTATCCTCGACAATGCTCGAATATGGCTTACCACCCGTCATATATCAAAATGCTCATTACAGCGATGAACGCGACGTACCAGACCGGCCTCGTGAATATGCTGGACGGGAGTTCAAGCTCGAGAGCACCACTGTTCCGTATCTCCCACTCTTTGATCCCACCGGAACTTCGCCAACAAACTTCGGGCAGAAGCCTAGCATTGTCATAGACAAAGCCAAAGAAGATTTCAGGCATCGTCGACGGAGCATGAAGTGCTCTCTGTTAAACTGGGAGCTCGCCACCGTACCTCCAACTTATGCTGAGGTGGAGAAATGGCTCAAAGAAGAGGAGAACGAAAGAGCTGCTCCTGATCCTGGAGAAGTCGACGTGGATCTGGTTGCAGAAGAACAGAAGAGGCTAAGGGCTAAAGCGCACATTTCACAGATTGAGGGACCCACTCAAAGAAACCGGCATGGCTTCAAGTACTCGCAAAAACAAGAGTCAACAAGTGTGAATCACGAGACACAGTATATGAGTATCATGAGCCTCGAAGTACACGTCAATTCTCGCGGAACTCTTCTTCCCGATCCTGCGAAAGACGAGATTGCGTGCATTTTCTGGTGCGTTCAAACCGACGATGAGTCAGAAGGCGTACATCTTGGTGTTACGGCATTATCAAACAAAGATGGAATTGCCAAAAGCATGGCTCGAATCCTTGGCTTGGAGGTGCAGTACGAGGAGGACGAACTCGATCTACTCAACAAGGTGGTGGACATTGTGCGGGAATTCGACCCGGACATCCTGACTGGCTACGAGGTGCACAACAGCTCTTGGGGATATGTCATTGAGCGCGCCCGACTCAAGTATGAGTACAACCTCTGCGACGAGTTCTCGCGCATGAAGTCTCAATCCCACGGTCGATTCGGAAAGGAGGCCGATCGATGGGGCTTCACTCATACGTCCACCATCCAAGTCACTGGCAGACACATGATCAACATATGGCGCGCCATGCGAGGAGAGTTGAATCTGCTGCAGTACACCATGGAAAACGTCGTGTTCCACCTTCTTCACAAAAGGATTCCGCACTTTACACACCAGGACCTGACCAAGTGGTACCAAGGCGGTAAACCTCGCGACTTGGCAAAGGTACTTGATCACTTCCTGTCGAGGGTTCAGTTAAACATCGATATCCTGGAAGCCAATGAGATAATAGCCCGTACAAGTGAACAAGCACGTCTACTTGGTGTCGACTTCTTCTCCGTCATCTCTCGAGGATCTCAGTTCAAGGTTGAATCTCTAATGTTCCGGATCGCGAAGCCCGAAAACTTCCTACTACCGTCTCCATCGCGAAGGCAAGTCGGTCAACAAAACGCACTCGAATGCTTGCCTCTGGTCATGGAACCGCAAAGTGCGTTTTACAATAGCCCTGTGTTGGTCTTGGATTTCCAATCGCTCTATCCGTCGGTGATGATAGCATACAATTACTGCTATTCAACTTTCCTTGGCAGAATCGTGGGCTGGCGTGGGCAGAACAAGATGGGCTTCACGGATTTCCAGCGTGAACCGCGACTGCTCGAACTTGTCAAGGACTACGTCAACATCGCACCCAATGGCATCATGTACGTACGGCCAGAGATGCGCAAGTCACTGCTGGCAAAAATGCTGGGCGAGATTCTCGAGACACGTGTCATGGTCAAGAGCGGGATGAAGGTGGACAAGGATGACCGGGCGCTGCAACAGCTGCTCAACAACCGGCAACTGGCACTCAAGCTCATCGCCAACGTCACGTACGGCTACACGTCAGCCTCGTTCAGTGGACGCATGCCGTGCTCCGAGATCGCCGACAGCATCGTGCAGACCGGCCGCGAGACGCTCGAAAAGGCCGTCGCTTTCATCCACAGTGTCGCCGAGTGGGGCGCTGAGGTCGTGTACGGCGACACCGACTCCCTCTTCGTGCACCTGCCCGGCCGCACGCGCGAGGATGCCTTCGACATCGGCGAGAAGATTGCCGCGGCCGTCACTGAGCGCAACCCGCGCCCCGTCAAGCTCAAGTTCGAAAAGGTCTACCACCCCTGCGTGCTCCTGGCGAAGAAGCGCTACGTCGGCTTCAAGTACGAGTCGCGGCAGCAACAAGAGCCCGAATTCGACGCCAAGGGCATCGAGACCGTCCGTCGGGACGGGACGCCGGCGGAGCAGAAGATCGAGGAGAAGGCGCTGAAGCTGCTCTTCCGCACGCAGGACCTCAGCCAGGTGAAGCGCTACTTCCAGGCGCAGTGCCGCAAGATCATGGACGGCCGCGTCAGCATCCAGGACTTCCTCTTCGCCCGCGAGGTCAAGCTGGGCACGTACGCGGACAAGGGGCCCGGCCCGCCGGGCGCCCTCATCGCCACCAAGCGCATGCTGGCCGACCACCGCGCCGAGCCCCAGTACGGCGAGCGCCTGCCGTACGTCGTCGTCACGGGCGCGCCGGGCGCCCGCCTCGTCGACCGCTGCGTCGACCCCGCGCGCCTGCTCGCCGACGACCAGCTCGAGCTCGACGCCGAGTACTACATTTCCAAAAACCTCATCCCCCCTCTCGAGCGCATCTTCAACCTCGTCGGCGCCAACGTGCGCGCCTGGTACGACGAGATGCCCAAGGTCCAGCGCGTGCGGAACGTCGCCACCGCCGCCGCCACCGGGGACGCTGCCCTCGCTGGCGGCGGCGGTGGCGTCGTCATCAAAAAGACCCTCGAGAACTACATGCGCTCCGGCTCCTGCTTCATCTGCCGCACAAAGCTGGACCAGCACCACCACCACCATCGACCGCCGTCACGACGACAGCAACAGCAACAGCAACGCCAACCTGCAAAACCCACCCACCCCCACCCCCTCCCCCTCTGCCCCGCCTGCCTCTCGCGCCCCCACGCCGCGCTGCTCGACCTGCGCGCCCGCCAGCAGCGCGCCGAGCGCCGCGCCCGCGACGTCGACGCCGTGTGCCGCGGCTGCGAGGGCGGCGTGGCGGCCTTCGGCGACGAGGTCCGCTGCGCCAGCCGCGACTGCCCCGTCTTTTACTCGCGCGTGCGGGCCAGGGCGGGCGTGAGGGCGGCGAGGGGGGAGGTGGAGGAGGTGGCGGCGGCGTTGGAGAGGAGGGAGGAGGCGAGAGATGGTGGTGGTGGTGGTGGTGGTGGTGGTGGTGAGGGCCTGGATTGGTGAATGGGTCGGTCGGCTAGGTGTGGTATGTACTGTATGTACATACCTATGGGGAACGGACCGGGCGGAGATGAAGAGAGGGCCCAGTCGATGTGATTGGGGAGCGAAAGAGTTGGCGTGGAAATCGGACCCGGACGGGGGCGAAGGCATGGACTTGGTGTTGTATTGATCCAGGATTAAAGTAGGATACCTATCATTGTGACAGGCTTCGTGAGGGAAGATTGGAAAGAAGAATTGGACACAACTCACCCGTAACGATCAATGATTCTTTACCACTCGTGTGTCAGTTTGAATGAAATATGTCATGCTGCGGCGTCTTGTATTTAGTTGACGATCATGCTTGCGCTTGATACAGTATATTTCAGCGGTCGACCCGTTGGCGAAAATGCTAGATTGCCCCAGAGCTATTTCGCAGTTTCAACGTACAGTATGCCCTTCAGCGTGAAACCCTAACTCGAGAGTGTCGCCAGAAACAACCAGGGGCATATCTGAAACCGAAGTATGCTTCACACGGGGAGAGTTTGCCTGTGCAAGAAAAAAATCAACTTTCCAAACCCGAGGAAATATTCAGCACCCATTTTTCACCGTCCATCGGAATCATATGCCTCCTCGCTCCCGCTCTCGCTCCCGCCCGTCACGCCCTTCACCACCCAGTGGAAGCTCACAATCTCATGCAATTGCACGTGATACCCATGCTCGATGTGGAAAATCGGCTCCCTTTCGACGACGAATTCCTTGCCCTTGCGGTACCCAATCTGCGGGACGAGGAACGCGAAGGCGCCCCAGTATAGCACGCCGCAGCCGACGAGTGCCCAGCCGACGGCGGGAACGAGATACCAAGGGTAATCGGGAACGAGGTCGTGCAATGACGAGCGCGGGGGGTTCTCGGAGATAGTCGACGGCGGAATCCAGTTGCCGATGAGCGGGTAGAGGTTCGCGATGAAGAAGACGAAGGCACACGCTGTCGAAACGTAGTGGTTGAAAGGCGATTTCGCCCGCCAGCCACCTCGACGTCGGCTGCTGTGGCTGTGCATCGAAAACTGGTCCTTGTCGTCTTCGGGGCTGCTGCTGCTGCGGCGGCGGCGTGGAGTGAATAGTCGGAGATACAACATGCCCAGGCCAAGCACTGTGCTGAGCAATGAGCCGATGCAGTACGAGTAGAGAAGCGTGAGGACGCTGTATGCGTTTTCGGTGGATTGGCCCCAAGTGGCGAGGATGAGGAGGACGGAGAAGGCCCAGTGTAAAGCCAACGCGCCGACCGGTGTTGCTTCAATGGATGCCGCGTCTTTGACTGGCCGGCCGAGCAGGCGGTTCGAAGTGCGGCCAAAAACATTACTACTCTGGCCGAAGAACTTGGGCCAAGGCAGAATACCTTCCTAAGATAATTGTAAGTAAAGACTTTTGGTCAAGTCTGAAGAGGAGATATACCTTGGCAATCTCCTGTTTAACGCGGGCTGCGGTGAATGTCATAACGATGATGTTACCGAGACCAGAGATGGCCATGAACGCGTTGAGAACTCTTGGGGCTGCTCCACCACCAAACGTGTTCTTGAAAAATAGCGTAGACACATCTGATGCACCAAGCCTTGGATCGTCCTTATCAACAACAATGAACTGCGCCTGTTAGTTCACGAAGCGTAGAGGAACATGAATTCGTACTCACATAGGCGACATTGACTAGCATGTATAGTACACACATTAGACTCACTGCGGATAGAACGCCTTTGCGAAACTTTTTGCGCGGCTGATCGACTTCGCTAAGGACCTGGTAGGCATCAGTACCGACTCCAGGCCAGACGACGGCGTACTCACATAATTTGACTGCGTGAATCCAGTATAGGCAAAGATTACAGAAAGAAATCCCTCCGCATAGCCATATGATGAGTCGGATGTGTTGCTAAACGATTTGTCGGTGGCGTAGTTTGTGGCTGCCTTGTTCGCTTTGTCGCCGAAGACTCCTCCAAGAGCGCAGAAACCAACGACAACAATGAAGCAAAGAGTGGCCACTTTAAGCACAGCAAAGAAGTTGTTCAGCCAGATGCCGCCTTTTCTCCATGTCCCGTGGAAGATGCATGTGAAGGTGATAACGCCAAGGGCGATGCCGCGTACTGCAGCCCTACTTGGGTTCTCATGGCCAGCTGCTCTCAGTATGTAGTCTCCAAAGGCTATAGAGTTACCAGCCATGTTGCCGACGACGATAAAGAGGAGTCCATAGACGCAGGTAACGAGATATCTAGGCTTCTTACTATCGTCTAGTCAGCCTAATTTCCATTCCGAAGATCCGGAGCAAAGGATGGGCTCAAGGGACCAGGCTGGAGCGAAAAGCAATCACGAGGAGAAAGAGCAAAACCCAGCGGGAAACTAACAAAAGATATTGGAGGTATACAAGCTCGCCTCCATTCCGTGGCACAGCCTCCTTGCGGCCATCGATAAGGTATCGCGGTGTGGTCAGGCCGAACTCAATGAACACCATGGCGCCGGCAATGGTTGCAAGAGCACCGCAGAACCAGAACATGAGAGACACTCCGACGCTTTGTGTGCCCTTCAGTAAAGTCGTTGGCGTCTTGAAGATACCGCTCCCTAGACAGGGTCAGAGGCCGACATTACTGGGCTCGTTGGCAATGGGGCGGTACCCATCATCCTGTTGATTATGATGCATACTATCGACCAGAAGCCCAGGCGCTGGGGGCCTTTGGAAAACTTGTTTGCAATGCGTTCGGGGTCGTTGTGAGCCTCAAGGTACAGGCGATCCTCAAGGTCCAGTTCGATGCTCCCTCCGACGGAGCGGGCCTCGGCGCAGGTCTCCTCGTCTACGGCCATGGTGAGGGATTAAAGTCGAGCAGCGGGTGCAGCTGGCGAGGTTGGCGTCTGCCAATATCAGCAGCACGATAGCACGAGGCTGCTGGCATGAGCCATATCTTAACGGATCTCGCATCCTCACGCGGCTGAGCGGCAAGTCTGCCTAGCCAGGGCGACAAGGTAGCATCAGTGCTCACTAATGCAGGCATGAGTCGGGGGCGCGCAACCGGGCGCAAGTACAGCTAGCTCGTAGGACGGTAGACACATGGAGAGTGGTCACACAAGCCGATAAGGACCCCAGATGGCTTAGGCGAGTCACACGGTAGGTCTGGGGAATCCAGTGACTGTACTCAAAATGGGCGCGGGGCCGAGGGAGGCGTCGAAGGACGGGGCGGCCTCGCGGAATGGGCCACAGCCGAGCCCAATAGGGCCACCGGCGTGCGGCAGCCAAGCAGGCGCGAGTGTATCGGCGAGGTGGGCTGTGCAGTCGTGAGATGCGGCTGAAGGAAGCGGGCGCAGCTGCCTGAAGCGCGGTCCAGTCGCGCACCGCGCTGTCGCCTCACATTCCGGCTGGCTGCGGACGGGCGTGCGGGTGGTTATCAGCAGGCAGGCCGACCTCTGGCGTGCGCTCCACCTGTGCTGCTCGCGATGTTCGAAACTCTGCAAGCCGTTAGCGCGCTTGCGCAGACGATCCAGTTGGCGTATCGGCTGTGGGAGGCTGGCTTCAGCAAGGCGAAGAATGCGCGTGAGTAGTGAAGGGTGTTTGGTGTTTGGTCGCGCTGGCTGGTGGGCCGGCCGGCTCGTTCCCCACCCGGCCGCCTGTGCTGCGACTGCCTTGACGGACGGACGACTGACTCTTCCTGCCTCCTCAGACAAGCAGTACATCGAGTTCGGCGTCACCATCCAGAATCTCGGCAAGAATCTCGACAGAATCAAGTCCGTCACCGAGAACGCCTGCAGCCAGCTGCAGCGCCGTCGCCTGCGCGCGTTTGATGACGACGAGCTGCTCGACACCAAGTCTCTCGACCAGATTGTCGGCAACTATGCCAAAACCCTCGCTGACTGCGAGCGCCTGCTGCGCGACAAGTCCAAGTTCCGCCATGACAGCCGCAACTTTGTCCTCAACATTGTCTGGAATCTCGAGATCGAGCCCGAGGTCACCAAGCTGCGCGACCGCTTGGCCTTCCACAATGTCAAGATCCTCATGCTGCTCAAGCCGCTTGAGATGAAGATGCTGGCCGACATCCAGACCCTGATTCTTGACCTCCACGACGAGGTCATGTTCGAGTTGAAGGAGATCAAGGGCATCCTCACCGGCCCCGCCACCGATCAGGCTGCCGAAGAGCGCGGCCTGCTCACTCGCTCTCTGAGCGTTCCAGAAGCCCTGGCCTCAAGATTGCACAGCGCCCTTATACAAGACCGCCCGGAATGCCAAGAGCCTGACAAGTTTCCCTTACAGCCTGGCATGGATGCCTTCTTACGCTATTTCCAGGATGGCAACTCGACCCCAGAGACAGACACATATCTCAATTTAATGAAGTGCCTCTGGATCATGAGCAGGATAAAAAAGAGTGCTGAGTACAACCAGCTCCACGAAGGCTCTCTCTGGCAACGCTACGTGAACCGAATGAACTACCGACTTACAAAAGCGTGCGATCGCTGGGAGCAATCGCTCGCTCCAGAGCCCGATATGGACACTATTCTGCGGCTGCCCGACAACGAATTCCAAATTTGGAAAACCGAAGAAGACGAAGACGAACAAGACATGGTTGGCGACGAAAGCATCTTCCTGACCGAGCTGTTGAACGTCACCTTGCCCTCAGAAAGAGGCACGAGCACCCACAAGCTGCGAGTGCTTCAGAACGTCGACGGTACCATCCAGATACAAGATATTGCAACCACCATGACGGGAAACAGAGAACTAAACGACGTACATCGTTTCGACGCATATCTAGACAAGGCTCATTTGATTCCCATCTACGCCTGTCCGAGTTCCGCAAGCACCGTCCTTAACGTGAAGTTCAAGAGCGACAAGGATTCCGCAAATGGCATATCGCCATCCTTTGGCAATCTGAACGACCTTCTCAGATTCCAGGAGATCATCACTGGGTACAAGCCAGTCTTGTACCTTGGTGATCTGGAAGTCGAGTGCCACAATTCAACAAGATTCTCACTTGGTGGCTCGATGAGCAAAGAGAAAGGAAAAGTGCAGATCTGGCAGAAGAAGCGCCCGGCTCAAGTACTATCAGAAGAACAAAGCAGCCAAAGCAGTACAATCAGTCCGACTAATCCGACCGAACCTGTTTTCAGACAAGATGAGCCTCCGGAAAGACGCCTCTCCAGGATGTCAGCATCTCCACCAAGTCAAGGTCTCATCGAGAAGTGGAGGCGAGACTCAAGGCTCTCAATGGCTCCCTCTTCCATTACCGAAGGTAGCGTGTCCAGCACCATCTTCACTGGAACGAGGCTTTCACGAATCGACACCGGCTCGGGGACCATCGCTTTCCGGATGGAGAAGCCAGAGGTGCCTAAGCTGATCTTGTTTCTGGAGCCGAAGAAAGGCGGTCACCTTTCATTCTTGTCACTCGATATGGACGAAGACGTTTTCATCAACACCCAGACTTGTGACTGCCGTCGCCCCAAATCTCGATGCACGGTTTCTGTGATCGAAAATCGTAAGGGACCTTTGCCAGCCCGCCGCATCACCTCTAAACACGGTCTCAAGACCTGGAATGTCGCTGCTCTGGGCACCTCACAGCCCCCTATGCCGCCAGATCCTTTCGCGGTCAAGGATTTGCGCTGGATCAAACTACAGTTCGGTTCGGTTGAGGACAGGGAGAAATTCTCTACACGCTTCAATGATGTCATGAAGATCTACAAGGGCCGTCTCGCCGATTTTTACCATGATATGCGCGTCGTTAAAGGGAGAAACGTGGCTACGACTGAGTTCAGGGAGAGACATGGGTCTTGAAAGGCCTCGATTGGATATTGCGTAACCAATATTACGCAAACCGCGCTTCCCTGCAATCGGTTGCAACATGTACGGCCTCTCTGTCGTGACAACGGTATGAGATAGATCCTATCTCCTGGAAACTGTGACGGCCACACCCAAGCGACTGCTCAAGCTTCTCACAGTCACGACGACATGCTGACAAGGACCCACACGCGTCGAAAACAGACGACTAAAGCCGCTCGCTGTGGCATTGACAATTTCACGCCGGCCCGGTCACTCCTGCGCAGCATACCAACAAAAAGCATTGCCCGGACCTTATCTTTTGGACTGCACCAAGTATGACCAGGAATATCATTGGCTCGGAACTCGGACATCCCGCGATGACTCGATTAAAATCCACTTTAGGAACACCCACCCTGCCGTCAGTAGCCCGCTCCCTGCAGTAAATACTGGAATCGTATCACGTGGAACTGCACGTCATGATGCAAACTTGAGGTAGATTTGGGCGCAGTGGACTGCTCACTGAGCTTGCGGATGTTTTGCCTACCCAGCACCGCAGTTCATCGTCTGTTCGCACTGCAAGGTTGCTTCGGTTCTTATTGGCGCTGTTGCTAAGCTGGGAAAAATCTCTTCGTGGATTATTGAATGCGGGTGCTGCAAGAGAGGGTGTTTCACCACAGGTCATATGAGAAGCGTGTCTTACTGACGACTTTTGCACTGCACTTCTTCGTTTTGTTTTGCATGTACGAAGATGGGTCTGATATGTAGTCTAACTCGGCTATTACGTGCGCTATGGAAATTTGCTTTGCTAGTGCCTTCTGTAACATGAAATAGTGCTCCTCAGTCCTGTTGGGTGGTGGTACTAGTACATACGCTACTGCTATGCCAGTTCTCCGCACGTGTAGTAATTACGATTGGTCCATAGCGACGGAAATAAGGTTGGTGCTGGAGGTGTGGCGTTGCGGTAATTTCTTGCCAAGCCGTTCGTAGGACACATTACAAGTTGTATAAGAGTGCGGTTTAAAGCCGGTGAAGCCCTGATCAGAAAGCAAACTCAGGCGAGGGTGTTGAACAAACGTAGAAAGTAGTCCATTTCGAGCATATTCGCCACATATCGGTAGTTCGCCCACTTGCCTTCCTGTGAACAAAGCATTGCCTCGATCAGACAAAGTGGCAAGCCAGACCTCTAGCGTCGTAAAAAGTTTAGCTCCCGCCACGACCTAGACTCATCCATAGGATTCAAGACGCCCCGCGCCGCCTCCCCCGCATCGTATGTACGTCTACACAACAGCAAAGCCAAGAGTTTTATTGACCTGCAAGGGGGGGAAGATGATGCAAGCAGACCTGTTGCACGGGTGCTGTGGCGGAGTAGTGCCCGCGAAAAGCATCGCTTGCGGCAGACGTGTAACCAAGCTACCACGGATCGAAGGAGGAGCAGCACGGGGAGGCCCGCCACAGCCGACCGGAAGAACGTGGCCGGTGGGTGGCGCGCCTCGCGCCAGCGGAACCCCTCCAGTTCGGCGCATGGTGTTGAGGCGATTGATTGGCCGCGACGCAGCCGTAACGCATCCTTCTTCAGCTCTCCGCATGCTCATCAGCTGGCGGAATCGGCCTTGTCCACTCCATCGTACGATCAGAGAACGGTGGGACAGTATTTCCTTCTAGAACAAGGCAGGTGGGCTTCTGGAGGATCGGCCCTGGAGAGAAATGGTAAAGGTCTGCGTTGTGATTCGTCGGCGCGGCAGTCCCCACAGCGATGGGGATGATGCACTGCAGCCCCTTTAAGCTGCATGGAGCTTGGGCTACGACGCAGTGACGCGAACGCTAAGCGTACAAAAAAAAGAAAAAAAAAGAACGTTACCCATCAATCTCCAAGAAGGCCGGTCAACTCGGCCGTGCCGTCGTGGATGATGACGACGCTGCCATTGGCTCGTGGGGAGATCAGAAACAATCGGTCTCTCATCACTCATCTCGCTCCCTTCTGAGAAGGCGTTGGCTGCAACGGCGGCACTTGGAGCTTGGTTCAGCACCTGCAGATACTCAGGGAGGTGTGATTAAGGTTGCTTGCCAGTTGCGGAAGGACGGCGAGCTCGGCCCCGTTTACTTTTTCCATGAGGTGGGCAAGAGGCCCAGCAGCAAGAGTCATGAACCGTGTCGATACGGCGGCCAAGCGGGTACGTCAGCACTAGCAGGGACGAGACGAGGTGGCTTGGGCGTCGCAGGCGACATGGACAACGCCTCGCACCCACACGGCGATACAGAGCAGCGGGAATCGATCGGGAGAAGGGGATAAACGCTCGCACATGACGCGAGAAGGCCAGGAACGCGGAGCGCAGCGGCATCAATGTGAGACGACACGTCGGCTTGGGCGGTGCAGACAGTGGGGGATCAGGTTGACGTCATACTGGAGACTGGCAGCCGTTTTCCTCTCCGGAGGGTGGTCGAGTCACAGAGTCGCCAGTGATGATCGTGGTGTCGCAGGGGGGCGCGGTGTACCACGTGGTTGCTCAGACCTGAGAGATGCCCATCGCAATTCGGACCCTGGCCGGCTATCGCGGAGCCGCCTGGCAGCGCGGATGCAGCGCGTGCGATTGGCCTCGGGTGGTGTTGCGTCAAGTAGATTGAAACGAGCTGAGGAGGGACTGGGGAAGCACGAGCCGCGGCCGGAGATTAAGTGGTGCGCCGCTAGGTGCGCAGCAATGCGGAGGTCGCCATGCAGCGGTGAAGACAAGCAGACATTTGGAGGCCGGCGGTTGGCCTCTGGGCGCGTCCCACCCCGTCTGAGGCTGCCGGATTCGCCAGGATCTGCCAAACAATCACCGAGAGGGCCGTCGTCACCTCGAGCTGGCGGTGGCCGCTGAAACACTGGTAGATTTGGAATGGCCGCCGTCCGGAAGCGGCAAGCCGTATTGGATTGGGAAACAGAGTTTGACGTTGGGTGATGACAGCAGGCGTGGCCACGGAACCGCCGTCACGTCGTCAGCGTCGTCTACCGCGCGCCACGGCGACGCGCCCCGGCGACGCGCCCCGGCCCAGCGGCGGGCCAGCGGCGGGCGGCGAGCGGCGAGGCGACAGCACGGCGAGAGCGCGTCGGCGGCGGCGCGGGCGTCTGGCCGATTATGCAGGGCATCGGGGCCCGGAGCGCGCATAGCCAACGGCGGAATTTGCGAAGAACAGGCCTGGCAGGGCTGGCGCGGACGGGGCTCGGGCTGGTCGATGGGGCCTGACTCGCCGCACCTGGCGCCGACCACGATCATTACGTGCAGCCTACCCAAGTGATCTAAGCAGCTCCAACCTTGCCCGCCGCAACACCACCACCACCCGCTCCCCAGTGGCTCTCCCTCCCCGCCGCCTCCCCATGCGCTGCTGCGTCGCGCGTCCCCGTCCTCAGCCATGGACGCCCTAGCCGGATCCGAAATCGACAAGCTGCCCTTCTTCTTCACCACCCTCTACGAGAAAGAGGCGCTGAAGCTCAAGGAAGGCCAGTCCGAAGACTGGCTCGACGACGACCTGCGCTCCGGCGCACTCGCCCAGGGCCTCTGCGACATCGACTTCGAGCTCCCCGTATGTCCGCCATTCCCGCGCCAACCACCGATTCCAATTGACCCAGACCCGAGCAGAATGCGCCAGACGTCCTGGGCGCTGCGGCCTCTCCGCTGCGACGCTCGTCCGTGTCGGGCAACACGCAGGCCTCGTGCTCGACCGACATCACCACCCCGGACTCGCCAGCCTCGAACGACGACCGTGACCGCAGTTTCGCCGCCTCGCCGCCTCAGCGACGCTCCATGTCTGCGGCCCCGCACCCCGGCACCTATTCACGCCACTCGACCTCGAGTCTGGCCTCGTACCGGAACCCGAAGCCCAGGTTTTTCCGTCGCATGTCTTCGTTTGGCAAGAAGGTTTTCAGGCACGTCACCTGAGATGCTTTTTGCGCTTCGCCAGCTAATCCCCACCAGTGCCGACGACCAAGGTCTGCGCAGCCCGCCTAAGCATTCATACTCATCCATACACCGTCTCGGCGACGTGACGGGCCGCATTACTTACAAGCATCCCCGCGTGAAAGAGGATTCCGTTACCGAATTCGATGCCGAGTCGGCCTTATTGCCGGAGCATTCCAGGGCATCCAGCCCAGACTCGGTCATCTCTCACCACCCGCACGTTTCCGCCACCATGACCTCCACCCAGCGTGCCGCCTTGAACCTGGCCCTGGAAAACGCGCAGTTTCGTGATCTGTGGCAAGAATACAGCAAAACATGGGAGCGCATAATCACGTTCGAGGTGAAGCAGAAGCTGCTGTTTCAATTCTGGGAAAAGTTCTCTCGCAGGTCGCTCTACGGCCAGTTTGCGGTGCTGAAGGACCGGCTCGTGGCCAAGGTACGCGCCGTCGTGGATGCTTGTATTCCTTTCGACTGACCTTTCCACAGCATTCGCAAGAGTCTGAGCGTCTGGATGAGAAGCAACTAAAGGCAGAGTACGCTCTCGAGCAAGCCCACCGTGAAGAGAGGGCACGTTCAGCGGCTGCGCTAAAGCACATGAAGGCTTATTGTAGCGGGTCGTCCGTTCCTGGTTCCACAAAGAGGCGGATAGTCACCGAGGATGACAAGCGACGCCTCAGGGAGCAGGAAAAACTGCACGACGAGCTGGACAGCAAACACGAAGCTGCGATGAAGATGACCCGGGCCCGGCAAGAGAAGGACGTAAAAGAGCTCAAACATGAACACGAGCAAGAAATCAAGGAACTCGAGAAGAAGTACAAGGAAGCGCGCGTCCTATCACGGAAAACCACCCAGGACGTTTCCCATCAGCTGGACGACGTAATCCGAGGGCGCAGGCTCCGAGTGGTTCAACGCTGGTTCATTAACCTTAAGCTATGGGATAGGGCCACCAGCGATCATGACGACGTACCCGCCTACACCGATCTTCCCGTTGTCCCTTGGCCCGATAAGACAGTTGTGGAAACCATGACTTCGCGAACCTACAGTGTCTTGGATACCTGGCATACTTTCAATGACCTCCCGCCCGCTGTCTCTCTTCACGTACCAGTCATTTCCGAAAGCGATTGATCAACCTGATACCCACCACAACAATTTTTCATTGGCATAGCGGCGGAGTTTTCATCATCTTTCAATAATGGGTTTTGAGCTTTCATTTCACGCGAAATACCCCTTTTTCTTTCTACATCCAAGCTCAGATGCGCGAATCTATAATACCCACGGACATTTATTTCTCCACATAGAGGTGGCGACCAGCAACGCTTTTTATCACTAGTTTTCTTGTTCTCTTCCGCCTCGCTCGCGGTTCCTGAAATACCGCCAAGGAACCGCATTTGGTCTTTCGGATACATGACGCGTTACGACGCCAGAAGCCCCTTGGATGAAATGATCTGGGATAGATGGACGATTTCTTTGGAGAGTGAATTTCAACCGGATACAAAGGCCGTAATGAGCATAGCTGGGACAACCCTCACCACTGATAACTCTTTTTGGTTAGTCGTCAATTCAAAGATTGTACAGGCGCTTGAAAAGGTCACGATACGCTGCTATTGATGAGACACTCCGAGACAGGTTCGAAACATCGGGGCCGGAAATAGCACGGCCCAACAGGGGAAGTCGCTCGCTTACAGAGCCGTTCATTGGAATGGAAATGATCAGAGGCTTTGACGCGCATGTCTCACGCATGGTCCAGTAGGATGGACGTAAGACTCGACAAGTGGAACTGGGACGGGACGGGAGGATCAACGGGACGGCACGCCTTTCCAGAAAAGTCAGGCGAGGCGTTCGAGAGAATCCCCGTAGATGTTTCCGACACTCGAGTCAGATGTGTCTCAACAAGAGGCATGCACAGCATTCTCAGTCGGAACAGAGGGAAGATCTGATGGAGCAGGTCTTTTCGCTTGATTGTTGGTTGTTACTCGACCACCCTGAGACAATGGATGTCACTTCAAGTAGTTTCGCTAATCCGCTGTAAACAGCCTGTTCATAAATACTTGCGCAGTAGGAGCGACGAGTTCAAAAAGTGAGGGAGATACATGGTAAGCAAAAATTCTGAGCTTCGCGCTGCGCCATCCGTTGCGTCTACTTTGCAGCTTGTGCACAATTCTATCAACTTACTGAGCTACCAAGGCAAGAGTGCTGCCACCGTTTATGCTTGCTGTTCATGAAACTTGACCGACATAACCATCCCATCAAACGGCTTCGCAGTGACCTGTCGCGTCTACATGAAAAGTCAGCACGGGAGGCAAGCAATCGCACCTCACCCCTTTCCACAAAGAAACGGGACACCAAACAAACAAGAGAGACGACCACACTTACGTTGAACATGGGGCTCACGACCTCATACCGCCCCTTCACGTCATCCAGCACCGGCCTCCCATCCGCGTCCTTGCGCACCTCGCCCGCCCCCACCTTGACGAAGTCGTACCGCCGCGCCGCCACCGCCAGGATCACGCGGGCCTCCAGGTTCGCCAGCTCCTGCCCGATGCAGTTGCGCGGGCCGCGCTCAAACGGCCTCCACGCCCCCGGCGGCACTTTGTTCGTCGTCGTCTTCGATGGGGTGCCACCGCTCTCCGGGATCTCGTCGACGCGCGACGTGTCGACGTCGCCCAGCCAGCGCTCGGGCACCCACTCGTCGGCGTCGGGCCCGTACACGGCCGGGTCGCGCTGCACGAGGAAGTGGCAGCTGTACAGGACGAAGCCGTCGAGACAGACGCTCTTGGTCGTCTCGCCGTCGTCGTCCGGCACGGTGACCGTCAGGCCGGCGCCGGGCGGGGCGCGGCGGGCGGAGCCGGCGGGCGGGTAGAGGCGCAGCGTCTCCTTGATGACGGCGGAGGTGTAGGCGAGCTTCTTGAGGGCGTCGTCGCCGGCGGGGGCGGCGAGCGCGTCGGCGATGTCGCCGGACGTCGCGGCGGGGCCGAAGACGGACGCGAGCTCGGCGCGGAGGGAGGCGAGGGCGCGCGGGGTGCGGGAGAGCTCGTAGAAGGCCCATTGGAGGAGGACGCTGGTGGTGTCGTGGCCGGCGAAGAGGAACGTCTTGAGCGTGTCGGCGGTGGTTTGGAGCGCGAGCGCGGAGAGGGACGACGACGAGGTTGTGGGCGAGGCGTAGTCGGCTTGGAGGCTTAGGGCGAGGACAGAGCGGGGGCGGTTCTTCCTGTTGTTGTTGGAGGGTTCGGCGTCTGCGTCTTTGGCGGCGATGACTTCGGCGTGCTGGGAGGTGATGATGGCTTTTAGCTCGTCGTCGATGAGCTTGGTGAGCTTCTTGCGCCGACGGGTCAGGAATGGGTTGGTGGGGATCCCTATCAGCCCGGATTGGTCGGTGTAGGTGCTGATGAGCTGACGGTAATAGCGGACGAGGGCGCTTTGCTCGGAGGTGTTCAGTTGGGCGTTGAGGTCGACGTCCATGACAACGGCGCCTGGACGAGTTTTCGTATCAGCATTCAGCCCGAAATCTACAGGGAGAAGTCAGTTTCGAGTGGTGAGCTTACCAATGATATCGAAGGTCAAGTCGATGCAGAGATTATCCATTGGGGAAGATGTCCCGGACTTGGCAAGCTCATCGAGGCGATGGAGAAAGAGCTTTGTCTTTTCGACTATACGTGGCAGAAGAGTTGCAAGATGTGTGGGCGCGAATCCTTGATTGTAGGTCCGGCGCAAAGCTTTCCATGTGTCATCCTGTTCGTCGTGTCAAAAAAAAAAAAAAAAAAGCCACTTTGGAGTGGCAAGCAGTCAGACGTGGCTTGTACCGGATGACATTGAGCGAAAGGTAACCTCAAGCTGAATGTAGCATACAACAAGGCGCAAGACAGGACTTTCGTACGTACCTCAGCGATAAGCAAGGATCGTTCGCCGATGAGCGGCAGTAATTCTCCTGTAATGAAATAGGTCAGGGAACGCTATTGTGGCTAACAGGAGTCGACGAACCCATGGTAGGTGACTTTGGAACGCTGTAAGGGAAAGTTTTGGAGGACTTGGTAATTTGCTCGCAAACATCGTGAGAAGCAATGATGGCAATTTGCCAGTAGAACGGGCGGAAGTCGGCTATCACCACGGGAGGATGATTCATCGATTTGACCAAGTCGTAGAATATGTAATCTTGCCTGGGGTGAGTCTAATTGCTTGAATACAGGCGGGGTGTCATCCACACTGACCACTATGAAGCCTCGAGTCTCCTCTCTTTTTATAAAGCTCAGCGAGAACTTTGCCAGTGCCGAACAGCAGAGACCGTGGAGCATAGGCCAACCCATCTCTTGATCGATATCGCCATTTCGCTGCAAGAGAGTAAAGATACCACAGGACAAGCGGTGCGGCCGCAAGAATGAGTGTGGCACTGAAAAGCATCGTGGTGCGCGATCACGAAACGATGGATGAAGTTGGAAAAGAAGGCGTATGGTGAGACTGGCGTGCCGTTATAAAGATGGCACTAAGCTAGCTTGTACATACTTGGCGTGGCTATTTACTCGACTCTCATAGGTCCTGTGTAGCTCGCCTAGTAAACGATTGGGGCTGCCTTCGCTTTCGCAATGCTCTGGACCCTCCCATACTTGATTCGTCTGGGATCATTATGTGGCGCTACCGGCTTATACGATCTGTACTATGTATCGAAATGTATGACAACGATCGGCTTTTGCGGTGGGCTGTGACTGGCTCAATACTGTGCATTGACCGGCATGCAGGAGTTAGCGCCCGAAAAGGAATCAAATCATCTTTGCTTGGCGTCTTCGGATGGAGTCCGATCCGTGGAGGATTATGCGGGCAGTACGTATCTCTGTACATTAATCTTTCAGCTCTGAGCCGATCTCTACAGCTCACCGCCTTACTCAACATACTCTCTGTGCTTCTTTGGGCTGAAGCTTCTTCGTATTGTATGCTCGCGTCCGAGACAAACCGCCCTATCACAGGCTTTAGGGCATGGAAACTTTCTGCGAATCACAAGCGACTGTGCTCAGAAAGAAAATGCGAAAAGCTTGCTTTGGGGCGGATGACGAGACAGCTCTGCGGGGGCTCAGTAGACGATGTTGCCCAAGTGGATGATGGGTTGGCTTTTACAAGCATCCAATAATCATCCATGGCGGGGCACCACAAGGCCGGCAACAACTTCCTTATCCTATCGATAACCCAAAAAACCAACCATCTTCCCCGCGGTCTCAAACTTTCTCACCACTTCGAGTGTGCCTCGAACCAGCAGATTCCCACGGACCAAGCCACAATGCTGCGCGAAGAAAAAGGCGACATGTCTCCCACCACCGGCTTCCGCGCCTCCCGCTCGCCGCCGCCGCCGTCGCCACCACTGCAAAACAGCGTCCTCGACGACATCTTCGGCGAGCCCACGACCGCGCTGCCCGCCGCGCAGCAGCCCGCGCCCACCACGTCCAGCCAGCTCGACGACATCTTCGGCTGCTCGCCGCCACGCGACGACGACGACGATGACCCGGCCGGACGGCCCAGAAACGCCGCGGCGGACGACTGGCCCGGCACCGCCGCCAGCAGAGACGTCTCCGACATCCCGCGCCTGCGCAGCGTGCACGTCACGGCGGGCTACCGCGACGGCCTCGCCGAGAGCAAGGCCGGACACGTGCAGGACGGCTTCGACGAGGGGTTCCCGCTGGGCGCCGTGTTGGGCATGAAGGCGGGTTGGGCGCTGGGCGTGCTGGAGGGCGTGGCGGTGGCGTTTAGGGCGGCGGCGCTGGGGAAGGGCACGGCTGATGGTGGTGCGAGGGTGGCGGAGGCGGCGGAGGCGTTTGAGGCGGCTAGGAGGCAGTTGGTGGAGGCGAGGAAAGAGCTGGACATGGTGACGCTGTTCGGTCAGGAATACTTCGATGAGGAGGGCATTTGGAAGTATCACGTCGATGGCCTGGAGGACGAGGTCACGTTTGAGGAGGTGGCTGCTCAGCATCCGCTGATCTCGAAGTGGCTGGTAGCCGTGGATGCGCTTGTTGAACAAGCGAGGATTGATCTCGGCGTCCTGGACAGACGCGCCAGGGAGGATCCTGAAGATGAGACAACGACGGCTGGTTGAAGTTGCTGCAAGTCTGATTTGGAAGACCACTGCTGCAGCTGCAAATGCCGCCCGATTTTACGGGGTCAATAACAAGCCGCTGTTGCCCACCCGCGCCGCAACTACGACCTCGACGTCCTGGATGTCGCTACCCGAGAATAGAGTTCCACGACGACCCGACAATGGTAGACACCATGCGGCGAAGTATTCAGCGGCCTGGAGGTTGATGGAGATAGCATCGGTGGTAAGGGCCACGCATGATCTACTTGAGCCAATCTGATCCTGAGACCGTCAGTCAGCCCAGCGATGGTTTAGCGGAAGACGCGGGTCGTTTCAAGGATGACGATTTGGACGCTGTCGAGATAGAAGCAAGAGTCATTGAAGGAGAATCATTCATGGCGATCTAAGACAGATACGGACATGCTCCGATAAGGGAGTTCGCTGGTATAGTGAGAGCTACAATAGCAAATTAATTGATATCCTTCATCCTGTTCAGCCCAGTCTTCTGCTATACCTATCTTCCATGCCCATCATGCTTCATTTAATGGCCAAGAATGTCACTGGCCAGATCCCTGACTTTTCAACGCCTTTCAAATCCCATAGGAAGATGAGAATAAACGTACTGAGAACCATTGCCGCTTCTATTAGCTCTCAGCCGCGTATAACAGACCTGTATTGCCCCTAGGATAAGCTTGACCCAAAGACAGCGTCAATCCTCGTGGCTTCAGTACTTGAGTTTTGTGGTGATCACTCGCATAAGCATCTTAGACACCGTTCGGCAGCTGAGCAGCTGCGGTTCCGACTCCATCCTCACTAGTGATGACCCAATCCGTGATCTCACCCTTCCAGTCTGAGATGCGACCATCCTTGATGGTGACAGCAATCACCCTAGCCTCTTCACCCTCTACCCAATATCCCCTGCCGCCATCGCCGCGTCCGGTGATGGTGGGACTTGTGCTGAGTGCGTTGGTTGCATCGTCCACCTCTGAACCGAAAGTATTGTTCTCCAGATGTTTCGCCTTGAGCCACTTCTCCTCATCTGAGTCGTGGGGCACGAACGACGCATTGCCGTTTATGGTCACCGAGATACGCGATAAGGAAGCAGAGTTCATGCCCAGAAGAAGCGTGGCCAGCGAGCTACGAGAGGCGGCAGGCGGCGGACTCCCCTCCCGGCCAGAAGAGAGAGTGGGGGGACGTGTTGTCACCCAGTCATGGACCAGCAGAGAGACGCGCGGGTTCTGGCACAGGTTGGTCGTCTTCTGGGTGCCGGGCGGGGTGGTCATGATAATTTGCGGGTGGGGCGAGTACGGAGAAGAAGGCAGGTAGGTGTAGTTCATGAGGGAGATGTGCGGCATGGCGTCGGAAGAGCTCGTGGCAAGGTGCAGCTACAGAACTCTTAGCATCCTCTGTGCGACCAGCCGCAATATTTGTCCTAACTGACATAGCGCGCATTTTCCAGGCACTGGACGACTTCCTGGGGCAATGTGGCGGACACGCGGGGCGTGTGCTCGGCGGTGATCTCGGGCATGGCTGGCGCAGGTTCCACGACGTTTTCCGGGGCTCGTTGATGTGCGCCAGGGGGCTGCGGCGTGGGGTTTGTGTTTGTGTACGAGGAGAGGGAGCAGGTGGCAGGCTAGACAAGACAAGACCAAGATCCCCGCGGCGGGTAGTGCGGGCGCGCATATCGGTGTCGGGCTGGCGCACCCGCTCCGCCCGCCGCCGCCCCAGCCACACGCGACGTCACGAGGCTGTGCTCCACTCAGCCCTTGGATACGCGCATGCGATCGACGCCCGTCGTAATACCCAATTACCCTTTGCGACCCCCGGGGTCGTATCTCTGCCGCGACTCCTCCCTTCCACCACCGACCGACCAGCTCTCAGCGACTGACAGCGACCCTCAGCGCCCGTCGCCATCAGCCATGGATTCCAAGGACCTGCCCTCGTCGCCCATGGACCAGCCGCTCACGCCCCTACAGGAGGGCCCGTCGACGCCCCACGACGTGGAGCCCGCGCCGGCCGTCCAAGAGCTGTCGCTGGCCGACCAGGCCATCCAAAGGGAGGTAGACGAGGTCATCTACTCTGATGTGTGTCTTGCCGCCACGTAGCTGCCGGCGCTTCGCTGAACTCAGGGCTTAGATCGGAGTCAACACGCTCCTCACCCGACTCAAGCAGAGCATTGCTTCTGCCAGGGTACGTGTCCAGCCACATCCACACGCGCTGCCCGCATAGCTTACTCACGTCTCCCAGGACTTCTCCAACTTCCTCGGCAAGCGCTCTAAGCTTGAGGAGGAGCAAGCTCAAGGCGTCAAGAAGCTATGTCGCTCCACGCACGAGGCTCTCCGCCGGAACGATTCGCGCCAGGGCACCTATGGCATCCAGTACGAGGAGACAACAAAGCTCCACGAGCGCATGGCCGACAATGGAATGCAGTTTGCCCTGTCGCTTCATCAGATGCACGAGGACCTGAATGAGCTTACGAACACCATCGAGAGGCAGCGGAAGCATTGGAAGCAGACTGCTCTGGCGAGCGAGAAGAAGGTGTCCGACGCAATCTCGCAGATGGAAAAGGCCAGGGCCAAGTATGAGTCGCTGGCAGAAGACTACGACAAGGTCAAGACTGGCGATAAGTCCGCAGGCAGGATGTTTGGTATCAAGGGCCCCAAGAGCGCCGCCCAACACGAGGAGGACATCCACCGTAAGCTCCAGGCCGCCGACGCCGACTACAAGAGCAAGGTTGAGAATGCGCAACTGCTGCGGACTGAGCTTGTGGAAAAGCTGCGGCCTCAGGGCGTCCGGGCCATGATGGAGCTTATCAAGGAATGTGACTCAGGCTTGACACTGCAGATGCAGAAGTTTGGTAAGTTCATACTCTGGCGAACTCGATGAGTACAGTCTTGATATTGACCTTATCACAGCATCGTTCAACGAGAAGCTTCTGCTTGGAAACGGCATCCTCGTCGCACCATTGAACAACCCTGGCGAACCGGAACATCCTAGTCTCCGCGACATCATCTACAAGATTGACAATGACAGGGATCTCACATCCTACATCACTGAGCACTCTGGAAAGGTTCCACGGCCCCCGGAAATCAAATACCAACAGCATCCTGTGAGTTTCTGTCGTCCAGTCATCCCTTGGACCTCCGCTGACTTTAAAGACTCTGGCCCCGACACAACAACCTTCTTACCCATCGGCGCCGATATCTGATCCTTTCCGCCCTTCGCAGCCCTCGCCGGTCAACGCCCAGCCACCTCCCCCTCAGCCTCACCAGCAGGATCAGCCACCGTTCCTTTCATACCAACCTCCGAGGGAACCCTCTCCGATTCTGTCGCCGGTAAATGATGGCCCACAGCAGAACCCATACTCGTCTCCTCTTGAGTCGAACCCACCGTACCCAACGAGCGACTTTCCCCAGCATTCTCCTGGATTTAGTAACGGTGGTGCTCCCGGAAGCGGGCCGCCTACGCACTACTCCAACGCCCCACCGATCAAGCCAATGTTTGGTATGACGCTGGACGATTTATTCCACAGAGATGGGTCGCCAGTCCCAGTTGTTGTTTACCAGTGTATCCAAGCCGTCGATATGTTTGGCTTGGAAACAGAGGGCATCTACCGGGTTCCTGGTACTAATTCGCACATCATGTCCATGAAGCAGATGTTTGACCACGGTAAGCTGAAAACCAGGAAACATTGGATCCAGTTTGGGCCCTTTCTAACAGCATGTCAGACGCGTCGTCGGTTGACTTCCGTAACCCAGAGGCATTCTACCATGATGTCAACAGCGTTGCTGGTCTTCTGAAGCAGTTCCTGCGTGATCTTCCGGATCCACTGCTCACCACAGCGCATTACGAAGAGTTAATTGAGGCGGCAAAGATTGATGATGACACGGTCAGAAGGGACAGCCTTCACGCAATCATCAACGCACTGCCCGACCCCAACTACGCCACGCTGAGGGCACTGGTGTTGCACCTGAATCGCATCCATGACAGGAGTGCCAGCAACAGGATGAGCACAACCAATCTGGCAATCTGCTTCGCGTAAGTGATTTCTGCCTACTCCAACTTGCTCCAAAGCTGACGCGTGCAGACCTACCGTTATGGGACAGCACAGGGGTGCCATGGCCGATGCTGGACTGCAGGCCAAGGTGTTGGACACGATCCTTGTCAACACCTACCAGATCTTTGATGAGGACTAGTGGTTTCTTTCCATGCGCACCAGCTTGGGGTCGTGTCTGTAGGGCTTTGGATGGAGCGCTTGATACCAATTCATTTTTTCATTCTTAGTTGGATGTATCCAGTCGTTTTCGGGATTAGGAATTTCATAATACACGTCTCTTGCTCTTGGCCCACCGGTTATTGTGGAATTGGCACATACTACTGCTCGTGCATTTGTATGCGTGAGGGCACGTGAAGGGACCGGCGCTCGGGGGTTGTCGGGTCGATCCGAGCCGGGGACGGCGATTCCCAGTGCGTGCAGCATGGATCGACGCGTTCCATATCGTCATCGACTGGAGCTGGCGCATAAGCAGCCTCTCGCCATACGAAAATCTTCCTTGCTCACTCAGTCCAGTCACGCAACTCTACCTCCACCTCAACTAATCGCGAAAGGCTCGCCACTATGTACAATGGCTTGCCGCGCGCCTGCAGAGCTCCCCACCACATCCTACAATTGAGTCGCACCGTCGCCATCGCCCGCGACGCGCAGACGCCCTCGATCGTCCTTCGCCGCTTCCTCAAGACCTACCAGAAACCTGTGCAGCCCAAGAAACCTGCGAAATCTCAGAACCCCGCGAAATCTCAGAAACCCGCGAAACCCAAGACGTCCGCAAATACCCAGAAGCCCGCGACGACTCAAAAGCCCGCGAAACCTCAGAAGCCCGCGACGACTCAAAAGCCCGCGACAACTCAGAAGCCCGCAAAAACCGATAAGCCTCCCAATCATGCGGCCAAGCCAGTCATCCCCTCCCCTCCTCCCCACAACCCACTGAAGAAACCGTCATCGTCGTCATCGTCATCATCGTCATCGTCGCGGCAGCCGCACACGCCCTCGCGCACGCGCACGCGCCCGCGCACGCGCACGCGCAAGTGGGCGCGGCGGCTGGCCTGGACGGGCGCGGTCCTGGGCGGGGCGTACGTGGCGGACACGCGGTGGAACAACGCGGCGGGGACGCGGTCGGCGCGGACGTTTTGGACGGGGCTGGTGGTCGGGCTGGACTACAAGATCAACTTCCGGGCGGACCCGCCGTTCGCGGCGTCGCTGGGCGAGGTGCACCGGCGCAACGCGGAGCGCGTGTTCGCGCTGCTGCGCGACAACGGCGGGCTGTACCTCAAGATCGGGCAGGCCATCGCGATGCAGAGCGCCATCCTGCCGCCCGAGTTCCAGAAGATGTTTGCGCGCATGTTCGACGACGCGCCGCAGAATGGGTGGGCGGATGTGGAGGAGGTGATCAGGGAGGATTTTGGGGGGAGGGGCCCCGAAGAGGTGTTTGGGGTGAGCTTTGAGGGCGTGGAGGGGAGGGGCGTGATGGAGAGGACGGCGAGGGCGAGCGCGAGCGTGGCGCAGGTGCATTGGGCGAGGCTGCCGGATGGGAGGGAGGTGGCGATTAAGATCCAGAAGAGGGAGATTGCGGCGCAGGTGGGGTGGGACCTCTGGGCTTTCAAGTATGTTGCGATGCTGCTGATCTTTTTGGAAAGTGTCGTTGTTGTGGTTGTGCTAACGCGTGTTTTGTAGGGTCATGGCGAAGGTGTATACCTGGTGGTTCGACTTGCCGCTGTATTCTCTGGTGCCGTACATTTCGGAGCGGCTGATGCTGGAGACGGATTTCGAGAACGAGGCGGACAATTCGGAGAAGATGAAGGTGCTGGTCGAGGGCGAGCCGCGGCTGCGTGGGCGCGTGTATATCCCCAAGGTATACCGGGAGCTCAGCAGTAAGCGGGTCATGACCGCTGAGTGGATAGAGGGGACGAGGCTTTGGGACAAGGAAGGCGTCACCAATCATTGGAGAGGGAGTGCGCGGGAGGGCAGCCCCGGATGCAATGGCGTACCGCTTGAGCCCCCTTCGAAAGAAGCTGTCTCGTCGATATCGCACAATGACCCCAACCAGGAGCAGCTCAAGCCTCACAGAGAAGGCTGGCGCGGACTGGACGGAAAGGGCGGTCTCGGCCTGTCCCTCAGTGATGTCATGACCACCATGGTTGATCTCTTCAGCGCGCAGATGTTCCTCTGGGGACTCGTTCACTGTGATCCTCATCCCGGAAACGTCTTTGTGCGGCGCCTGCCCAACGGAAAGCCCGAGATCGTACTCATCGACCACGGGCTGTACATCCAGATGAATCCTACCTTCCGGCACCAGTACGCGCTCTTCTGGAAGTCTCTGATGACGTTCGACAACGCCACCATTGCCGAGATCGTCAAGGGCTGGGGAATCGGTTCGCCAGACCTCTTCGCCAGCGCGACCTTGATGCGACCGTACACTGGTGGCGACAACTCGACGTCGGCGGAGCTCCGGAAGGGGGTGAAGGGAAAGACGGAAGGCGAGCGGGCGTACGAAATGCAGATGAAGATGCGGGCGGGCATCAAGCAGATCCTGGGCGATGAGGAGAAGTGGCCGCGCGAGCTCATCTTCATCGGGCGCAACCTGCGCATCGTCCAGGGCAACAACCAGTTCCTGGGCAGCCCCGTGAACCGCGTCAAGATCACCGGGCTGTGGGCCAGTCGTGCGCTGGCAGAGAGCAGGGATCTGCCCACGGGCGAGCGGCTGAGGAACTGGGTCCAGCATCTAAGGTTCCGGTTCGTGTTGCTGGGTAGCGACGCTCTCTGGTGGTATGCATGGGTCAAGCAGAAGCTTGGGCTGGGGGGAGGGATGGAGGAGGAGATCGAGGCGCAGATGAAGGTCATGGCAAAGGATATGGGCATCGAGCTCAACCATGGCGTGTTTGAGGGCTGATGCCCATAGGTGGGTGTCACCCAACGGGTGCACGTGTTGATGCGAAATGAGATTACCGTTGACAGGTTTTGCACAAACTCCACTCTGAATGACATTGATGGTATCACATGCTCCGGGCATGTCCATTCTCCCTTCATGTCAGAGCCTGAGCCGGGGCAGATGATAGAACAAATCTAAGCAAGACGAGAGGTTTTGTGCAAGAGTACGTCGGCTTGATGACTGAAGCTGATGGATCGTATCGTGACGCGTTCCGGCGATGGGCACATGATTTGACGGTACTTGTAGAGATTTTGAAACTCGGGCAGCCTCTTCTCTATAAAATGAGGTCACTTAGATGATGGCTCGAACTCTTAAGATCAAAAGATTGTTGTTGCACAATACATGGCTAGGCCCGTTTGGCTGCACCACCAGACCTGGGAGTCTGCCAAGGAGAGCATCGGGAGTGATGTTCCACAACGCTGTTGAAAGAAACCTACCGAGCGGAAGAGCATGCGCCAACATCCCACGCGTCAGACCAGCCAGCATCAGATGGAAGAACGCGGTTTAATTTAAATCTCCATCATGGCCTTCTATCCAGAATGCAAGTTGGGTTGCGGTCGCGAAGCATACTGGTGAACAGGCAGGGGTATCCGCATTTAGAGACAACTGCTTGTGACGGGACTGAAGCACGGTTAAAAGGCAGTCATGACCCATCTATTACCTCACGTATGACGAATTTATCGCAACCCATATGGCCAGTCTATACTTGGCCACGTCAGGCTTTGGGTAATGTAAGCCAGTGTCTGTTTCATGAGTGGAGCGAGCTCCGGGTATCGGAGGGCAAGCCGCAAACCACGGCAATTTTGTCACAGAACGAGGGTCTGGATGCTGGGATGCGGTATTCGTTGGGGGGCCGGAATGGTTGCCTTATGGAGAGTACGATGCGTGCCTGAAGCGTGAAGCACGTGTTCATCGCCATTGTTGAAAGGGTGGCTTTTCAGATCAGGAGACTGGCTGCCGCAACAGGAAGAGTCTAAGTAGTCTCGACGAATCGGACTCTTGAGGTTTGCAAATACCACTCGATCGATTTTCCACACTTTGTTAAGATTATGAGCGTGTCTGTCCAAGCCTGTTCAATGCTGTTCCAATGACAAGCCGTGACTGAGGTGGGGTATAGGTTTTGTTGTACACCCCCACTGGGAAGAAAGTCATGGCCATCCCCATGGACCGAAACGAGTGACGTGTTTTGAAATTGACCGGTTTGAGGAGAAAGAAAAGGAACTCAGAAAAGATGTTGTGGCTCGTCTTTGGGGCCGGGGGTTTGGGCGTCACCGCCACGTGAGAGAGGATCGTCTGGAGGGTAAAGTTGGATCAGCACATTCACCATGTCAAGCTCAAAGGCCATCGTATAAGGAATGCTGGAGCACCATGGGAGTCTCCCGTCGTCAAACACCTGCTGTCCTATGGAAGTCTCAGAAAAGACGGTGACCAGTCACTCCAAGGTGCATCAGCCGAGGCAGTGAAGTCTCTGCAGCGGTTCCACATAGCCTCGACACCGGAGCCAAGAGGCCATATGCGGGCATGCAGATGCTTCCTCGGCATGGAGGATGTACCTGAATGCTCCCAAAGCACGCAGTGTAGAGAAGGGGTGGCTTGAGGCGGGCCGATTGACAGCGATCACTGCTGTTTGGATGCTGAACAACAAGATACGCAGCAGGTGGCATCACGCAAGTTTGACGGGCATCACTTGAGGCTGCATGTGGGGAGACGGCCGATGGGGCGAATACATGGATACCTAGTTGCTGATGGTGGAGCCGCCACTGCCTAGACGCGTGGTTCAGGGCATGCCGGTACCCCCAACAGTCGGAACGGACAGCAGCGCTTCGTTCGGGCTCACGGGCACTCACTTCGCGCATGCTCTGGAATCGCCACGCGGAGACGGCTGGTGTGCTCCCAGCTTCATGGTCAGCAGCAGGGCATGGCTGAGCGCACCCCCCGGTGCTCATGGGCGCGGTTTGGAGGGCAGCCATGCCCAGGGAGGGTCCCCATTCGGAGGGCAGCGCGGCGGGACAGCGGTTCGAGGCCAATGGGTCAGTGAAGGGGGCGGATATCCATGCCGGCGGCGGCGGAGGGACCGCAGGCGGGCGGGTTTGCTAGGCGGCAGAGGCGGGCGAGTCATATGTGCGGGATTATGCGGGCTGCGGGAGAGGGCAGGCGAGGGGTCGTTGATATTGTTGCGCAAGGTGGCCGGCCACCGACTCTTCTATTTACCTAGTGCCTTCCCAATCCATCACACGCGAGCCGTAAGACGACGCCCACCGCTGCCGCCCTTCCATCTCCCCGACCTCGCCTCGCCCAGTCTGGTGTCACGGCGGAGCCGTGTTCGCGAGTCCGGCCTGAGGTTGCTGCTCGTTCGTTGGTCGCTTCGGCCGTACATCCCAGCACTCTGGTCTTCTCCTCGCACGCGCACGCGTTCCTTCCTCTCCACCACCGTTCCGCGCGAGCTGCTCCTCCGCTCCCGCGCCCGCCACCCACCAGGACCTCAGCACTATGCTGTCGTCTGCCCCGCCCAAGCCGCAGGGTCGCCCAGCCTCGCCGCATTCGGACTCGTCTACCTTATCGAACATTACCGTCGCCGACCCTATACACCCCGCCAGCCCTGTTGCCCCGGCCTCGACTCCGCCGACCAGCCAGTCCGACGACCAGAGCATGCACGAGGACGCGTCCAAGCACGCCGACCCGCAGGCCGACTCGCTGCTTGCCCGTCGGCACAGCTCTCGCGCGCGCGCCGCCGTGGCTACATACAATGACAAGGAAAACGCAGGCACGCGCATCCACACCCCGGCCAAGTACCGCAAGGAAAAGGACACACCGCTCCAGTCGCCGCACCAGCCGGACACCCACCAGCCCGAGCCCATTGCCTCGACCGAGCCCCCTACCCCTTCGCAATCCGTTGATGAGCCCATCCACCGCCGCCAGAGCGGCCGCAGCCGCACCTCCGTCGTGACCTACAACGACAAGGAGAACGCCGGCACGCGAATCCACACCCCCACCAAGTACATTGATGGCACCTACATCCGCAAAACCCTCCACGACCCCATCTTCGTCTCTGGCAGGCCTGAGTCGCTGTCGCCCACATCGGATAACGGCAAGAAACGCGCTTCAAAGCGACGCGCGAGCGGGCTGCGCGCTGAGTTTCGCGTGGATAGCGACGATGACAGCCTGGCCGACGTGCAGTCGGCCTCGCCTCGGAAATCGGCGCGACCGGGGCAGATGGTCGGCAAGCCGAACCAGCGTGCCGCGTCGCAATTGGGCAAACGCGGTCGCGACGCCTTCGACGCGGTCAAGAGCCTGCCTGTGGGCTCGTCCAAGGTCGCCTTGCGCAAGTCAGACAGCCCGGTGAAGAGGCAAAGGAAGAGGGCAGCATCCGAACCCACGCCCGAGCCGGGGCCTCAGATCCCCAGGCCAGACCTGAGATATGGCGATTGTCGCGGCAAACCCTGGCTCAACGCGGGCAAATATCACAACACTGGCCAGGACGATTTTGCCGGATCGCTCTCTACGGTCCCTGGTCACAAGCCAAAGAACAAGGATGACGGAACTCCGGTGAACAAGGCTCTTCCGCTCCCAATGTTTTTGATGGCAGAAAAATTGGATCTGTATCCGAAGAAAAAGCTGCCCGAACACAAACGCCCATTCGAACCGTTTCAGCTGCCTTACGACATCTTTTCTCCTCTCCCGAAAGAGGCGAAGGTGAAGGATTGGAGAGAGATGAAGAAGAGTAAGTACCAGCTACACGCCCCATGGTCTAGCATAGCTAACAACGAAACAGACGAGTACAAGGGTGAAGACGCCCAAGAAATCAAGGCGAGGGCGAAGGATCAATGCAAAAAGCAAAGGCAGATGGAAGCGTCAACCTGCAACTGCGTCGGCAGATGCGAGAGGGACGGCTGCTTCAACGCCTCCCTCTTCTTTGAGTGCGACGACAGGAGCTGCAATCTTGGCCCGGATTGCGGCAACCGGCAATTTACCAACTTGCAGAAGCGTTACAGGGACGAGACTCGCCAGGGAAAGTACTTCAAGAGTTTCAACGTCGGTGTCGAGGTTGTAGAGACGGAATCTCGCGGACATGGTGTCCGGGCTATGCGACCATTCCAGGATGACCAGATTGTCGTAGAGTATATTGGCGAGATCATCACCCAACAAGAGAGTGATAAGAGAATGAACGAGGTTTACAAAGACCACAAGGTAAGCTTGGAACTTTTCTTAGTCAGAACGGATGGAAGCCTTGAGGGTTTCCGGGAATACACGCTCCATTACAGCGTTGTCTGGCGTTTAATCTGCCGTAACATTGAGCCTGGGCTGTCTGTCTATCTCCTCGGGAAGCTGCTAATGATTTGACGTAGTGCTTCTACTTGATGAATTTCTACGACAAGCTTATCATTGATGGGTATCGCGGAAATATAGCCCGCTTCGTCAATCACTCGTGTGACCCCAACTGCAGGATGGAGAAGTGGACTGTCAATGGAGAGCAGAGGATGGCGTTATTTGCGAACAGACCGATCATGACTGGGGAGGAATTGACCTGGCACTACAACTTCGAGTAAGTCATCCGCATTCAGTTCTTGAGGATATTCTTACGTTTTTCAGGTCATATGGTCCAGAACAGCCATGTTACTGCGGAAGCTGGAACTGCGCAGGAGTCATTGGACGGCGTAGGAATAAACCCACCAAGGAGCCCGCTATTGGCCACAAGCGTAAGTCCCCGGATGATGCGGATGAAAGGCCGAAGAAGAAGCCAAAGGTCACGAAGTTGGTTGAAGCCGCCTCAAAAGCGGCTTCGAAGACCGGAAAAAACCTGTTGTCGAAGACGAAGGAGGGCCTGAAAGGGCTCATGGATACGGTCACGGCAGCTACGTCCACCCCAACCGTTGAGAACAAGAAGAGCCGGGACGAGCGGGCGGCCAGACGATCTCTTGCTGCTGCGAAAGAATCATCGAATGAGAGTACACCAGAGCCGTCGAGCAGTGGCAGGCCCGTACGTGCAACCAGGCAGCAGCAGACTGCTATCAGTCCCAAGAAGGGCGCAGCTCAGACTGCCCTTGGTAGACTGCAAGCCGAGAAGTCTGCACGACGCCCCGGTTCAAGATCCTCGTCAGCGAAGACTGCTGCGACTCCCGAGGGGCGACCGCGGTCTGCTCCGCCCCGCACCTCCACACGCAGCAACCGCGCAATTTCCGTCGACGAAGAGGACGAGGACGAGGAACCACCGAGCGCGTCCAAGTCTCACAGGGCCACACCGACTTTGGCTAGGAGGGTTCCCAAGGCAAAGTCGCCTCTGTCAATTTCTTCCAACAGCACAACTACACGCAGGGCAAGCTCCATCAGGAAATCCACTGGAGCTCGCATGGTTCAGAGTGCCAAAGAAGTGAGCGAGTCGCAGAGCTCGAATTCGGAAACCGACTCGGCGTCGACCTCTCCTACGGAACTTAGTATGGCCAGTTCATCCAACATCACGTCCACGGCTAACGATAAAAACTCCATCACCTCGGCAGATGCTGGCGCTCCGGTCTCGACAGGGAAGGTTGCAGCACTGAAGCAGGCGAGGCTGTCCTTCCTGCCCAACGGGCTGAGCTTTGAGAAAGGCGACGCCGAGGCCGACAAGCCGACGAGGAAAGTTGTGAAGAAGAAGTCAAGCCGGTCTGTTCTGGATGCTTGATTTGCCGTGGGCTGGACGTGGATTCAGGGGTCGGCATCAGGCAGTGTGTCTTGTTGAGTCTTGCGCGCTTATACGAAACGGATGCTGATGATGATGATGAGAGTGGGAGGGGGTTTCAATGACTGGTAGCAGGTCGCGCAGGATTCGTCGTGGACTGCGTGAAGAGCATGCATGCATCATTCTGTATTCTGGGTCATTCGGGATCGGGGTCAGGGCTCGGGTTGTTTTTTTTTTTTGTCATCATTTTCCCCCGCCTGCTTTTCTTTCGAGCCACCTGCATGGGTATACGTAACTGCTGGCTGGATGGAAGCTCAGGAACGGGCCGTAGATGGCCAGTCTAAGGGGAATGCGGAGACCTTTTTCTTTCTTTTTCTTTTCATTTGGACTGGGGAGGATGAACAGCGACAAGAGAATGTGCCCTCCCTTTTTTCTCCGTTCGATCCATTTGATGGTTCTTTGGGGGGTGTTTTTTTTTTTCGCATCTGCAACGCATGAAAAACTGGTGGGGACAAATACGTATCACCCTGTTCTTTTTTTTTTTCTTTCTTTTCTCTCTTTAAGCATAAAAACGGGTTTCTGGTGTGGGCTGGAGGGAAAGAACTAGGTGCACAATGCCGGGTTTCCTCTCTTTTTCCTTCTTCTAACTGATGCATCACTGTTCCGTATAGGTAGGCGAGTAGGCGTTTTTATCCTCTTTTCATCCTCGTTTTCTTCCTCTTGTTAATAGTAATGGGAGTAACGTGTTTCCTTTTCGAAGTTTAACGTTTGTTTCTTTTTTTTGGGGGGGGTTCCCTTCCTCCCCTCTCTCCTGTCCAGTGCGATCTCCCACAGACACTGATGGAGGAGGGATGAATATTTCTTTCGTTTTCTTTTTTTTTCAAAAAAAAAAGAACATGGAGGGAGGGCCCGGGGGACCAATAATTGACCTACTAGGGAGTGGAGAAAATAATGTGATGTAAGGTGTATATATTCCAGATCAACTTCATGATGGCGACGCTGGACCGCACAACCTGCTTTAACGGTGCGGGTGAGGCTCGCTTGAGAGATGGCGAGAAGAGAGAGGGACCTCCCGAGTCTGGTGTGTCAACAGGGCGCGTTCAATTGAGCCCTAGGTTGAGTGAGCATGGAACTAGAAATTTTCAAGAGGTAACGGCTAATGTTCGTTGTGCGAATATAACTATCCCGCATCGGTTTGTATAAATTGTGCTCTGTGAGCAGTATTCATGCACGTATGTGTATGCGAGAGCAAAAGAAAACAGTCGCCACGTTACTAGACCTCACGATAGCCCTGTGCCGTGTATGTATATAGTAGCAGACGTACATATTTGACAAGGGTTATTCAAAATCAGTTGGAGACCGACCAAAGCACAAGAGAGAGAGAGAAAGAGAGAGAGCAGAGCAGAGCTGCGTCGACATCAGCCGTGCGCTTCCGTTCTGGTTACGGAAAACGCTTCCCACGAACTCGCCGTTTGCTGCTGCTAACACGGCATGACGACGCAGCGGCTACATAGGGCACCGCCCACCCTTCGAACATTCCGGGTAGAGCTACATGCCGGGATACCGAGAGCTTGCCCATCCACCCGCCCGGCTGGGATACCATGATCGGTCACAGGTAATCGAAGTCTTCAAATGTGGAATGTGCGGGGGTGGAAATTACCCCAGAGGCGTCTTTTGCCGCGCTCGTTAGTCCGAACAGACGCCACTGGGGGCGGAGAGGAAAGTAGACGTCACAATGGCCCCATTCGTGCATAGCGTAAACGTACTCTTGCTCCTAGCCAAATGAAGCCCAATAATTCAGAAAGCGGTGATGGTGTGGAATGCTGCATGACAACCGTGTCTCGTCAACATTCGAGTGATGCGTGTACGAACGACAGTAGTCGATGACCCTGGACGAGTGTGCGACTACTATGAGTTTTGGGACACTCGCCTCGCTAGTGTTCTGTCTAGCGTGGTGGCGAAGAGAGCCCCGCAGGTTGAGATATCCTTTCCGCTTGTCGCGCTGACATTGCACGACCTCGACACGGTGAATGTGAACGGGGGGGGTCCCTTTTCTGGAGGACTTCGAATATTCGACGCCCTGCACTCAATGTGGATACCCAACTAAGAAGTTTAAGAAACAGCAAACATACTTCATCGACTTCGGGCTCACTCCGACTCCCTACTGGCACAATGCACGGGCTTCGATGACCAGTTGCATGTCGACCCACGAACAAGCCGGTACGTTCAGTGCTGTCATACGGAATGTGCAATGGTAGATTGCAGCTCTTAGAAGAAAACGAGCTGACTCATTCCCCATTAAAACTTCAATCTTCAGTTCTCCGAGCAACCCCAACCGAGGGGGTCTTTGCAAAGGCGGCACTTTTTAGGCCTCGATCTCACCAGTGCTAGCCCTCAGCCAGGAGCGAAGTGCGGCTCAAGATGCAATGATCTTAGCTACGCAGATATATCCGACATGCCCGATGGCTAATCGACATCTTCGGGAAGTCTGGTCGAAATACTGTAGTATGTTAAGGACATCGCGTAGCACCCGAGACTCGGACAAAATTCTTGGCCGGGAACAGTAAAGGTATGGAAGCATACCTAGGATGGTCCCGGAATGCAGCGCTCGACGCGTTCGGACCTGTGTCGGCGACCGAGTCGCTCGAATTTCTGTGCAAAAGTCAACCAGACCGGCGACGGAGAAAGCACATGGAACCAAGACACATACCCAAAACCCCGGGAATCCTGACGGCGAGCTGTATGTGAAAAAGTCGACATGTGCGGCAATTGATTCGTCGGTGTGACTGACAAAGCCAAGGAAATGTCTGGCTATGCGATGCGCGAGGCGTCAGCGTAGCCCAGAGAAGTCATCTTGAGAAGGACGACGTCTGTCCACGAGCGCGCACAAGAGGCCAGCAGTCTGGCACGGCGACTCGAACTGAGCGGCCGGCCTGAGTCGGAGAAAGAACGGGTTTTAGTGATCCTCCTGGAAAGCACCACAGCTGGTTGACAGCATCAAAGGTCACTTCCGAGGCCCTGGACGTTATATGACAAGATTTACTCAGCCCGCCAGACACACTCCTGAACATGAGAAGGCGAGGCACTTACGTCGATTGGAATATCTCCATAGTCTGGCTGATACAGATGAAGGTCGATGCGGCGTTCCAACAGCCACGGGGCTTGCGAATGCCAGTCGGCGGTTTCCGGGGTGGTGGTGAAGGGCAAGGATGACGACGGCGGGTCCGAGGCGAACAGGCCATGCTTGTGCTCGGCTTGTGGGGGCGGCGTCTTTGGCCGGCGCGGAAAAGAGGTGCGCAGCTGGGCTCGGAGGGCATGGGCCGCCTGTGCCGTGTTCAGGAAACCATCGGCAGCAAGCTGACGGGCGGTTTCACAGGCTCGCTGGGGGGCGGGGTCGACAGCAATGGCCGTCACAATGTCTTTGAGGTCGTCGACCTGCCTGGACAGGGTTTCAATGCGGCCCTTCAGAGCGGAGGTGCGGCGCTGATCGCCTTCGGCGTCGTAGGCGCAGTCGGATCGGTTCCTTGCCAGGCACGGCGTACAGGTTGGGCGCTCGCCGTCACACTGCAATGGTCAGACAGGACGGAGGCACTCGGGCGCCATATACCTTGTGTTTGCGGCGCTGGCAGGGCTGGCAAGCGACAGCAACGACGGTTTTGCGCTTGGCTTGGGCGGACTGGCGGCGGCGATTTGCGGCGGGATGGGGCGGCGCTTGCACGCCGTCGACGGGGCCCTGCTTGGGCCGGATGGAAGGGAGCATGGCGGGGCGTGGGAGGCGAGTGGGAGACGGGTGGGAGACGAGTGGGGAGCGGAAGCGGGTGGAGGCGTGCAGCCTCAGGTTCTGGCGGGCCGGGATGGCGGGCGCACGGCAACACGCACTTTCCGGCCTAGTGGGAACACCGAGATATGGCAGCAGCGTGGCAGTGCGGTTGCGAATAGGGCGGCGCGATGGGCACAGGATGACGCCGGTTGGCACAGGCCGTGGCAGGTGCGGCCTAAGCTCTGCCTAAGCTCTGCCTAATAAGCTCTCGCAAAGCTCGCAGTAGACTCCGTAGCGTCGAGCCGCGCCCGCGTCAGCCCATGTGCCCTGCTTCGCCTGCTTCGCCTGCTTCGCCCTGCGTCGCCCTGCGTCGCGCCGCCCACGAATAATGTTATTTTTTTTCTAGCATACCTACGGAATTACAACCTTTCGGAGAAGGGCAAAGACGAAAAATCACAGCTTCCGCGCGCCTGTGCTCGCACGCGTTCCGCCTCGCGCTTCACATAGTCGTCAATCGGGCGGAAGCCGCAGTCTGCGTGCCGCAGCGCCATGTCCTTCAGCGCGAAGATGTCGTCCCTGAGGCCCGAGATTTCGGCGTGCAGGAGCTGGTTGTGGACGGAGAGGTTGCGGTGTCTGTCCTCCAGCTTGTCCGTCCAGTCTCTTTTCTTCCTCCGACACCTGTTCGCCGCCAGCCGGTTCTTCTCCAGATTCACCTCGCGCCGCGCCCGCTCGTTCGGCGTGCCGGCCTGCGTCGGGCATTGTGCCTTTTTGCGTTTGGCTGCTTTTCTCGCCCCGGACGTCCGCTGCTGGCCTTTTGTGTCCATCGAGGGCCCGGGGAAAGGGCCGTCCTGATGCGTGGACACGCTTTGTGCCAAGGAGCCCTGCAGCTTGCAGTCGTTTGGCGGCGTCGCCATGTCAGGGCTTGGACCAGCGTTTGGGAGGGTCGAGAGGAAGGCATCGCTGAGGAGACTGCCCAGTTCGGTGTGCAGCAGCATGGGATCCGCAACGCCATGGCGGTCGAAGTGAGGTGCTGGTGTCATGATTGCTGGGGAAGAAGGAAGGCGAGCGGCGCACTTGAAATCGTGTTCAGAACTGGGCGGGACGCCTACGTGGGTGAGATAGCTAGCGACCTCAGCCACCGGACTGCAAACAGGATGGGCCTGTCCCGAGCCTAGGGGCTGGCTTTCTCCCATCTTGCATGCGGGGTGGGACAATTGCTGCCGCATCTGCCAGCCTCATCACAAGAACACAGCTGCGCTACGCCGCCTGTCGCGACGTGCCATCTGCGCATGCATGCACCCAGCACGAGCGCCTCTTCATTGCTCTAATGCTGCTGAAGCTTGACGTAGCCATCTCTGTTGGATTGGTTCGGTCATAGGATCCACCAATCACCTGGCCTGCCCTTCCAATCGGATTGCTGCCGAGCACATACTTCCCTTCCCTGCGCACTCTCTCCCCTGATTCCCACCAGTATATACGTAACTCGACAAAAACTTGGCACCGCTTGGCCATCTTCTTCCCCTGCAGATGCACTTCAACACCGTCGTATTCGGCGAGCCCATCCGATCTATCCTTCCACGCAGACCTCGGCCGCGTCCCACCCAAGATAATTGGTCACCCAGCCGTCTAATGCATGCCGTGATAGCCGTTGACTAGGCGCTTTGACCAGCTCGCACCGCTATCACAACATGTTATAACACTACCACATTTCAGGAAATCCTCACTTGCTATGCACCATATTGTTGGTCCTTTTCACTCCGTGCATTTGCAATAATCGAGAGCCATGGCCATCAAAGCTTAAAGACCAAAAGTAGCGTGAAGCTAGCCGCGGGGAAGTAGCTTGGCAAAGAGGAGCAACATACAGTGCCAAGACCTGCTCTATTTGAACGCACTTTTTAAGGGCAGCTTGTGTACTGAGCTCCAAGAGCGGGCACTCCCGCGGTACCCTTGCCAGACGACGACCTTGGTTTGCTTTCTAGTGTACCTATATACTTTAATACCACAATAATAATAAAACTCGACACATGTCAAACAAGGGGACCAAATAGACAGGGCTACCATGTCAGTTTGGGCCCGCAAAGGGTTCTCTTGACCCGATCTAGAATCTGCTGGGGCAGAATTACAAGACCGATCACCAAGGTGACGGACGAATGGATAAGCGGAACCATCTTGTCAGAAAACGAGCTATGGCATTGGTGTCCGAGACGCATCAAGGCCGCCGTTCGAAGTGGAGTCGTCGGTATGTGGCCACAAAGTCGAAATGAGTGATTTCACGTAGAGGCGTAGGTCAGTGATTTTGAATCAATAATTTCATGTCTCATTATAAAAGAATAGCGAAGGTATCGTTTTTAAACACAACGGACACACTTTTCACACATTAACCTCCCTCATCACACGACCACCTTCTACATGGCCTCTCTTAACACAAATCGCCAGGGCAAGCGATGTTGCTGCCGTAAAAGTCGCCCGAGATGCCGGCAATCTGGAAGATGGCGTTGACGACACCACCGATGCCCTCGCCGGCGATGAGGCCAGCAGCGACCGCGTAGCCATAGATGTCGAAGCTCTCCGGGTTCCGCTTGGCCCAAATGTAGGCGGGCAGGGCGCCCATGATCATGGCGAGACCGTAGACAGCTACAAAATTCGTCAGTCCGGGACATAAACGCGCGTTTTGTGGCGCCAAAAAGAGAGGGGGGGGGCGAGAGAGATATTCCGAGAAAAGAATCAACTTACTTTGAGGCAGGACAAAGGCCAGAGAAATGCACATCATGTTGGGGTGGTACGCCCTCACCCACTCGAGCTTTCCAACCCAAAGGAAATGTCTCACGAGCACCATGGCAGCGCCCAGGATCGCAAAGCAGATGGCAAAAATGCCGGAGCTCGTCGGGATGGGGAAGTCCGGATCGGTGACGGCGATGGCGACGGCGCGCCAAGCAGACACCGAGGGGGCGGAGAAGGCGCAGTGCTCTGCCTCGGTGTCGAGGATGCAAGGGTACGCGGTCGCGAACAGAACGAACATGCCGGGAGCGAGGAAGACGGCGACGATGGTGCCCAGGCCCTGGGCAATCCACTGCTGGATCGGCGGGGTCCGGAGGAGGAAACCCACACGGAAATCGGCCGTCAGGTCGGTTGACTGGTTGGCACCCATGTTGGCGAGGGCACCGCCCAGCAGGTTCAGCTTTTGCGCATGGGCGACGCCCCATTGCTCGCCCTTTGTCGCGCCACCGAGAACGATCTGAGAGGCCTTGGAGGCAGCGGTAAGAGGGGTGATGTCTGGAAACTCTCAGTCAGCAACCACTTGGTATGATTGGATTTTGCGTATTTGCTGCTTACCTGTGACACCCGTGCACTGAATGGCAAGGAAGCTGAAGAAGAATGCGAGGAACACACTGAGAACGGACATGCCGACGGGCATATCGAACTCAACGCCCATGACTTCTCAAATGTTAGCTTCTGTTTGCGCAACCAAGAAGGACGGGTCTGTTCGTACCGACGCAGCTCGTAATGACGGCTAGGATCAAGCCAGGGAGCCACATCCAGGTCCTGACGCGCTCGCTCGGCAGAGCGGGGTCCTCAACAACATCCTTAAGCTCTTGCTTTGAGCGTTCTTCAAAATAACCAAGCTCTTTGCCGGCGGCGCGGCCCATGGCGTATATGGCACCACAGCATCCACGGGAAATGGCGCGGAAGCCGTAGACGAAGACACGCCACTGCAGAGCAAGCTCGGTGAAGGAGACGGCAATCATGCATAGAACGCCGGGCCAAAGGAGCCAGTAGCGGGGGCTAGGCGTGTCCTTGTTCGAGGCTGACAGGCTGAGCGAAGCAAAGGAAGCGTAACCCTCCCATTTGGGGTCGTCCGACGCGGCAACGCCAAAGGCGGCGCCGTTGTGGACGAGGGCTGGACCGATGATGCCCCAGGCGAGGATGCTGCCGCCGTAAAAGGAGATGGCGACATTGAGGCCAACGAGCATGCCGGAACCGATGAAGGCAGGGGTGAACTCGACTAGCCAGCCCCAGTTTTCGACGTTGATGGCGAGATTGTTGTAGTTGCCCCAGATGAAGAACCAGGTAAAGATGTGCCAGTCCCACAGGATGCCGACAGCGTACTGCGACACGACACGCAGGAGCAAAGCGGTGGTGAAGGACCAGGCCAGGGCCTTGGTCTTCATCTTGGCAATGGCCTCGCCGGACACGGCCTGGTGCATCGAACGGATCGTCATGGCCGTGGCGGTGGCAGTCGGAAAGATGAGGCGGAGCTCTCGAGCGACGTGAATGACGAAGAACTTGCGGAGAGGGGTGCCGAAAAAGAAACCAAAGTAACCACCCACGGCGGTGAGCGAGACAATCTTCCAGAAATCGGTGCTCGGCTTCTCGCTCATGAGGCCCAGCTGGTACAAGGCCGGGTAGGCTGAGACGAAGACGTTCGACAGGCCTCCGGACGCGGTGGCGGCCGTCTGGATGATGTTGTTCTCCTTGGGCCCGAAGCCACCACCCAAAATAGGGAAGTTCTCGGCAAATGCTGCGGAGAAGAACTTGATGACAGCAAAGCCGAGAATGGCGCCAAACAGATTGGCGGAGAAGGTCCAGCCAGTCTTGAGACCCAGATAGACGTTTGACGCATTCACGAGAGCACCGCAAATGCAGCCCATGATGACGGCGCGGACGGTCAGCACACGGCTGCGCTCTTCCGGCAGGTCATCGAAAGGGACGAATGGGTCGGGTAGGTGGTCGTCCGCGACCTCATCCTCCCCGATCTCGATAGCACCGTCTTTGTGGGAGGGGGAGGCAGGCACATCGTCTTGGGCCGGGTAAGGCTTCTTTTCGTCCAAGGAGCTATACACAGGTCAGTATAGTTGATAAGTATGGATCGACCATGACTATGTTATGCAAGGTACATTGGAAGATACAACAAGTTTTTTAATCCCAGACACGTTCGCGGACCGAGAGCAGAAGGGTATACTCACGCAGGGTGGGCGTGGCCCATACCCTCGACGGAGGGGTCGACGTTCTCAGCAGCGTTCATGGTTGGCCGCGGCGATCGATGGGTAAGGGCTGAGAAGAGATGCACGGGCGGACCAAGAGGCTATATACCTGGCGACACATGGCAGGTCGGCAGGGGGCCTCGGACGGGCATCGTCCGGGCTGGGTGGACAGCGTGGGTGCATGTGGCCGGGCCTGCGCTGGAAACAAAGGTCGGTAGCATGCAGTCAACTGCCAATACGAGTAAGACGATTCGGTTTGTGGTGAGGCAGCGGCGAGAGGGAAGGGCATGCCGGCGTGGACGATTAGCGGTCTAGGACCATCGGTAGCGATAGACGACGGGCTCGGAAGCGGCCATTGGTGGTGGCGGGTGGGCAGTTCGACGGCAGGGGCGCAACGGTGCTCCGGCACTAGCCAGGACAAGCTTCAGCTGGAGGGTGGAGCGGCTGGGCATCGGACGGACCCGAGGCGTCGCGATAGTGAACCGTCCGTTTTACGACTCTGCGCCGCAGCTCAACCGGCGCCGGCCAATCAAGCGCCCGCCTGTGCGGCCACTTATCACCGTCGCCTTCGCTTGGCGGTTGCCGGAATTCCAGCCTGACTCAATTAGGCAGGCCGTCGTGTTGCTCTGCGTAGTACGTGCAACCTGCTCGCTCCGAGCCCCATCGTCTGCGACGGCAAGATTCGGTCTTGCGCTGTGGCGTCGCCCGAGGAAAAAAGAGACGGTTCACGTGGTGACGGTCGAGTAGCGACATCTGCCCATCTTCTGGTACGACCCCCCCACAACGCCAGCGCCAGCGCCTGCGTTAGCAGCCTTTGGGAAGGAGGGCGTGCATCGTGCCAACTGCAAGGCACCCATGCTCCCCTCTCCGCATTGAAAGCAATGGCATGCATACCTGGTATCCGCCACGCATTCCAGAATGCTCACCCTGGCCAAACACAACCCGACCACCCGGATCCGGGAGCAGCCTAGAAGCCTGTTGACTGCCACGCTACCAATCCCAAGGGTCGCCCTGCTCATCAAAGATACACATCTTCCCATGTCTCCCACACCTGGTGCTGCGGACCCCATGGGCCCGCGTCGCGACCCACATTCCTTCGAGTCTTGCGATAAGCTGTTCGCCTACCGCGTCTTCTTCTATTTCTTACATTGATGGTACATCAGCCGCCACCTACAAAACCGCATGCAGAGATATGAGCAGAGAGTCCAATCACCATCCGAGAATTACGTCTTTAGTCACGATCCAACTTGCCGCGCCAGTCGCCGATGTGATTGATGATGATCTTGGCCGCCCGCGGTGCAGGCTCGTTCCTGCCTAGCGCTTCCACAAAATCGCCCTCGGGATCTGCAAGGCCATGTCGTCAGTGTATTGCTCGCCTGGCCTGCCGTCCAATCAAAGAGAACTGACCCATCAAGTAAAAGTAAATGCTGTGATCCACGAGGTAGTCCTGCCCAGGCTTGACGTCCGATGGCGTCGAGAAATACACCCTGTACTTTCTGCACATGGCCTTGATGTCATCGTACGTGCCGGTCAAGCCGATGATGTCGGGGTGGAATTCTTTGAGGTACGCCTTCATGACGGCAGGCGTATCGCGCGCGGGATCGCAAGTGATGAAGACGGGACGAAGAGTGTTGCCGGCAACCTTCTTCACTTCGTCGATCATCTCTGCCATCTTGTCCAGCTCTTCGGGGCAGATGTCAGGACAGTGTGTGAAGCCAAAATACACCTGAGACCATATGCCGTCAGTCTTGTCCCCGTTGGCACCATCCAAACCCAATCAACTTACCAGAGCATATTTCCCCTTCATGTCTTCACTGGTAAACTTGTTGCCATTCTGGTCAATGAGAGAAAAGTCCCCGCCAACCTTGGGACGGCCAACACCCTTGGTCTGTTCGGCGATGCGCTGGCGCTGCACGCGTTCCTTCTCGTAGCGAAAGTAGATAATCAGACCGCCACCGACACCGAAGAAAAGGAGGGCCGAGGTCATGGAGAAGGGCTACCTGAGACGTCAGCTCCAGTTCCTTGTTTCTGTGGATCTCTGCGAGATATTTGGGATGGACTGACCCCAAGCCTGTACCGCGACTTTGCTTCCTCGACAGTCTTGTAGCAGCTCCGTGGTGTGCTCGAGAAGAGACGGGCCTGGGGCCTCGACGCAGACTGGAAACGGGACGCGGAGCTTGAGCGGGAAATCCTGCTGGAGTAGGACCGTCTCGTCGAAGCATTGAGGGCGCACGTCGAAGCGAGAGATGGTCTGACCGAGGCGGATGCGGCGCTGTTGGAGTGGGAAGCGATACGGAGGGCGGCGGACCAGGCGCTGGGCCTGGTAGCGCAGGAGGAAGCCATTGTCGAAGTGGCACGCACGTCTGGGCACGGAGCAGGAGAAGCAGAGCAGGAACGAAGTCTTGGAGTTGACGGGGATTTAGCGCAATGGAGCTGGTGATGTCGTGCGGGCAAAGCACGGAAATCCCGCCCCGAGCGAGTCATGCACTTTTGCACGTGAACGCGCGACTGCTGCGCGTCCCTCTGTTGCGCACACGCGTCGACTCGGTCTCATCCCAGTCGATCGCGTATCGCATTGAGTGTCGCTTGCCCGACCTGTGTCTGTCTCGAAGGTTCCAGCAGGCTGCTACTTGGTCTATATACCGCCTTCTCTCCTCCCAGGTCCGTCTCCAAACCACTCCAACACAGCTTCTCACACTTCATTACATGTTCATCCGGACTCCGTCAACAACTCTCCACCATGTCTACCACCGATGATCTCAGGACTTCGATTCAAACGCTCATCAGCGCCATCGAAGCCCAGCCGGAATTTCCCCCGCAGCAGGCGGTCCGCAAAGGCAAAGTCTACTTCATGTGGGACTTCGTCAACAACACCCTACGCATGCTTCTGGCCTCGAACAACAACCGCGAGACCAAGACCGACGTCATGCAGCGCAGCTTGTTCGCCAACATCCTCTTCAACGACACTACCGGCAAGCTCACCATGCTGACCGGTGGCGACACGACCGAATTCAACGCCGACGTCAAGGCGAAGAGTGAGGACGTCCAGACCAAGGCCGGGGAATGGGGCGTGGCTGAGGGTCTCCTGAGCAGTTGAAGTTCTCTTTTTCTACCCTGAATCATTTTGGTCTCTGTTTCGTTTCCAGCTTCAGTTGTTGCCGCCGGCAATACTACGCCTGCTCCAATCATGTAATTTCCTTTCTTACTAGAAAGCTGCCAGCAAGCTCCATTGCGCGAACTTTAATTCTCAAATCCCTTACAACTTTCACGAATGCTTGACAACTCTATCAGCACACTCTCTGTGAACCGGCATTGGGACACCCTTGGCCATTGCTTACAACACATCCCACAAGGCATCGCATCCGGGTTTGAATGAGGAGTTGAAGCCGGCATCTGGCCGTGCGAGTACCATGCTCAAATCTACATGGACGTCCGGACACATGTTCCCACTGCCCACAAAAAAATCCACACACATTCGAGCAAGAGCTGCAAGATGTACAGATCTCAAATAATCACTACTCCCCCCTCCCCCTCTCAACACAACCCCATACCGACCCCGTGATTCCACGCAAACGCCTTCACCACGCCACTCAAGTGCGCCGCCGCCCCGAGCAGCACGAAGACATGAAAGATCTGATGGCTCGACCCCCACACGTCGAACGCGCCCGGCGCCCACTTCTCGGGCACTTTGGTCGCGTAGGCGGCGACGCCGGCGCCGTACAGGACGAACTCGAGCGCGAAGAAGCCCCAGCCCATGCGCTCGTGCGCCAGCCCGACGCCATACGCCCGCGCCGCGTGCGCCATGGGCAGGAAGCCGGCCACGCCCAGCGCCAGGAACATGCCTGTCCGGAACGGCCGCCACGCCGGCTTGCGGCACGCCGGCACCAGGCACACGATGGCGGACGCTGCCGCGAGGACCAGTATCTGATGGGATGATGTCGGCAATAATTCGTCCAGTGCTCAAGACTAGTGGAAACAACGAAAAAGAAAAGAAGGAGAAAAAGGGGGGGGGAGCACTTGAGTCTGTCTGGCAGACCACCAGACTCTATGCACACAACAACATATCAGTCACTCACCAGCGTAAGATAAAACTTGGCATCCGCCCGCTGGCAGTAGAAGCCGTAGTAGACGCCCGGCACCCAGCTGCCCGCGATGAGGCAGAGGATGCCGAGGAAGTCGAGCAGCAGCCACCTCTCGTAAATGTTCTCCGAGTGGTTCATGAAGGTGTGGTACGCCGACGAGCACGCCAGGCAGCAGAAGCAACCCGCGAAGAAGCATGCGAAGACGACGACATCCTCGTGCGTCGCCGTCGCGTAGAGCGGCGCGAGCGTGCGCCAGAGGTGGTGGGCCAGGGAGGCGAAGAAGACGAGGCCGAGCAGGTGCGTCCAGATGTTGACCGTCTGGTTGTGCAGGGTCGGGATGCTGCGGATCGAACGGGCGTAGGAGCGGGAGAGCGGCCGGTAAGACGTGAGGATGTATTCGTTGTCTTGTTGCCAGGGTGCAAGTTCGTTGTAGGCTAGCAGAGTGGTGGATGAGTTTGTTGGTCTGCTTCTGGTTTTCTCTTCCATTTTCGCAGCTGCAACCAACGACAGTGCTGGAATCCTGGGGTAATTGAGATTGCGGGGGCCCGTGAGACTGGGCTTGACTGGTCGTCACTGGCAGGTATTCTGGTCGAAGGGCTGGAGATAAAGCAACAATGCAGAACGCTTACACAACGGACGAAAAGGGATACAAAAAAACCCCCCAAAAAAACGCTGGCAAGGATGCAACAACAAACTGATACGCAGGTACCCAAGGACGTGTGGCGAAATTTTATACCTACCAGTACCCGGCAGGTGGGGTAAGGCCAAGCAAGGTTCCGATCCGATCGTGAGGTGGCCAACATTTTCCGGTCCCCAACCCCATGGTACGAAATGGTCCCAGGGCCCCGAGCGTCGTGCAAAAACCACGAATGGTGGCTCGCACTTGGCTCGAAAGCTTTAATCTAGGTCCCAAAGGCTCTTGCAAGTCGGTTTCCGAGAGATGTAGAACTGTCGAATGGCAATCACTCTCACAAGGTTCTTTCCCATGGCAATCCACGCTCTGCTAACTGAGCGCACATCATGGGGTCCCATGTCGGGCAAAGATGGGGAGCAGCTAGTCCCATTTGAAACAACTGTTGGGACCACGACCGACAAAATCCAGGTTGATCGGTGAGGGCGCGGCAATCGGTTATGGCTCGGCGATGCGAGCCCGACATCGCATGAAGATCCGTCTGACCCACCTCTCATGCCACCGGACATGTTGGAAACGATGCTCTGCTGTATGTTCAAAACTACCTTTTGCCCTAGTGCTGAGCGAGATCCTCGTCGTCTTCAGCTTCTGTAGAGTCTTCATAGCTGGCCTCCGAGTCCGAGCCATCTCCTAGAGTGTCCGGAAGCTGGTCGTTCATGTTGGTGGGCAGTCTAGTGCGTAGCCATTCCTCGAAAGCGTTGTCCACATCATCATCCAACGCCTCTGTTGATTCAAAGCGCTCAAAAGGACCATCCTCGTGGGCATCCCCAACGTCGAAACGGGAGAAGCCCATGCCTTGGTCATACACCCCACTCACCTCGTCTTGAAGGTCTTCATCTTCACTGTCAGCATCGTAAATGTCGTACTTTCGTGCCGCTCTTAGGTCTTTGAGCTTCTGTCTCTCCTGGAAGTCGCCGTGGAAGTAGTCATCCTCGAGCGTGTAGCCTTCATTCTTGATGTACCATCGGCGAATGCGGATTCGGCGGGCGTCGCGATACGCTTGCCTCTCCCGCTCAGAAAGTATCCTCATCATCTGCGAGATGCCCTGGAAGAGCTCGGTTTCGCCAGATTTGATTGCTTTCTGTACCTCGATAGCTTTAGATTCCTCCACGTCGCCCTGATGAACCAAACGTTAGCTCTCCTAGACCAGCAGCTCCCAATAATAAAGTATGAACAAGAGGGGGTGTGTTTACCCTCATCTGCAAGTTCAGCTTCATGGCGTAGCACTCTTCCCCAAACAGCCGGTCGAACATGGCCCGCCAATCGAACGACATCTCCCTCGCCTCGTAATCAATCTCCAAGCCGGGTAGCTCCGTATCATTGATAATCTGGCGCACGGTAATGGTATACGGCGACAGATCGATCCTGCAGCCATACCCATTCCCCTGATACAACCTCATCGCGGCCCGCCACCTTTCCGTCAGCGCATCCTCCACCGCCTTCTCATGCCGCCTCCCCTCCTCCTCGTCCTCGCCCTCGTCCTCCTCTTCTTCCTCTTCCCGCAACGCGCGCCTGTTGCTGAAGACGACGCGCTTCCGGTCCTCGGACAGCCGGTCGAACTCGAGCGTGAGGTTCAAGTAGTGCTTCCAGCCGTGGCTGTCGGGCACCATGCCCAGGTCGCGGAACTTGATGTGCGTGCGCGGCTTGAGGTGGCGGTGCAGGAACGCCTCCTCGGCCGCGGCGCGCACCGTCCGCGACACGCGCCGGCAGGACAGCCACACGTGCGGGATGACGTTGCTGTGGGCGATGTTGCTGATGATGCGCACCCAGAGCTCGACCGGGAGCGGCGGGCATCGCCGGGCCGACTCGCTGCTGGATGGCGGCGGCGGCGGTGGCGGTGGCGGGTGGGAAGCCATTGATTTTCTTTGCTCTGTTTTACTGGGGAAGGGATCAGAAGGGGAGTGGACGTCGAGCTTGGGGTGGCGGTGTTGGAGGTCGCCAGTGGACATTGGTGGGGAAAGAGAAGGTGAGAGCGGCTGTAGCGATCCCACCTAGGTAGGCACCACTTGGATGGAACTGGACAAGAGCGAGCACTTCGTTCTCGGTGACACGGTTGCCTGCGAATGAGAATTTTGGGAGGCTATTGTGGAACGATCCGAGCCTCCCGTTACACATGTCGGAGTCAGGGTTCATGATAGGTAAGTAAGCTGCCGAGGTAGATCCTGGCCCTTGCCAACACACGTCATTGATTACATCAACCTCAACATTATCCTCCAAACTTCAGGACAAAACTGACCCGCCTACACGCATGGTGGAATCTTGCATCTAGATGCATTTATACAATCGTCTTAATCCTTGCATCCACATCCGGATATCTGCTTCAGCTACTAGTGAAGACCGGTTCGTTGAAACATACATCTATGTCAACACACTTATCTTAGCTGCCCATATGAAAGTTCGTCGTAGGTCGATTTCTTGTTGACTAAGTAGTACAGGAGGCATGTCTCGCGAATTGCTTGCAGGATGGCGACTACACCTCTGGTGACAACGTAGGAGCCTTCCCCATCCTGGGCTTGCCTGAATTGGCCGGTTATTATTCTGTCTTCAGCGACTTTCAACAGGCCAGCGGGAGTGGCCAAGATTGCTTTCAGAGAAATTATGTCAATTATCTATGTTGGTCTAAAAAGTGCCCTTGGGCTAGAAGTGAGGCAATAGACTAGTGCATGATTAGTACTCGGCGAATCTGACCGAGGATGTCAGGAAAACGAAAGACAAAAGCCTAGCATTTCAAGGGAGATCGAAATTAGAACCAGGGGATAGGTGAGATCATCCATGGATGGATTATTAGAAGGATGAGATCCGAGCATCCCTTCCCCTATCCAACAGTTTTCGAACGCCCGGGCAAGCTGTTTGCTGGGCGTGCATCACACCCATCATTCCTCGAAAATGCTTCCGTCCTCAATCAACTAAACAACATCTCCATAATCGTAAAATCGGATCAAACGTGACTAGCACTACCCGCAGGGCTTCTGGGCGTGCTGTTGTTATTCGTTGGCGTGCGGGCCCTGCTGCTCGGACCCTGGAAACTTGGAACCGCCGGTCCGCCGCTGGTGCCGGGCCCAGCTCCTGTAGCCGTCGCCCGCCCGCTGACGTCTTGCATCTCGACCCCACCTTGCTGGTCCTTGCTGAGCGGGGTAGTGCGCTTTCCGCGACGCTCGCCGAAGCGCTGGTCTCCCTCCTCGTATTTGCGTTTGAACGTGAGGTACGTCGGAGGACGAGGGCGGAGCAGCACTGCCGCAAAGTTCTGCCAAGGAGTCTTTCGCGTAAAGGGGCGGTGGCGATCTTTCTTCAGGAACTTGTGCGAGTTAAGATATTCACGTGTCGTCTCACCGCGGCCAATCAGGAAGATGTGATAGAACCAAAGCGAGGCAGGGTACCAGGTAACGAGGATGCCGTAGATCATCATGGCGAAGGGAACGCGCCAATGAGAGATGGCATCTCCAAAGGTTCGTGCTTCCTCGGCGTAGGTCCAGGCAAGAAGATGACCAAGGCTCGCAGCAAACAGGAAGGCCCCCAATAGCGTTGCGGAACTGACGAAAACGAAAAAGTACCGGTAATTGCGGCGGCCAACACAATTGTTCAGCCATACGCAGTGGTGATCCTGCGTCTCAATGCAGTTGTCGCAGACACGGCAGTGGTGTGCACGAGGCGGGCGCCAGATATTGCATGACTTGCAGTATTTGGTCGGGACCTCCATAGCAGCTGTTTGAGAGCTGGCTGATTTGACCATCACCCATTCGGTGGTGGGTGGCCCAACGGCCAACGGGTCTTCCGAGGGATCCGGCGGCGGGAACGGGTGGAGATTACGAGGAAGTATCTAATGGCCGGTTAGCATAGCAGGAGTGGACTTGAAAAAAATATGAGACTTACGCCAGGGTCGGAAAGGGAGGCATGGATGAAGGAAGAAACGCAAACTAAAAAGAGGTACGCAAACAGAATGGGTATCGCTGGTGAAACGTTAAGCCATAACCACGGTGCCCTGGAAGGTTTGGTCAGCATGAACGCTCGGGGCACTTCAAAAGTGGCCTAGTCTTACGAGAAAATGAGAAAAAGAATTGCAGGAACCGCAACAAGTAAAGCAGTTCCAATGCTGATAGGCCGATCCCTAGTATTCTGCAGTCTCCCACCCCAGCAGAAAACGGTGTTGCCGGTGAAATACTCGTAGTTCTTCCCCAGATTCATTTCTTTCTGGACCTCGGCCTTGGTGATGTCCGTTGCAGTGTCCTGCGCCTGTAGTCTGGGTGAGGACGCTGCCGAAGACAACTTCTCGTGGCCCTGCCCTTGCGGACGAACGGAGCCGGAATTATGGCTACGGCTAGGTAGCATGAAGCTGGATCGAAATGAGCGTGGAGACTTCTTTTCGGGTGGAACCAGGGAGCCAGACTTGTTTGCACGCGACAGGTCCAGGTGCGGAGGCGCCTCGTTTCTAAGCGGCTGCTGCAGAGGGGTTATGCTCTCGCCGTGGCTACGGACTGTATCGGGAACAGTAGGGGTGGTATTTGCTGTGGTGCGGTCGGGAATGTACTCGCGTTCGCTGAACTCGGTGGGAGAGGGGGGAGGCCGTCCTTCCTGCTCCTGGGAGGTGCTCTGGGCCTGGCTGGGTACCGAATTAATACTGTTGCGGTAGGAGCTGAAACCTAGTTCACTCTGTCCATCGTGCGAGAGGGAGTTGCGCCCCAGGACGGACCCTGGTCGCTGCCCTCGTTGTCCTTGTAGCCTTTGCGCGCTCATGGGCCGGAAGAAAGCCGACTGTTGAATTCCTGCGACGTGTGACTTGCTTTGCGACGTGGGGGGGCGGTTGCCGCCGCTATTTGTGCTACCAGGCCCTGCATTCTGTCCAGTGGTGCCGCGAGAAGGCGGGGCCCGAGACCAAGTCCGACGATTGCCAGTAGTCGACACGGACGAGGGCCGCGACGGCGGCAGTCCAGACTCGCCGGGCGGGCCGGTCACACCAGAGACGCGAGATGCGCGGCGCACCTGCGAATCCTGAGGGAGTTCCTGCGGGTCGCCATCCTCAGAGGCTATGTCGGTCATGCGTGAGGAGATGACGCTGTGGGCGTCATGGGCGCCGGTGGGAATCTCGAGGGGAGTCGGGAAGGAGCTGCTGGGAGTCGAGGAGCGCTGCGGGCTGGTGGGAGCGGTCATTTCGGCGCGACAAGCGGACTTGCAGCGCGGTGGCGGGGGGTGATGGAGGAGAACGGTGGGCGTGGTAGAGAGCGTGGGCACGAATGCATGACCCAGCCAAGAGGCGCGCGGAGGGCTCGGATGCCGGAGTGCGAGGGGCCGACAGGGCTAGCGAGGCGGATCTCGAGGCGGGGGGCTCGTGCAGAGAGAGAGCGTGGGTGCTGGGGAAGCGTCAGAGCGGCATGGCAGGCGTCGTCGAGCGCAGGTCTGGCAGCGACGAGACAGCGCGCAGAGGAAAGAAGGAGTTGGCCTGAGAATCGCTGGCCCATGCAGTCAGGAGTGACCTCGGCCCAATCATGAGCGCCGCCCTGCAGATCGCCTAGAATTTTGCTGCAGGCTGCCGCATCCAGCGCGCTAACGCCGCCGCCCGCCGCCGTGCGCGACTCGGGCGCGCCCTGACATCAGCCTGCCGCGGCCGCAGCTTGTTCCGCTCCGCGCCACGTGACCAGGCCTATCAAGGCGCCCGCAATAATGTAGCTGCGCGGTGGTCTGACTTCATCCGCATCTCCCCCCAGCCCGACAAGCTTCACCTATCAACCATGTCCGCCATCATCGGTCGCGCTGCTTTCCGCGCCACGCGCCCCCTCCGCTTCCAGGCCGTTCGCCCTCTCCGCGCCGACCAGGTTGCGGACAAGCAGGCCAGCAAGGACGCCCTTAAGCAGGCCGGCAAGAAGGATCCCGAGCTCTACGTGTGCCTGCCCGCTCCAATTGCTCGCCCGCGCGCGCCCCGATACTGACCCGGTGCTGCTGCACAGGTTCTCTGGACCGTCATGGCCGGCGCCTTCGGCCTTGCCGGCTGGTACTTCTGTAAGTCGCAGCCCCTCGGCTCTGCGCCGCGACTGCCAATGGCGTCATGGACCCTTCGGACAACCATCTGATGCACGGCCGCCCCCATATAGCTCGCTCTCCCACGTCCTCCACCTCGGAAAAGTCCGTCCCCAAGGTCGCCGGCAGCGAGCCCTGGATGTCGGGCAGCGACGGCAAGTACCAGTACTACCCCGGTGGTGACTCCACCCAGGCTCCTCGCGACGCTCCGTCCGCCCTGAACACCGTCATCATCCCCAACGTCAACCTCCCCAAGGTAAGCGCCATACCCGGTGTCGCAGATCACCGCGTACGGACGAACGGAACCAGGATGGTTGCGCTGATGAAGCTTCACAGGAGCTTCACGAGAAGTACAACAAGTACGGCAAGGAGGGCTACTAGATCAGCATCGCATGCAAAGAGCAAACGGAGAAATAGAGGTTTGGTTGAAGACGTGACAACGCTGTTGTTTGTGTACAGAGTTTTGATTCCCTGCGGTGTAGAATAAGACCGACCTATTGCTGTCGATTCGCACAGTTCATCCAATGCTTGCCCCAAAATCAGAGCGATGTTCAGCAGCCACCAGATAGCTGCGCGGCTTTTTTTTTTCTGACCGGGGGCCTCATGACCCACAGCCGCTCAGTGTCGTGGAAGCGAATCTGAACTCGTATCTGTTGGCCGCAGACTCAGTGATAATTTGGGAACGATATTGAGGCTGAAACGGACGAGTCTGCATCCTAAAAACAGTAGTGGAAATCGTAGACAGACTAATCCTATCGTTCTTCTTCGGCTGACCTGCCAATTTAAAGGTCTCGGCTTTGGAAGTAGTCCGTTAATGCATCTCTCCTCGTTCTATTTTTTCCGGAAACGCCTGCATCTATGAATCGCCGCCTTTTTCAAATACTTCAAAACTGCCTTTCGCCGTCAGAGATCATTAAGGCGCTGCTGCATCTGTCCCAAAGTACGACGGTGCCAAAATCCGCCATATGCTCAGACATCTGCCATGTCTTCCGTCGTCTCCTCGCCTTTCCCCACCTTCTCCTGTTCTTTTTTCCTTTCCATCTTCTGGCGCATAGCCAGCTTCCTCGCGAGCCCGGCATCCTGGTGAACCAGCGTCATCTCGTCCACGACACGCAAAATGGTATACGCCTTCAACTCTTCCACGAGCGGACACCAGTCGGTTACGTGCTGCACGCTCGCCGCTCCCAGCGTAGATGAGTGGAAGAGGCGGACGCAATCTGGCATCAAGGTCGATGATCGAGGGGAGCAACTCAAGGCACTTGTGAATCACACGCGTGTCGTATAGCCTGGTGTAGGGTGTGCACTTGGATTGTGCTGGAATGCTTGCCAGGAGTTCATCGGGGTTCCTGGTCCTAAGGGAATTGGTCGAGAACAGATGTGGTAAGAGCTGAGTTTGAGGCGGAAGTGGTCATCAGGGTTGCTGGTCGGGAGTCGGTTGTGGAATGGTTAATGATTGAGGAGGTACAGGTTCCAATGGGTCAGTAGCAACTGTTGTTCGCATTCACATAACAATGGGCACAATCAATCTCGTCTCTGCATTTTCGTAGGTTATTGTGACTGCTGAAGACATTGCATCGGTAGTACCCAGCCACCAAGAAAGGCTATATGTCTTGTCGGAATGGCTTCTTGCAAGCCTGTGGCCTCGTATGAAGTGCTGGTCCGGGAAAGTGGTTGCCGCTTCGGACGTTGCTTACGTCAGCGTCCGGCTACAGAAGATGAAACACCCTAGGTCGCTCCCGTCTCCCTTCAACTTCCATCCCTTTTCCAGCTGCCTCCACCGCCATTCTATTCCCACAACAGCCATATCGCCGTCGATAAGTTAGATGGCGCATTGCGCACATTTCGCTCCTGGGACACGCGATGCTACCGATCAAATTGTCCGCTCCCTTCTGGCACTGATCACCGCTCGAACTCGCGTATACAGTTTCTCGCGTGGTGGCGTGCTCAGATCCAAACCATATGTCGATTGTGGGCCCAGCTGCAGAAAGCGACCGGCGTAGGACCGGTCAGGGCCTCTGGTTCTCTGGTGATTTGGCTTTTCTCAGGTCCAATGCCGAGAATATAAGAGACCTACTGTTATGTATCAGTATTTGACCCACTCACTGAAGTTGACGATAACGCTGTTGCTACAACAATGCAACACCGTTGGCAGAAGGAGCCGGTGCTATTCACCCACAGACTACTCTACAACCAACCGTCAACCCTCTTCAAAACTCGTGAATACGATTATTCAAGCAGGAAGCAAGTCAAATTGAACTACCGTGAACTCCGCATCACACAATGGATAACCTACTTTAGCCGTGCTTGGATCAAGAAATAGTATGATCGGGACGGTCTGCGGGGTACGATTATACAACACGAGAGCGGAGTGTCCTGGAGATCCTCTAGCCACGTTTGAGCAACGAATCGCCAAGCAAGCGGATAAATTGCCAGGATTGCAGGATGGCTGGCGGCTTGGAAAGCTTAGCCTGAGCTTTACTCCTGTCACCCTCACCCATGGCAAGCATACGCCATACGGCTGTGTGACGGCATCAAATTGATTGCGTGGTGTGGCAAACAGCTGCATCCGGCCAATGCTGAACCGAAACACTCAGATGCCTTTTTTCCTTTCGAACATGCATGGCTGTAGCTGACTCTGCTGACGACGGGTCTGCTCCACAGACACGGCATGACGGCCAGGAGAGTCGGCTTCATGCGGTGCGAGAGTGGTGACAGCCTAACGGCCGAAACAAGAGGGCGTCCACAAACGGACGGACCAGCTCGGCTAGCATGATGCACGTTACGGAACGAGGCCTAGGGTTAATTAATCGCGACGACATCCGGCTTTGCAAACACCGTTCCCCACTTCTCCTGGCCGTTTATAGTCCGCCAAGCTTCGTTTAGCCGCGGGCGATTTCTATAGAGTATCGCGTTATGGTCGGGTCTGGAAGCCCCCCGTGTTTTGGAAACACTGGCTTGTTTGAAACACCCTGGGTGCCTGAGCAGCACAATGCCGCCCCTCCCATCTTCGGCTCTTGGCTATAAAGACGGTTCCTCCCGCCGTCTGGATGCCGCAGCCCAGCCCGCAAACAATTACTTTCGTTGATATCATGGTTTCTTTCAGCTCCCTTTTCCTCGGTCTTGCCGCCGTCTCCGGCGCCTTCGCTGCTCCTGCCGCTGAGGCGGGCGAGCTGGTTGCCAGGCAGTCTCTCACTGCCAGCCAGACCGGTACCAACGGCGGCTACTACTTCTCCTTCTGGACCGACGGCGCTGGCGACGTCACCTACACCAACGGTGCTTCCGGCAAGTACAGCGTTGAGTGGTCCGGCGGCGATGGCAACTTTGTTGCTGGCAAGGGTTGGAGCACTGGCAGCGCCAGGTAAGAGATCCCCTTTGCTATCCAACTCACGTACAGTGAGCTGACCCGCTCCCCAGGAACATCAAATTCTCTGGCGACTTCAGCCCCAACGGCAACGGCTACCTGTCCGTCTACGGCTGGACTACCAGCCCCTTGATCGAGTACTACATTGTCGAGTCCTACGGTGACTACAACCCGGGCTCCGCCGGCACCAAGAAGGGCACCGTCACTTCCGACGGCAGCACCTACGACATCTACACGTCGCAGCGCACCAACGCCCCCTCCATCCAGGGCACCGCCTCCTTCACCCAGTACTGGTCCGTCCGCCAGAACCACCGCAGCAGCGGCACCGTCACCACCAAGAACCACTTCGACGCCTGGGCCAAGCTCGGCCTCACCCTTGGCAGCCACAACTACCAGATCGTCGCCACCGAGGGCTACCACAGCTCCGGCTCCTCCAGCATCACCGTCTCGTAGATGCCTTCCTCCTTCTAGGTCTGTTGATAGCATCCTTTGCCACATCGACAGCGCCGAATTGAGGAGCTTCTCTTCGAGGTGCGCGCTGTTTGTGTTTTTTCAGTTGTACATAAATAAGTTCCAGAGCATTTCTTCCTACTTCATAGCCCCTGCAGCGGGTTAAGAGTTGGGAACTGTTCGCTCATACCATTGAGTCACAATACAAAAATGACCAATTGACCATGGCAAATGTCAGCCATGAATAAAACTTTGATCCCGCGCTTTGAATGATGTCTTTCGTGAACGCATGGGGACTCCGATGATGCTATCCTAGACTTCAGTCTCATGACATTCCCGGCAAAGTCGTGCTTTGACCTTGACAAGACCCGCCGCCAGTCCAGTCCGAGTGTCCCTCATTCTTGCGCTTTTCTGTTCACATTCGGGGTCCACGGGCAAGACGGTCGGGCTAAGGGCAGACGTTGAGGAACTAAGCGTACCCTCGTAAATCAAAGGCTTCGCTGGGAAACTTTCTCCATCCGGTCCACAAATTAGAGAGAATAGTGACAGCCGCTACCGTTGGTCAATGCCACGTATCCGAGACCCATCGGACCAGCACATTCGTCGCAGGTGGCCGAATTTTCCTCAAATGAGCAGGGCATGCTGGCCGAAGACCCGGCAAAAGTAAACCCCATACCCCTGGACTACGGGGATTATAGATTAATTGGCAAGGAAAAGACGAGATGAAGGACACAGTATGTGAAGAAGGTCTCGCGCCGTGAACGCAACCCGACTCTGAACCAGCGGGCATATTATTTTGTAACCGCGCGCGCCGCGTGAGAAAGGAAAGGTGGTCATGCAATAATATCTAATTGGGTATCTAATTGACTTCTATCCAATGCGCAGCCACTCGGCAAGCCAAGTATTTGGTTTTTGTGCTGTAGCACTAAGGCCTTCGCAACAGGTTACGCTGTTTTCAAGCCCGTGTTGCGTTGACCTCGCCAAACTCTCCAGAAGTCTTCTCGCTTTCGAAAAAAGTAGCCATAAATCTGGACAATCCAAATGCGTAAGAAGTCTACTTCTACGTAGGAGGGTTGTGCATATCTTCGTCGTGCTAGTTGGTCGTTACCGTTGCTGCTCCCCATGACCAGTATGGACGGGGGCCAAGAAGAAAAGAAGTGTCCCAGCAATCTCCCGCTGTGACACAACAAGGTATCGAATTGTTGATGCAATGATGAGGTTTCGGGCAGTCGTTAGTTTTCCACTCATTTTGGAGATTTGAACTTCTCCCATTTGAAGGGATGAAACATGCCGGGAGGTAGGCAGGTTCCCTTTTTGAGGAAATTTGACCACACATGCTGCGATGCGTGATCATATCCCTCGCGCGGCCACCACCAGGTCAACTTCTCCAACGTCCTGTGTGCAGCGCCCTCCCAGTTGTATTGGCTGTCTGGACCACCCCCAAGATTCTCAGGGCCTCCTGAATTGAACAGCCAATCGATCATTTGATCATCTTCAGTGCCGTTGAAGAAAACGGGATGCTGCACGTGTACCGCCTTGAAACCGTGATGAAATGCCATGGTCTCCATTGTGGCCTCGGAAGCCATCCAGAATCCGTACTGCTGTTGCAGTGTGTGGACAGCGGAAAGCAGCTTCTTCGAAGTACGTGTCATGGCCACTGGAGCTGCAAAGTGCGGGAGCTTCTTCTTCTTGATCTGGAGAGGATCGTTGTGAACCATGCCTCTAAACAGCCAAAAGTTTGTTGTCCGAACATCGACGATCGGAGCAAGCGTGATGAGATCCGCTTCTTCACCGACACCCCAGTTCTTGCCATGTTCACGGACCTCGTCAGCACGCTTGTTGTTCCACAGCGTGTCGTTCATCAGCGTCCATAGGTCCTGCCACGAGCCCTGGAGGCCGGGAAGATACCAAGCGGAGTTCATGTTGGTGAGATAGAGCCGAGGTTGTTCCTTCGCCCATGAAGCCATTCGCTCAAAGGCCTTGAGGTGCGGTGTAGTTGCGCGCCAGTCCATTTCGAATTGCCAAAAGTAGTCAAAGTCGGGAGCAATGTTTGTGGCGAAGAGCTGCAAGGCCTGATATGCCTGATGAATGTAGCTGCGGTTGGATCAGCAATCATCCACGCCAAAGATTCAAGGGCAACGCACCTATGGTTAGGCACCTCAGGGTACCACTCCTTCAGAAGGTTCTCGTTCCATAAGTAGGCCATGCCCCTGAACTCCTCGGGCACGTGTTTCCGGATGACGCGGTCGTAGGCCTCGGGGTCGAGGAAAATGCGTTGTTTCAAGTCCTTCACCTGGACCAGAATAAAGAGCTCGTACACGCCGCCAGACTCCAGGGACAGTTCGACAATCAATGACCTGATATAGGCGATGATGTCTCCGGCCCAATTGAAGCCTTCGGTAGTCCTCATGACGACAGCGGTTCGCGGGGCGGACTTCCTATAGTCCTGGTCCGGGGTTTGGACGGTCAAATGACCATTGGGCTTATGATCTGGAAGATGAAAGCGTTTGCGCGGCTGGCTCCCACGACCACCGGGCAAGAGGCCATTGCTTGCGGCACACTCATGCTGTTCCTTGCTCCAGTCACGACCGAGCCAGACTGAGTTGCCATCAGTGTACTTGTTGTCTGGGTCAAATCCGTAGGGGGCTAGGCGCGTGGTTGCGTTGTAACAGTGGTTGGAGCTGTCAAGTAGGTTCGGGAGGCCGAAAAGATGTCGGAGGGCTGCGGATTCAATCAGCATGATCCGGCGCAGCGGACATGGAACGCACTCTGTTTTCTGGTTATGGTGGGGACCTTGGCGCGGTCGGCACGATAGGATAGTTCGGGGTCGAGGGCGCAGGCCTTGAAGGTTCTTCGGTGGAGCAGCGGTCCGGCGGGAGAGGCGGCGAAGAAGTAGATGGCAGCGAGCAGCGCGAAGGCGAGCAGCAGAGTGGACGAGCGCCGCGCCATGCTGGGCAGCCACGCAGAGCGGACTTGGCGGGAGGAATGTCGGGGCAGAGGTGGAGAAGGATGCGCAGGAGAGCGCTGAAGACGACGGGCTGCGCCCTTGCAGTAGTCGACAGGCGCAAGGGACGCTACTCAGGCGGGCATTTTGGTCGTCAGTGACAGATTAACGGGCTGACGCCATGAATAGCTATCGGCGGCTCCAGGGGAAGCCGCGATCGAAACGGGGGCCGTGCCAAGCACACGTTGCAGCCTTCGCGAGCACGCAAAAGCACTGCCACTCGATCGCCAGCCCGCTCCGTTTGCGCGCACCCTTCGTTTTACTGCAGCTCCCGCCGCCCGCCCGCCCGCTCGCTCTGAAAACATGACGTACAGTCCAGGCACGTCACGCATGCGAACACCCTCGTCCCGCTACCGCGGCGCTCTGCCCCATCCGGACGTGCAATTGTGGATCCTGGCTTAGCACACACAAAGCCTCGAAGCCGCCCGCTGGCCCTGCCGCTATCGCCAGCAGCATCGAGGTGGGCCCGCTCAACACTCCCCGCATTTGCCAAGGACAACCAAATAGCCATGAATGTGGAGGATGAAACGCGCTGCCCTGCTGTGCCATCCTCAACCCTGGGCATAGTGAGCTCAACTCATCTCGCGATAGTTCGCCGGACTCCATGACGTGTCTCTTTTGATGGTAGTGATTCTTCACACGACTGCCAATCCTCTCGGATCCACTGCTGTTGCTGTCTCGGTGAGGGTTGACGGAAACGGTCTAAGACTCAGAGCAGAGCCACCGCGAAGCCCGGTGCTCCACTTTAAAAAAAAAAAAAGGGCTGGTGACATCGTAGCCACTATAAGCATTCTCCTCTCATGAGAAGTAGCGATGATTGAACCACAGCATATTCGGACAAGCCGCTGCACTTCACAGATGCTAATGTCAAAGCTGAGACCGAAGCCTGTCAGGATGCTTTGAGTCACACCTCAAGACTTAGAGGGGTTGTATCTCATGGGCCGGCGCGATCCACCGGCATGTCCACCGGCACGTCCACCGGTAGACGTGCCGGTGGATCGCCCCGGTCTATGAGATACGATGCAGTCAAAAAAAGAAAGTGGAGATCCAGTCTGTCAATCTTCTCCACGTTATCGGACAGCTGGCTGCAATGTAACACATAAGGAGGGTACCTCTCCGCCGTGAGAGTTTGCGCCGATTGCAAGTCGAGCAGTGGATTTCCTTTGGCCAACCCTTCCAAAAAAAAACTCACTCTACCATGGCTACCTCGCTAGATACTCTAATTCAAGCCCCAGAAGTGAGTCATTCTGTACCGTTCCTCCGAACACCACACTAATGCGGGTAAATAGGGAACGAAGCTATGGGTATGCTCCCAACGTCTGACAAAGTACTACCGGCAGGCTAATGGTTGGCAAAGCTCCTCCATCTTGGTAATCTGGAGGCCGATGAGGGTTGGTTCAAGCGGGGTGTTCGTCTTCCCTGTCGTTTCTTTGTACGGAAGGCTGATTGTTTTCAAGGGCGGCACTACCCTTGCTTCCAATCCCACGAACACAGCAGAACGCAGAGAATTGGTGGTAATCGGCGTGCTCATAGAACACCCAGCCGAAGGCCTCATCCTGTTCGAAACAGGTCCCGGCAAGGACTACCCGACCACTTGGGGTGCTCCATTGAACGACATCTTTGCCCAGGTCAACTACCATCCCGATCAGGAACTCGAGAAACAGATCGAGAAGACGGGGCACAAGCTATCCGACATCAACGCCGTCATAATGGGCCATCTGCATATCGACCACGCCGGAGGCCTTGAGCTGTTCCGCGGCACAGACGTGCCTATATATGTGCACGAGCAAGAGCTGAAGCATGCGTTCTACAGCGTTGCCAGCAAGTCGGATGTTGGTGTCTATTTTCCGCAGCACCTGACATTTGACTTGAACTGGACGCCCTTTCATGGAGATTTCCTTGAGATCACGCAGGGTCTCACTGTCCGCCATGCGCCTGGCCACACCCCTGGCCTCTGCATCTTGCAAGCAAACCTAAAGGACTCTGGCACGTGGATCTTCACCACGGATCAGTATCACGTTCGTGAGAATTTTGAGGCGAGCCACCCCCAGGGATGGTTAGCCCGCGACCACGATGATTGGGTCAGAAGTCACCAAATGGTCAAGATGCTGCAGAAGAGGACGGGCGCGAAGATTGTGTTCGGCCATTGCAAGGATACATTTGAGCAGTACAAGCAGGCGCCTCACGCGTACACATAGACTGGGAGAGCACACCGCTGCGGCGTTTTCTTGGACTTCTGGTCGTGCGAAAGTAGGAGGGCAACCCTGATGATCGATGTCAACATAAGTCATTACTATCACAAAGATCATGATATTTTCTTCTTTTTGGCTACTCCGGGTCGAAGAAAACGATGACAATGTTGAAGGAAGGCTCCAAGAATCTTCACACATCTATGACGGAAGATGGTTATTGTTACCACAGCCTTATGTGGCTTGGCGTCATCCATGAGGCTGCGGGGCGCGGGTGATCCGAGCTCCTTGGACCCCTGCACGCTAACGTCATGTCGCTCGATGCGCGCATTGTAACGTGGGGAACTCACCACATGCAAAAGATGGCTCAACACTCGACAACCGCATGTTCCGCAGAAGCCTCACGAGCCTGCGTGCAAACCTGCCCAACATGAAGCTTGACGATGCCGTTGCTCAAGCCATTGGCATAGACTCGTCTATTGCCAGCGTGTCGTCTGCCGGCGGCGGAGGCATGTCGTCAGCCTCAACGTCCAAGATCACGGCGAAGATGCCCGGCGGCGGCGAGAAGCAATTCTTCATGAAGACGGGCAAGGGCAAAGATGCGTCCGTCATGTTCGAAGGTGCGAATCCAAGCCAGCCCGATAGCTCCGCTGACCCGACCATCCAGGCGAGCACGCCTCCCTCAAAGCCCTGCACAGCGCGGTGCCAACACTCTGCCCGCAATCCTTCGCCCACGGCACCTTCACCTCCTCGCCTTCGACCCACTTCCTAGTGACTGACTACCTGCACTTGACATCACGACTCTCGCGGGGCGCGTCTGGCACTGCGCCCTCCCTTGCCGCCAAGCTGGCCAAGTTGCACACCACGCCCGCGCCCACACCAGCGGGCTACTCGCAGCCGCAGTTCGGCTTCCCGGTGACGACGTGCTGCGGCGACACGCCGCAGGAGAACGACTTCAAGTCGAGCTGGGCGGACTTCTACGCGGAGCACCGGCTGCGTTTCATTCTGCGGCAGTCGGAGCGCAGCAACGGCGGCGACAAGGAGCTGCGCACGCTCGTCACGCGCACTGCCGACGAGGTCGTGCCGCGCCTGATTGGCGACGCGCACCTCAACGGCGGCAAGGGCGTCACGCCCGTCGTCGTGCACGGCGACCTGTGGAGCGGCAACGCGTCGCGCGGCAGCATCGGCAGCCTCGACGCCGAGCCCGAGGACGTCGTTTACGACCCCAGCGCTTGCTACGCCCACAGCGAGTTCGAGCTCGGCATCATGAAAATGTTCGGCGGCTTCGGCGGCAGCTTCATGAAGGAGTACCACGAGATTTGCCCCAAGACGGAGCCGGTGCAGGAGTATGAGGACAGGGTGGCGCTGTATGAGCTGTATCACCATCTGAACCACCATGCGCTCTTCGGTGGTGGATATCGGTCTGGTGCGGTGAGCATTATGGAGCAGCTGCTGAGGAAGTATGGTACAAAATAGATGAAGGAAGAGTGCAGCGGCCTCGACGAGGGCCCAGAAAGCGACAGCTTAACGCAATAAATTCTAATTTCGAAGTTCGCAACGGCGAGCTCAGTGCATTGAAAAGTAACTTTTGCTACTTCCTTACTGCATGTATGTGCATGGACAGAGACGGCGCCTTGTTGTCGCAGTGTTACGGCTTCTACCAGTGAGGATCTGACGGAGATCATGCAGGAAACGTGAAGCCAGCAAAGTGGACACGTCTGCGATTGGGGGGTGCCTTGCATAGCGTTTTACAGCTAAGACGAGGCAAGATTCGAAGTGATTCCACGAAGCTGCAAGCGAGGCCCTCGATGCGACCTCCAAGCGACCGAGGCTAAAGTGAGGCAGATACTGCAGGCCGAACACATCGTGCATCATGCGCGGCGGCATGGATGAACGTGTCATGATGTGCCGGGCGCTAGCGATGATTGGGGGAAGTCGGTGACAGCACCGACTGCAGCGACTGCAGGATGCCGAAGGGTCCAATTGCAGAGCCGCACGATTGGCAGGGTCAATTAATGCGCGGGCTGGGGCCGGGGTAAAAGTCTGCGCGCGTTTCACGCGCTGGCTGGCTGTCTTCTGTCAGCTGGCGCCCGACGGGGCGGAGACAAAATGGCGGCAGACGTGGTGCCTGGAGGATTCGCAGGGCCGAGGCGGCAAATGGGGGCCAGGCTGTGGCAGCGTAGAAGCGCGGGAGCGTGGAAGCAGGCTGTGTTCTAGGATCGACCTGGCCAGGCACCACGGGCCACACATGACGGCGCGAGGCGCTCGACGCGTGCGCTGACGGCCATGACCGCATCGGCAGCACCACCACGACACGTCGCAGGCGTTCGTACGTGGAGCACGGGCGCGTGGAAAACAGGGCACAGCCGTTGGGAGCCTCCGGGCGGGCGCAGGGTCAGATCGGGCCGGAGCAGCCGCCTGTCGCAGCGCCCTGCTGGCGGCCACCATCCAGCCACCATCCCAGCCTCCGCACCACCACCATGACCATATATCCAAGCATGCCGGGCGCTGCGCCCACGCCGGTCCCGAAATGCCACCGCGCCATCTACCCACACTTCGCTCCGGCCTTTCGTCACACCCGACATGAGTTCGAATGAGCCGCTGCTCGCGTTGAAGCACACCAACGGTATGTATGACGAACCCGGCCCGCCCACCATCCCGGCTGCGCCCCGCCGCCCCAAGCCATGCATCATCCGTCTGACAGCACATGCAGTTAGCAGGCCGCATATCCAGCACAGCGCCTCGCAGCAAAGCATCTCCGCCTCCGAGGACTACTACACCGTCTCCGAAATCTCGACCAGTTCCGGTGATGACCGCTCGCAAACCACAATCATCCGCCACAACACCCCGCCCGAGCTCTACCGCACCCCGCTCCAGAGCCATGAGCAACTAACCAACCCCCGCCGCCTGTCCACCCTGCAAGAGGCTCGCAAATCGCGCGAGGCAAACACCGGCGTCCCGCGCACCGTCAATTTCGACGAGACGTCCATCCCCCAGCGCTCAATGCCGTCCCGCGGCCCCGCCGTCCAGGACCCGCGTCGCAAGAGCGGCAGGGAGTCCGAGTCCGTGTCTACCACCCCCGGCGTCGACGACACGCCCTACATCCGCTTCGCCATTGACCAGCTCACCCGCGATGAGGAGGTCCGTGGCTCCAGGAAATATCCCGCCGGCACCCGCGCGAGCGCAGAGCAGTACCCTGTGCAGCGCCTGGTTTCGCCCGAGACCGTTGCCTATGTCCCGCAAGCGCCGACCTACGAGGCTGATGAAACCCCCGAGAGAAACCCTTCGCGCCCAGCGCCAATGGAGCCGCTCAATGGTGAGTCAAATGCAATAAGCCCGGCCCCTATGCATGCTAAGCGTCTGTAGTGCAACAACGGGACATTTTCGTGCCGTACCACCCGCAGACCAAGTCTGTTCAGTTCCCGCCTCTTACATTCCTTCCTTCCATCCTGCGCCCACTATGGCTCGGCATCTTCGCTTCCCTCTGCGTCCTGATGATCACCGGCTTAATCGTGAGCGCCGTGTGGTCCGACACATATTCTGGCCTCCTCGACTATGGCAGTCTGGGCGACGGCAGTTATTTCCTTTTCCAATATGTGCCAACGATCTTCGGCATGGTTATCCTGGTGTGGTTGCACCAGATCGTCGCTGCACTACAGCGCATCTCCCCGTTCATGGCCCTGGCCTCGGAATCCTCGAAATCGCGGTCTGAAGGCGTCTTTCTCGATTTATATCCGACCCAGTTCCTTTACCCGACTCTCCAACATTTCCGCGCCGGTCAACCCCTCATTGGCGTATTCTACATCATCTCGTGGATATTCCTCTTCACCATCCCTCTCCTTGGCTCGGCCTACAATGTCCGCTTCTTTGGCGCTTTACGCAACGGAACCTGGCGATGGCTGGCAGTTCAGGGCGTTATTTGGGCCGTTGTTGCACTCTATTTCTTGCTCATTGCAGGCCTCATTTGCGTTGTTGTGCAACTTCGAAAGCCTACCGGCCTGAAATGGGACCCCCGCTCCATCGCCGACTACGCCACCCTTCTCGAACGCTCTAATGCTATCAGCGATTACAGCGACACGGAGATCTTGGAGACGTCTTCGGAATTCAGGGAAAGACTTGCCAGCCGCACTGATCGCCTTGGGTACTGGAACACCTCGGCGCGCCCGAACGACATCTTTTATGGCCTCGGCGAGCCTGGTGGAGATCCCCGCAGATATACTGTGGTGGCAGGAAGACTCAGGGAAAAGCAGGACTATGCATCTGAAGGCACAGACTTGGAAGCGGCTAGGCCAGGGGACCTCCGCTTGGACATCCGCGTCGAGTCGGTGCGGAGACGCTACCTTCCGTGGTTCCTTACCGACTCGTACGTGGTCGCTTGGATCATCGCCGCTGTGGTCCTCTACCTGACCTTCCTCATCGTCAGCTTCGTCAACGATGCAGTGATCCAGGGCTTCGATCCACGCGTCTCTGTGGCGGCTAATCCTGCTGGCTTCTCGGCCTCCAACTTCCTCTATTCCTTCCTCCCTATCCTGCTCACCATGTTCCTTTACCTATTCTTTCAAACGCTCGACTTTGCGCTCCGTCGTCTCGCCCCGTACGAGGCCTTGTGCACACCAGGCGGCGCATCCGCGGAAACATCTATCCTCCTCGATTACCCGGCACGCCTGCCCGTATCCGTCACGCTTGCCGCGATCGCCAACCACCACTGGCGTGTAGCGCTCTTCTCCTTCGTCTCCCTCATGACCGCATTCACCCTCCCCGTCCTCGCCTCGGGCCTCTTCTTCACGCAGTACTACCCCTCAGACGGCACACTCCGCGTCGCCGCCCACCCGGCCGCCTACTACGCCCTCTGCGTCTTCCTCGCCATCTACATCGTCGCCGTCTGCATGCTCGCCACGGGCCGCAGCGACATGGCACTGCCCCACGACTCGCGCACCCTCGCCGAGACCGTCTCCTGGCTCTACCAGTCGCGCATGCTGACGGACCGCGCCTTCAGCCGGCCCGCCACCAAGGCCGAGCTGGTCGCCCGCCTCATGGGCCCCGTCTACCTCGAAAAGGGCTTCAACCGGTCGCTGCGCTCGCTCGCCATGCCCGGCGCCGCCGGCGCCTTCGCCTTCGGCTCATCAAAGGCCAGCCTGCGCGCCGCGGCCGAGAAGCAGCAGAAGGAGCAAAACGACATGGCGGCCGCCTTCTCCGCCACGGGCCACCACGACGACGGCCACGGCCACGGCAGGGTCGGCTCCGCCTCGTCCCGCCACCACAACTACCAGTTCATCCCCGAGGACGAGTCGATGATGCACGTCGCCGGCCACGCCGTCGGCCCCGACGAGCTCCGCGCCATGGCCATGGAGAAGCGCCGCAGCCTCATCGACCCCGGCAGCATCATGTACGGCTTCGGCGTGCACTGGGGCCGCGACGGACGGGAGCATCTCGGCGTCGACCGCGTGCAGAGGGGCGAGAGCAGGATGATGCATTTTGATTGATTGGTCGATTGATTGATTGGTCGATTGATTGATTGGTCGATTGATTGATTGGTCGATTGATCCTTGTCCCTTGTGTCGCTTGATCAACTTTCTTCTTCTTCTTCTTTTGATCCTTCTATTTTTGAAAGCGCATTCTGTTTCTGTTCCTTTCTTTTATCTTCGTTTCGCAACACTTAAGAAAAAGATTGATTGATTGCGTGCGTGCGTTCGCGCGACCTATACCCTTTTTTGCTCAAAGCACTTTTTTTATTTTTATTTCTTCCATCTTTTTTCCTTTTCTTTGTAATTTAACTTTTTTTTTTAGACATGTTCGGAACGAAGGTACACGCAGACGACGGGAAAAAGGGACGACGGCCTCTGTGCATACGAAATGATGGATGGAATGATTGCTCATGAACATGGTTGATGCGGAAGATGAGGGATCTGGCATGATGAAAGACCGAAGACGACTCTACGCATCGAGGAAAGTAATCGATTATCACGAGATTATTCTTAATAGCACTCGAGCCCTCTTAGGCCAAGTGCGCATTGGAATGTATGTATGCATTGCGATGGGATTCGGCAGCCGTACAAATGGGTGAATCGATCTACAAGAGCTACAGGCTTGTTCACAGTTGCATACCTAATGAAGTCACTTCAAGCATTATCATGACAGTGCAAGCAATTTGGAGCGAATTTGTAATAAATTCGCTACTTTACGGTCTAAAGTCGAGTTTCAGGTAACTTCGCCTCCGTTTTCGAAAGGTTTTAACGCGGTTTTCTGCGGCAGATTTACCCCTGACGGCACGCCCGCAAGGGACGGAGGTGACGGTGGATCGCGCCCGTGCATGAGATAAATCTTGTTTTCGTTCACCAATTTTTTCTGCTGCTAATAGAGAAGGCTGGAAACTCATGTAGAAACCCACTGATCCAGAGGTTCGTAGCCCATTTCAAACGGGGCCATTGATGATGTGTGAAAGAGATCGACTTATCATCAACAACCCCAGAACCCCTCAATCCAGGCAGTGGGGAAGTGCTGAACAGTTGCAGTCAAATACCCGTGCCAGCTTGAAGGTCATGTGCAGCCAATGCAGACCTTTACCAGCCAGCAGAATCATCAGCCTGGCCAGTCGTCTCCTCAGGTTGGAAACCACCGTCACCAGCGTCAGAAGCACCGCCATTGGAATTGTTGAAGGCTGCCGCAGCAGCTTCCTCCTCCTCATGATCAGTGTCATCGTCAAATTCGAGAGGCTCGCCTTCAGCAGGGGCGCGGTCCTGGAGAAAGTCGGGGACCTCCTGCTCACGCTCCATGAGGATCTTGACAAGGTCGTCGGCGATATCATCATCCCTGTCGTTGTAGAAGGACGTCGCCAAGCCCTCGTTGCCGATGCGGGCGGTACGGCCAATGCGATGGACGTACTCACGAATACCGCCATACTGAGCGGAGGGGAGGTCGTAGTTGATGACGTGCATCACGTTCTTGACGTCGAGTCCACGAGCAGTGACGCCGGTCGCAACGAGGATGGGTGACTTGCCGATCTTGAATGAGCGCCTATTTACCTCGTCAGTTGCCGAGATAATCAGTGGCGAAATATGGAAAACTTACAAGGCATCTTCACGCTCACGCTGGGTACGATCGGAGTGGATAGAGGTCGAGGGAAGGCCGCGATTGAAGAGGAAGTCATCGACCAAGTCGGCCTTCCTCTTGGAGTTGACGAAGATGATGCTTCGACCAGGAGGCATGGAGAAGAGAAGGTCGTGAAGAGCCTTGTCCTTGGCAGAGTCCTCAACCCAGATAATCTTCTGGGTAACGTTGTTGTGCGTGGAGCCGGCACGGCCGACACGGATGCGAATGTAATCCTCAGCAAGGTATTGACGAGCGAGAGCACGGGCTTCCCGCGGGAAGGTCGCCGAGAACATGAGGTAGGCATGGTCAGCATCCTCATTGTTGTCTGGAAAGAGATTAGCGCAGTGTAAGCAAGGATGGACATGGGACAACTTACCGCCACCGTTCAAGATCTTTTTCAGCTCCATCTCCCAGTCACCGTCGAGCATCTCATCGGCCTCGTCGATGACCGTGTACTTGAGTCTGTTGAGGGAGAGGAGAGAAGGCCTGTCCATGAAGTCGCAGAGGCGACCAGTAGTGGCAATGAGGATGTCACAACCTTTCTCAAGCTCCATACGCTGGTGCACAGGGGGACCACCGCCGTAGATGACGCACGGCCTCAGCTGAGTGCGATAGCAGAGGCGACGAGCCTCATCGAAGATCTGAGCCGCAAGCTCACGAGCAGGGCAGATGACCAGGACGAGCGGCTCAGCACGAACACGGTCAGTCTCGGGGTTGTAATCCCTCAAGTTGGGACGAGGGGCAGCCAGCTTCTTGGCCTTTCCCATCAAACGCGACAAGATGGGAATCAGGTAGGCCGCAGTCTTGCCAGAACCTGAGCGAGACGTCAGTTGCGCTTGTTGGCTCGAACGAGGGGATGAAGTAGCTTACCAGTCTGAGCAACGCCGACAACATCATGGCCTTGAAGCACAGCAGGGATGGTGTAAGCCTGAATAGGCGTCGTCATGTCGTACTGGCAAAGGCGCGTGACGTTGTCGAGCATGGCCGGGTGCAGACCAGCATCCTCGAACTACAGCACGAACATGAGCAACTTTTCTGACTGGGTACTGTAAAGGATAACGCACCTTGCGAATAGGAGCCACCTGAATAGGGCCCTCCTGGTGGATCTTGTACTCGAGGACCGAAAAGGCATTGCCCTTGCGCATGATTATTTCATTGCGGAAGAGATCCTCCTCGAGCCTGGCGTCTTCGGGGCCGACATCACCGTACTCGTCGTCCCACTCATAGCGGGCGGCACCAGCAGCCCAACCAGGCTCAACGTAGCGGCCCTCGGCTGTGGCAGCCTCGCGCTCTTCCTTGGAGTTCACGTTGTAGCTGTCGTAGTCGTAGGCGACCGGGGCAACGAAACCGTGCTCGCGAGCGCGGTCAGCAGCACCCTCGATCGGGACGGTAGGCGGCGGCTCGAGGACGACAGGCTTAGCAGCATCGCTACCACCATCACTACCGGCGTCATTGCCAGCGTCACTGCCGGTGGCACTCAGAGCAGCGGCCATGTCGGTGGTGTCGAACTTGTTGTCAGGCTCAAACATGGCGGCTGAGGTGAGATTGTTGTCAGTGACGGGTATAAAAGTGCGAGCGAAAAGAGGATGGCGAATCAGAGATAGCTACTGCAGCCGGAGGGATCGGACATGGGGTGAAACAGGTGCATGGTGTAATGTGATGCAGTCATGGAGGCTAAGCGGTGCGGAGGACTTACGCAATGAGCGTGCTGGCTTTGTAGAGGATGTGGCAGAGTCGCTGGGAACCCAGGCGCGATGAATGAGCTCCAGGAATCTCTTGAAGCTTTTTGGAGGAGGAGGAAGAGTTGGCGGGGAGGGAAAAAGCGAGTGTTTTGTGCGGCACGCTCGACGACTCTGTTCGGAAGGCACGCCTGGCGGCCACACCCGACGACCCAAGACGGCAGGCACAACGGAACTCATGGAAGGTACGACTGACCGGGCTTGCGGCAGCCCGCTGAGTGCCGACCGCAACAGAATACACACTGCAGGCCTGAAGCGGCACCACGCTGCCCGTGCCTCATTAAATCTAGTCGCACAAATCGCCTGACAGCTTCCATATGCAACAGGTGTGCGCCGGAGGGCATGTGAAGCGTTTTCTTGCAGTCTCCATGGTACCAGGGCCTGAATATCAATGCCAACTGTGCCGCGAAAGCGCCTCACAACAAGTGGATACGAAACCGAAAAAAGGAAGCCTTCAGACGTGGGCTTGAGGTTTAAGCAGAATTCAGCGGGCGTTGAACGGACTCGGATGCCAGGGCAAAAGGCCTTTGCAAGGCCGGTGAGTGCGCCGATGTACATTCATCAATGTATCGCCGCGCACGCTCAGCCTGCTGGCGCTGAAAGCTCGCGAAAGATCCAAATAGGAAAAAGAAAGTTTTTAATAATGAAAACGTCCTTGTAGCAGGTATGATTTAGTAAGTTGGAGGTGCGGCGACGACCTCGACACGATTGCCCTATGTACGCTGCTACCTATACTTCCGTCTGTTAACAATTAGTCTGAGCAAACAAAAAAAAAACAACCCCCCGCCAGCACTTGTATACGCTTCGTATGAACATAAGAATGCAACGATACTATCAGAATGATGCCAGGCACACACCAAGCCCTGAAAAGTGCAGGCATTTCTTGAAATTCTCAGCCGGTGAAGTTTGGCTCGGCTCGATTAGTTCGGTAAGAAACCTGTTTTCATTTGACTGTCCTCGGCCAGCTTTATGTGTGTGCAGGATGTGATGCTGCCGCTGTTCTGAGGGTAGAATGCGTCGAATCCATCGTTGAAAAAACGAGTTTCAGTGCAGCAACACAGATGCAGGCGATGGATGATTGCTGGTGAGGTTCAGAGAAGGTTTTGGCCGAGACAGCCAAGGCCTGGGGGAAGCGCAGGTGACCCGCCGCGCAGGGACAGCCAGTAATCCGCCCGACGTCATCGCCGCGCCGGGGACCTGCCTAGGTGCAGACGCGTGTGCCGCCAGCTCCCACGCGGACAAAGCCACACCGCATCTTGACCCAGCAGATTCCCGTTATCTGGATCTCCGCCGCCATGGCCGAACTGTCCCTACCGTCCCACAACCACTTGCGCCCGCTGCCATGAACGACCCCGGCGTTGACGAGCCCATCAGCAATGCCGCCCAAGACCTGGAGCAAGACCCCTACGAGGGCACCGAGAAGCAGCGGGAGGAGGAAGAGCAGGACTTCCTCGATCCAAGGTTGGCTTCCGTCGCACCTGTGCCTTACTTCTTCTAACAGCTTCCGTAGCCGATGGTGGTTCGCATCCACAGCATGCCCGCTCCTCGCCGGAACCTTTGGCCCCCTTGCCAACGCCTTCTCTATCTGTGCCTTGGTGGAGAAGTGGAGGGTGTATATCCCGCCTGGCATGGACGAGACCGTTGGAACGCCGGTTCAGGATCCCTCATGGTGAGAAGAGATCCGTCGCGCCGTGCTGTTGCTGCCAAAGACTGACCACCCCCGCAGGCTGATTGCCATCAACGCAGTATCCCTGGCCTGCGCTCTAACGGCTAATCTTGCCCTGCTTCTAAACATGGCGCGTCGTCTCAAATTCAACATCGCACAGCCTATTACCATCGGAGGCTTTGCTCTCGCTGCCGTTCTACTCATAGCTCTTGTCGCCGTCGCGTCCTCTTCATACTTCCGCATGCCACCCGCCGATGCCCATGCGCTCTCCCAAGCCTTCTACTATGCAATCATCGCTGCATCGTTGTATGCCATCATTTCGATGCTCATGGTGCTGACCGTCTACGGCGCGTGGAAAGGACACTACAAGACAGAGTTCCGCCTCACCATCAGTCAGCGTACATTGATGCTGCAGACCATCAGCTTCTCCGTTTACCTGCTACTCGGTGGCCTGGTGTTCAGCTATATTGAGGGCTGGGAGTTCTTGGACGGTGTGTATTGGGCTGACTATACGTTGCTGACCGTAGGACTGGGCTCGGACTTCCCGCCCAAGACCCACCTTGGCAGGTCTCTTTTGTTTCCGTTTGCCATCGGCGGTATCCTCATGGTCGGTCTCGTGGTCGGCTCCATCCGCTCCCTCGTTCTTGAAAGAGGAAAAGCCAAGTTGGAGGCAAGAATGACCGAAGTCAAACGAGAGAAGGTTTTGGGGAATCTGGACCCAAGCAAGCAGACGGTCAGGATTGGAATGTTCCAGACGATACACTTCTCGTTCGAAGGGCTCTCTGAGTTTGAGAGACGAGAACAAGAGTTTCATGTCATGCGTCACATCCAGAAATCTGCTGAACGGAGTCGGAGATACACGGCGCTTGGACTTTCTATCGCAGCGACCTGCGGTCTATGGTTCATAGGCGCAGTGGTATTCAGAGCTTCCGAGGGCACCCACCAGGGTTGGTCGTATTTCCAAGCGCTTTACTTTTCCTACACCTCGCTCCTCACGATTGGATACGGCGACTACTGTCCTAAGAGCAATTCCGGGAAGCCTTTCTTCGTCGTTTGGTCCATCATCGCTGTTCCAACACTGACCATTCTCATTTCAAACATGGGGAACACTGTGGTAAAAGGGTTCAGCGAGTTCACCATATGGCTCGGGAGCTTGACGGTGCTGCCTCAAGAGAGTGGTTTCCGGGCCACTCTGAAATCCAATCTAGCAGGGGTCCGAGATAACTCGTTGTTCAAGAAGGACAGCAGCCTTCCGGAGTTTGAGAAGCCCCCTGGGTTCCTGCCTCACAACAGCAACAATCAGCAAGAAAGAGACCGGATGGGATTAAAGGATAGGGTCGAATCAGCGGCTCTCAATCGATTGATGGAGCACCTTGAGGAAGAAGAGCTCGCGGAAGCCGAAGATGCGGAAGAAAAACATGACGAGCTTGCTCGAGACATTCACTTCTACCATTTTGTTCTCGCCAAGGAGACGAGAAAGGTCATGAAGGATCTCAATGCATCTCCGCCCAAACAATATTCCTATCAGGAGTGGGCGTACTACCTGAAGCTTATCGGTCAAGACGAGGCCAATCCAGGCGGACATCGCAAGCCACCGGCGAAACCAGAAAGAAATAAGAATCACAAAGCTGATATCGGGGCCGGCGCAGGGACAGCCAGGTTTGACGGTGACAAAGTGTACGCGTGGAGCTGGCTAGGTACTAGGAGCCCGCTGATGGGATCCAAGTTGGAAGCGGAGTGGATCTTAGAAAGGCTGTCGACGTCACTCGAGCATGAACTAAGGACGCTGAAGTTATCGAAAGCAAGAGAGAGGATGGAGCCTCCGCCGATTTCAATGGCAGATTTGAAGAGAAGGAAGTTAAGCGGCAGTGCCGAGAAGTCCGAGTGACTGGGGCAGCTGCATCTGAAATGTTTGTGTGTTTTTCTTTGAAGCGTCTCCGTATGCATGGATCCCAAGAAATCTTGCTTTGCTTTATTTCATCGTCCTCTGCCATGAAGTGTCAAAATGCGGACGCCCGATGCTGCTGTTGCTTGAAATGGGGTGTTTGTTTGCATGGTGATGAGTTCTTCCATGCGTTTCCCTCTCTTGCCAGTCGCACCCGCTGTAGGGCTGGAGAACTGCCTTTGTGGGAACTAGCCGGTAAGCAAGCAGCCCCAAAACAAGGAGATGGGCGGGCGGCAGATGTTTATGTCCTCACCGGACGCGTCCGCCGCCACCTCAGCGCACCCAGTCCGCCCAGCCCGCGACCACACACACACACTCTATATTGCTTTCAACGCTGCCGACCCTTGACGCGCCCGTTTCGCCATGCCTCGCATAAGTCCGTCAATCCCGAATCCTGACTTTCCTAGCTACCATGACCCCGAGATGTACAGTGCTGTCCGACCCCAAGCCTTCGACACGGTCCACGATCTGCCAAAGCGCTACGATGTAGACGACAAGATGGCCTTGCCTCGCTGGGCGGTCTTCCTCATGGTCTTCATCCCGCTCTCGATCTTCTTCCTCGGAGTGACCATTTACTACCTCAATCGCAATCGTCGTTCCGGCATGGCCCGCATGGTCACGCCGGTCGAGCTCGAAGACATACAGCTCCAAGATCTTGAGTCGCGCGGTCAGCGCTCTCCTACACCGGCGCCCTACCTGCCAGAACTGTACTGGCCAGGCGTTTTCCATCCGTCGCCCAAGTCAGAGGTCACCGTCTTCCCGCGAGCCGGTTCCCAGCCGGCGCCTCAGCAACCTCGCACGCGCCTCGACAAGGACCTTCCAGATCTTCCTCGACATGCCTTTGTGGAAGATGCGGAGGACTGGGAGACGGTTGCGCCCGTGACCCGCGAAAACACCTTCAACGACGCTTTCGCCCAGCACGAGATCGATCAAGAGCGCCGCGACAAAGAACAGCGTGACAAGGAACGCCGCGACAAGGAATGCCGCGACCGAGACCGCCGCGAGGAGAACGAGCGCTCTCTGCTCGAAGCTCTCGAGCGGCGGCGCCAGCGCGACAGGAACCAGCGTCGCGGCAACCCCTACCAGCTCAGCCCCTTGAGCAGCGACGACAGCAACAACAGCGGCAGCAACAACAAAAAGTCCCCACCGCTGCACGACATGAACCCGCACGTCAACGAAGGCTACGCCCGCTACCGCCGCTACCGCCTGCAGTCCAGCGACGTGGACAACGACACGGACGTCATCCTCGCCTCCGACACCAACACCATGGGTCCGCCCACGACGGCCACAGGCTCCAACACTGGCGGCAGCAGCCACAATCCTTTCGCTGGAGGTAGCGGAGGCGGTGCCATGCTCTCTGGCCGCGACCGCAGGCGCCAAGAGCTCACTGCGGCCTACGAGGGAGATGCCGACGGCTTCCCTTCGCACCCCGGCCGGCTGCGTCCTCCCCAGCGGGCTTACCTCGCCGGTGGGCACAACTTCGTCGCGCCCGCAGTCAGTGGTCCGCAGTTTCCCAGCGACCAGTCGGAGATGGACAACTTCACCGAGGCCATGATCACGGATGATCCGTTTGTGCCTGGCGGAAGGATGGGTGCTCGTCAGAAGAAGTAGGGGAATACGGACCGGCGCTTTGAGGTTCTGTCTTTGGGATTGGATTACTTGATGGCCGTTGTTTCCTTCACCACTTTTGAGGATTTGCAACATGAGGTGGAACAGACAAGGCCTTGGGACCACAAAGGAAGGGCATTGGTTTATCACACGGCCAGAAGAGGTATGACCTCTCAGTAGGAGTTCTTCCTCTTCGACTTTCTCAAGGAATGAAATGACGACATGGTATTGGTTCCAGCGGGAGATTACAAACGGGTGGTGGTAGCGAATATCAGACATTGCTGGCTTGTGTAATCAGTCGACGATCCCGCAGCCATGGGTCATACGATGACCTGGCGGTTGATTCTTAATGTAAAAAGCGTAATGATAGCTAAGGCTCAAATTTCCGGGTGTGTGAAACTGTGAAGCGCTCGAGTGTTTGTGGCGCGCATGAGTTCAAGTGAGTTGCACATCTGCAACTTGGCCCAATTTTCACCAGTCACACACTTCACCTCACCATCTGGAACTGCTTTCACTGTTGCCTAGCCGCGTTGCCACCTACGGTCACGTGCAAGGAAGGTTTAGCGCCCTACTAGGCGCATGTGACGAGGCTTCTGGCTGAAATATATAAACCCCCCTCGTGCCCCAGATATTTTCTTTTACTCTCCACTCCTCTTTGCTTTTCATCTTCAAGCTTAGAGCAACAACCTCAGCCTTTCTTCGCCTTGGCTTAAATCAAGAGCCAACAACAACACACCAACTTTGAGCACTGTTCACAGCCCTCCTCGAAAAGAAGATCTTGATCTAAGCCCATGACCGCAGGCAAAGAGAGCTGCAAGCGGGGGCTCCCAAAGTGAGTTTCCCCCGCATGAGGCCTTTGTGCTACTCTTTTCGCAGGAGGTTGGGGGCAGCTCGCAAACGACGGCGCTCGACCTACGAGAGCCAACATTGGACAATGGACCAACGCGTTCACAACTTCACATCCACATCCACGTCCACACAACACCTGCCTTGCTCTTCAGCGTCTTCACTCTTGGCAAACTTCACTACACATCATCAACAAGCTCCACTTCAAAGCAATTGGTCAGTCTGACTTCCGATCCTCACTCGCTCTGTCTGACTGACTGACCTCACACAGCACTGCCTACTCCTCAAAACAAGGCATTCACTCCACCTCCTGCATTCCGCCACACTACCTGAACCAGTCCGCCACGCCTACTCCAACAAAATGACTGCAGACAAACTGAAAGCATCCAAATTTGGCTTCAAAATCCACTACAACGCTTCTGCAAAGCTCACCTCTGATGGATCTCGAAAGGCAATGGACTGGCAACAACTTCAAAAACAGGGTGAAACGAGGTGGAAAGGACGGACATTGATCATCTGGCGCAATCAACAGACACAAATGCAATGCTTCAAACAAACAAAACCAAAATTCATCGTTCTTTCTTCAACCAATTCCCGCTTGACTGTGATGCTACTGTCCACGTTTCGAATCTGTGTCCTGTCCCGAGATGGTCATTGCCTCCCGCTCTAGATCGATACAGCAGCAAGGAAAGCCATTCACCCGATTCGAGGAATCGAACGCCATGCATGCCGCACACATGATTCTCGGAAAGATCATGCAACCGCAAAGCCCGCACGCACCCAAACGCCACGCCTCACCACTTCCAAGCCAGACCCACGCCTCCACCACAACCATCATCATCATCACCATCACATCGCCACAGCCATCTCCTCCTCCTCCGGCGGCGTCAGCAACCCCCCCTCCACCACGGCGCCCCCCGCACCGACGACCACCCTCTTCTCCCCTTCCTCCCCCCCACCCAACCCCATCAAAAACGCCATCACCACCTCAGCCGCCCACCCCGCATCGTCCCCGCCCGCATCCTTCACCCTCGCCATCGCCTCCTCGAACCAATTCTCTTCACCCTCGCGAACCACCATGCTCGCCGCCCACACCCGGCCGAACACGTCGATCGTCGCCGCGTTGACGAAGGCGTCGAACTCAAAGTGGCCCTGCAGCGACAGCACGCGGTCGCCGTCGTACACGCCCTGCACGGCGCAGCGGGGGGTCGCGCCGATGGACATCAAGAGCGGCGACGGCGACGGTGGCAGGACGACGTGGTCCGAGTGGACGAATTGGAGCTTCATCCGCACCTCGCCCTCGCCCGATGATTCGCCTTCGTCGCTTTCGTCGTCGTCGTCGTCGTCGTCGTACTGCCTCGACGACGGAGGCAGCGGCGACGACGGCAGCGCGAGCACGTCGACGGGGAAGGCGCGCAGGAAGGCGGGCGACAGCGTCACGGCGTGGATGCCGAGCTCCATGCCGGCGGGGTTCTTGGCGACGGTGGCGGCCGGGTCGAGGGGGGAGAGCAGCGTGGAGCAGAGGATCTGGTGGCCGAAGCAGGAGCCGAAGATTTTGATGTGCGGGTGGCTGGCGTGGATGTGGCGGAGCCACGCGCTGAGGGTGAGGATCCAGCTGTTTTTCTTTGTTAGTCGGTGCGTGCGTGCGTGGGTTGGTTTTGGTATTGGGGGGTGGAGAAAGAGAGAGACAGAGAGAGACAGAGAGAGAGACTTACGGATCCGAGTCGTAGGCAGAGCCGGCCGCGCCGCTGATGACGATGCCGTGGAGAGAGGAAGGATCGGGAGGGTAATCCCCCCGCACAATGTCGTAGGCAGTGAATTGGACCTTTGGGAGGGGATTGCTCGTGACTAGGTTGGCTTTGGCGAGGCGGATCAAGGCTGATTCGAGCAGCCCTTGGAAGATATCGCTGTAGCGGCCACGAGCGCTGAGGACAGCGGGAACGGGCGTGTCGGCATCGAGCAGTGCGATGTTGAATGTTTGCGGTACGGCCATATCTTCTGCACTTTTTGGATAGTCTCCGGACAATTGAACGAGAAAACCAAGGGATGACTGGAAAGAGCTCTGGAGCTCAACGAGAGGCGTGAGGTGCACAAGGAGCAACGAGTTGGAATGTGTTCTGCCACGCCTATCGTCTCTCTCATTACGTGGGGATATCCTCAACCCTAATCCCGATTCTGGAAAATTATCCCTCGTCTCCGCTACCATGCGTCAAGGTCATCAAGGTGCACCGGCACCGAAGCTGGACAGCTTGAAGTATCAAGTCGGTGTTGCAGATGAGACGACTCCTGCGTTCGCCGACATAGCTGCATTTTCATGAGAGGCGGCGACGTTCTTCGTGGTGGTGGTAACGAGCGCACCGATAAGCCATCTCGGCAACTGCTCCGAGAGCCGGCTGGTCCATGCTCAGATGCGAGGCCGACCACCGTCCCTCGGGTACCGACTAAGGATCTTCATATGAGTTGGCCTGATTGGCGGTGCTTTCACCGAACCGAGTCTCCGGCTTCATTCATTCTTTCCATTACGTCAGTGTAGTAGGAATAATAATGCTCATGAATTCCACACCAAACTAAGAGGTATCATCGTTGAAAGCGAAAATCCCAGAGCTACCGAAAAAAGGGGGGGTATCGATAGCCACCTGTCCATACCAACTAGTCCGACCACCCCATTAGCCCATAGAGAACGAAATAGAACGAGCCTTGTGCGCTCATCTTCCTGTCCCCAAGCCCATGTCACACAGCGCGAGGCAGAACTCCCGGAAGTCGCCCTTCGTTGCATCTTCGATGTCGTCCTCGATGTGGCGGCCGTATTTCTCACGGTAGTCCAGCTTGACTTTACGTAGGTGCAACTTGTCCCAGTGCAGACGAACCAGCCGAGAGATGAGCAGCTCATAGCGGTGCTGACGTTCGTGACGTGACGCATCGCGATCGTTGCCCGTGTCCATCAGGTCGGTGAGAGCGTGGTACAGCAGCATTGCGTCGCGAGCCGGTCTGTTGATGACGCCGTTCAGGATGTGCGCGCAAACTTCACCCTGTGACTTGGTTAGTCTCGCACATCACTATTTGAGCAATGCAGCACTCCCAATCGAGTATCCGTGAAGTCGAAAGAGAAGGTCAACCGCTCAGCCTCCGCACAGTATCGAACTTACCACGAGGTTGTTGCTCTTGGTCAGGACATCCTTGGCGAAGTTGCTCTGGTACTTCCTCTTGTACGTCTCCAAGCACTCCCGCAGGTGTGCGTCACTCCTCGTGCACACGATCCTCAAGATGTCCGATTCACCGCCTTCCCTAGCTCGGACCGCACTGTACATGTTGTCCACATCCCTGTTCCTGTACTCCAACGGCCACACGTCACCTTCTTCCTGACGGCGGGCATCGAGTGCTGTCAGGATGGCCATACGAAACTTGTCCTTCTTTAGCTCCGTCTCCATGCAGCGCATCAAGTCATCACCATAACGCTTATCCTTGAAAGAATCAATGATCTCGTGAATTTCGTAGTTGGGCCGACCCATGAGCGCCTCAATCAACAGCTCACGCTTGGAACTGTTGCCCTGGTACCAGTAGTTCGCCCAGTAAGCTTCGCTCTCCCACCGACCAAGCGCCGTGATGTGGCAGATTTTACCAAAGTTGGTGCCAGGCAATTTCATTTTGAGGTGCTTGGCCAAATTCACCCCACGACCTTGCACCTTGCAGATGCGCTTGTACTCGATGCGAAGCTCCATCAGCTGGTCATGAGAGAGTGCTGGAAGAATGTCGATCAGCGGGTCAGGATTCGGCTCCCTTGAAAGCGCCTTCAAGATGGCATTGGCGTCTTCTTCCGCGTCGTAGATCTTGACGCGTTTCTTGTCTTTCTCTCTTTCCTTCTCACGTCTGTCGTCGCGGTGCCGAGACCGGGATCTTTCCCTATCCTTCTTGGACAAACCCACGGTGAGGGTTGCACCGTGGCCTTGGGACACGCTTGACGAGCTTCTGTGCCTGTGCTTCTTGGATTTCTTCTCCTCACGCGGATCCAGGGGAGGGAGGTCCTCCAAATCGTCGTTCAACGGACGCATGATGGGACTCGGCATGGGACTGAGAGACTGGTAAGTTCCGTGATAAGCCTCCAACAGAGGGCTTGGTGGAGGCCGGCCGCCACCCATTCCGCCTTCGCTCCCGGGAAACGTGCCGGGCATGATGGGCTGTAAAGTCGGCCTGCCTCTCCCACCAACGGTAAGATTGTCCATGCGGGGTGCCAATCCCGGTGAGGGAGGTGCGCCGTACTTGCCGCCTCCGGGCTTCACTTCGACGATGCGCGCGTTATCAGCACCATAGGCTAGATTCGGATCATACTTTTCGGCCTTCTTCGATGGTGGGGGGCCCTGAGGTGGAGGAGGGAAAAACTGCTGCGGCTGGGGCATGGCGGTGACATTTTGCGTGGGCGAGGTGACAGATGAGGACGAGTATCTGTGGGGAAGCGGAGGCGGAGGCTGGTATTGCTGCTGTTGCTGTTGCTGCTGGGAAGTGATGGGCTGGGCTGTGTACTTTATGCCGCCAGGTTGCGCGTATTGGTAGCCAGATGGCTGCTGCTGCTGGTAGCCTCCCGCTGGATTTCTCAGCGGCTGCTGCGGAGGGCCGCTGTTTATCGGGGTCGCTGTGTAAGACCATGGCTGTTGGGGACCGGCACCAGTCGGTGAGACATAGCCAGGGCGCTCGTGCGGCGGGAGGTCGGCATAACCTCCCATAGTATAGCCCTCCATCTCCGGAGGCGGTCGCTGGCGCTGGTGTTCAGTCGGACTGGCGAGATAGTGGGCAGGCGTCGCGTACGACGAGTGGCCCGGCTGCCTGATCTCGTACTGCGGGGTCGAGGAGGGCGATTGGGCGCGGGCATAGCTGTTGGTCAGCCTGGGGTCAGTCGCGAATGCTGGGCCCTCGTCGACGCGGCTGCGCGACCTGGACCTCTCGCGCGCGCGCCCTGGTGACTTGCTGCGCGAACGCGAGGAGCGGTGGTCGTCCGGGCGCAGCGACATGGGCGCTGCTGATAGGCCACGGAGCTGTGGCGCGCGACAAGGCTGGCTGTTTAGGAAGAGCGCGATGCACGTCAGCAGCAGGTGCACGAATGCTGCCTCTGGTAGGTGTCGCGGGCGCGCAGCGGTGCTACGGAAAGAGATCTACTCTGTAGGGCGGCGCGTGAGAAATGCGATGGCTGGCGTCAGCCGCAGTCACACGCGATGCTCAGAGCCGCTTCTTCGGCCCCCAATCCTCTCGCGCCGCGCATGGTTCCTAAACCGGCGGGGGCACGGCTGCGCGATGGCAGCAAGAGCGCGAGCGCGAGCGCGAGCACAGAAGGAGCGCGTGAGGACGGACAGACGTGAGACGGCGGACAGACGGCGGGGGTGGCACGTTGGCACGTTGGCCTGCGGAGGACAGGCAGGTAGCGCGGGGGAGCAGCACAGTGACGACGGGATCAGCAGAGAGCAGAGATGCGCATGCGGGCGTCTTAACCATGCGATGCAGCGCTCCCCCACAGCTCCCCTGGGCCGCTGAATCATGGGTTGTCATCCGACTGGTGACGACGAGCGGCTCTCCACTCGCACGCAGCCAGCTCGCGAGAAATGGCGCACTGCTGCAGCGCGCGGCGGCATTTGCTCCGTGGCAGGCTGCAACACGGCTCTGCAGTGGCAGAAAATCGGGCCTTCGCCGCCGACAGCGTGAGCATGGCGCGCGCGCGCTCCCCAACGACGGCGGGCGACGCTGCGTCTCTGGCCACTCACCGCCTTCGCCATCACGCCAAACGGGATGCGGCCACGCGTGGCCTGGTCGAACGACTTTTTCTCGGGACCGGCTGCTCTAGCGAAACCCTAAACAGCACCGTCCGCCCCCGGCCGGGGCCTGGCATCGGCTGCGTCGACGGCGATATTCGCGCGTCAGGGCCGCCCATTCGCCGTGCTAGCGTGGGCCGAGGCCTTCTTGACACACACACCACTGCTGCATCGGGCATGCCAGAGCTGTTGCGTGTGGAGCTTCGCTGGTCGGAACGGGGAGGGATTGGAAGCCGCGCCGGGGCGGCAATCCTTGCCTGGCCGCTGCCACCCTGCAGGACCCTGAAGCTTCAGCGCTCATCTGCTGTCAGATGCTCGACGCTCCCTAGATGGTATTGAAAAAGACGCGCTTCGCTGTCCGGCCATCGTTTGTTATTGCACCCCATTTCACACCACCCAACCCGTCCCGCCTGGCCCCACAACACGCCCTACGTGCGGAGGCCTCCTTCATCCATGTCTGTTTCCTGAATTGATAAAACGCCCGCCTTTTCCTCTCGTCCGTGTGTTCCCTTTACGTTCGTTTCCTTCTCCAAGCATCAAGACCTCCCCCCCCCAACAAAAACACGTCTTCCGCCGTCTTGAAGACTGCCATTGCTGCCACCGCCACCACCACCACCACCACCGCCACCTGCGGTCCAATCATCATAGACAAGATATAGAGAGGACATCCGAACCCCCCCTCCCCCAAACCGAAAGCATGCCGACCTCCTTCCTCTCCCTCCCGGGCGAGATCCGCAACCGGATCTACACCTTCGCGCTGACCACCGACCTGCCCATCACCGACGCCAACTCCCTCGCCACGGCGCCGCCCAAGCCGTCCCCGGCCTCGTCGCCCCGGGAGGAGAAGTCGGACCCGATGCTCGCGGCGCGCACCCCGCTGCCGCAGACGCCCCACCACAGCATCCCCGCGCTGGGGACGGCGCTGCTGCGCACCTGCGCGCTGATCCACGCCGAGGCGCCCGTGAGCCTGCTGTACGCGCGCAACACGTTCCGCTTCACGTCGGTGACGCACTGCCAGACTTTCTTGCTGTCGCTGCCGCCGTGGCTGCGCGCGCGCGTGCACGACGTCGAGGTCGACGTGCGCGACATCTCGCCGTCGCCGCTGCCCGCGCCCGAGGACCCGCGCGCCCACATCAACCGCGAGTGGCCGCAGTACATGTCGTGGCGGCCGACGTCGACGACGCAGCTCGGCTCGCTGCGCGTCGACGCCCCCGGCCTCAAGGTGCTGCGCCTCGACTTCAGCGCCTGGCCGCGCGCCCGCCTCAGCCGCCGCCACCTGTGGGACATACTGCGCCGCCTGCTGCACAACGTCGAGGGGCTGGAGCGCGTCGTGCTCAAGGGGTGCTACGCCGCGGGCACGGCCATGGAGCGCCGCGAGCCGTGGGACCCGGCCTACTACGTGGGCACGGACGAGATGACTACTGAAGGCGTTGTGGAGCGCATGTGGGGCACCGTGAGGGGTTCGGCGGTCAAGGATGGCATGAGCGTGGACGAGGGAGACGACGGCAAGGTCGTGCGCTGGGAGCGCGACGGCGAGGGCAACATTGCACTGGAAGTCGTGTCGTTGACCCATCTATCTAAGAAGGTGCGGGGGCCCGGGGCCATGCACCATCACGCAGACAGGAAGCTGGAGCTCGCCGTCCGCGAGAAGCCCTCGGACCCCTGGCCCAGCAGCGGCGCCTGCACCTACGAGCAGTACTCCCGCCGGAAGGACCCGCTGTGGTTCGCCTCGTCGTCTCGCAGCCTCAATCCCAACTTCTACGTATAATAGGCCGCGCCGGATCCCACGGCCCGTGGATCTCGTTCTTGTATTTCTGCAAGCCGATGAGCCACCAGCTGCAGATACCCATGACAAGCCCTGTCAAAATGCTGCCCAGGATCGCGCCGGTCAAGGCTGCCTTCAGCCCTCCACCTGTGATGGCCATGCTGAAACCTGCTCCCGCACTCATGACCAGGAAGATTGCGAGGGAGAGGTGTCCGCGCCACGAAACGTGCCGCAGGTGTCTTCGAAAGACCGGGAACAGCCCGAACACCTCGATTGAGAAGAGCATGAAAGAGAAGACGTCGGTCGTTGATTCGAGCCGTGACGCCAGCACCGTTGCCGCCATGATGGCCGCATTGGTGCTTAGAGATGCTGGAAATCTGCGAGTATGCTTGTGAGCTTTCTGTTGTGTCTTTCGTCGTTGTTGTTTCTTTTTATACCCGCAGACCAGATGTAGACGACCGTTATAGACATAGATGATTATGGGCTTCGGAATAGACGTGCCAGAGGATTTCGGATGGAAATTGAATCAACTTACTTTGCACCCACACCGCCACCGTAGTCAAAGAAAGAAATGTTGATAATCGTCAAAAAGCTGGTCATTGCCCAGATGGAGTCGCTTGTCGTTGACTTCGTCAAGGATTTGAGGATTGGGCTCAGCCCGAGCAGCACGCAGTAAATGAGCACGGCCGACTTAATCGTGGCCCAGCGTCTCTGGTTCCGCGGCGACATTGGCTCGCCGTGCGGCGATTGATATGCCGCTGCAAATGTCGGGTCGCCGGTAGGATGACCTGTCGAGATGGCCGACACTGCCGAGCCGTTCGAGACGACAGATGCCAAGCTGCCGCCTCTAGAATGGCCTGTCCTGGCACCGGGAGCATTTGCATTTGGGATCAACAAACCCAGGCCCGAGCTCCCCTGTCCCGCAGCGGCGGCGGAGCTGGCAGAGCTTGCACTGCTTGCTACCTCCTCCGCAGGCGCACCCTCATTCTTGGCAGCTTCAGCGGCGGTAATCACATGGGCTACCGCATCCGCCGTTCTCTCCGCGTCTTCTTCCTCCGAGACCCAAAAATCCCAGAGAAGCCAGCCTAGGACCGTCAGAGCACTGCCGGTGCAGACCACCATGAAGGGCGTGACACGGGCCTGCACAATGCCAGAGAAGCATGAGCACCAGATGGCCACGGACATGACGTGTTGTACGATGACCGTCGAGTCGCCAACCAATGGCCAGAATTCGTACGGCTGGAGCCGCGGATTTCGCTGGAGGTGGTCGAGGAAGGTTTCTTCGTCAGTGTAGTTATCAGGATCTGTATGCAGAGAACACATTAGCCTTCCGATTCACCTACCCAAAAACCAGACATCACAGGTGCGAAATGCACAAGAGTAGTGCACAAGAGCCCTCAATCCCTCCTCCCAGCGCGCAGGAAGGCAGCAAAAACACTCACACGACTGCTTCACCCACAACAGCTTCTTCCACGCCCCCTTCCTCCGCCTGCTCCCACTCCTTCCTCTGTCCCTCTCGCGCTTCCGCCTCTGCTCCATGATCCTACCCGCCGCAGACGACGACTCGCTGCCTCCTCCCCCGCTGCCGCCGACAGCATTACCACCGCTGCCTCGACCACCAACACCACCAGTAGTAGTAGTAGCAGTACCAGTACCAGTACCCCCACCAGCGTTGTTGTTGCTGCTGTTGTTGTTCGCAGCACCGAGGCCGCCGCTCCCTCCCGTCACGGCCAGCTGCTGCCGCTGCCGCTGCTGGTGTTGCTCCGCCTCGGCCTCTCCTTCAAACGACCGCACCAGCGCCCGCCGCGACGCCGCCGCCTGCGGCGATATGCGCGGCGGAGGGGGGAAAATGGCGTCCTCGGGCGCAAGGCGCGAAGGGTCGGGTATGCCAGCCGCTGCGGGTGGGAAGCTATGGTGGTGGTCGTGGTGGTCGTCGCTTTGGTGAGAGCGATGCGATCGGGAGGGAGGGGATTTGTGGTGGGGTTTGTTGTTGTTGCTGGCCGGCTTGCTGGCTGCTGTGGCTGTGGCTGTCGCGAGCGATTGCTGTTGTCGCGGAGGAGGTGGAGCGGAGGTCGGGGAGACGTCTTCGCCATTGGCTATCGCGGTGGTGGGAGGGGAAACGCGCGGCGTCGAAAGGGAGGAGACGCGTGAGGCCCGACTGGCACGGCGGTCTTCGTCATCGTCGTTGGCGAGGGATGAGGGTGTCGTGGTAGGCATTTGGTGCAAGGAAAGGGAGGTCGCGCACGGCAGCGCAGACGCATTGTCGCCGGCGAATGATGACGTCCCTTGCGTTTGGTGCATGGTCGGGGGATGCCCGGGCCAGCGTTGCTTGCTGCGGCGCGAGGTGAGGAGGTGACCCTGTCCCTGCTGTGGTACAGCATCCGAGGGTCGGTTCAGGCTTCCTAGTTTCCAGCGGTAGGCTTTCATGTTGAGAGGCAGGGTGAGCAAGTGGCTCCGCGGCTAGTGGTAGTAAGTGCAGCGGCTGCCAGTCGCCCAGCATGCATGCAATGAGGCTTCGGAGCGAGCGTCCACGCCGCGATGCATATAACAGACCCATTGATACATTGCGGTTGGCCTCATAGTGAGTGGTTTGCGCAGAGGTGGGTGTCTCTTGGGTAAGATCGGTAGCGAAGGCGCAGGCTTGGATGAATAGAAACACCATCACATGAAAACACCGTGCTCCCATGTTCACCACCAACAACGTGGGAACGCCTGTGGGTTACCTTAACAGGAATACCAGCACCGCAACTTCCAACAGGGTAATCATCACGGCGAAACACCTACTCCCTTGCAGACATCCACAAACGCCCAAACGGGACGCAAACTATTGCATCTTATGCCTAGCCGAGCCCGCGTCTTGACGCAGGCTGCGGTCGTGAGACGCTAGGCGACTAAGGCGGTGGGGCGCGTCGCGCAAAGAAGGCAAAGGCATTAATTCGGCAGCGAAGATACGAATGGAAGAACTCGCAGCCACGAATCAGCTTCGCCAACCCATAGCTCTACTATATTTGCAACATGCCCATATGGCCTTCTCCCGTCGAAAATGTTGACCACAAACGGAGAAGCAAGAGTAAATCATCATGGTCAAGAGTTGGCCGGCAACACGGTGCGGACTTAAAATTGGAAGGTGACACTGCATAGCCAGCCGTACGTAGGAATGTATTGATTGAAGGTCATCTCGGGTTCGGGAAACAAGGTTCCATTACTATATGTCCCACCGTGCCAGCCAGTATCCTCTGAGGGAGATAGCTTCGAAAGATACTCCAGCATTTGGTCAAAAATACGTAGTAAAGGTTGGCACGATGGCTTCTGCTCTTCCTCCATTGACAAACGAGTCTCCCACTGCTTGGAAAGACGACGTATACTGAGGAGGGTATCATAGAAGGCGCATTGTGCGCCTGGGGTATCACGTATGATAAAATCAAAAAGAACAAGACGAATCACTGCAAAAGCGCAGCAAAGGAAAAAGAGGAGCAAGACTTGTAAGGCGGATGTAGTCTGCGTTCAGGTAACAACATGCAAACAGAACGCTTCTTCACACACTTAACCGTAAGAGGAAACACTCAATGTCACGCCTCCTCTTCGTTCAAGCGTCCATCGAATAGTTGCCGAGAAGGAGTGGTGTCCTCCCAGATGAAGTTCGAGCTATGGCCGTCATTCTTGCCTTCGAGGTCCAGTCCCATCAGCAGATCGGCCGGGCCAGGAAGGCTGACTGTTCCACTATTGCCACCTCCAGCCGTACTTGTGCTAGCAGCTGTAGCAATACACCTCGACGACGGTGCTGAGGATGATGCTAGCAGCATGTTGGATCCCAAGTTTGAGGACAGGCCGGCAGTCAGAGGTGCAGGAAGCCAAAGAGGTGGCAGGCTCGTACTGGAATGCGGCTGCTGAGTCGTGCTGGACGTTTTTGGGATCTTGAGCGTGTCCAATGGGTTGATGTGGCTATGGTCGGCATGCGAATTGACAGACAAATCGAAAGCATTGGGCTGCCCCTGGGCATAGGAGAAGATGTCTCTGCTCAAAATCACAGGGCTACATTCTCCCTCAAAAGGAAGATCTGATGTAAAGTCGTCATCCTCCGTAAAAGGATCCGGAAAGGGATAGTTCGTGAGAAGCGATTTCAAACCAGGTGCCTTTTTCCTGGTCATGCCGATTGGATTTACGTGTGGTGCCACATTCGCAGTGAGCATAGCATTGTCATCTTGCAAAAACATCCTCTTGGAGGGCTCCTTGTCTTCGGAAGACTCGGGTGCCGAGGGGCCGGCGCCGGCGTCATCCTGGTTCTCCTGCTTGTTATTCTTCTCCTTCAGTTTAATCTTATAACCAGCTTCGGCATACTTTTCTGGCCATCTATTGCGGAGGCGATCACGCAGATCTGTAGGGTGCCTATGGGTTAGTTCAAGATCCGGATCGTTGCGAATGACATGCCAATGAGGACCATGTTTCTCAAAACCGCGCAGTAGCGCAGCATCTTCCTGTTCCGTAAACTCTCGACGCTCTCTTCGAGTCGACTTGGTGAAAGGGGCCTCTATGCCGATAGAAGCCAGGGCCTGCGAATCCTTTCGGTGGACTTTGGGGCCACGCCTCTTTCTAACTGGGCCATTTGACGGGCCAGGAAGGAGGATGTTGGATGTAACCAGACTGGACACTTGCTTGCCGGACGCGGTCTCTGCCGTGGACGCCTCGCTTGCTCCAGCCGTAGCATCTAGCTCCGTACCACCAGCCTTGGGCTTTTTCATCTTCCGATACTCGTCCGGGCAGCACGTCCTGAACCGATCTTTGAGATCCACAGCCGTCCTACCATCAAAAGAGAACTCAGGACAGTCCAGAATCTTTTTCCAGTTCCCGATGCCGAACTTTGCAACGCCCTTCAACAAAGTCGTCGTCTCCTCCTCCGTCCACTTCTTCCGCCTTTTGCTCGGCTCTGCTTTCTGGGTTTTGGCCGAGGGCTTAGCGCTGGATGCAGCAGCGGCATCAGACGCAGTGGATTTAGGCGGCGCCTTGCCGCCATCCTGAACCGGGCTCAACCGTTTGGACTCGATCGGCGTCACTTTTTCCGGCGCCCTGGGCTCCACTCGAGGCGCTGGGGTTGACGTCGACTTCTGCTTCTGCTGCTGTGTCATCGCATTCTTCGTCGTCGCGGGAGGCGGTGGCGGGGGCGGTGGGCACCCCTCCCTGGCGACCCTCTCGCCCGTAATCGGCGGGAACAGGCCTGCGTTGGGCGGCGGTTGGTGCAGACCCTGCAGCAGCGGCGGGATGCGTGGGCGGCGCGCGCCTTTCTTGACGGGAAGCGTGGGCTTGGGGAGCGTGAAGATATTCTGATCACCCATGCCACTGCCGTCGACCTTTCGCCGCTTCTTAGGTGAATTGTTGCCTGGGGCGCTGCCGCTGTTGTCAAGCAGCTCGTTGACCGATCCGCTGAAGCCGGATGATGTCTGCTCGTGGCCATTTAGCACCTCGGCCAGCGGCACAGACTTAGGCGGTCGCGCGGCGGGTTGCGACGAAGAGGCGCCCGGGTGGTTGTGCTGGGTGTGTTGCTCGTGCGTTAAGGAGGTCGACGGGGGCGAAGGTGGCGGGCGAGAGCTGGCGGACAGCTGTCGGCCTGCGAAGGTGGCATGGTGATGCGAGTCCTTCGCGTTTGGGTTGTAGATGTCATGGAGAGAAAAACTCGCCGGACGAGGGGCGCTGGGCTCTACGGGGGACGGTCTCGAGCCATGCTGATGGCTGGAATGGTTGTGAGTGTGTTGGGACTGGTGGTGTTGGGCGAAAGGACCGAGAGGAAACGGCAGCTGGTTGTCTATTGTAAAGTTATCGTCGAGAAGGAGTGATTGGATTCTCGGTTCCATTTCATTGTGCGAAGTCTGAGTTTTAAGTGGGTCGGAGGGCGGCGGCGGGTTGAGGTTGTGATAGACTTGACCGCCAGAGGCGAACACCGACACCCCGTAGCGAGCCCGCTCTGTCAGCCGACCTTCTTCCTAGCATGTTTCTGAACGTTGCACAAACGTCTGGATTCGTGTGAACCTGCTTCATCCCGCTTCTGGTCGGTCTGTATCGCGTATGCCACGGGGCCGGAGGGAATGTTTCTTTGTCGCTGAAGCTTATCCTGGTCGAGTCTCCCCCCATTAAGCATTTCGGATATGAAAACATCCACGAATCAGCTCGGCTGCTATTATCTCGCCCGTAGTCCCGAGCACGGTACAGAGTTCGCACTGAAGCTTGGAAAACAAGAAGTGGTATTGTGGTCTATTGTCTACGCGACAGGTATCCGCTGTAAAGGAACCGCAATGATGAGTGATTCGGGCCGCCCGAAAACCGCAGGCGCAATTCTCCATCTATGATAGCTAAAACGCCAGGCCACCATATCGGCTGCAGCTCTCGATATCCACCCATGCGTTATGTCATGCGTCATGCATGCCGTTCATATCGCATGCGTTTTTTGTGACTTGCAGAAAGAAATCTACTGCGTCATGGCATCACCGCCGTACTTCTTCTCGAGGTAGGCCTTCTGGCCAACGGGGTCGGCCTTGATGGTGTCCTGGCCCGGGTTCCAGTTGGCGGGGCAGACCTCGCCGTACTTCTCGGTGAACTGGAAGGCGTCGATGAGACGAACGGCCTCGTCGACGCTGCGGCCGACAGGAAGGTCGTTGATGGTGATCTGCAAGGGCGAATCGTCAGCTCCATGCGAGCAAGTGGAACATGCGCCTGCGTTGCAGACCCCGTCCTAAACAAAGCCAATGAATGTACGTACCTGGCGGACAATGCCCTTGGGGTCGATGATGAAGAGACCACGGAGGGCAACACCAACGTCCTCGATCAGGACACCGTAGTCCTTGCTGAGCTTGTGGCTCTTGTCGCTGATCAGCGGGATGTTGATGCCACCAAGACCGCCGTCCTTGCGGGAAACGGTGCTCCAGGCGAGCAGGCTGTACTCGGAGTCGGTCGAGGCGAAAGCGACGGAGACGCCACGCTGGTTGAACTGCTGGACGGCATCGCTGAAGGCGATGATCTCAGTGGGGCAGACGAAGGTCCAGGCCATGGGGATGAAGGCAAGGACGAGCCATTGGCCCTTGGAGGTGTAGTCGGAGAGGCTGAGCTCTACACGGTGGAAACACGTCAGACAATTGACGACAGCGTGTGCCAGAGGGATGGACGCGAGACTCACCCTCGAAGGCACCGTCGACGACGGCGGTGACCTTGAAGTCGGGAGCGGGGTGCTGAACGCGGGCGTTGCCGGAAGACATGGTGATGGTTGTGGAGGTAGTTGCGAGGATATCAAGAACAGAAGCGGCTGCGAGATTGGCAGACAAAGTGTTAGCTGGTTTGGTGGTGCGGAGCAAGACAGCAGAAACTTGTGAGCTGGAAGCGGAAGAGACGGTGCGGAGGAAAGGGCGCGGGCTTTGTATCAGCAGATGCTCCGTCACGACATGCCGACGGCAAAACGAGGCAACTGCGCCTGGGGATGCTGGCCACCAACCTTGAGGCAAGAACAGTCCGAGACCGGCAGATGACAACAACGGCGTTAGAAGGCGTTAACTAAGTGTGGCAACCGGCAAACTCGATGCTCAGCATGCTATATACCGGCCGCGCAAATCCAGAACCTCTGCATTACTTCAGCATGCCGCGGCCGCCGTAATCGAAGCCGATGTGTAATTGTGGGTCTACCCTTCTTCTGTCCAAGTGGTATCGGCCCGCTTGTCGTCGGGTTTGCCCACCCTTTCGCGCACGTATCTCGCCGACCGACGCTCGTGTTCTGGCACCTTCCAACCGTTGGCCGCTTCTCTGCAACACCAGACCGCCTACTCCGCGTGCGTCATCGTCGCCACTCCCCGCGATGTCGGCTGTATGCTGACTGCACGGCTTTCCGCCTCACGCCGCAGCACCGCCCGCCGTGTATCTCTCGTCCGCCAAGTGCAGCTGCGGAAAGGCTCTTCCGGGGTTGAACGAGGCACCTTAACTCCTTGTGGGCCCGCTTCGTCAGAAGCTATGGCCAGTGACACGGCCGGCTAACTACGAGTCTACGACGCGTGCTACCGCCTCATCCTTACGTGCGCGGGCATGATCGTCGCTGTTCTGGAGTGGCCCTGGGGAACCGCATTGCGCCATCACGACAGAAACGGCCTTCACTCGATTGCGGCTGCTGCATGTATCGCTTCATAGGCCAGCATGCTCTCTGTTCATTGGAGCTTGCTACCTAAATATCTCTGTGCGCCTGTCCGCAGCTGCTGGTCAAGCTTCCTAAAATGTTTAACGCCGTTACCGCTCGGCGAATTCGGGAAGAACGCATCGACCGACGTTCATAGAGGCTCCTGATGCGTGCCAACTGCATCTGAAAATAGGCAGTGTTTCCCGAGCTTGTGTGACCGCGAATAAAATTCCATTCAACAAGGGTTCTATCAAAGATAGCGACACGATCGTTCCACTAGCTAGCGCCCGCCAGTCTCCATGCCCTGAGGGGTAGAGCCTGCAGCTTGAGCGCCGCAGGCTTGATGAATCCCCAAAAAGTCACCAGGCCGAGGATGATGCAGAGGACATTGACGATATAGTAACCGTCGTGCTCGATGTTGCATGTGCCACCGCCGTCCAGGCAGCGGTGCTTTTCAGCTTCCAATGCGCAAGAGAATGCCGATGTGACGAGGTCACCCTTGAGTTCCGTAGGCGGCTTCGCTGGGGGAGCGCACGTTGCAACCGTGAAGAAGTCCACGAACTTGAGGATGAAGAAGCGTGGGAACGTGCCACCCAGGTTTGAAACACTGCAAGATGTCTGATCAGCAAGCGCATTCGCGGAGAAAACGGTTAAGGTAAACAGGGTTCACTCACGTGGCAAGGAGGGTCATGTAGGTGCCCCCGATGACCGGGTCCGCGATCTTGGCGTGGAAGGCCGATATCGCGACAAACATTACTGTACTCATGAAGGTCGAGAACACATGCTCGACAATCACCGTCAACAAGTACCATGTTGTGACGCCGCCTTCGGGGAAAATCATGACGACAAACTGCGCGAAGGCCGCCGCCGCTAGGCGGCCGATGAAAGCCCAGCACCAAAGTTGCATGGGTGGATATGACTGGGACCATTTGCCTGCGTAATAGCCCAAGGAGAGTTCAAAGGGAAAGTCGATCAGAACGGTAAGAGCCATGTCCTCCTGGCTGAAGCCCTTGTCCAGAAGCTTGAGGTTGGTGACCGCGTCGTTTGCCTGGAAGCCAATCTTGGCAATCAAGTGGATGACAATGAAGGTTTGGATGTTCTTGAGCTTCAAGATGCCGCCCATGACCTTGTAGACCTCCGCTATTCCGTCATTGTTCTTAGTCCTCTCCTCACGCTTCATGAGCGCAAGGGCCAGAGTCACAGCCAGATATGCCCAGCCCCAAAAGGTCAGGTAACCTCCAAGCGTCATGACACCCTCTTCCTTTGGTATTGCGCGGAACCACTTGTTGGCGAAGTCGGGGGAATTGAAGGCTAGGAAGACCGTGTAAGACAAGAACTGACCGGCAGTCAGACCGACGGTTTGGGCAGTCGAGGCGTACGCCAGGTTTTCGGGGGAAAGGAGTGTAAGTGCCCAGCCTGGGGTGCATTAGCGACGTTTTGATTGCCAGAGAGCGAATTAGTAGACACATACCGTCAACGGCAATATCCTGCGTGGCGCACATGAAAACCAGGAAGAACCACCACCAAGTGAATCCCCAGATTCCTGCGCCTCCATCTGCGCCAGCATCGGTCATCATCTGCTCGGCGCGGGCGCCAAGCCAAAGCATGCCAAAGCCGGACAATGTCTGAATCGGCAGAATCCAGCTCTTTCTCCTTCCGACTTTCGGGGTCCAGATTGCGTCGACGATGGGGCTCCACAGGAGCTTGAGCGAATAAGGGTATGAAGCGAGCGAGAAGACGCCGATTTGGCTGTATGAGAGGTGGGCTTTCAACAAAAAGGGTACGGAGCCACCGGCAAGACCCATTGGCACACCCTGGAGGAAATAGAGTAGGACCAAGAGGAGGAAGTTTTTTTGATCCTTCTTTGGGAGTTCGCTGAAGCCCTTGGACGAACCATCCTCATCGTGGGTCATTGCCTGCATGGGATCGTCGTCCAAGGTGAAACTGTCCCGGCTCATCAAGTGTGAGGCCTGCGAAGCCGTTGAAGGGCTGTCTGGGCCGACGTGCTTGCGTCGTTGTCCAAGCATGCTGTCCATAGTCCCAGTGCCGTGGCCGTTGCTGCGGGTCGAGTCTATAGAGTCGCCGCGAACGGCAATAGCTCGCGGGTTCGGCGACCTGCCCTTCTTCTTTGACATGGGAGCTTCGTTGGGCGAATCAAGGTCGGATTCCTCGGACGCAAGGAGTGGATTGGTTTCAGGGACGTGGTGGGTACGGATGCGCGCACCGTACCTCGATTGCGCAGAGGCGGCGGCAGAATTGGAAGGAAAGTCTTGGAGCTCGAGGCTTTGCTGCGATGCTCCGCGGCGGTGCTTTACGTGCTGGCGGGTGGGCTGGACGTCTGCCGCGTCAGAAATGGAAGGGGCCAAGGGAACGGGTAGAGGAGGTCGTGAGTCGCCTGGTGTGGTAGGCATCCATGTAGCGGTCGTCGGTTGGGCTAGGTGGAGGAATCTCTAGTGTCGGGGCGGCGATGATGTACCCAGAAGCGGAACGTGGCCAGTACGGGGGGCAACTCCGCCGCGCGCCGCGCAGTCGCGGATCTCGAGCAAGATCAGGCGCGGCGCAAGGGTGGCGGTGAACAAAAAGTGCGCTGTTCACCGTCTGTTCACGTCAGGAGACTGGGGAAAAAATATCCAAGATAAAAGAAAGCAGCGGTCTCCCCGCGCACCCATGTGAAGCTCTACAATTCTTGTGCGTCCGCAGGCGTCACAGCGTCGCGTTTCACGAATCCCCGCCGGTCGCAGCGCGCCAAGCCAGCCAGGATGAGCACGGGACTTCGCGACGGCCTGCGCGTCTTCACCCCGAGCCCGGTGTACCGCTCGCCCTCGCTCGCGTCATTGTTCATCGCTGCCATCGCTTGGACCGCCTTCTTGTTCGCTATCGTCGCCTGGGCCGTCAACATCCACCACTTCATCCACAAGGACTCCCTGACAGAGCTGCTGTACGAGGTTGCCGCCGACTCGCTCTTCCAGCAACATGGCAGCCTCGCCTGCGCCGGATTCCCCGCTCGATAGCGAGATCGCGCGTATGCACGAGCAGAGTACGGCTCCCCACCCCAGCGTGCATGCCGCATAATCTGACGCTTTGCAGTTGAATCTCTTGAGCGCCGTCGTTCCATCCTCTCTTCCACGCTCCTTTCTTCTCAGAACACCCTCTCGCGCATCCAACGCGCCAATACTGGATCCCACCCATCTGCGACCGGCGCGTTGGCTGCCATCGAAAAGCAGCAGAGGCACAACTTGGAAAATCTACACCGCACTTGTGCTGGTGCCACTGCCTTCCGCGTCAAAGACCCTGACCCCTGCGCCGTCGACGATGGCAGGATCCTCGGCGTGCGCATCGAGGTCTCTGTGAAGGGACGGTTCGCCGCTCCCTACTACCTGCTTTTGAATCGGTCGTCTTCAGGGAGTGAGAATCTGCGCATCCACAAACACACCATTCCGCCATGCATTCCGCTGCACGGTTACGCCGCAAAATATCTTCCGCAGCAAGACCAACCCCAGGATTTACACCGTCTGGTGCGGGAGCTGCGCCAGGAATTGGTTTCTCACCACTTGCGTCTGAATGCGGTCGGTAAGCTCAGGAAGGATGCGGGACTGCCGGAAGATGCCGAAGGTGCATCTAGGAAGAGAAAGCGAGGCAAAGATGTCATAGTCGATGTCAGGGCTTTGGATGTGGGAGCAAAGGAAATTGAGATCAATCTGGCGGATTCGACCACAGTGCGGGTCTTGTTGTCAAAAAGAGGAGTTGTTGAAAAGGCTGTGGCAAGGAACTCGGATGGGATCGGGCGTGTGAGGGCGGTTGAGAGGGCGCTTTTGGCAGGAGATCGCCGTGTGGAGGGCATCGTGGAGCGTTTGACGAAGTTGCAAGACGTGGATTCAAGATCACCGAGAAGGCCACAGAACACTTACGAAACTGCATGAGAAACGAACTTGATCTGCAAAAGGTTCCACTAGGAAATTAATCGCTATTTATGACTCCTACCATCTGCACAAACTGGCATAGTGGGTCAAAGGAGAACACACCTTACTGTCCAAGTTCAACTTGATATCTTGCGGGACAGTGTTGAAAGAGTGTTCACATGCGTAGAATACGGCGGCTAAGTCTGGCTCAGATGGTTCTACCAATTGCCTTGAGAGCACGCTACTCACCAACATTTCCACGCCAAATCCAGGAAGACGGTCCTGCAGCTTCGCAGCTAGTTCGATCGCGAGCTCGCCGAAGGGGGGCTTGCTTCGCGTAAGGCAGACATGACTCCGGAAGACTTCGACAACTTCGACGCGAACAGCCACGGTGCGGTCGATCCGGAACGCATGTCCCTCGAAGAAAACACGTCTGTTACTTGCCTGGGACCGACGAGCTTGGTGGCGCTCCACAGCAACCGAGCTGGTACGGCAGGTCGCATCGTGAACAACTGGACGACTAACGAGAAAGAATGACGTGTAACATCCCAGCAATGGGAATATTGTGAAGCTTTTTTTCTCTTCTTGATGAAATAAGACTAAAAAATGTTCTGAGTGCTCTATTTGAATACAAGCTACAATTGACAAAGCTGCCACGCAGCGTCACGCTTCTATTATGAAGTCAATCCTTTGACATGGGGCTCTTCCGATGGTTCAAAAGCCGATAGATCGACATTTCTTGGAAATGAATGCTCGCAGGCCCTTGAGGAGGGTGCCGCCAAAGCTTTAGAGTGAAGAGAGTAACCGCACGATATACAACTTTACAAGTATTTCACGCTTAAGAAGAGACCGGAGTTAGGGAAAGATATCAATGTTTCCCTTGGTATTTTCGCACACCTTTCAAGTCAAAGGGTTGTACCCACAGGCTGAAGAAAATGCGTACGCTGGTTGATTACAGTATCCTGTCATCCGTTAATTGGATCCGTCCGGCGTAGACTGGCACGCAGAGCTGCCAAGACGCACGATGCAAACATGATCAATGCTCTAATAAAGCCTGTCCAGCATTCATAAGCCAATATGCTTACTGAAATTGGCGTAAGTTTTGTTGGACCTTACTGATGTAAGTAGTTTACTCATGTGTCCGTCCGGACACATACAGTGTCAAAAGTCACATGTACGTTCCTACGTTCCCGATGAGAACCTAGATATACGAGCTTGAAATTTTGATATAACCGGCCACTTTTCTTCAGTCACAGTCATGTTTGCTTTGATGCACCCGGGGGCCCAGCAGCGTGAACCTCGGCCGAGACGATGCGAGCAAAGTTGGAATTCCGGGTTGCAAAACAAGAAGACGATTACACACAGACACTTAAGGAACCATTAACGAAAGTCAATGGATTACTATTTGAAATTTCCCCGCCTCCTCTGCCTTCCTCGTGGCGAAGTTAGAAGAGAAAGGCGATGGCACTGACGCGAGCAGCAGCAAGCTGCGCTTGGTATCATAGACGGATTCCATAGACAAAGAAGACTTGGCATTCAGCGGTCAAGAATCAGACAGTGGTGGTGGCCGGAGTAGACTCTGCGGCGGCGGCATCGGTGCCATTGGTACCATTGGTGGCGCCATTCGAGTGACCGTTGGTGGCATGCCTCTTCTCGTGACCAACGGCACCGCCAATGACGGCGGGGTCCTCATCATAGTCGCGAAGGCGGAGACCGAGGCGGGCGGGATCGATGTTGCGGTGGCCCCAGATCAGCAGAGCTCCGAAGACGGGCTTGGCGAGGAGGTCGAGCACACCGTAGAAGACGGCCTCGGAGTCAGGAGCAATGATATTGCCGCCCTCACAAACGCCCCAAGCGATGGGATAGCAGATCCAAAGAACGGTGGTGAGCGAGCCGCACATGAGGAATGTGCGGCCGACGTCGTTGCCGAGGTGGTTAGCATGGATGCGGGCTTCCCACGCGAGCTGGTAGACAATGTAGACGAGAGCAGCGCAGCCTGAGAAGCTATCAGTGTTCCGTATCAACATGGATTGTGTTGTTGCAACATACCAAAGGCGAAGTAACCCCACTTGTACGAGCTCCTGACGAGCGCACCGACGAGACCGGTGACAATCATGACCCAATCGACAAAAATAACCCAGAGGAGCGTGGGCCAAGGCATTCCAGCGGTGAGGAGGAGGTCCATGAGCAGAAGAGGCGTGGTGATGAACCAGTCAATGTAGCGGACGTAGAAGATTTCGCGGTTGACGCCCCTGACTCTGGGGTCGCCGCGGCGGAACTCGACGGGGATGGGAGTCCAGCCAAGGTTGGATGCCATGGAGAAGTAGGCAACAGCAGCAGTCATGGTGACGGCAGCGGTGATGTAGTGGAAAATGCGGTTTTGGCGAGGCTTGGTGAGAGCGAGGCCGGCAAAAATGAAGGTGCTCAACGCCATGACAGCCGTGACGGTCCAGTACCAGTCGGATCCGCGGGTGGTAATGGCAATGTCGGCACTCCCTGCACTATTCACGCTGGGGTTCACGCGCAAAGCATTGTTGCGACGCTCAAAGTGGTTGAGGTAGTTCATGATGGGCAATGCGCTCAGAGTGGGACGGGGGTCACTGAGGAAGTGAGGAACGGCTGATGGGTAGGCCGTGGAGCCCCAGGGCCGAATATAAGAGCAGCATGTGCGAGCAAAGAAACTGCCAAAGACTGCAGTCATGACGTCTCATGGCCGCTTTAACGTATCCGTCGCTGCCGCCGTTCTCGCGCACGGTGATAGCGTTTCGATCCGGCTGCGCCGAGGCCCACCTTCGATGTGAATGGACTGGGGCACCGCGCATGGTAGCCGATTGGAAGCGGTGATGCAGATGGAAGTGCAGTGACGAGCCGTCTATGATGCAAAAGAAGACCATGTGGCGCTAGACAGGGGCCCCCCACAAGCTTTGTGGATCGCCGGCCTAGCGCGGGAGTCTGTGCTTGTCGCTGCATCGCATGACGCCTGCGCGCCCCCTCCACTGCCGCCCGCCCACCAACTCTATTGACGCCTCCACCGCCAAAGGCCGCTATCCGCCTCATCTGCGCGCAATCTCGGTTCCATGGCTACCGTGTGCCATGCTGCCAGCGTCTGCACGGTTCGGGCCTGTCTACCAACGGGTTGACTCATAACATCACATCACCATCACCACCTCCCGTGCTGCATTTCCTCGGACAGTATATGGCCGATGCGGCAGCCGGCAGGAGTTTCCAGCAGCCGCAACCCGCCTGGCCAGACCCAGACCCCGCGTGCTGACCCTGCCGGCCGCGGTCATGGAGCACGCCCATCGCATGCCCCCGCTCCGTGCCGCCCTCCGCGACAACCCGTTGCTGCACGCCGCCGAACTCGGCTCGACTCCGATCGCTGGCCCGAGAAGCCCAAACCAACACCTCCAGTCACCTTGCAGTCACTTGCTAGCCGTCTCTGGGAACGTCACACCACATGACATTCATCACGAGATGCCCACCGTACAGCCGGCTCTGTACCAGTTTCCGTCCGTTTCTTCATCAACTCGACACGCCCGAACAACACCCGCGCATATCAATGGGGTGTTCCCCAGAAAATCAATGAGCTGTGATCGGCCGAGCAGATCGCTTCCTGATTGTGCCAGGCCTAGACAACTCATGTATGTACCTTCTTGACCGAGTAGCAAGGCTCAGAGCAGAATTCGGCAAATCATCATACACTAACAGAAGCGGCAACTCAACCAGCAAATCATGAGCGGTCAAGGAAGGTATCACTTCGTGGTGATACATCTCCGCTTCCAGCCCTCGCTCCGCACTGGCCTGACACCCGACGATCCTTGCCACCGAGCTGTCTCAGCCTTCCGCAATCACCAGATCTCGACGCCAATCCGATCCCCGCGTCCAATGCAACGATGGAAGCAGTGACCGCTCAGCACTGATCACGACATTCTCCAGGGAATGCTTCAAGGCTCAATATTGACCCGCAAAACCTTGGCAGAGCTCGACGACCATTTGCTTGGCGGTGGCGTTAGCGGGCTACTCCTCTCCACTCTGCATGCCAAGAAGAGGGGAAAAGTCAGAGCGAACAATGGCAGCATACCAATTGCGCATGGCCATGTGCTCGCTCTGTTGTCCTGCATACACCGAACCGCACGCATCCACGCGACAGAGCGATTGAGGACCGGCCAAATTCTTACCAAACATGCACCCCTGCACACTAACTCTCCAACGCCAGCAACCCATGTCATCGATCTTGTCCGTCTTCGGTGTGCGTCAGCAGACACGTCTTTTCCATCACAAAGCTCGCAGAGGGAAACAAAGCCCCGAGTTTCGGCCACTTCTACGGTGGAGAGAAATTCGGGTTTTGCTAACTCATTTCATCGTATTAATATTGAAAATAGCCATCGCCATCTCATCCCGAGGTTTTTTCGATATGCCGTTTTGACTCATTTCCGCCACATTGAGTCCGGATGCGGCGGCTTGCTATAATCTCTGGTGCAGCTAATGAGGGCAGCTGGGTAAGATTTTGGGCCCAACTGCCTATCGCTCCTGGCCGCGTAGACTTCCCGTGCACGCAGTCTCAACCACGTGCCGCTGACATGGTTAGCCACATGCTTCCATGCTGCCGTGCAGCTTCGCTTGATAAGCTGTGTAATGCAGATGATGATGTGAAGAAGACAAACACGGGTGTTGAGTGGGGACGCGTGGTTGCAGACGCAGTGCATGCGAAAGAGCAGGCCACTGGTGAAGATCAGCCCGGCCTCTGCAAACTGGAGATCAACCCAAGTGTTCCGGCACCGGGGTGAGGAGTTCGCTTTACATGTCTGTTCTTTACATTTCACGCTTATGGAAAAGGTATTTGCAACTTTTGAGCGGGATAGAGAACCAGGCACAACCGCGGTTTCATTGGGTTAGTCAAGGCAGACGTTATAACTCTAATAAGCCAAACGGGCCATTCCCCTGCAATAATAATTCAGTCATCAGACAGACTGCTCTGGCTTGGATTACGCGAGCCAGAGGAGGGACAAACATCGACGGCCGACGGCGAGCGAGAAGTCGATCATCGACCGCATCGAGTAAGAAGCGAGCTGCGCGACCAAACTTCGGCGTCTCACCAATCCTTCCCAAGCTTCAACCACGAGCCAGAAGAATCATCGCTACTGCTGCTGCTGCTGCTGCTGCCCGACGAAAGCCCCCCTTCGCCACCGCCGGCAGCAAGCGCAAACGCGCCCAACACGGCCAAAAGCAGCACCGCAACCTGAAGCAGCCACCACACGTAACCGCCGCCACCCCCTTCCACGCGATCAATCCCCTCGCCACCCCTCGCCCCCTTGCTCCCCCCTCCTCCGACCACCCCACCACCACCATCACCACCGCTCCTCCCCCACGGCACCACCGCCCCCCTCCCCTCCCTCGCCCCCCACCCATCCCCCTCATCCCCGAGCACCTGCTCCGCCGTGACGCGGCTCCCCGCCAGACAGATGGGCACGCCGGTGCCGGGGTGGGTGCTCGCGCCGACAAAGTACAGGCCGCGGGCGCGGGGGTGGCGGGTCCCCGGGCGGAAGGACAGCACGTTGAAGAAGGAGTGGCCGAGGCCGAGGATGGCGCCGCGGTCGAGGTTGAAGGCGGCGCGCCAGTCGGGCGGCGCGTTGACGCGCTCGTGCGCGATGAGCGGCGCGAGGTCGGCGCCGGTGCGCGCGCGGACGGCGGCGAGGACGGCGGCGCGCGCGCGGGAGAGCATGGCGGGCCAGTCTTGCGGGGGGGTTGATGCGGCGGTGTCCGTCGTGGTCGTGGTCGTGGTCGTGGTCGTGGCGTCGGGCTCCGGGGTGAGGTGGCCGACGGGGACGAGGACGACGACGGCGTCTTTGCCGGGCGGCGCGGCGGCCGGGTCGATGCGCGAGGGGACGTTGAGGTAGAAGGAGGGCTCGGCGGGGATCTGGTGGTGCTTGAAGATGCTGTCGAAGCTGGCGCGGTACTCGTCGGCGAGGAAGATGTTGTGCGGGCCGAGCTCCGGGACGGCGCGCGAGAGCGACCAGTAGAAGGAGATGCTGCTGCACGAGGCGGGCCGCTTGGCGAGCGAGCGCGCGTACGCCGTCGGCGGGAGCAGGTTGTTGTAGGCGTAGACGAGGTCCGAGTTGTTGACCACGACGTCGGCCGGGATCGTCTCCCCCGAGGCGAGCACGACGCCCGTGGCTCGGCGGTGGTCGGGCGAGAGGGCGATGCTCGAGACGGGCGTGGATAGCCGGTAGGTTACGCCTAGACGCTCGCCGACTTTGACGAGTGCTTCGATGACCTGGGCACGATCAGAGTTCTGACGCTTTTGGCTGTTATCTCTCCCCCCAACTTGTGTACGGGAGCTCACCTTATGAAAGCCTCCCTCGGGATACCAGACACCTTCGGCCAACTCGGTGTATTGCAGCAGACTGTAGGTTCCGGGGGCTTCAAACGGACTCATCCCCATGTACATGCTCGCGAAGGTGAAGGCTCGTCTCAACCTTTCGGTCCAGAAGTACTTGGATGCCCTGCTGTAGATGCTTTCGAACGGATGCAATTCGATCAGGTGCTTGAGGAAGCTCGGCCGGGCCATGCTGAGCAGCGTGGTGAAGTTCCGCTTCAGGACGTGCGTCACGCTGAGCTCGTAATGGCGGTGCGCCTCGGCCAGGAAGGCCAAGTAGCGCTCGAAGCCGTCTTTGCCCTCCCATTTCTCAACCTCCTTCTTCATGCGGGCCAGGTCTGTGGACAGCTCGAAGCTGTGGCCGTCGCCAAACCAGAGGCGGTAGTTTGGCTCGCATTTGATGAGGTGCACGCCCTCGGCCTCGAGGGAGGTGCCTAGGTCTTGGAACGCCTCGGCGAATAGGTTCGGAAGGAGAAGCAACGATGGGCCCTGGTCGAATCGCTGAAGTACGCATCAGTGCGGTTCTTCTACGGATGATACGCGGAGGCGTACGTAGCCGTCGTGGTGGATCAGCGAGCACCTTCCACCGGTGAAGTCGTTCTTCTCAACGACCGTGACCGCGTAGCCGGCTTTCGCGAGACGCGCCGCGGTTGCGACGCCGCCTACGCCGGCACCTAAGTCGTTGGCTCCAGTTAGCTACCCGGCGAAAAGGCCATTGAGGAGCACGGCAGTCGGCATTAACGAACCGATAATCACTGCCGTCCTCTGGCGAACCTTCTCGGCCATTGTTGACAGTTTCTCGATGCTGGGAAGCTTGAGCAGGCAGTTATTGGGGCGGATAGCATTATTCTATAATCCATGACGTGACGTCTCATAGAGCCGGCTGGGGCCGACTAGCGCGCAAGCCAGGCCCGAAGCACAGACTGGCGCCGTCCCCACCGGCTCCCGGATCGCTGCAGGGATCATGTATTCAGCGGCACAGCAACCAGACTCAGAATTGGGCGAAATGTGGCCAGATAGTTGCATCATGTGGACGCGAGCCTAACAATGTGGGTATCTCCAAACCGGTGCAAATCAACACACTAGGTACTACACTTTATCCACTCCCATCAAGCACTGCTCTGGCTGAGTGCCTTCCATGCCACTATTATTCTCCGTAGCTTGGGCACCGTAGCCCTGCCCTCTCGCACCCTGTACCCTTCTTCCTTGATCACCCGCCCGATCTCCATGTAGCTTTCGACTGCCACACGCATCGGACCCCTGGCCTCGTCGGGAAGCTCTTCGATTGCATCTTTGGCATCCGCATATATGTGGAATGCGCGGTTGAGCAGTTGAAGTCGGAGGTCTTCCACTCGCGTGCCTTGAGGATTCTTGATTATGGCTACGGGTGTGAGTTCTTGTTCCGCAATCCAGTCCAACGGAATGTACACGCGCTGAATGCGCGCATCGACTGCAATATCTCGCGAGATGTTCACGTATTGCAAGGCGACGCCCATCCTCGACCCGGCCTTGATGAGGCGCTCTTTGGTCTCGGTGGATGCATCCGATGGCAAGTTGTGGAAGACCAGTTCCAGGATCGAATGTGCAACCGTGCCCGCAACGCGTTCTCCATACAGATCCAGGTCTGAGACCGTTTGAATGGGGTATTTCGACGTCTCGTCGCCAGCCGAGGCGAACGCAACATCCATTTCAAACCCGTCCAGCATGTCGTACAGGGGCTTGCTAGAGAGTCGCGAAGTAGGCAAAAATCCGAGGGCAGATTGAGCTTCAGCAGGAAACTTGATTTCGATGTAATCCTGAAGTAGGGCCTTCTCCTCCACGTCCATGTAGGAAAGGTCGAGATACATGCGGAGTTTGCGGATCCATTCTCGAGCCTCCTTGGAATCTGCAGCGTTGTCGACGAGATCGTCTGCTACGCGGCAGAAGGAGTACCTGCGCATCAATAAGCAACTAGCAGGTCGATTTTATGAGGTTAGGACCTTACAAGAGAATCAAATCAGCCCGAAGGCGGCCCTGGAATGTGCCACTTGCAATATAAAAGCTCCGGCTCTTCCGTCGAAGTCGGCCGACGGCTTCTCCGAGGGCATGAAGATAAGACTCGTCGTAGGAAGACGCAGGCTTTAGTAAAGCACGAACCAGGAGAGCTGGGGAGGGCAATGGCGGAATAGTGGGGAAAGTCTGCCGACATGTGAACAGGATGGCCAGCGCATTGTCAAATGCTATCAACCCGAAGACGATTAGGGTATTAGTAGTGAGGAAGAAAAAGGCTTCCCTAGAGGCCAAGTCAGTCTGGCTTTTTCAAAACGGCTGGAGACACTCACTCTATCTCCAAACCAGGCCACAGATGGAAGCCGAGTTTCGTACCCGTCTCGATGACCCACGTTCCACGCCTCAGAGCTAGGGTATCAACAACCCAGAGGTAGACAGTGGGCACCGCGATGGGCCAAAGCGAACTGGACCGGGGGATGCCAAGGATGCACTGATATGCGAGACTCCTACCTCAGATCAGCTTTGAAGTGTCGTTGAGAAGGTTGCAACAGCCTACCATAGGAGAAAAAGGAAGGGAAATGCCCAAAGTATGATCAATCCCATATATGTGCCACGACCCCCAGTCTTCACTGCGTACGCGCCGAGGCCAATGCCCGAGGCTAGTACAGTCTGGCCAGCCCATTGGTACCGTTTCCAGGATGGCCTCTTACCGGCTGGCGCCTTCAAATGCACCTGTTCGGTCCGTAGGTATATGGGAAAGAAGACGGGTTTGCCAAGCAGGAGATACAGTAAGGATGTGTTGTAGGTCTGGATGACAAAAAAGAAGACTTCTTCGGCAGGTATGCCCAGTAGCTTGGGCCCGACGATGACGGTGGCGGGGTAGGTCCATACTCGGGTGCGGATTAGATACGAGTCCCAGGGAATGGTGGAGACAACAGCAATCTGACCGAGTCAGAGAAAAACGGCCAATGGCTTGAGGCGCATACTGACGGTGACAAGAAAGAGGATTTTGTACACATCGAGACGAGTGAGCAACGGCCGGTACAGGAAAGTCAGGGCTACCGCAGGTGGGATGGTATATTTGAGGTGGCTTGCTGTGTGTTAGAAGCGAGCTGGGGGGTTGACTGCGAGCTTGGGACTTACACGAGGGCGTAGTCGTAACCCATTGCTCGCGACTAAGGCTTGAGGTGCTACCAGGCCATTCCCCGGAGGATGACGGCTCGCACTCGACGCAAGGTGAGGCCGAATGGCACAGCGTATGGCACGGGCGGCGGAGGCAGGCGCTGGTGCGGGAGTCAATGGCTTGCGGGCGGGCAGGGCGCAGAAGCGGCGATCGTCATGGTGTTGAGGACTGCGAGCACGCGGCTCTGGAACGGTCTCGGACGGAGGAAGGCGCTAAAGCGGCGCGAGGACCAGGGCGCGATTTTGGCGGAGGAGACAGGGGTGCCGGAGCTGCGGGCGGCAGGCGGAATGGGGCAGCTTCTCGTTCTGCTTCATTCTGACATCATCACCGTCCGCGGCAATCTGCAACGCCCTTCCCCGCCGCCGACTAGCCCGCCGTTGAGCTGCACTGGGAGCTTCATCACATGCCGTGTGCCACGCGCCTTCTATCCGCTCCCCGCCGCCCGTTGCCGCTGCCTGCCTGCCCGCTGCTCTTGTCGTCATGTCGCTCTCTGTACCCGCTCTCTGTCATCACGTCGCGGTAACACCACCCCAATGCTGGCCGCCCTCGCCGTGACCGGTTGAAAGCCAACGCCCGCCCCTCCGGCGTGGCTGTCAACATCCACAAACTACTACCAACATGCCGCAGCTTGCTGGTCCAAGGCGGGAGACGAGCTCGAGGAAGCATCCGTGCGTTGTCCCTCCTCAAAGAGGAAGCTGCCAGCTGACTCGGAAAAGATATCTCTCGGGAAACTATGCGCCCATCAAGCAGACCCGACAGTTGACGCCGTGCATCTACACCGGTTGCATTCCCGAGGACCTCGTTGGAGGACAATATGTCCGCAACGGAGGCAATCCCATCACCAACGAAGAGCTTGGCCGTGATGCCCATTGGTTTGATGGCGATGGCATGCTTGCTGGTGTGCTGTTCGAGCCCACTGATCATGGCCGAATCCAGCCCAAGTTTGTTGCTCAGTTCATCTTGACCGACGTGCTCTTGTCCACGCTGTCGAATCCGGCATTGAGATTCCCCATCCTGCCAAGCATTGCGACGCTGGTCAGCCCGCTGTCTTCACTCTTGACCATTCTACTGAGCATTCTGAGAACTGTCTTGCTGGTCATCCTCTCGCACTTGCCAGGCTCCCGCCAGGCCATCAAGAAGATTAGCGTCGCAAACACGGCAATCTACTACCATGACGGCCGCGCATTGGCGACGTGTGAGAGTGGCCCGCCGATCAGAGTCTCACTTCCTGACCTGAGCACCATCGGCTGGTTCAATGGTAGCTCGGCCGAGGGAGAGTCTGAGCGAAAGGTTGATGATGTCGGGTTTGGAGGAAATGGGCTGCTGAGCTTCATGAAAGAATGGACCACCGGCCATCCAAAAGTCGACCGGGTTACCGATGAGATGATTCTATATCATTGTACATTCGCCCCTCCGTACATCCATTACTCGGTTCTCTCAGCGACGAAAGATACCGCGCACGACGCACCATCCTCCTCGAAATTAATCAATATGCCGGTTTCTGGGGTTTCGGGTGGCAAAATGATGCATGATTTTGGTGTTTCACGGAGACACACAATCATCATGGACCTCCCTTTAACCTTGGATCCTCTGAACCTCATCAAGAACAAGCAAATCGTATCGTATGACCCCTCGGCGCCCTCCCGGTTTGGAGTTTTCCCACGACGAAACCCATCTAATGTCCACTGGTTCGAAACGGCGGCGTGCTGCATCTTCCACACGGCCAATGCTTGGGACTCTGAGGATAAATTTGGAGACACCCGCTCAGTCAACCTTCTTGCCTGCAGGCTTACATCAGCCGCACTTGTCTACAGTGCTGGTAACGTCCCAGTGCCCAAGGCTAAAAAAAGACCATCAGAAAGATGCGACAAACCGTCGTCTTACTTTGACAAACACGATTTCGATGGTACCGATGCCACTGCTGGAAACATCTCTTTGCCAGAGTCGAGCGGATTTGACGCTGCACCAGCTCTTGAGTCGCCTCTTCAAGGGGCTGAGCCTCCGATCCAACCGCTCATGCAGATGGAACCCCAACCAGAACCAGACTCAATCTCTTCATTGTTAGATGAGGAAGAACAATGTCGTCTATATTACTACTCGTTCATTCTTCCCTCTCGGTCCTCACCCCAGCGAATAGCAACACAACATGCTCTCTCCGCTGTTCCTCTTGAGTTTCCCACCGTCAATCCAGCTTACGCGATGCGGTTCGCTCGTTACGTCTACGGTTGTAGCCTTAGTTCCTCGTCTTTTGGCGCCGCTCTCGGCAAGGCCGCCAAAATTGATGTTCTGGTCAAACTGGATGTGCAGATCCTTATCGCACGTGGTCAACAGCGCCCTCCATCTCCTGTCACCGGCTGCGTGGATAGGCGGTCGGTATCCGAAGTGCTGGCCCAGCAAGATAAACTCGACGACCTGAGCGATCCAGTACGGTGTTTCAAGATGCCTAGCGGCTGGTATGCACAGGAGGCACGCTTCGTGGCAAAGCGGGGAGCCCACACTGAGGATGAAGGGTACTTACTCTTCTACGCGTTCGACGAGAATCAACTAAGCGAAGAGGGCGAGGCTGGAACGGACGCTGTCAGCGAGCTCTGGATCCTGGATGCGAGAAGTATGCAGGATGTAGTCGCCAAGATCAAGCTACCACAACGTGTTCCGTACGGGCTGCATGGAGAGTGGTTCGACGAGAGTCAGATCAGGGATCAACGGCCTTTCGAGAAAGCTAGAAGTGTAGATGGTGTGACGAAAGATGCAGGCGTAGAAAAAGGCCTATGGAGAGTATGGATGGGCGCAAGGAGGAAGATGGAACGGTGCTTGGCGTGAGCAGGAGCCTGGAAACAGGAAAACTGCTTTTGTTTTGGCATTGCCGTGGGCCGTGGGCCGTGGGCGGGAATGGCGATAACCTTATCACCCCGTTGTCTATACCTATGATCCTCACTCCTTACAGGGGATTTTTAATCGTAATACATATGATTCATCCTATCCGCCCCGACTGCTCAGCCCGTACATCCTTGATTGTCTGAGCCATTCTCCTTACGCCTTCAACCAGCTGCTCTTCCTCGAGCCAGGCCCAGCACAATCTTATCCCCATCTCGAAGCCGCCTTTCTGCCTTGCCCTTTCCGCACTTCCGGGATCGCCCTCTATTTTGAACATATCACCGAAAGCGAACTTACACTTGTGCTTGTCGCGCGCCACGGCTGCAAGCTTTTCAGCTGGAGGTAGGTCGGGTGGGAGCATCAGATAGGTGAAGAAACCGCCAGCGGATTCAGGATGCCTGAGACCTGGTTCTTCGTATTTCTTCCCAACGTCGATAACAACGCCGAGGGGCATCAGGTAATCCTTTATGGCGGACATAAGAGCATGGTAGCGACGCCGATAAGTGGGAACAAGGACCGTGTCAATGTGCTTTTGGAGTGCGCCAGTCGAGAGCATTTGGTGCACGAACATGGAGCTGAAGTGGGCCGGGTTACCCCCAGATCGGGTAGAGCCTCTGTGCATGTGTTCAGCCAAAGCGCGGTGCTCTGAAGAGCGGCAGAACTCACATAATCATCACCCGATCCACCACTGCTGGCGTGCTCTCCACCCAGCTCACCCGAATCCCCGGCGCAATGATCTTGGAAAAGCTCCCATTGCTCAGCGCGTTGCCCCATCGATCCTTGGGGCCTCCGTCCAGCACCCTGTCCACGTCCACGATCCTCGGCGGAAGTGGGCCCAGCTCCTCCACCGGCACGCCCTCCTCCACCGGCCACCTCAAGACATCGTACACGTCGTCCGTCACGACCAAGACGTCAAACTCCCTCGCCAGCCGCACGACCTGCTCCCTCCGCCGCAAGCTCATCGTCTTCGCGCTCGGGTTCGACCACGTCGGCACCATGTACAGCACGTGCTTGTACACCTTACACGGGCCGGACCCCGACCCCTTCTTCTTCGGCTCGCGCTCCCGCAAGCCCAGCCCGCCCCAGAACCCCGTCCCACTCCGCACCTCCTCTTCCACCCGCTCGATGCTGGCCCGCAAGAAACCGACATCGATGCCCTCCTCGTCCTCGGGCACACCGCGCATCCTACTTCTCCCACCATCCTCCCCATCATCCTCCCCATCCCCGCCAAACCCCGCATCCGCAAAAATCGGACACGCAAGAAAATACGTCGGCTCCACCATCCACACCGCGCGCGTATACCGCGCCGGGTCCGCCAGCCGCAGCACCGCGTTCAGCAGCGTGCCCGACGCGCCGTTGCCGACGCCGATGCGCGCCGCGGGGATGGCCAAAGGCGAGGCGTCGTCACCGTCGTCGTCGCCGTGGTGGTGGTAGTTGCGCGTCAGCCACGCGGCGATGCTGCGGCGCAGCGGCGCGTACCCGTGGCCTGGCCCGTAGTTGAGCGCGGCGGCCGAGGTCGAGGGCGAGCCGCCGCCGAGGAGGGGGGAGGCGCTGGCGAGGAGGGCGGAGGTGGGGTGGAGGGTGGGGCTGGGCCAGCCGAGTTGGAGGTCGATGGGGGCGCGCATGGTGGGGTGGTGGGGAGGGGAGGGAGGGGAGAGGGGGTGGTTTGTTGGTGTGTGTGTGTGTGGTTTTTTTCTTGTTTCTTTTCGTTTTGTTTTTTTTGGTGGGGAGGGTTTGGTTTGTGTGTGTGTGTTTGGAGGAGGATGGGGGGAGGCCGGAGGTTTGATTGATAGATGGTGGGGATCGTCGGGGAGCAGCGGGGTTGCGGACGGTCGCGGGTGATAGCACGTCATTCCTTGCCCACTCTTGGCTGGCGCGGTTTGAGACCGCAAATTTGTACGGATGGTGAAATATTTGTCTCTGGACAGATGTTCGTATGGCGCTTGGTCATCTGGATGCTGACTGTCTTCAAATTCGGATTGTGTATGTACCAGTTTCGCAGCCAAAGCCGTTGCTCTCCATCACCGGATAGGGTGTTGCATCATGGACGGCCGCTCAATCACTGGAAACACAAAACCAATGACAAGAGCGCAGATCACGCGCGTTCCCATCCCTCCGATTGAGAAAGAACATACAGTTCTGGTTATGTCAGATATCCGCCACGTCAAGCGTGCGCAAACTGTGAGCGGTTCTGCTGACAGTGCATGCTTGCTTCAAGCATCCTGGACTAGCGGCTGCGAATCCCTGTTCTGAGTAAATCATGGCACATTTGTGATCTTGATGTATGTTGGTGAGCTTGAAATGCGACGTCGCTGAAGCAACTGCCGTATATTCTGCTCCCGCCAGTGCCGTACTTCGAGAGAACGGGTCGGGTGGTAAAGATAGAATACGGACAATCAAAAAAAAAACAAGAAAAAAAAACGCAGCTTGTAAGTCTCAAATCATTTGTCGTTTTCCTCTCACTATGGTGAAGAATCCATGCTGGTAGCATGTTTAAATTCTCTCAACCCGGCCAATTCTTCCAAAGCCAGAAAGTCTGAACAAGCCTTGGAAAGAATCCTCTTTAGCCCTGGTAAGAGGCTGTTCTACCCTTGAGACTGGCTAATCCGCAATTTACATTCAAGGTATTCATCATGAGCGACCAGTGGGACAAACATCCCGCTCATCCTAAGGCTGAAGGTGCCATAACGACCATGCCAGTCTTGTTGCCAAAGAAGACGGCTCGAATAGACGAACATCATGGATCTCCCTCTCCAGTTTCCAGCCAAGTTTCGTTCGAGAGTGAATCTCGGAGCCTTGATTCCGATTCGCTTCCCCAAGGATCGTCAACTAAAGCTCGTCCTCTTTCTCGGACGGCCAGCGGAATGATCAATGGTGCTGTCCTTTCAACTGACAGCATTGAACATGAGGATACCGGTATGTCGATCAACTCAACTCTTGGCAAGTGCTTTGAAGTCCTTGAGAAGCCCTCCAGGGTTTGCAAGCATTCCATCTCGTACTTCTCGATCAACCCCAAAAAAGAAGTCAAGAACAAAATTCTGAGGCGCCGCCTGCTGCTCAAGGTTCTGGAACTACTTACGAGTAACGGTGACTCCAAGCCTGTTGTCGATGGGCTCGACACCATTTACTCCATGGAACCAGTACACCATAAGCTGCAGGCTGCGCCGTCTGAAACGTTTTTCGACATCACAGATCAGTCAAAGCCTACGGGAGAATCGACCAGCTATCGAGTTCGAGTATCTCGGCAACGGGACATCAAGTTCGACGATGTCGCAGTATCCATGACGAATGGCAAGTGCAGCGGTGGTAGCGAATCCCCTACGAAGAACTACGTCCGCGCCCTGAATGCCTTGCTACAATCCATTCTGAGCCAGCAAAAGGAATGGTTCTGCGTCAACAAGAACCTGTGCCTTTCCAAGGAAGTTATGGGCAAAGATGTTGAAGCCAAACCTCAGAAAAGAAGGGCCAAGACCAGCCAACACATTCAGCACGTCAAACTCCACGATGGCATGAGTTTCTCCATCGATATCTTCGAAAGGAAGTGTGGTTTTGATTCGAGATCCAAGGGCTTGCCTTGGAAGCTTTCACTGACCATCAGCCCTCGTCCAACGTTGTTTGTGGAGGCCTGTAATCTTGGGACTCTCTACAGAGATTACCTCAAGGCACAGGAAGACAATTTCCAAGGAGACGGCGATGACAGGAAAAGTGCTCTTTACTCATTCATCAAGAAGCTGGATGTTACTGTGGGCTACACGCCATCTTTCGGTAACAATGAGCCTGTCCACATCAAGCAGCCGCAGACGCCGGATGACCTCCCCAGCGACACTCGACGACGCAGGGTTGTGTCCGTTGGTAGAATTGCGACGGAACAGAAGTTTAAGCTTGAGAAAAGTGGCATGGCTCCAGAGGACGTCTCTGTGAGTCAGTACTTTAAAATGTGTAAGTACGTAAGGAACCCATATGAATTGCGCTGACATATGGGTACAGACTATCATTACAAGCTCAGGTTTCCGAATCTTCCCGTAGTCAACATTGGGGCTAGCGCAAACGACATCTGCACGAATGATAGGAGAACGGAGGTTTGGGTCCCAATGGAATTGCTATGGGTTGAAGAGCAGCCAATATTCCACTTCCCTCCCCTACAGATGAAGGATGGGTTCGAAGCAATTGAAAGGGAATATGAGAACGCGGTTCGTAGTTTTGAGGCCAACCTCATCGACAAAAGCAGCAAGGTTGTGCAGGTCCTGAACCCCACAGTACTGAAGGTGAGTTCTGAGTCTGGACCCGTATGAATATTCTGACTGTATCAGGAACTCTTCGAGATCACCTTCAAGCCAGAAGCAGAGGCCTTCAAAGGCTACTTCGCTTTCTCTCCGTCTGAGAGCTCTCAGAAGAAGCTCCAAATCAAGGCTCCAGAGTTCCCAAAATCTCCTCAGATGACCCGATTCTTGACTCTCAAACATGGAGTGGAGAAGCATACCGAGAAAGAGCAGGAGAGTATTCAGGAGGGATACGAGAGACTGCTCGAAGCTTTTCAAATGGAGGGGGGCCTATCCAGCAGACAGCAACCAGCTTATGACTACGACGTTTTCCAAGCAGTCCTTGAAAGTAACGGAAACATAGGATCATTCCTCACGCGGTTTTCCGCAGAAGGAGATCAGTTACTCTTTGTGGGACTTGAGGGGCCTAGGGAGGAACAGACTGATGTCCAAGCGAAGATCAGGCGTTGGTGCGATAAAAACAGCATCCCTACAGTCTTTTTTGACGTTCGGAAATTTCAGAAAACTATGAAGCACTGGGAGAGGGCTGACAAAGGGACTGATGTGCCCGGGATCAGGCACGCCACGGGATACGCCAGGGCGCTTCTCACGAAGTCTGTCCATAGATACACGCGTGGCATTCCGAGCACTCAAAAAGTCGATCCCACGGCGGTGGAATATCTCAGGAGCCTTCTGCCAAAGACAATGGTTGTTGGTGCATCTCTGGTCTCCAGCGGCATTGGTCCTTCAGATAATTTCCCGTCAGTTGCGGCGGTCACAACAAACCTGGATGACGACTTCGTCCGGTATCAGGGCCGATTCCGTCTTCAACTCCCCGAAGAGAAGGTAGGCCGAGTCCCCGTCAAGTTTGGAGGTCGCTGACATTGACTGTGCAGATAATCGCGAGCCTCAGCGACATGCTGAAGGACATGTTATTCGAATACGCGCAGAGGCATGATAATCGGCTACCGGAGTCGATTGTGTATTTCCGAGAAGGCGTTTCGGAAAACCACTTCGACATGGTCAGAAGCGACGAGATCCGCCAGATGGCGATGGCGTACGGTACGCTCTGCAAGGAGAAGCCAGAGCTCGCTGCACCGTATCTAACGCCAAAGATTACCTTCATCGCTTTATCGAAGCGTGCCAAACCTAGGTTCTTCCCTGACTATGGCGGGACCGACAAAGCAACAGACAAGAATTTGAAAGCGGGCATGGTTGTCGACGCCCCAGAGTTCCAGAGGACGGGTGTCAAAAGGCGGGAGTTTGACTTCCATCTCCAATCCCACTCGAACCGCTGCGACAGTGCCAAGCAGTGCGGATTTACCTCCAACACGCACTACTTTGTACTGCAGCACGAAAACGAGTGGGGCCTGGAAAGAATTGAAAGGATTGTAAGTTTACCCTTGGTCCAGTCCGAGTTGCCATGGTACTGATTTTCTTTCGCAGACGAACAAGCTTTGCCGCATCAATGCTGTGCCGGCAGCGGACTCTTACGTGGCTCCAGTCTACTATTCAGGGAAGATTTGCCAGAGGGCACGTTCTTACCTCCGGGCTCTTGCACCAGCAAACCATGCAAGCCTGTCGCACGAGCAAGTGATCCGAGAGGTTGAAGAGAGCGATGCCTGGCCGGAGTCGCATGTTTTGGGCAAGGAGATGTTCTGGCTTTGATTCCGAGGCCTCCCTGCTTTAGAACTCGCCCTTTGGTGGCTTAGGCCCTTGGTATTTTGCAACGGTTTTTCCTTTTCCATCCTCCTTTCATTGCTTTTTTTTCCTAGGTTGAGCTTTGGTATTCTGGACTGTTTAGCATAGAAAAGTGACAGAAAAAGAAGAAATCGATACTGAGCATGGGGCTGCAGACAAGTAAGATGTGAGATGGTGGGATGCAGCTGCAGACCGCCGTGTGGCGAGAGCGGAGAGCTTGGGTGTTGTTGAGTGTGAGACCCCGGAGCAGAGTGAAGAGTGAAAGCATGTTTCCGAGATGGAAAAGTGATGGTGTGTCGGAGGCAGACGGGACGGGATGACGCCGGCGATGGAAATAGCACGTGACAGGTCTCTGACGAGGCGGGAGCTCGGTCGGCGTGCATCACAACGTAGCTCCGACAGCAGCAACCTCAGCTTCGCACCCGCCCTCAACACCTCGCCATCGCCATCGCCCCCGCCACCCCCGAACCTGCACTCTGTAGGACCTCGCCGCTTCACCCATACCTCCTCGAACCCCTCCAGCTCCACGTCCACAACCATGTCGGGTGAGGTCCTCAAGGCCGAGAAGGACTTCACCAAGGAAGTCGACAAGGCGATCCCGGAAGCCGAGTCCCTTGCCAAGGTACTTTCGCTCTGCTCCCATCCAGCGCTGCCTATGCTGACCCCGCTGCCAGAGCAACCTTCAAGCCGCCATCGAAAAGCTCCTTGCGCTCGAGAAGCAGACCCGTCAAGTACATCTCGCCTAGCCCGCGCCGCCAAACGCGCCCGCCCGCTAACAGCCCGTAGTCCTCAGATCTCGCATCCACATCCCGCCTCATTGTCACCATTGTCACATTATGCAAGGATAAGGGAGAATGGGGTCAGTTGAACGAGCAGATCCTGCTGCTCTCCAAGAAGCATGGCCAGCTCAAACAGGCCGTCACCAAGATGGTTCAGGTTGTCATGGGCTTCTTGGACGCCGCACCGAACCTGGAGACGAAGCTCTCCGTCATCGAAACCCTGAGAACCGTCACCGAGGGCAAGGTGAGTGTCTCGGTGTTCCCTCTGCAATTCATCCACTGACACTGCTTGCAGATCTTCGTTGAAGTCGAGCGCGCCCGTGTCACCCGCATTCTTTCCGACATCAAGAAGCAGCAAGGCGACGTCAAGGCTGCTTGCGATATCCTGTGCGAGTTGCAAGTCGAAACCTTCGGTTCCATGACCCGTCGGGAGAAGACCGAGTTCATTCTTGAGCAGGTGGCGCTGTGCATAGAGAAGGGCGACTGGACCTCGGCCGGTATCCTGAGCCGGAAGATCAGCACAAGATACTTCGCGAGGAAGCCCAAGAAGTCCCCGGAGCAGCTGGAGAAGGAGCAAAAGGAACGCGAGGAGGCCGAGAAGAACAGGAGCGCTGACGACCCTCCGATCGAGCCGCTGGATGATGTCACCGACCTCAAGCTGCGCTACTACGAGCAGCAGATTCTCTTGGCCAAGCATGATGACAAGTATCTGGACGTGTGCAAGCACTACAGGCAAGTCTTGGACACTGAGGCCGTTGAGGAGGATTCAACGAAGCTCAAGGCGGTATGTGCACTCTATCACCTTCCGGGTCTCCGTCCTAACACTATCATCAGGTACTTCAACGCGTCATTTACTTCGTCATCCTCGCCCCCCACGACAACGAGCAATCCGACCTCCTCCACCGCATCCACCGCGACTCACGCAATGCACAAATACCCGTTGAGGCCCAGCTGCTTAAGCTGTTCACCATTCCGGAGCTCAACAGGTGGCCTGTCACTTCCGAGCAATTTGGCAAGCAGTTGTGCTCCACGGATATCTTCGACGCACAGGCTGGCCAGGATCCCAAGGCATACCAGCGTTGGCAGGACTTGCGGAAGCGTGTCATCGAGCACAACGTCCGGGTTGTGGCCAAGTACTACACGCGCATCCAGATTCCCCGCCTCACGCAGCTGCTTGATCTCTCCGAGGACGAGACTGAGAAGTACATTGCGGAGCTGGTCACTGCAAAGACCATCTACGCCAAGATCGATCGGCCGGCTCAGATTGTCAGCTTCGCCAAGCCCCGCGACGCTGACGATGTCCTCAACGAATGGAGTGGTAGCATGAAGAGCCTTTTGGGTCTACTCGAGCGCATTGATCACTTGATCACGAAGGAGGAGATGATGGCTAGGATTCAACCGACAAAGGTGGAGAAGGGAAAGACCAGCAAGGTGCACTAAACGACTGAAGACCAAAGGGTCTCTGGGTGCATGCTTTGATGACAACGTCGGAGTTCCGGTGGCTACGTTACGTCTAGATAAAACGAGCCGTCTATGTCTGGGCCATGCTCTGCAAAGGGGTGCGGAGCTGTAATATACCTCTAGATTCCGTCAATGCGAAGACCATGAAGTCTGATCCATCGTGACCGCGTCTATGTCTTGATTTCTATTGTCTTGCTGAATCAAAAAGGCACGTCCATATCCTCTACGCTCTCTTCCTTCTTCCCATTGCTTTCAGAATCGGCGAGGATTTGCCTTATAAAACCGACCAGAGCAGCAACATACTGCTTCTGGCTACTGGGCAGGAAGTGACCACCAGGGTGGTAGACGATCCTTCCTTCATGCTGTTCGCACGCGTGAGCCAGCCTCAAGCTCCGGGCCTCCTCGACGACCGTGTCCACGCTGCCCAGGAAATGCAGCATCGGGGTCTTGATCTTGGGATTGTAGAAGGCGTCGTACAGCGGGTTCTGCGCGGGCGCGAAGCCCGAGTACGACACGGCGAACTTGAGCGGCGGGTGCACGCCGTCGGCGCCGGCGAAGGCGTCGGGGAACGGCATGCCGCCCTTCTCGGCGGCCGCGTCGAACGCCGCCCTGCGGCCGGGCTCGAGCAGGCTCGCGACCATGCCGGCGGCGGCGCCGCCCTGCGAGAAGCCGACGACGCCGTCGAAGGGGCCCTCGTCCCGGAGCACCTGCGCGACGCGGGCGAGGCCGGCGTCCATGCCCTCGTAGACGAAGCCCTCGCCCTCGACGGGCACCCTGTCCGTCTCGACCTTGTCCTTGCGCGTCCACCAGCCGTAGGCCTCGGGCTCCTCCTCGTCGTCGTCCCCGGCCGCGTCGTCCTTCTTCACGCCGTCCGTGTCCCACGACGGGATCTGCGCGCGCGACAGCCGGATGGGGGCCGTCGGGTAGCTGAGCGAGACGCCGGCCGGGAACGCCTTGGCGAGGTTCTTCTCCAGGGCGCGCGTCTTGTTGCGGAAGAGAGGCCCCGTCTGCGTGTAGCCGTGCAGCATCAGGATCTTGACCGGCTTGGTGGGGTTCGCGGCGGCCATGGCGACGGTGGTGGAGCAGAAGAGTCGACGCGTGGTTGGGAATGAATTGATTGATAGGAGTGGTCTGATCAGGGTATCATGGCGCATAGCAAGGAAAGAAGAAAGTAGGAAGAAGAGAGGGGGAGGGGGAAGAAAAGAGCGATCGAGTCAGTCCAGGTGGTGGGCTCTCTTCCGATGCGCGGCCGACGGTGTCCGAGACGGGAGAGCGGAGCAGGCGCGCGCGATAAGCAGCGGTAGGGCTGGAGGCGGTGACGCGCGGCAGAAATTCGTCTCCGCCGAAATTTCCCAAGCTTGCCCGCCGTTGCGATTCGCTCGCGTCTACGATACCCGTCCAGCTCTGCCTGGCGTAGAGAACCCGACGACATGTTGACCGAAACCTTCCTCGCCTCGATTGGCACCACGAACAGGAAACCGGACACGTCTTCCGCCACCAAGGACGCCGGCATCTTTCTCCACGAGCACCAACCGCTTCTTGCGCAGCGCCATACTTTCAAGAAAAGTGCTTGCGCCCCGAATTGCGTTGCGGTTAGCCGGTCACACATTTTTGCTGCGCAGATAGACAAGGCTGTCGTGAACGTCTACAGTAGGGAAAAGGGAAACCAAGAGGCTACAGTCCCGTTCCCCGAGAGGATCACAAGTCTTGCGCTCGCGCTCGACCAGACCGTGTTGGTACTTGGTACAGAAGGTGGAAGAATAATACTGTGGGAGGTACGCTGGATGAGAGGAGAATTTGGTGCTTGGCCGGTTACTGACTTGCATTAGACGTGCACCGGTCGTTCGTTAACAGGCCCACAATCCCACCTCCAGCCCGTCAATGTGCTCGCCGTTGACCCGACTTCGAAATTTCTCCTCAGTGGTTCTTCCGACTCGAACATCCACGTCTGGTCAATACAGTCCCTCCTTTCATTCACCGCACCGGCAAATCCAACTCCGCTCCACACCTTGTCCAACCATCGTGGGGGCATCACCGCATTGGCTGTTGGTCACAGCACCTCCAGTGCGAATGTAGTCGTATCGGCGTCGAAGGACAACACTGCTATTGTCTGGGATTACCAGCAAAACAACCTTCTCGCAACCTACCTACTTGGCGACGCCCCCCTCGCCCTTGCCCTCGATGCGGCGGATCGCGGGTTTTTCGCAACATTTGAAGATGGCAGCATTCAGTACATAGACTTCTACGTCTCTGGAGATGGTGAGACACCGAACGGTGCCGTCGATTCTCTCCGCAACCCCGACACGTCCTACACACCCATTACGCCAGCACCCTCGACCCGGTGGCATCCCACAAATCAAGACCTCGGTGCAGCCCAGAGTATAACATTAAGCTGGGACGGCACAACAATTCTGACCGGCCACTCGACTGGGAAGATTGCAGCATGGTCACCTGTCGGATCAACGCATCTCAAGACGGTGCTCAACTCACTTCCCGGCCCTGTCACCAACATCTCCTTCCTCACGCCAACTGGATTCCCTACCCCCACCAACGAGCCCAAATACAAGGTTCACGCGATTGTAAAACCGCGTCTTGACCTCAAAGCACATGTCAGTGACGGAGAAGTCTCGAGCCCAGTGCCGGCAGCATATGCTTTCCATGCTCAGCTTGTCGACTCAATCTCGGGTGTGGGAGCTAGGAAAACAAGCAAAAAGAGTGCTTTTGAGGAAGCGTTGACACACACGAGCTTCCCGTCGGATATGCTGGAGCGCAGCCTTGCCGAATTAAATGTCTTTACTGGTTCCGGTCAAGCACATGCTGCGTCGGCGCCTCCAGTCGCTAATGGTGGGGAAGCAGATTTCATGGTTCTGGACACGAAGGAGGACGCGGGCTCGGAGGCAAATGAGGCTTTGGAGCGCGAGAATAAGGAGCTGCGTGAGCAGTTGGAGTCTCTTCAGCGGTTGCAGAAGGCTACGTTGAAACAGCTTGCAGAGCTGAAGGAGGAGAAGAAGAAGTCGAAGGGAACGGCAGTCCCAGCTGAGAAGGAGAAGGCAGACGAGAAGACTGAGAGGGAAAGAAGAAGTGAGAGAGTACGGCGAGCGGTGAAGAATTTGGGCGATTGAGAAGACAAAGTCATGTAAACATGGATACCAAATTTTTCTGTTACAGTGAATTCGACGAGAAAAAAGATGCGAAGGTGGACGATACCCGAAAAGTGTTACGAGAATCGACGACTGTTGGAATGTAATCGCTGCCAAGCGCAGGAAAAGCACGGGGAATGTTCAAGCTCGGGTCAAGAAGACCGATAGATACGCCACAATGCTTCTAAGGTCTTTGCTGAGGCGCGGAAGACCCCGGTCGTGCCACCCCAGATATTGATGCGCCGACCCACGGACCCGATAGGAGCCGGCAACGTGGCAAGGTCGGCCTTCTCATGATTTCTCACTAGCATTTCGTGAAGTGGACGTCTCGGTGGGTGATTTCTTTCCTTTTTCTCTTTCTTTTTCCTTTTTTGTCTCCTGGTTGGCAGAATTTCTGCAGTAAGAAGTTTATCATATCGCGCCGCCCCGCGCCGTCGGCTCGCCCGCGACAAGTGCCGATCAACTGGCCACCAATCAGGATGCTGCAAGCATCGGGCTGGATGCCTTGTCTGGCAAGTCAAGCTTTCGTTCTTATCATCCTCGAATGCAACAGGACGCGCACGTTTGAGCGCACCGTTGCAGTGCTTATCTCCATCACGCGCAAGTCCGCGCAACCATGACCGTGGGGATAGCTCTCGACGAGCTCTCCTGCCATGTGAGAGTATATCATGTCCGCGTGTCGCACACATCCGCTTCTCCAGGTCGTACAGGGCTGTTCCACAGGCTTTTCAGGGTACTTTGTTACCTTCTGCAGCTGACCTGCTCCCTTCGGCTTCAACATCTTGCACCGAGCAAGACAGCTACTGCCCGACATGGCCGAGTCCATAAGCGATGCTGACCGACCCAAGGTGGCAGACGAGAAGAGCGAGCCCGTCGTTGAGGGTCAGGATGTCGAGACCGGCCATCTACAAGAGCTGGAGGTCGATCTGGCCGAGGCGCTGAATGAGGGCAACAAGGAGATGGATCTGGATGCCGATCACTCACCATACCCCGAAGGTATGCTTGCACTATTCTACACTCGCAAACTCACCGCAATACGTATCGCTCTCACGTAGGCAGTTGGAGCCATCATCTGGACTTTCATTCAGATTGGTTGGCTTCGACTACCGACAAGACGGTGTCTGCTTGTGAATGTCACTGACTGATGGACCACAGTCCGTGGCGTTGTTCCGGAGGTCGACGATCCCAGTATTCCGGTGAACACTCTCCGCATGTGGATCATTGGCTATGCTTTCACCATGCTCGGCTGCGGCATCAACAACTTCTTTTCTTTGCGCTATCCGTCCGTCCATATCGTGTCTCTCGTGGCTGAACTGCTGGCCTACCCGTGTGGTGTTTTCCTGGCTCATGTTCTGCCCATCTGGACCGTCAATCTCGGCCCTCTCGGCAAGTGGTGCATCAATCCGGACCACCACTTCAACATCAAAGAGCACACCGTCATCACCATCATGTCCAATGTCTCAATCGGCTTTGGCAGCGCCGATGCCACCAACATCATTCAGGCGTATAGTAAATTCTACGGCTTCCCCATGCGTACCGGCCTCAACATCCTGATGGTTCTGTGCTGCCAACTTCTCGGATTCGGTGTTGCCGGTCTCTCCGCCCCCTGGCTGGTTACTCCCGCAAACATCATCTGGCCCGGTTCTCTGTCCATCTGCGCGTTGCTGAGCACCCTCCACTCGCGTGCCAATGTAATAGCCAATGGCTGGAGAATCACGCGTCTGCGCTTCTTCATGTACGTCATGGCGGGTGCCTTTGTGTGGTGGTGGTTCCCGGGCCTGATGTTTGTTGCGCTCTCTTACTTTACCTGGGTTTGCTGGATTGCTCCCAAGAACCGGATTGTCAATCACTTGTTTGGGATGCAGACGGGGCTTGGCCTGAGCCCCATCACCTTTGATTGGACCCAGATCGCGTACACAACCAATCCGCTACTGTCTCCATCTTGGGCGGCCCTGAATGTCTTTTTCGGTTTTGTCGGAGCCTTCTGGATCATCGTGCCGGCAATTTACTACACCAACACCTGGTGGACCGGCTATCTACCCCTGATGACTGCCGATGTCTATGACCGTACCGGCCAGGCTTACAATGTCACTAACTTGCTCAATGACGATGGCTCTTTCAACGCCGAAAAGTACGCCGAGTACTCGCCTCCGTACCTCGGAGCATCTTTCGCATTCGTCTACGGTCTTTCTTTTGCAGCCCTGACTTCGGTCCTTGTGCATATTGGTCTCTGGCACGGCAAGGATATTTGGCGAACTCTTCGCGTCGGTCAAAAGCTGGACATTCATGGCCGGTTGATGCAGGCATACAGAAAGACGCCGTGGTGGTGGTACGCTGTGGTCACCGCCCTCACCCTCGCCCTAGCCATCGTCATGGTCGAGGTCTATGACACACTACTTCCCGTCTATGGCGTCTTCCTCGGCCTATTAATCCCTGCCGTCTACATGATTCCATGCGGGATCATCCAAGGAATTACCAACGTCGACGCGCAGCAGCTCAACGTCCTCAGCGAATTCATTGGTGGTTACATGTTCCAAGGCAAGCCGCTGGCCAACATGATCTTCAAGACGCTCTCGCAGGACGTTGTCCAGCAAGGTCTCTTCTTCGCCCAAGACATGAAGCTCGGCCACTATATGAAGGTGTCGCCGCGTCTCGTTTTCGCTGCGCAGGGAAGTGCAACTGTGCTGGGCGCGCTGACCCAAGTCGGCGTCACCACTTGGATGCTGGGTAACATTGACGACATTTGCAGCGAGGATCAAGCAAGCGGCTTCACTTGTCCACAGGGCCGGACCGTTTTTTCTTCGTCCGTCATCTGGGGGTTGATCGGGCCTGCGCGTCTGTACAGTGTGGGCAAGATATATTCCGGCTTGCTCCATTTCTTTTGGATCGGCGCGCTCACGCCCTTGACTACATGGGCTGCGTGGAAATACACCAAGAAAGACTGTTTTAAGAAGATCCACTGGCCGTTGGTAAGAGTGGCGCCCTCCCCCAAAAATCCACCACCCCCCCTTTTCCTCAACCACCACCAACACCACAACATTTCCCATCGCCGTATAGGCTAATACAAGCTCTAGATATACGTCGGGACATCGTTGGTCCCGCCCTCGACCGGCATAAACTACTCTAGTTGGGCCGTTGTCAACTACATCTTCAACCACTGGATCAAGAGGAAGTTTTTTGCATGGTGGGCTAAATACAACTATGTGTTGGCTGCCGCTCTCGACACAGGCACAGCGCTCGCCGGCATCGTTATTTTCTTCTGCGTCACGTATCCCGGAGGTGTCTTCCCTGACTGGTGGGGCAACACTGTTTACTTACAGACGGCGGATGCCGACGGCGTGCCGTACTTGGACATGCCAGCACAAGGATATTTCGGCTATGCAAACGGGACATGGTCGTAGCACTCCGAACATCATAAGGCGGTGAGCGAGGCGAAGAAAAGTATTGAACAAAGAGTGATGGGAAGGGGTGGTGCGGTGTGGGCAGCTGAAGACCGTGTCCGGATATGCTTGTATGACCCGAAAGCCTACATCTGCATCCGGATGTTCTCTTCAGCTGCCCATGTAGACAAGCAGTCTCAATCCGTCGAACATGAAAGAGTTATTCGCAACAGTCACCGTGATTCGCGAAGTCGACGTGAATGACATTATCCCTGGTCAGATTTCTCTTGTGTATGCGAGTTCGACTCCTCCCTGAGCAAAGATTCTCTTGTGCAGGCGAATCCGACCCCCTCTTGAGTAGATTAGATGGAGAAAGCTCCCCGTTGTATGACTGGATATGCGCCGGTCGTCAAAGGGGGGAAAGGGTGAGAGGGGAGGCGGTAAAGGAGGGTAGTAATGATGTAATTAACGCAGGAGAGGTACTCTACTAAGGAGCGCTGAAGAGGGGGTTGTAGCTGTGATCCTGGTGTTGTCCGTTCTGAGTTCTTCCTTGGCTGTCGCACGCGCGCTGGGATCGGCTTTGGTCAGCACGAATCCAGAATAGTTCCCCCGCGTAAGGCTCAACGAAGAGGGTGTTGTGATAGGGTCCAAAGGATCATCGTATTAATAGCGTAATTAAGAGGGATGGGGTGTTCTGTCTATGAACGCTAGCTACGGCCGCCAGAAGCCAGATGGCGATCCGGCTAGGTAAGCTTCGGGCCAACAGCGAGAGGCCTGGGATTCGTCCTGCTTCGGGGATGGTTGCTACTTCCGGCATTCCTCCTCGAGCGTCTCGCCCTGGTGGTCGCCGTCGATATCGGGTTTCTTTCCTCATGGTTGTCCAGCTTCACCGACGGATCGAAACACCCAATGTTCTCGGCTCGAACCTTTGAGCCCTTACCCTCAATCTCGAAGTCTTCAAGATCGCTGTTATCAATGTCACAGTTCCAAGAGCACAGGGTTGGATTGGTCACAAGAGGAAGGTCCGCGTCTCTAGGAGGACAGTTTTATTCAAAGAAGAAATAGCTTGTGATAGCAATGAAGTCTAAGCTAGTACCAAAATCCACACACTTGATCCAATCTACTCCACGTAGAATGGGCAGCGCCTCCCCACCGCGAACCACATACAAAGCGCAGCTAATGTCATCAAGACACTGCGATCCAAAAAGTAGAAAACCGCCAATCCTACCAAAACCAGAAAGTAAAGCGGCGCAGAGAGGTATCACAACAAGAACCGAGCCACCCCCACCCAATTTCCTCCAGCGTTCACTTCGTACTCGCTCTTCCCCGGGAACAGGGTGCCACTTTCCTCCTGCGCGAAAAAGAATAGGAAAGAAAAAAAAAAAGAAAGAAAACCTGCCGCGCATGTTGATCATGTGCCCAACTGGTATCGCGCAGCAGCAAAGAGAAGTGAAGAACAGAGTGCACAAAAAGTAAAGGGCCATGATGATGAAATGTGTCAGGATTGTGTGGACGCCGGGACCAATGCTCTAACGAACAGGGAGAGAATGCAGCAAATTAGCGATACTAAAACAAATAATAGAAAAAAGAGTTGGTCGGGGCTGTAGGTATCGGGCGTAGCTGATAAATGGAAATTCAGGGTATTGAGATAAGCGACTTTTACTCGGATCGGCCATGGACTGATAGATGATGTGCGATACTTGGAAGTTGGTATCTGATTTGCTGTATAGACCGCATCCACGTATTTTGCGTGGACTCACAAGCAGAGAACAGCTTACAAGGAAATGGATAAGAACTGAGATCGTCACACCAGCCTCTCAAATCAAACCTTACTCAACCAGGTGCCCCACATGCGTACCATTTGGTAATGTGATATGCCACTGGCTGAGATCGATGGCAAAGCTGTTGCCTAAGCTGACTGCAGTGGCCGACGTTGCGGCGTCGTCACCCTCTTCGAACTCTTTGAAGTATGTCTGGAGGTTTTCCTGCGCTGTGAGGGCTTTGGACAGATCATTGCTCTCCTGCAACACGAAAAGGACACCGATGCGTGCGAACTGCAGTCGCTTCTTGCTGACCGAGAGGGCTGATGTCGTGGCCGAGGCAGCGGCGGATCCAGTCGCCGTCGAGGAATAGGAGCTGTAGTACACATTGCTGCTGGCCGGGGAAGAGTCGTATACGATACCGTACTTGGTCGCGGCGTCGTCGGCGTCGGAGGAGTCGTCGCGAGCGAGCCGGAGCTTCAGCTCAGGGGCAGGGGTGACGGTCGGAACGGACGGAGTGGACGAGGTCGAAGGAAGGCCATTGCCAGGCTTGGATCCATTCTGCTGTGCAACCTCGACAACTGGCATCGGGGCGGGAGGAGGCAGGTCGATGGAACGCTTCTTGGTCGAAACCCCGCTGAAGGTCACCAGCGCGTTTTCGGCTGTGCAGCTCAGGTTGTTGGACGAAAACAGGGAGAGCAGCTCAGTTCCGCTGAGCGAAATCTGGAACGAGTCCGACGCGGTCGAGATGAGCGACGGCACAGCAGAACCAATCGTGGCGTTCTTTCCTCCGACGGTTGTGGTCGTGCAGCCCTCCTCGGATTCCGTAGCGCAACGATCGCCCGTGAAACCGTTGACACACACGCAGCTGCAGTGGCCACTCGGATTGACGACGCTGCTACCTCCGTTCTCGCAAGCGTACGTTTGCTGGCATTGGGCGAGGGCTGAATCCGCACTGGAGCTGCCATCGCCACCGTTCTGCTTTGGAAGGACGATCAAAACAACGGGGACGATGATAGCGGCGGCGACCAGCAGGACGAGAATTAGCATGAGGATGATGAAGCACCAGAGAGGCATGCCGCAGCATCGCCTGCCTTGCTTTTTCTTGTCTTGCGGCTTGCCTTCCGGGTAGTCGTGGTGCTGTTCGTACTGACCGAGTCCGGAGGGCCAGCGAGAAACGGGCCGCGATCCGTATCTTTCGCCGGTTGGTGTACCAATGCCTGGATGGGGAAACGAGGTGAGGATGTCGGAAAGTGAAGATGCTCTCCGTTGTCCGGCCTCCCAAGCTTTGTCGCCTCCGCCCTTTTCCCACATTTCCATGTCCATCCGACTTGCCGTCTTGCCGCGGTCGAGATTCGAAGCGAGACGGGTAGCGCGTCTGATTAGGTCAGGCAGGCTGGTCAGACTCCCGCGAGCCTCGGCGTCTCGAACAGCATCGACGTTCAAACGGGGCGGGCGCCGAGCCCCGACACGGTCAGCCAGTGACGGTCCTCTCTTCGGATTGCTGTAGCCTGCCCCAAGCGCTCCACCCTTTTCCAAACCGCCCAAGATTTGATTCACCCTCGGGTCGATGGGAGAATCAGGACTATTGTCCAGGGAGCGGGCCAGAGGAGATGACTTCATCGGCCTCTGAAATCCCATCGTATTCACTGATTCCGAAGATTCTGTGGCCGACGGTGGGAACAGGCCGGTCCCGCTGCTCAGCGCCTCACTGTCAGGTCTTGAAGACGACCGTTGAGCGGGGTCCCGGGAATTGCCGTATCCAGCAGCAAATGCACCACCTGCAGCGCCAGCTGCCATGATGCCCTGTCCTACGGCGCTCTTTTTTTGCTTTTCGTTGTTCCTTATTATCCTGTCGAAGCTGTCCACGCTCTTGATGGTCGTTAACGACGGCTTCCCCCTCTTGCCAAGACTGGCATGTCTGACCAGCCCAGCTTGATCACCGTCGTCCGTCACCCGCGAGGACCGGTCGCTACCAGTAATGGTCGAGGGGCTGGCCATGGGCATGTCGTCATCGGAAGGAGTTGCGTCCTCGTCGAAATAGAAACCATCGGCGTTGGGAATCACATTGCTGGAAGCGAAGGAATTATGCGAGTTACGGGAAGTGCGCGACCTATGCGACTCGGCCTCCTCGACAATGGGCGAAACGAAGGACTGCTGTGAGTAGTACGATGAAGGGCCTCTTCTGGCAGACGGCGGGGGCCCGAGGCTCTGGCTTTTCCGGGATTGAGGCATGTTAGGGACGGGGAAATCGGGGATTGATCCAAGCGACGAGACCGAGTTTATGGACGAGGTGGTTATTGGACGATGCTCATTGGGAGACGGATAGTAGGAGGTCGGGGAGAGCAGCTGGTCATCGTACTCGGAGGGCGAGACTGGCTCGGGCTCAGGCTCCCTGCGCCTGTTGCCGGGAGTCCGTGGGAGGGGCGGAGCGAGCAGCGTAGGGTCCGGCCGGGTGGGATCCAAGATGGAAGGGACGTACGACGGGCGCGGCGGGCGCTGGGGCGGCGGGCCCTTTTGACGGGGGGGGCTATCCTGGGCGGGCTGGCTGTCGTCAGCCAGAGGCCAGTTGGGGCCGGGCGAGGGCGACAATTCCCGGCCGGAACTGGAGGGTGGGGTAAGATTGGCCTCGGGGCGCGTGGGTGGACGGACATTGTACTGCGACGTGGGCAGCGGCGGGCGCGATGGTTGGCCATAGTAGTCGGCGCTGAGGTACTGGGCCTGCTCGGCCTGGGCACGTTCCCTGGCGGCCTTCACGGAGCCCTTGCGCTGGAGGCCGTGGTCGCTCCCATCATAGGTCGCGGCGGGAGCGTAAGGATGGCTCATTGGCAGGTCAGATTATTGCATGCGGAGCGGCGGCGCGATTGGCGAGGAAGTTGCCGGGCGGAGTCGCGGTGAGATTGGAGAGCTTGGCTGAGGATGGCTGCTTTTTCGGTCAGAGACACGGACGCAGTGACATTGAAAAGACTCGTAAAGGAATGAGGCGGAGATCATGGGCACTCGGGCGCCCGAGGCAAACGGGGGATTCTCGACGCATGCCTCGAAAGCATGCAACAAATTGCGTTCCAGGTGGGGCAGAGAGGACGGGCAGACGTACACAGGGCCGGGAGCATGCAGTCGATTCCTCAGTCGCTAATCAAACGGCGTGCGTCGGAGAGCCGGGCATGGAGGGGCGATGACGGCGGCGGCGGCGGCGGGAGTGGTGGTGGTGGTAGCAGTGGTCGTAGTGGCCAAGGGGGTCCGGACTCGCGGAATTAAGGGCTAAAGGCGCACAGGGCGAAGAGAAGGGAAAGACGGAGAGAGCGGCGGAAGAGAAGAGAGCGTCAAGCTCAGGCCCGGGCTGGACAGCAGTGGTGGAGCGGCGGAGGGAGAGGGAGAAGAGCGACAGTCAGCGCGGAGGCAGGGCGGAGGGCGAGATTTTGGCGGACATGGGGCTGGGCACGTCGCGGACAGCAGCACGGCAGCGGCGTGGAGAGCTGGAGCAGAAGCGAGGGCTGGTGAAGAGATTGGCCTGAGGGCGGATGGTGCGACGGCCACAAACAGAGCCACGGCCGGGGCAGCCCACGAGATGGGCGCGCCCTGCCCGCGTGCGCCGGCCCGCCTGGCCAATCGCGGCGCCCCTGGCCCGCGTCTGAGATTGATGGCGCGCAAGATGACGGCCGCAGCGCCGTGTCGCCAGCAGCAGCACCAGCACCAGCAACAGCGGCAGCCCGCCCGCCCCGCCCGCAGCGCAGCGCGCCGTGTCACCGCGCACCGCCGCCCGTCGCACCGCCGCCCCAGCAGCTCGCGATGGCCGTTGAGGCGCTGGGCGCGAACACGATCCGCGCTGCATGCATGCTTGGGGCGGCGGCCCACAGCGCGGCCTGGGGGACGCCGCAGGAGCCCCCGCCCGGCCTGCGCCCGCCTAAGGAGCCTCGCCAATTTCTCGACCATTTCTGACGACACCTCGCGCCCGTCGCTATTTACGGCGACAGGGCCTTGCACTTGCCCTGCGCTTACCCTGCGCTGGTCCTAGGCCCGGTGGGCGACACTGATCAAAGCCAGCGAGCCAGCGAGCCAGCGAGCAGCAAGCCAGCGAGCCAGCGAGCTCCCGCCTCTCCCATCTCCCGTCTGCATGAAGTCTGGACCGGCAAATGCCAGACCCCGGTCCACAGATCTCCCTCCGGCTCGCGGAAGCTGCAGCAGGGCCCACGCTCCGCCCGCAGCGCCGGCCGTTGCAGCGCGAACCACGAACCACGAACCACCTCACTCGCTCGAGGCCTCCTGCCGCCGCGGAGCCTCAACTCGCCGCCCGTTGCAGGGTGTGCCCGTCCAGCCAGCACGCGCCGGCAATCTTAACAAAAAGTCAACTCAGCGCGAGCCTTCAGGCCGCCGATCTGTCGTCGAATCTGCCTTTGCTGCCGCCACCAGCCTGTGAAGCCTGAGCCTTGTTTCAGGCCATGTCGTCCGAGAGCCGGCAGGGGGGTGCTGCTGTACGCGTAGCACAGTTCCCCTGTGCACATCGCGACTTCTGCTGTGCCTCAACCCAGCCTGCCTGTTCCTGACGCTTGCATCTGCCTCACCGCCTCGGCCGTGTGGTTGCCCGCGACGTTTCGCCCATGTCACGCGTCGACCCCAGCAGCTGGCAGTAGGTAATGCATGCTTCCCGCATTTTCCGACCCGAGATGGCCATCGTGAACCAGCTCGCTGGGCACCAGGGTTCCTTTCAGCAAAGCCGATTTTGACTTTTGCCCCCCGGGCTCTCTTCATATTACATCCCTTCCAGAACCCGCACGGGCAAACACTGTCACGCAATGGCTGCCCACACTTCTGGTCCGGCTGCTCTATAGGCCCGGCCTAGGTACACCATGGCGAGCAGAAACGTCTGAAGCGGCCAACGGCCCGGAGGAATGCCGTGACACGTCACCGTCGGCTTCGCTGAACCTTGCAGCCTCCACTCCCGCTCGTCTCTCGCAACAATCTAAAACTCGGCTTCGAAATGGTGAGCAACAGTCGCAGCGAAGGAAGAAACGGACTGATGAGAACATGGATATGTCTGGCCGTGGTGGCGTTGGATCGCACTTGCTCATCCATCTCATCCCCGCCCCGTGTTTCACCTGCCTTCGCCAACAACGTGGTCTCCATTGTTTCGCGCGCGCCAACATTCTCCACCAACCAAAGCCCCTACTTTCAAGACGTCAGCTCCTCATGACCATTGCTTCGAGCCTGCTTCTCATGTGCCTGCTACCCCAATAACGCCGTCTTATTGGGCGGTAGCTTTCATCACTGCGACAATCGAGATGGATCAGGACAGTATCAAGAGAGTGCCATCTTCTCGAACTTGCGCTACAGAGTAGGTGACAGAGCTTGGCTTTCTCCCCTCTGTCTCGCACAGCGTATGGCGTCGCTGTGGGTATTGAATCTCATGCTAATACTAAAAGCTCATACCTACGTCCGGGCATTTGCTTCTACATATGTCAATGGGATACAAACAATGAGAGAATGCAGGCTTACGTGCTCGATTGCCTATGTTTGATCTACAAACGTTGATGTGCATGATGATCTATGTTGTTCCCAAGGTTGGCTGAAGCACTGTCGGCTGAAGCACCGAATCCAACTTGACTTGTCAATAGACAACCACAACGAACCGGTACAGGTCTGTTGAGTCAAATATAGCTTAAAGATGCTAGAGGGACTCCATGACTTACTTCTTGCTGAATATTAAGAGGTTTCGTACAGGTCTCAAATTGAGCGACAATCATACCTTGTCAGTTTTTGCTTATGTAATCACAAACCACATCTGTTAAAAGTTGTCGCAACCTTCTATTTTTTGATTGGGATAGCTTTTGCGGCTTAAGCTCGTTATTAGCTTCAAGTTTTATGACTGAGACATTGCTGTGGGGGCAGTGGTCTTAATGTTAGCTCAAGGAGACAGTCCGCGAAAGACGGGGAGACAACGCACGGAGCAAAGAGCTCACGGTAGGTTGCAAAGAAACTATGCTCCGCAAAGGCAGCTGCATCACTAGTTTCATCGGCTTCGTATAGGTCAGCTGTGAGCATGTGCGAGTGCTACACCCCTTCACGTGTGCCCAAAGGAAAATGACCATCTGCCCATCTTTCTTTCACAACGCAGAATCAAGTGGCAGGCAAACCATCACCAAGTCAAGTGCCACCGTAGAAAGCTCCACGGCAGTGATATTTAAAGAGCTTCAATGATACTCACTCTAATTATTTCTCAGAAACACCAAAGATATCTACTCCTTCTCTGACTATACCGAATTGACCCATAACCATGTCCGACTCCGACAAGCAGTACCATGGCTCTACTGCTACCTCGAACGACCATGTAGCCACCCTTGACCGGCCCGCAACTACTGCTGCGCCGGCCAACTCTGCCTCCATCCCCGCCAGCGAGTTCGACATCGTGGAAGCGGCAATCGCGTTCCTCCGCAAGCAGCCAGACAGTCCCGCAAACCAGACTCTGACTTACGACCAGGTCAAGGCCGTGTTCGACGAGTACAAGGTGTACGCCGAAGTCTGCTATGCTCTCCACAAGATGGGCGCCGTCTTCACGGACAAGAAGTTTGGCCAGGACACCTTCTGTAGGCGTGCGCTCGCGGATCCCAAGGACAGGCTGCCCCAGTACCCCGATGACGAGTGATTGGAGTAGAGGGAATGCGAAAGCATACACCTACGTCCGGATCTTTGCTTCAACTACACGCGCAGGAAGGGTGACGAGCGAAGTGGTAGGGAATCTTTTTCATTTTGATCAAGCACTACAAGTCTATGGTGGGAGACGAAATTTTTTTTCCTACGGTGGTGCTCTGTGGGTGCGGTTGAAGCAAGTATGACGTGTAGGTTCAAATCAACTTTTCTTCATGAGTAGCTGAAGAAGATATCTGAATGTATATGTGAGTATTAAACATGTAAATATGCATCCGGGTACCTCGCTCACTGTGAGTCCATCTGTAAAATCTCCCCTCGCAATAGCCTTGCCTATTCAAAGCCGCACGTGAGGCCAGAAATGGCTCACTTTAGATGTGTTGTGTTGAAAAGCCGGTTTCCCGTATCAGTGCCACCGCTACCAGTGAATTTGGTATCGGAGCTTCGAAGTGCAACAATGCTGATACTCCCGCAATCGGCCAGCGTCTTGTAGAATGGGGTGTCTGGTGAAATACACTCCGCCTGGACTATACCGGCTACGATGATGATTCGAATGTCGGGATTTAGCTTGCGGATCGCTCGCACGAGTTCCAGAATCGTCTTGCCTGTGTTGATGACAGCATCGACAAGCAGTACCTGGTGTTGCCCTTGCAGGTGGTGCGCCTCGATGCTCTCCGGGCCGCTAGCGTGGACGAACATGGCCAGTGGGATCACTTCGTTGACACCGCTTGCCATTGGTTCTCCGGCTCGCATAGCGGCTACAATTGTCGTCTCTGCCTCGTGTCGAAGCTGATAGCCTTTGGAAATGTGGCCCAAGACGTGTGAAATGCCACGCTCCTCGACACCGATGACGCTGCTCAGATACTCGGTTGCCAGATAGGCGCCGGCGCGACGATGTGCTTCCCTCAGCGCGGGACCAGCCACAGATGAATCTCGCATGCGAGTCGCAAGCAGTTTCGCTGCATTTTTGTCGGTTGCAAGGAAAACCGAGAAGGCATGGCGACGGCGGAGGATGGAGCTGATAAGACCAGCCTCGGTGACTTCAGCCACGGGGAGTGTTGCGGGGTCGAGCCGGGGAGACACGCTGTTGGGAAGTAGAACTTGGCGAGCCTGAAGACCGCCTTGGTTGATGGCAACGGACAACGCAACATCCATGCTCTTGCTCCTGGAACTCTTGTCCCCCACCACAACAACCGCCTGGTCTGCTTCCTTCAGCATTTCCAAGTCCAGAGGGCTATCTCCAAATGCCCACACATACATGCGGTGAACATTCCGTAAACGAACGACCATGGCAGCTTTGACTGCTGGGGTAACCACCAGTCCGTCTGCAATACGTCCTCCGGCGATGACTCTGACAGTGTCTGAAAACCCTTCTCTTTCCAGCACAATGTCCCAGACACGACGAAGGCCGCAGCTGACAAGACACACGCCAACATGTTCTTGTTGTGATACAGACTGCAACAACGACACCATTTCTGGGTACATTGTGACCTCCGAGGCAACATCTTGACAAAGAGCTTCATACTCTTTGTCGTCAGTAGCCTGTTCGTTGAGCAGTGTGGCCTGCCGGAAGGCATTGTACGAGTACCCCAACGAGCTGCTGAAAAGAGACTTCAATGGAGAATCCGCGCTCTTTGGTTGCTCTGTCTTGCGGAATTTTGCCCAGAACAGTTCTCCAGTGTCCTCCGCTGCCAGCGTCTTGTCGGCGTCGACTACCAGCATGGTCTTCACCCGGCCACTCTGAAGGGCAACCATGTCGTCCAGCCTGGTCTCCGCGTAAGAGAGATTGTGCTTTTCCGTATGAAGGTTGAAATCACGAAGTAAAACGGAAACCTTGCTCGGCAAAGAGGAATATGAAGTCGAAGATGGAGCGAGGAGCGAGAACAGAATGCCGTGGTCGCGACAGAGCTGGCTTAGCTGATTTTTCTCAGCCTGCTGCCACTTTGCCAAATGACGTTCGGTCATGGCTGGACGCGTTCGCCCCGTATCTTCTCGATGGCGTTGTTGAACGATGCTGACAGGCACGTCCAGGTAGAGGATATGTGTGAAAGTGGCGAGGTCGTTTGGGGTGTAGACCATGTGCCCTTCCTCTTCTTCGTCTGGCCAGAACATAAGATGTCCCGTAACGATCCCTGATTTGCCGCTAGCAGTGCAGACTTTCCCGATCGTGTCGATGGCAAGTTGACGCCACTCTGCCTTGCGCTGGTCCGCCGATTTCTTAAAGGCTTCAAGGCCGCCCGGAACAAGGGTCGAAATCATCTCGGACCCTTCGAAGAATAGGAACAGCTCAGCGCCCAGTGAAAGCTTCAGTTGGTTCAACATGTACGTCTTTCCGGACCCAGAAATTCCGTATATGCCAACGACTTTCGGTTTGCCGCCGGTCGGAGGGTCTTGAACAAGGCTTAGTGGTTGCTCCCATGGAGAGAGAAGGGTGGTACCTGGTATGTTTTTTCCATTTTGAGACATCGTACTGGTGTTCTCTCAGAGGGCTACGCAAGGAATGGCTGTGGATTTGGTTTGACTGCTATTGTGAAAGGGTGAATCGCCTCAAGACAATGAGAAGCTGATGCGAGTATGGTGTGCAGAGTGGCCAAATGGCTCGTATATATCTGCCTTGCCATCAGTGTGCTTGATCAAGCAACTTACACAAGCTTTGTGCCTTTGTAGATAACACCTCGCTCTGTCGTGTGATGACATGGGCCCGAAAACTGCCAGAAGCAAACTCTATGGCAAAAGAGGCCAAAACCGTCGCAGCTTGCCACCGACGCGCTTGAAGGTGACGGGGTCAATCTGGTGGCGAGAAGCAACTTCGATGAGCTTGCTATCTTTGGCCGGGTTCACGACCTCACGCACGGATGCGTAACGAGGAGCATGACTGAGCAATGCAGCCACCCGATAGAACTGCCAGCGCAATGTGAATTTTGCCAACATGTACACGTATACGGGCGCGTGGTGGATTGTGGAAAAAGGCGGCAGTCTCCGCACCGGAAAGCCATCATACTGTGCTCGGCTGATGGAAAAGAAGACGTCCGATGTCTCGCTAAGCCTCTGCCAGCCTGTTGTTGCAGTGTTGCGTTCTCGGAGCTCCTCTCGGACTCGATCTCGGTACCATGATGGCGGTGACTGTCGTGAGAGGCCTAGCATGCCATGCCAGCGATGAAGAAATCCGTACGTCGTGGGTCGCATCTTGGTTAGGTTAGTGAATGTGACGAAGGTGTGCAAAACGAAAGAAGCCGGGTGGAGGGTCAAGAGGAATGTCTTGGACGAAGCGGAGCAAAACCAAGTTGAGGCAAGACAGAGCTTTTAGAGTCCTGGCGCACGTGCGCTATCCCCTTTTCGGGATGTTGGGGGGTACCCAAGGAATTTGGCTCACCTACTATTGTCTCACATGGGTAATGGAATCATCTGTCTGGATATACTTGTCCGAGATTTAGTACCGGCTTCCATATCCGGATATCTGCTTCAGCTACCCGTGCTTCCAACTGCCCAATGATTCTTGATCGTTTCAGCCTTGAATAACAATATCCCGAGACAGAGTACCACAAGTGCTACCGTAAACATATGCATGCACGCCCTGCCAACACTTTGTTCTGATGACGTGCTAGGTAATGATTTCTTCGGAAAGGGGAAGTACTGGCTCGCTTATACAACTACAGGCAACAGCGACAAGGCTTTAGCAAGGCATCTTGCGCCATATGCAGTCATCTTCGCTGGACATTTCTGATTGGGTGAACCGAGATCAAGCATCATTCGAGCATACAATGTGCTGGGACTATGGAGGAAACGAACAATTCTGAGGAGGAAACTACAATCTTCGCCGAGGTGTTGCCACTGCAACCATTCAGAAGAAAGAAGAAAAAAACAAGATGAAGAGAGTACAAGAAGAACGAAGTTCCACTAATAGCGTTGTGGAATGTTGATGGTGAGTGATTGGGCACACAGGGCAAAAAGGGGTCGATGCTCAACCCACACAGACCACAAAAAGAATTGCAAAACGTACAACAGCCGGGATTCCCCAATGGTCACCCACTTGAGTACTAATCGGCCGGTTCGCAGCTTGAGTACGGCTGAGCGGACGGGAAGCCCTATATTCTGCGACCTATGGTCGTACGTGAAGAAAGAGCCTGCGGGCATAGTTTATGAATACAAGTAAACTAGCTGTTGACTACCTGTCAACCGCAACCCAGCAGCGAGAGCTTCATCCAGCAACGGACATGAGCAACGGACATGAGCAACGAACATGAGCAACGAACATGAGCAACGAACATGAGCAACGAACGTGAGCAACGGACATGAGCAACGAACATGAGCAACGAACATGAGCAACGAACGTGAGCAATGGACATGAGCAACGAACATGAGCAACGAACATGAGCAACGAACATGAGCAACGAACGTGAGCAACGAGTATTATAGCAACCAGTGCCCCCATTGGCGAGCGCGTCTCAGCAGCGATCATCCTCTAGCAGCGACCATCCTTTACCAGAGACCATCACTAGCAGGCATCACTTGCAACAGAGGCGCTTTACCGCCCGTCGCCTTTTACAGGAACGTCGAGGCACCTGCTACACGCTTCGCCGGGGGTTACTTCGCTTAGTTGGACTGTCCCATTCAACGGAATATTGCAAGTGTCTTGCACGAGGACCGATCAGGAGAAGTCCCGCCAAGTCTCAACCTTCCTCTGTCTCCCCCCTCAGCCCACATGCATTTAACATTCGTTATCCACTCTCCGACAAGGAGAACCAGCGAATCATCGCGCTGGCTGTCCCCGTGTCGGCGGAACCTCGGTCATCCTCCCTTTTCTCCTCCCGCCCCCAGCGCTTACTCCACCACATATTCCCAACTCCCGACCAAACTTTCCATCAAGGAGAACACGGTCTTGTGGTCTAGTGGCATGATTCTCGCTTAGGGCTTACCCTAGGTAACTTGCGAGAGGTCCCGCGTTCGATCCGCGGCAAGACCCTATAGAATCTCTATCTTTTTTGCCGTTTGCGCGGCTAGTTCCTCTTTTTACGCTTTCGAGATGGGCTAGCCGTAGTCTTCCTAGTCCAATTATACTATTACGGGGCGGGAGTATGCCTATACGGCGCGTCTCGAGCTTTTTACCTATTCGAGTCTATCTTACGGAGGATGTCACGCGATTCTACTACGATAAATTTAAACCCTAAAGGCGGTATACTCTAAACTATAGAGGGATATTCTATAAAGAGAAAAAAGAACTATACTTTATTATTATCGTCGTTATATTATAGTAAAGTTAAAAACTAAGTCTAACGCTATAATTACGCTCTTCTACGCCCCTACTATATCTATATCTAAATATTAATACGCCACGCTACTTATATTAAAATAAAGAAATAAGGACTATACTCTTATTATCGCCGTTATATTATAGTAAAGCTAAAAACTAAGTCTAACGCTATAACTACGCTCTTTTATACCTTCGCTTTACTATATACGCTCGTATCTAATATAGTCTTAGCTACGGCCGTAGCGCTTATCGTTTACTATATATTAGAAGAGCCGCTTATCGTCGTAGCGATAGTTTTAGTCGATAATAATTTAAAGATAGTAGTAGTAGAGTTATTAATCTAGCTATTCTTATTTAAGTTAACGATTTTTCTATTAATAGTAATACTTCGCTAGCTACTAATAGTATTATAGTAGTAGAGAATTCGGCTATATCTAATTAGATAAGATCTCTAGGCTTAAGAAGTAGAAATAGTACGAGTTCGGCCTAAAATCTAAGGCTATAAGTAACGGCCGGCGTCTACTATAGTATAAAAGCGCTTTTCTTAAGTAGTATAGAGAAAATAACTAACTACTATCTCTTCTCTCTAATCTTTTTACTATCTATCTCTTATTTTATCTTTCGCCTATCTATAACGTATAGTTACTTCGACTAATTATTCTAAATATTTATCTAACGTTCTTTTCTTCGTTAGTAGTTAGACTCGATTTAGCCGGCGATATCTTTTATATACTTTAAAAGGTTTTATATTTATCTATTATTATTTTTAGATCTAAGCTTAATTATTCGTATACGTTTAGATTTTAACTACGTATATAGTTCTATTTATTACAAATTAAATCTAGATTTAAGAATTATATATTTATATATTTAGATCGGGGTTTAAGAATTAAATTATCGTTTAAATAGTAGTTAGTACGTACTAGAGTAAGTAATATAATAATAGAAACCTTAAAATAAAAAATTACGAATAATAATAGAGGGATTTAGAATCGAAGAGGTTTTAGAACTACTTTTTATAGATCTAGAACTAGTAGGCTCTAAATCTAGTACTAGAAGCTATAGAACTAAAAGTAGGCTACTAGACGGAAGTAGACTACTAAAATCTATAGAAGTAGAAGCTTTTATCTAAACTCTATACCGTAATAGTAGTAGGGTAGTAAACTACGTAAGATAAATAACTAGAACTAGAAACTCGAGCTCTAATCGTAGTATATTTTAGAAACGACTTTAACGGAATAGATTTTATTAAGCTATCTATACCGTATTAGGTTTTAGTAATACTAGAAGTAAAAGTAAGAAAATAAAAAAAAGAAAAAAAAGAATTCTTCTTTTAATACGCGAGGAGATTCGTTTCTCGCTATTATTATAGTTCTTAAGTCTAGAGTTTATACTAGTATTATCTTTCTACTTCTTAATACTAGTATTATCTTTCTACTTTTCGATACTAGAATCGCCTTTCCGTATCTTAATACTAGAATCGTCTTTTCGTATTTCGATACTAGAATCGCCTTTCTATATTTTAATTCTAGTATTTAGTTCTAGATATCTAGATTCTAGAATCGGTTTCCTAGTATAGAGTTTTTATTAGATAGCTACGCTAGAGTAGATACGAGTTCTCGATTCTCGCGAATTAAGACTCGACTATTATTATTTATATTTTTTCTTACTCGAGATCCTATCTACCGTAATAATACTAGTAATAGTATTAGCTATTATCTAAATATTATACTAGTTCTATATTCTAAGTACGCGACGAGGTACTCTCTATCGCTATTATTCTAAGCGCGTACCCTAGATAAGAAAAGAAAAAATAAGAATAAAGAAAAAGAGTAGTTATTATAGTTCTCTAGTCTAAAGTCGTTATAGAATACTAATATCTTCTTCTCGTATCTCGATACTAGAGTTATCTTCCCGTATCTCGATATTAGTATCGCCTTTCTATATCGCGATTCTAGTATCTAGTTCTAGATATCTAGTTTCTAGATTCGATTTTCTAGTATAGAGCGGCTAGTTAGATAGCCGTATACTAGAGTAGATAGAGGTTCTTAATTCTCGCGGATCGAGATACTATTATTATTTATACTTTTTCTTACTTAAGACTCTATCCGTCGTAATTATACTTTAGATAGTATTACTTAGTAGCTAAAAGGTATTTTTACTATATAATTACCGCCGCTAAAATTCTTATTCGCTAGGCCGATCGTTCTTTAAT